CACAGAGAGCCACAATCTGGTGAATTCGATCCTCATTTACTTGACCGCCCATGCTGTGGTAACAGAGACCTTGATGGCCCAAAGTTTGCGTTCCGCCGGCGGGTGTATCTGGCTTGGCCTGGCCTGGCCTCGACACATGGCCATGCTGGTTATTTGCGCTTTTGTTCGGGCGTACCGAGCAACTCTATTGACTGTCACAGCGAGGAGGACGAATAAAGTATAGGCCACATGAAATGTTACTACAATCTGTCGAGCAAAGCAAACTACCGGTGGGAAACATTCTCATACTAGCATGTTAGTCAGATGAACATGTTAGCTGAAGACATGGATTCTCCGCATCTATACATGGTTTTAGTACCAACCAATTGTTGAATCGGCATTGCCAGGGTCTAAACGAAGCTTCCGAGGAACGTATTCTATTTCCAACACTGCGATGCCCATCTGAAGCAGCTCTTACACGCCCCCTAGCAAAGACGTGGGTGTAAGGCTCAAAATAGAACCAGACAAGATCCTTCACCCCACGCCCTCTTGTATACACAAAGCAGTCAAGCCGTTTAACCAGGGTATCTAATGTCAGACCTTCTGAGACTTGCCCAGGGTCGAAAAATGGCTGGCAAAGTACCGGCCCGACCGTCCGGTATATCGATTTGAGGGGACGACCCCTTGTCTCCAATCCACGTGTGGTATTCCGCTCAAACAATCGAACAAAAAGACAAAGTACATACCTATACAAGGATCGATCCATGGGGAGTCCACCCACAAGCACTTGATTCGATCTGCATCGAGCCTCTCCCTTCCGCTGTCCTGTGGTTGATGGACTGGGCCACAAGGGAAGCACAGCAGAAACTCCACTATGTTTTGCGTGTAGCCTTCACAAAGAGAAGAGACTGGCCGTCTCTGGGAGAAGGGATGACAAGGGAAAAAAAAACACCTAGGAGTTTGTCAACTAAGCGTGCTGCTGTGTACCGAAGGGCCAGCATCTGCACAGAGAGAGAGAGGAAGAAGGGCCAAGTCACTCATGGCAGCTTATTCTGTTGAGGACGAATACAGGGAATAAAAGAGAACCGGTGGATGGAAAATAATTGGATGAACAGGGCGACAAAATGGACCCAAGCAAACAAACGATGAGAATCACGGGAAATCAAGCTGGAGGGATCGGCGTGTACCGAATATGTATAACTATCTTCGGAGCTACTGTTCTTTCGTCCAAACTTTCTGAATTCCTTTTCATCTCTTTTTCCAGTTTAGGACTCCCTCTTTTCCTTTGCCTTACGCTTTTTACGTCTGGTTGCCTTTTTATTCCCCCCAAACAAAAAATTTTTTTGGCCTCAAGATACTTCTTTGCTCTGTCTTAGTGCCTAGCACTTCTCGAGTCATAGCCTTCAACAGCAAGGCGACACAAGACGTCAGCCCCGTCTTTCTCCGTCTCTCCCTTCAAATCAAGCAGTCAAAACACGAGTCTAGATCAGAAGCTATCTATCGGAGTGGGTTGTGATCAAGAGCAGCTGCTCAAGATTGCTTTTCAAGATCTAGGTCTCGGAATAGCTGCGGATCACTTGCCACTTCAAGGCCTGACACTGAAGAACGCTGACCGGAAGAGAGTGGTACATATTTCCATCTATACAGACAAAGATAGATAGACATCCCCATCTCCCTTTGCCTGGATTTCATCATGGGTTCATCCAGCGGTTCTCACTCCAGCCATCACAAACGGTACTCCTCCCCCCGGGACAGCATCTCGCCCTACGCCTCGTCGTATGCCGAACGCAGATCCAACCAGTACGCCCAGAGCGACTCCCACTCTCGGAGCAGCGTCATGAGTGACCAGGAGGGCGAAGAGCCCACTCCGCGCAAGAGAATCGCTGTTGCAGTAAGTTATCTTCTTTCATCTTCCATCTTCAGTTACCCCCTAGCACCATATTACAAACACAGGATGCTAACAACTAACAACAACAGTGCCTACGATGTCGTAAGAGAAAGATCCGATGCACAGGCGACAGCGGAAACGGCCAGCCATGCCTCAACTGCAAGAATGCTGGCCACGAGCCCTGCCAATTCCTTCGGGTAAGACGATAAATTATCTCCCCCTCAAATGCAGAAGCTAATCCGTGTTGTTTCTCCAGGTGGCTTCTCACGAGACGCCCATCATAAAGAGCGATCCCTTCAGCTACAACCTCGACGTGGCCCGCAGCTACCAGGCCCGCGGCGCCTCCATCGTGCCCCCCATGCCAACTCCTCCTCTATCCTCCTCCTACGCGGACCCCATGCATGTGCCTGGCGAGGCCTTGTCGTATAAGAACAGCTCGGCCTACGCCTACGGCAACAAGTACTATCCCATGTCGACCTGGACAAGCGGCTACGTCGAGGACGGCAACGTCGACTACGCCGTGTATCCGCAGTCTTACCAGCCAGCCGCCGTCCAGCCCCCCGTGCCGCAGCAAGATGCCTCGTACATGATGGGTTACCGGATGAGCACAAGCTCCCCTGCTCCTATGAAGCATGAGGGTGCCGGAGCTCCGCCGCTGTATGTCGAGCCAAACGCTGCTACATATGGCTATCCCGCTGGACATGCTTCTGCAACTTCCACAGTGGCATCCATGATTCATCGTCCCGCTGCCAGCACCGATGCAAACTCTGGCTATGCCTATCAAAGTGTCGCTTCTGGAATCCCCAGCCACATGGGCACCAGCGAAAGACTCCTCCCAGCACCCTCTACGCGCTCTTTAACAAGCGCTCCTCAACAACAGCATCCCTACCGCGCAGAGTCCATCTCCTCAGCCTACAGCAAGACTTCCCAGTCTTCTACAGGCAGCTCCTCTCCAGCCGCTCTCTCCGAAGCAGCAACCACATACAACAGCTTCGAGAGCTCTCCCCTAGCCTCCTATCCCACCTCTGCCCCAGCAGCCTCCCATCATGGACGCAGCGGCGAAGGATACACCACCACGGCAGCTTCCTCGCTGGAAGCAATCATTGAGCCGGTCATCGAGCCACTGAGAATGACTGCTCCTGAATTTACGTACAAGTACACGGATACTACGAGGCGGTACAACAGCCAGTACAATGCGGCCATTGGAAGCTATCTTTCGAGCAGCCCGGGTCTTTCGAATTACACGCTCAGCAGTGACGAGCACGAGCGCAAGCCTAGAATGCGGACTTAGCAAGGCATGGCTTGCATTTGTTGGCGATGCTTCTTTAACAATCGTGCTGCCTTTTGGCTTTTACCAAATCTTTGTACTATTTTGGTTCTGCCTTTACTGTTTTTTTTTTTTTTTTTTTTAGTTCGTTTTCGCATTGGGTCTCCTCGTCTCAATCAGATTGAGCCACCAAACTCCTAATCTCCTGGCTGCGTTGGAGGATTTCATTTATTTGTCTTGCCTTTGTCAATGTTTGTCTCACTCGGCGTTTGCTTCTTCCCTTTGGCGCTTTCGTCCCCTCAATATTCACACCAGCGTCTGTTAGTTTCGCCCCCTTTAACAGCATTTTGTGCCCTGGCGACTAGAGAGTAATTCGACTACAGAAAAAGTATGCAATTCAACACTGAAAGAAGAGAGAGAAAAGCGCACAGAGAGAAGTGGAAGGCTAGCTTGGAAGAAAAAAGGGGGCTGCGTGGGAAGAAGAGAAAAAAGGCTACTATGGACAACGATGGTCATGGATCGTATCGTTTTCTCATTTTTCTTTAATCTAATGGGTTTGTCTGGGATGTCTTGTTCTTTCTACTTTTCCTTTGTTCAAGTGGTGTAATGTGAGGCTACGGTGATAGATAAATAGAGCTATTTCAATATTTCATCAAGCTTTCCTTGACCGTTAAAGGCTACAAGCCGCTTGAGTGGTTACTATGACTTTGGAAAATAGCGAGTGAAAGCTATAGTACAGACAAGAAATGATGGCAAAGAACTACAACCAACCCGGCTTTACCCGCCTCTCAATTGCGCTTCACAGTAGTACCGAAGATACGCCCATGCATCTTGGAATGACGGAGAGCACTGAGAGGAGAAAATACGTACAAGTGAGGTTACGTCAAATCGCGACCCTGTCACACGGCATGCGCCGTCAAGGACACCATCTGTTTCACATCTTGGGGTTGCTGCGTTTTCTTTGGAAGATCAAGTCGCTTGCCGTTGCTACTGTCTTGAAACTAAAAGAGAAAAGAGGGGGAGGTGTGTATGTAGGTAAGTCGGAGATGAGCAACGTGAATCAAATACACGGCGTAAAGTGTCAAGAAGAAAGGTCGTGCTTTACGAGGTTGTGCAATCGCATGGAGACAGGTGGTAGCAGGAAAGATGATTCGTGTTTGGATTTCACTTTTCTTGATTTTCAAAAGGCAAGTTTCTTTCATAGGCTGGTGGTTTGTAGGCCAGAGGAAAGGGATGATTGCATATCATATCGCTGGAAAGATATGGAGAAAGATATAGGGGCAGTTAGATGCTGAGGGTGTAGAGATAGGAGAAGGGGCAGATGTGCAGATGAGGGCCCGGTAATACGGCGTATGACAAGCCAAATCAATGCGATGGCAGCACTCACTTTTGGAAGGATGAGACGGCCCAAGACAAATCAAAGACAAGACATCGTGCAAGTCAAAAGTAATAATAGAGTTGCAGTGTTGTAAATGACGTCGTGTCTGAGAAGCACATGTTAATCTGCAGAAATGATTGGAGCGTCTGACACAGCATGTTTAAGATTCAGTAGCGGTTCTTGATTTGAAAACAGCCACTAGAATGACGGAAGGATGGGCGGTAAACGATGTCGATGCATATCAGGTATGCTTGCATTGAGTGGTCGTACACGTAAAGCCGGTTGGCCGAGCATCGTCATGTATGTTGATATTTTAAGAAACGCTCCCACACCGCAACATTGACATAGAGTCATTAGAGAGTACAAGGCTATGTCAAGAGAAGAGCCAGACGTATAATCGTGATAATGGCATTCTGTATGCGGCTAGTACTCACTGAAGATACAATCATACCAGGGGCTGTACATGTATGCTGAACATGTATGCCACTCTACTCGACGACGCCAAAGACTCGCCGGCTGAGCACCGTCTGCTGCAGCTGTAGCACACCAGCCTGGACTCCATCCACTATACACACGTCTTTGGCCCTCTCCTGACCGTATTCCTCAATGACGATGGTGCGAATCATGTCTTGCAGGCCTCCCATCCCACCGCAGCCCATGACGACACAGGTGATGTTTCCAGAGGAGAGCAGCCGCTTGGTAGCTTCCCTGAGACGCACGTTGATTTCATCTTGCGATATGGTGTGAAAGTCCCCTGCATTAAGGCCTGTGGAAAAGACGCCGGCGAATCTGGGGTCGCTGAAGCTCGAGGACGCCGTGGAGGAGCCTAGAAAGGCGGCCACGCCATTGAGAAGATGATTTTCCCAAAATGCCCCCGTGGTCACAATGCCCCATTTATGCTGCTTGTGCACTCCATCGGCTTCAGCTGTGGGGATGAGAGACAATCCGGTCAGAATGCTGGCTTCGAAAATGCCGATTACAGGAACAGGTGTCAAAGAATAGGCCAATTGCTTGACCAAGGGATGGACGCTGAAGCACGCCACGAGCACAGCATCGAATGGCGTGGAGCGAATACAGGACATGAATCCGGGGTCGTTGGTGACGGCTTCAACGCTGGCGTTTATGCCATCTTCGTTGTCGATGCTCGCCGGAGCCTGCTCCGGGGCCGTGTATGTGCTGATGGACATGGACTCAGAGGAGTCAGCAAAGCGTTTGGTGACTAGCTACGGGTTGTGTGGATTTGCGGTAGGCATTACTGGATAAGAAGCTGCTATTGTGTTGGCGGCTGACTCCATGGTCTTGGTCATGGCAAGCGAGGAGTTTGGGTTGAGGAGGAGGATGTTGATGGAGGAGCTTGAGAGAGACATTGTGGGCGAACGGCTATTACGAAGTGAAGAAGTGAAGAAGTGATCAGCTAAACAGAGTTATAAACAGAATGAGACAAGGACAAAGAAAGCAGAAACAATTCAAAGTAGTTAAGATATCGTGATTCATGATAGCTTCATCGAGCTTCGAGCTTCAAGCTGACGCTGCGGGGTATCACGTGACGCCCCAATGCCTCTGACGACAACTCGCTGAAGGCCATCGCGGGTCTCCCCCACCATGGCCGTCAGTGCTCAGCTAGCACCGCCCAGACACACTGACGACGCCTCCACCCGCTGCCAGCTCCTCACCAGCACCGCTCCCAACGCATTTCCTTGACTTCTTCCGCCCTCATTGAACCATCGCCAACATGGTCCCTCCCATCGGTACGTGCCTCCAAAGCTTCAATGTTCCAGACGCTCCTCTTCCCCGTGACACGCTTCTCCCCCCCTGAAGCTGTGCAGCTCGCCGTAGCTGCTGCTAAGCTACTCCCTGATAGCATCACCACAATCAAGGGGTGCCCTTCACTGCTGACACAACGAGCGCCTCTGCAGTTCTCGACGGCGGCACCGGATTCCTCAAGGTCGGATACGCCGCCCAAAACTTCCCCGAGCACCAGTACCCGTCGATTGTCGGCCGACCGATCCTCCGGTCCGAAGAGCGGACAGACAACGATGTGGTCATCAAGGACATCATGTGCGGTGACGACGCGGCGGCGGCCCGGACGATGCTCCAGATCAGCTACCCGATGGAGAATGGAATTGTCAAGAACTGGGAGGACATGCAGCACCTCTGGGACTACACCTTTTCCGAGAAGCTGCAGATCAACCCCCAGGGCGAGAAGATCCTGCTGACCGAGCCGCCGATGAATCCCCTAAAGAACCGAGAGAAGATGTGCGAGGTCATGTTTGAGCGATACGGGTTTGGCGGAGTCTACGTTGCCATCCAGGCTGTGCTGGCACTATATGCACAGGGTGAGATGCCCTTTCCACGCTGCATGTCACTGCTAGGCTAATATAAAACTACACTACACAGGTCTGAGCTCTGGTGTTGTCGTCGACTCGGGTGACGGTGTCACCCACATTGTCCCCGTCTACGAATCCGTCGTGCTGAACCACCTTACCAAGCGGCTGGATGTCGCTGGCCGAGATGTCACCCGCAACCTGATCAAGCTGCTGCTCCGCCGAGGATACGCGCTCAACAGAACCGCCGACTTTGAAACAGTCCGCCAAATCAAGGAGAAGCTCTGCTACGTCTCGTACGATCTCGAGTTGGACAAGCGCCTGAGCGAAGACACCACAGTGCTGGTCGAGGACTACACCCTCCCCGACGGCCGAGTCATCCGCGTGGGAAGTGAACGATTCGAGGCACCCGAGTGTTTGTTCCAGCCTCACCTTGTGGACAATGAGTCCCCTGGCCTGGGCGAGTTCCTCTTCAACACCATCCAGTCTGCCGACGTGGACATCCGAGCATCGCTCTTCAAGGCCATTGTGCTGTCTGGCGGCAGCAGCATGTACCCCGGTCTCCCGTCACGACTGGAGAAGGAGCTGAAGCAGCTGTGGCTGACGCGCGCGCTGCAGGGCAACCCGGAGCGCCTGAGCAAATTCAAGGTGCGCATTGAGGACCCTCCCCGGAGAAGACACATGGTGTTCCTGGGAGGAGCTGTACTGGCCAATATCATGGCTGAGAACGAGAGCATGTGGGTGACCAAGGCGGAGTGGGAGGAGCAGGGCGTGCGGGCTCTGGAGAAGCTTGGGCCGCGATGAGTGAAGCTACTAGTACATAGTCTACCGCGTACCGCATACATGGGTATGTAATACAAAGTATGAATGGGGAAGTAGAATCTAAACAGGAGGAGAGTCGATGGCATTTATTTGTATGGCTAGATGAAGCATTAAAAGAGGTTTTTATTTATTTGTTTATACAGTCATTGTTGATTTGCTGCAGTTTGATAAGTGGCATTGCAGTGGTGGCGAATTTAGCTCAAGCCCAGCAACCCAGCAACCCACTCAAGATTAGGTACTCGGTTGTTCATAGAGTTCAAGCCGTGTGATGGTAATCCATGGTGTAGAAGCATTGGTGATTACCAGCTTAGTCATCGGCCACAGCCAACATGAACCTGCCATGAGCAGCATTTCCAGACAACAGCATGATTTCCTCGTCTTCGTCTCCGAGGACATTCAATGCTCGCTCTCCATTGATTATCCACCCTTTCTTTGGTCTTGTCTGTCTTATTTCTTCATTGCTCCCATCTCTACATATATTCGCGTTACTACCTTATATATAAACGCCACGTTCAATTACCCGCACCGGCTAATAACAGAAAGCCATCCAGCAGAAATCAATCCAGTCCCACCGTCCGTCTCTCTCCCTGCGTTCCTCTCATACAATCGCTCGCTGAATCACTCCCAACGTAGCATCGTCTCTCTGCTCCGCACGTGCAAATACGGTCCGCCGGGTGGCTCAGCTCCCCTGCATCGCATCTGAGATCCGCAGCAGGCCCGCCGCCACAGAGGAAACCTCCGGCAACGAAGCATCTGCTCCGTAACTAACGGAAGGGCAAACGCCGTTCTTCGCACTGCTTGAGTCGTATCTGAGTGGGTGCGCGTTACTGCTAGCAGGTCGTATCAACTCCACCCATTCTCTCTCGGGCGAGCTGCAGATCAACTCTCTGTCGTGAAGCGCTCGAAGTTTGCGCTGAGTCAACAGGCGGCATTTGGGCGACAACTGCGGCATCCAGGCCCATCCAGGCCTATGCGGACAGACGTTGCGGCATCCCGTTCGCCAGCGAGGCCAGGATCGCCACCATCAGCGTAACATTCAAGCTCAGCGCGTCAATCGCCAGTGCCCGAGATCTGCTGCCGACTAGTGATCGCCCCGTCCAACCTGCAAGGAGCAGCAGAAACACCACCGATTGATCCATCACCACCGAATTACTGCGCTGGGGAGCTGCCATGAATCCGACGAATCCGTCGACGGCGGCATCCGGGCCTGGATCCGGCAAGACTGCCAGTTACCTCAATGCAAGGGCCTACCAGACGGTTAAGCGCGGCGTCATGGCGACTTTTGAAGGTGAGCGGTGCTGACTCGCTTGTTGTCTTTGCTTATTTCTTGCTTTCTGTTTCCGCCCAATAACACAGCCACCGACGATCAAGAGTAATGTCTACATGATACTGCCAGTTTACTTCCCTGGGATTTGAACCCTGACAATCCCCTTCATCTCTTCTTTCTCTTCTCGTCCAAGTCGACTTTAACCACGACCCTTCATCCTTACCCACTCAAGGTCCACCCTTGCAAAAAGCCCACCCTTGTATCCTTTTTTGGTGCAATCACACCTGCTTTTTATTTGCCCATATCCTATCCACCGTCTGGAGCGGGTATTCGGAGTATTTTGCTGCTCTGGATAGCGTCTCTGCTCTCATTATCACAATCTCCGGTCAAAAGAGAGGATAGGCAGCGGAGAGGGAGAAAGACGAGATAAAAGTGCATCTCATCTACCGACGGGAATATCGTCGGCGTCTGACAAGCGGCAGAATTTGCCACGCTCAGCCTCCCCTTTTTTCCTTTCTTTTTGTTTCGCCAAAGCCACGCATCATCATCTTTGTCATCTCGAGCTCTTGTCTTCTCCTCTTATCAGAAACTATTCAAATCGCCCCTCTTCTCCTCATTCTTGTCTGCTAGTCAGCTTTGAATCCCCGAGCCAGGGACCCGCGTTGGTTTATATGAGGACGATACCCGATCTGGGTCATCTCAGCAAGGCTGCTCTTTTTAAAGCAACTGTCTAACCTCGCTTTAACCTCTTCTCGTTCCGCCTTACCCACCCTCACAGACTTGGTATCGTTGTATACATACCCAACGCATACTCTGCGCGCCTTACTACTATTCTACTCTTCACATATTATCATTTACTAGTCCCATTCAGAAAGCCCATCGTCTTCCCCAGCCATGCCTCTGAAGCTGAGGCACGCTTATCCTCACCAGCCACCGCATCACTATTATTCATCCTCTTCTTCATCAGCTCACCGATTATATGCAGATGGTCGCGATCAGTCGGCCGGGTACCAGCCCAAGGCGCGTGTCACCGAACGATACCGCATCATTGGCTTCATCAGCAGTGGAACATATGGACGTGTTTACAAAGCCGTAAGCCGGACCACCAATCCGGAGGGCATCGCCGTTGTCCGCACATCCAGCGGCCTCACACCAACCTCCAACTCAGGGCCAGCCCCCATAGAGGTGGCCATCAAAAAGTTTAAGCCAGACAAGGAGGGCGAGCAGGTCAGCTACACGGGTATTTCACAGAGTGCTATCCGTGAGATGAGCCTCTGCAGCGAACTCCGACACCCAAACGTCATCCGGCTTGTGGAAATCATTCTCGAAGACAAGTGCATCTTCATGGTGTTTGAGTATGCCGAACACGACCTGTTGCAAATCATCCACCACCACACGCAGCAGCCGCGCCATCCCATACCGCCGGCCACGGTCAAGAGCATCATGTTCCAGCTCCTCAACGGCTGCCAGTACCTGCACACCAACTGGGTCTTGCACCGTGATCTCAAGCCCGCCAACATCATGGTCACGTCCGGCGGAGAGGTCAAGATTGGTGATTTGGGCCTGGCCCGCCGCTTCGACAAACCACTGCACTCGCTCTTTAGCGGCGATAAGGTTGTTGTCACAATATGGTACCGAGCACCCGAGCTGATCCTCGGCTCGTACCATTACACTCCCGCCATCGACATGTGGGCTGTGGGATGCATCTTCGCGGAGCTCTTGTCTCTGCGACCAATCTTCAAGGGAGAGGAGGCCAAGATGGATAGTAAGAAGACGGTCCCCTTCCAGAGGAATCAGATGCACAAAATCGCCGAGATCATGGGCCTGCCGACAAAGGAACGGTGGCCCCTGCTTCCATTCATGCCCGAGTACAGCCAGCTCAACACGCTCTCGACAATGCAGCACAACACCCACAGCCACCACCATCATCACCACCAAAACCCGCCCAACCGCGGCTATCCACCCACATCCCACCTCGAGAAGTGGTACTACAACACCATTAATAACAATTCTGGTGCCGGTTCCGCCGCGTCAGGGCCCAACGGCCAGCCCGCACTCCAGTCCCTCGGCGCAGAAGGATACAAGCTACTCGCAGGCCTCCTCGAATACGACCCGGAAAAGCGCCTCACCGCCGCACAGTCCCTGCAGCACGAATTCTTCAGCACAGGAGACCGCGTCAGCTCGAATTGCTTCGAGGGCATCAAGGTCGAGTATCCGCACCGACGTGTCAGCCAGGACGACAATGATATTAGGACCAGCAGTCTCCCGGGGACGAAGCGTAGTGGCCTTCCAGACGATACTCTCTTGAGACCTGCTAAGCGCATGAAGGAATGACAATTCTAGATTTGAGTGTGGAGGGTTGAACAATTGAACAAGACCTAGAATGGCACTGATGGAACAGGGGCGATGTCTAGTTGCAGGAATGAGTATTAGAGCTACATTTCGTGTTGTTTTCTTTTCCTTTGGTATTCTAAGGCGTTTACACCGGATGGGCTACATGGTGTTGAAAGGATTTTATGGTTTGGGAAGGGCTAACGAATAAACGGGCGGGTGATAACAAGGCGTTGGTAAACAACTGTTTTTTTTTAATGAGGATAAAAATCAATAATGATCATCCAGCCAGGAGAATATAAGTTTTGTTGAATCAAGGAAATTAGTATTAACGAGGGGTTCAGTGACGTGCCAGGCAATAATATCATGCACTGGCAACAAAAGCCACAGGACAGGTATAATAGATGAGATGGCATACGGACCATCTTACTCCTCCTTCTCCCCCTTCTCCTTCTTCCCCTTCTTTTTCGTTTTTTTTCCCTTTCTCTCCGTCTTCATTTTTCACTTCTTTCTCTCTTCCACACCTTTTATCTTCCACCTCTCTGCTCACCCCCTCTCCCAAAATCCTCCTCCACCACCACCCCCCTTTCCTCCCCTCTTGTGCTGCTCCCCTCTCACACACTCTTTCTTTCACAAGAAAATGCATGGTACAAAAGATATAAGCACGGGGTATTTGAGCATTAACTAAAAAAAAGGCGTATTGCGTTATAAAGAGGAACAACAACAAAAAGAGAATGCTGATACGCGCTTCAAGTGAAAGGGAAGAAGCTAGCGACACAACAAGAACAAAAAAAGAAAATGTCACAAAAAAGTAACCACGTTAGAAAAAAGCACAGACAACAGTTTTTGTCCCTCCCACAGCACAGACATGGTATACAGCGATTCCATCACCTCTCCTCTTTCATCCCTCTGTCGATTCCTTCTCGCTTCCTTATTTTTCTTCCATCTATCGATTTTCTCCTTTCTCCGTTGGCGAATTGTATATGTGGCGGTGCTCGTGTTCGGATGAAAAGCAATCGTCTACTAGTATAAACGACGGCCACCCAAGCTGAGACTGAGCCGCTGAGACTGAATACGCAGTCCCAACGCAATATTAATGAGGGGGCGATCCGTAGGCGGGTACCAGGGTTGTATGCATCATTGAAAGATTTCCATTAAACGTCGTAGTTTTGCGAAACGAAACCAAAGCGCGCTGGGTATGTATCGTTTTGTCTTATCATTTATTTCTTGACGGGGGCAGCAGGGGCCTTGACGTTGTTGGAGAGCCAGGCCAGGCCTTCCAGCAAACCTTCACCACTGGTGGCGCAGCTGGGCACGACATACCAGACCTTGTCCTTGAGCTTGGAGAGTTGGAGAGCGTCGGTGACTTCTTGGGGCGACATGGCTAGTGAATGTTAGCAAGATCTTTGTTTGTGGATAGTGATGGTCCAGACGTACCCTCTTTGAGATCCTGCTTGTTGGCAAACACCAGAAGCAGGCTGTCCTTCATCTCTCGGTCGTTGATGATGCGGTGCAGTTCTTGTCGGGCCTCGTCCATACGGGTGCGGTCGGAGGAGTCGATGACGAAGATGAGACCTTGGGTGCCTATAAGAGTAGAATTAGTGCTCTGCTCTCAATTATGATATAACGTAGCAGCAGCAGAAACATACCACTGAAGTAATGTCTCCACAGAGGACGAATCTTGTCCTGGCCACCAACATCCCAAACGTTGAACTTGACGTTCTTGTAGGTGACCGTCTCGACGTTGAAGCCGACGGTGGGAATGGTGGTGACGTCCTGGCCGAGCTTGAGCTTGTACAGGATTGTTGTTTTTCCAGCAGCGTCGAGACCCAGCATCAGCAGTCGCATCTCCTTTGATCCGAAGATCTTGCTCATAACCTTGGAAAGTTGGCCACCCATGATTGCGAATGTCGGTTATCGAAGCTTCGTTGCAGGTTGGTTTTCGTCGCGAGAGAGAAAAAGTCGAGAATGCGCAGATCGCGGATGATGGAGATGAAGGAGGGAGGGGCTTGCAGAAGCGAGTTGCAAGTCGAAGTGTACGAGTCGACTGAAACGGAGTTTGTATGCAGGGCGCAACAAATTCTATGGCAAGACACTTTTAGTTAGCAGCAGGTCAGAAACAAGGTTATGCGCAAGCGCGTTTGCATTGCAGGCGAATCTTTCTGCTTGTGCTTTCTTTCTGGTAGCATTTATCTTCCAGGGCTCAACGAAGCGACCAAGCAAGAAATGCTGTGAAAGCTTCAAGGGGAAGAATATGTAGTGAAAAAGGAGATGAGCAAATAGATGCTGTGATGGCCTCTCAACTTACATTAAAACGTGGCACTTGCAGTGCGAGAAGAAAGAATCTCGGCGATGCTCGACTACCAACGACTAGAAGAGACGAGAGTTACAGTCAAACGTATGAGGGCGAGGCACAACGCGCGCGAGCCACCAAAGGAACGTGAATATTAGAAGAAAACGGGGGTTTCGATCGATTAACGGCGAAGAAGAATCCCTGAAGATACAAGCTCGACAGGAGGCAATAGAAGAGAAGACGACAAGAATGGGATTAAACAGTCGAATTAGAGAGCGCGAGAAGTAGAGAGAGAGAGAAGAGAGAATGTGGGGGAATGCGCCGCGAAGAGCTCGACGCAAAATGTGGTGATGGGTTTGGTTGCTGGCAAAGGAGGGACGAAAGATGCGATCAATTGCGACGCGGCACGTGTGGATGGGCAGATGCTAAAAACGAGTGTGGAGGCACAGGCAAGCAGGTACAGGCACAGGTACCGGTACACGCCGTTCTCTAGACCAGGTACCAGCAGAAGCTTTAGCCAGTGCTAGTGCAAAGGGGACATGGAATTAGGTGTCCTCTTTTCTCTCGCTAATTTGCGATCAATTGATGAATTAATCGAAGCCTGTGAATCGAATCGGGGGGAAGGCAGCGCAGCATTCAGGCGTGCAGAAGAGCAAGCTAGCAGGTAACTGGCCATCAAATCTAATTTTGGGCAGGGCCCCGGCCTGGGCGATGGGGCTTGCACGGGGCATTGAATCATTGAGCCAAGATTGAATCCATTTCTGCAAATGTAAGTGCTTCATGCAGCGCATCGCAGAAATTGGAGTAAACAGCACAGCGCAATTTGGTGCCCTCTTGCAGCGGGCTAGCCTCCACCGTTGGTTGAGCCGGGCTTTGCTGCGCCCAGCGGTGGTAGCGATACCTTGAGTCTCAGGCGCATTTATAAGGAGCTTGAGCACCAAGATAGCCCCAGTGCCCTACAGACACTCGACAACGCCGGACTCCCAGCAGGCCTCTCCTCCTAAACCTTGTATCGCCCGTCCCCCGCCGCTAGGGAGGCGTGGCCAATGGCGGCTGTGGAGCGCATGCAGTCATTTTCAGGGGTTGCCGCTTGATAATCTCCGCATCGTCGCTGTTTAAGCCAGCAGGTATCTGTACCTGGACGTGCCTTTTCTTTCCATCTTCCATCCAATGTCAATTCTCACAATCAGTTGACGACATCAAATTCTTCAGGGCCTGTGCGCTGCTATATCGCGTTTGATGCAAGAAATGGGTAACAGCAGTTTTCGCTGAGCTCCACAGCAGCCAATTTAGGAGGACCGTCCATTATTAGCAGCAGTTGGATCATTGGCTGGTCTGTGAGTAGTATCTTAGTTTCTGTTCGTAACAGCTTCTTGTTAGTCGCTTGAACTTTCACTCAAACTCATATGTATAATATACAATCATCTGCAACTCAATTTCGTCAATTGACAATCAACCACACACAAAAAAGAGCCCAACCTACCATATTCAAGCTTTACCCTAAATAAATCCCAACAAAGTCCGGGGCCTTTACATACTACATACCTGATTCATACATCGTATAGCTCACACCCAACTACCTACCCTAAATAAATACCTACGGATTTCACAACTCAACTCACCTCTTTAACCCCATGAATCATGAATCAGCAATAAACAACATGAATATTAATCAATAGCCTCCCACTCAAGCTTCTTTTTTAAACTCGGCTCTACTCCAAACCTCCAACCCCCAAAACCTGCATCACCTGCCCCATCCGGCAACTCTCACCTCTCCCATGGCCCACATGTGCTCTTTCACGATCTCCAGCTCATGCAGATCGGATGCTGTCAGCTCGTACCGAAGGCCGTAGAGCATGTTCTGGCCTCTTCTCTTTTTGAAACAAATTCTTGGCACGCGCCAATGAGCGGTAAAAGAAGAACAAAAGGATACCAAGCCAGAGATGGCAGGTTGCAAATGTCATATTGGACAGGTGGGATATCCAGCTTGTAGATCTAGTTTCTCCTATAAATTCTGTGATTCCCAACGTTTGATCCAACTACAAAACCCTCAATCTTGATATCCTCACTCAATCTGTTGCCCAAGGCAAACAACCGTCAAAATGAGAATCTCCACCCTCTCCGCGGCCTTCATCGCCCCAGCCCTCGCCGCTCCCACTACCTCCCAAGCATCCTCCACCAAAGTCGTCTACGCCAACTCGGGCCACATCTACCTCGCCTCCTACGACGGCTCCAAATTCACCACCGCCGTCAACTCCTCCTTCCCAAACACCGACCCTTCTTGGCTCGCCTTCGTCCCCCCCAACAGTCTCTACGCCGTCAACGACATCGCCTCAAACACCTTCCTCTACAACATCAACACCAATACCAACACCATCAAGCAGACCACCAACAAGCAAGGCTCCGGCGGCGTCGTCCACCTCGAGGCCAACAAGGCCGGCACCCGCATGCTCGGCGCCGGCTACGGCTCCGGCAAGATTGACGTCTGGAACATTGAAAACGGCGGGCTGTCCCTCATCAAGAGTATCACGTCTCCGGGCCCCCTCGGCCCTGATCCCGATCGCCAAGACGCGCCTCACCCGCACCAGACCGTCAACGATCCCACCGGCCGCTACTTCTTCGCCAATGACCTGGGCACCGACTCCATCCTCGTCATAGACTCCCAGAACGACGCCTTCAACATCGTCAACCGCATGGCCGTCGTGCCCGCTGGCTCAGGTCCCCGCCACGGCGTCTTTTACCCCTTTGGCGCCGCAAAGGCCACCCACTACTTCCTGCTCTGCGAGATGGGCAACGTCGTCATCTCGTACAAGCTCAACTACACCGACAACGGCAAGGGCATTGAGTTTACTACCACACAGGTGCTCAACACCTTTGGTCCCAACAGCCAGAAGCCAGCGGGCGCGGGTGCCGGCGAGCTTGTCCTCTCCCCCGACAACAAGGACCTGTACCTCTCCAACCGTCTAACCGGCCAGGCCACCGACAACATTGCCCATATCAAGCTCATTGATAACGGCGCCGACAATGTGCAGCTCCTTTGGATCAACTCGGTGTCCTCGGGCGGCACCGGACCTAGAATGTTCAGCATTAGCAACGACGGCAGCTCCCTGTTTGTAACCAACCAAGATGGTGCTCTCGGCGTGGCGGCCATTTCTCGCAACGCCACGGATGGCTCGCTCGACACCAAGTTCCACGGCACCATCAGCAACAGCGCATTTGGCGGCCAGGGTCCCCAGTATATCAAACAGATTCAGTAAAGATTATATCGCGAAAGTTGTTTTGTCTTGTACACGAGTAAGAAAATGATGAGATATGTTGATCCAAGTTAGTGTTATTGGTAAATCGTCCTTGTAAGCTAGAAAAGAAGTTGAGAAAGATAATTAATGACTGGGTACTCCAAAACTCCGCAATTACCAGCTCTAGTTCACTCCAGAAACACGGCTTTCCCTTTTCCCTTTTGAATCCTCCGTAACACCATAAGAAGCGTTGCCGCTCTACTGTCTGGTCAAAGCAGATAAAGATAACCTCGCCTCCTGTCCTAAAAAAACTCCTTGCCCGCGTATTCAGCATGACAATAAAATAAATCCCAATTGAAGGGGGGCATCAAACATGAGGATATACATTTAGCAAAAGAAATGTACATGCAGACCTATGGTCGATATTCGATAACGTATCGTCGCTCTACCTGCTGCAGGGTGGAAGAATCGTTTTCCCCTTCGAATTTGAGGTCAACCTTGCCGTTGGACGCCATGCTGTGGACCTCGGCCTTGTAAAACGTGGTCGTCTGGGGATAAAGGGCAAGGACGATATGGCCCGCTTCGTAATCTTTGAGGGTGCTGGACTGGCTTTCCGCCGTAATGGGAATCATGTTGCTGGCGCTTGATCGGTATTCTTTCTGTTTGCTTTGGTCCTCCGGCTCAATGTCGATGACCTTGTACCGCCGACTCTTTCCTTCGCCGGAGACCAGCGCGACTTCGCCTAGTATCCAGTCGGACGTCTGTTCACCGTTGACGGCCTTGGGTTTGAACGCTACCTCGTCGCCCTTTGAGAAGAGAATCTTGGACTTGTTTAGAGAGCTAGAAGCTCCGCCGGCACCGCTGATGGACCCGGGCGGCTCGACGCTGTCTGCCTTGGGAGGGATGCTGTCCCTGTCACGATTGCTGCTCCGGTCGCCATGCTTTCGGGAAGCACTGGCCATGGGGCTGGGCACGGGGGAGTCGCCAGCACCGTCGAAATCGTAGAGAGAGGCGGCCGCGGCGCTGTCCCTGGTGGTGGACCTCTTGGACGGACCGGCCGAGGCGGCTTCGGCTTGCTCCTTGGCAACAACAACGGCACGCACCAACTTGAGCTGCTCCATGAGATTCTTGGCCATGGTGATGTTGTTCTCGGAGTTCTTGACGCCGGAGCGGCAGAGATGCTCCATCTGCTTCATCATGTCGGTGGGCACGCTGTTGGGGTCCATTGTGCCGGCCTGCTTGTCCAGGCCGACCAGCTGGTCCAGGTTGTCGTTGTCGGCGTTGATGCCGCCGATGAGGTCCTGGAAAGAGTTTTTAGCCGACTCCCATATCGTGGCCTCCTCTCCATGGGCCCCGCCGTTGTTGCGGTTCGAGCCGCGGCCGCTGCGGTTGCGCTGCGACATGTCGCGTCGGCCAGGCTGGCTGTAGTACGGTCCGAGGTCTTCGTGCAGGTTACTGACTTCGCGCTGGTGCGCTTTGCGATTAGCCATCGTGGTCAAGTCTCTCGGTGGGTGCCGCGCGGTTTTCGCCGACCGGCCCCAGCCGTGCGAGCCAAGGACCCGGGAATGGGGAGGACAAGAAATGCACGCCAGAGCCGCGAGAAAGGAAACAAAGACAAAGAGAGCAGCAACGAGATGCTATGCCATGCGGGCTAAAAACGACAAAATGACAAAATGACAAAACGACAGACAACGACAAAAAGGATGGACTGGATTGGACGATGCTGGGAGATGCAGGAGAACGAGCCAACTCGGTATAAACGACACTACTGCAGGACTGGGGGGGTCGCTGGAGCGCTGTGGACTTACTGGCTGTCTGCTCCCTGCCCGAGTGGGTGCTGCTGGCTGACTCGCTTGTGCTCGCTAAAACGTGCGTTTGCGAGCCCGTCTGGCCGCTGTGCGCTGCGATGCGACGCGTCGTTCAGGCGCGGATGGCGGAGGGGAGAAGGAGAGGCAGAGGAGAGGCAGAGGAGAGGAAGAAGAAGGCGAGAGTCTCGATCCGACAGGCAGATATGCGAGAGAGAAAAGGGCTGGGAGAAACAACGAGTGGCCGGGCCGGGGGATAAGTTTCAACCCATTTTATGCGCTAGGGAGGGCTCAAGCGACAGGCACGGCGGGCAACCAGGTACGAGGCTCGGCCAGACCTGTTTTTGTGTCGATTCTGCGCAATGATGGCGTCGCGGCTCCGTTTGCGCCTGGATGATGATGTTTGGCAGACAAAGTTTGGGTCTGGCGCGAGCAGAGGCGTGGTCTGGTGACGGATGCCTGGCGCTGGAGCTGGTCGCGAACTGGACGCTGCGCCGGGCCATCTATGTCCCGCAGCCTACTACTACTAGTAGTACTAGCAGTAGTAAGCTGGAGCAAGCTGGAGCGACGCCGGGGATACCTGCGCGACCACAGCGGGCGCGGCGGGCGCGGCAGCGCTTTGGCGGGTAGAGCTGCAGGTACCCAGCAGGTCTACCTTGCTAGGGCAGCCCTGTGTGCCTTGGACAGTCAGTACTCGCAATCAACACCCGTGGACATCTATGGGTACAGGTGCAGTATGTGGCTGTCAGCCTTCAACTACTGAGCGCCACCAGAGGCTACAGGTAATCTCAAGTCGACGCCAGTGCCCTGTTCCGGTCTTCAGCTCTCCAGATGCCTGATTATTACATGCCACTGGGCTCCGCTGCATGCCGGCTTAGTGCTGTTAGTGGACGAGCCAGTGTTAGAGTTGGCGGCTCGGATCGCGGATCAGCAACGCATCGGCCTCTATCAAAGCATGTTCTGTGGCCTTGAAATACGAAGTACGAGAGTTTGATCAGTGCGAGAACAACGATTTGTCCAAACAATTATATTTCCTACTTGAGGTACATTTACCCAGACTATCTGTGCGACTGTTCTTGTATATACGCGCATATACAAAAGTATCATTGCCGATATCAGTCACGTTAGCCACCACTACTCTTCCTCCTGTCCACCACCCTTTAGCTGACGTTGATGTTGGCATTGCCAGAGCTGAAGTATCCCTCGACCGCAACAATCTGGTAGTCCAGCTGGCCCAGAGTCAGGCCCAGGTTGCGCCAGGCATTGAAGTGGTTGCCAACGTTGACCGAGCCGCTGGAGCGGTGGTTGCGGCGCACCGACCAGTACTGGTAAAAGGTGGCCGTGCCGATGATGGACGGCTGGTTGACGCGCTGCGTGCGGTAAATGTCGTAGACGCTGCCGTCAGACGTCACCTCGCCCAGCTTGGTCGTGCCCGTGGACGGGTTGTAGGTGCCAAAGTTCTCGACAATGTAGTACTCGATGAGCGGGTTCTTGGACCAGCCGTAGATGGAGAGGTAGCTGTTGCCGTTGGGGTTGTAGCTGCCGGAGTAGTTGATGGTCCTTGAGTGGCGTTAGCTTTCTGGCATGAATCCTGGTATGAATAGGGCATAACAACACTCTGGCGAGCTACTTACCTGGTGCTGCTGCCCGGGTTCCATCCCTTGCCTCCCACAAAATTGCCCGAGTTGGACCAGTTGACGCTGAACGAGCCGCCAGCGCCGTTGGTGTAAGTCACGCCGGAATGGCCGTCGTTCCAGTACGAGTAGTAGTATCCGTTGTTGGTGCCGGTGCCGGGGCCAATGGTCTGACGCTTCTCCACGTCCACAACTTCCACGTTTTCGGTGGGAGCGGACAGGACTCCGGTAATAGCGGCAAAGCCGGCGAGGAGAGATGTGAAGGCGACCATGATGTCGATGAGGCTTCTTTGTCTTACTGTGGTGGACTATGTGAATCTGAGTTGTCTGGCTGTTGCTGCACTTGAAGACTCTGGATCGAGGCGGGCTGGGTCGTCGTTTTATAAGTCTGTTGGCGGATAATTGCAGCAACGGCTGGCTCCAGAGCGACTAGGTGCATGTGCTGATTCGTTTTACCGCACCAATAGGCATTTTGCTTCTCATGAATACATTACGCCTTGCTCTCTTATTCTGACGTGGCAATGTCTGAGCATAAACTACATGTACTGGGAAATTACAGCTCTCCACGAACACGACGTCTGGACTGAAGTCCTTAGCTCCGGCACATGCAAGAATCGGTACACTTCATCTACTGGCTAACGGCTAATTTGGTCTTGGCAGCTCGGTGATCGAAGTTGAAGAAAAAAACAAAAAAGGAGAATAATGGATAAAAACATATCCAGTAGCGTGCGAGGGATTGATTAATATGGAGGTAGTTTCCGCTGTTCGTAACTGTCATATGTGGATGGACATGGGGGCGTAGTAAACCGCAATGGGAAACAAAATGGAGTATTCAGAATAGCCACGCTACAATTGCAATATCCTGGTCTCAGATGACGAACAATCCCATCTTTTCCGCAAGGTAGCAGCAACGATGGGCAGCCATGCAGCATTAGCTGTATTGAGTCCATATGCTTCCAATTAACCATAAACTTCTCCAACACCCTTGCCCGCAGCTGCATACACCCCGACGAATATTGACAGGAAAACATTCCCCCCTATTATCCTAGTGCCGATGAAGCAGTCCGGGAAATAAAAAATCGGGGACTCAGAGGTATTGATTTGCGGGGTGAAGGCGGCTTGGCCTGCAGCTTGTCTAACGGCTAAATTGGATATGTATATAGTCGGATCGCGGAGAAGGCACAGTTGCGTGCTGCTGACACGATGTTTCGATGGCATGTTTTCTGTTAGTAATGGTGTTTGTGTGATTAAACAAAGATTTATTTATTTTGCCTAAAGTCAGCTGTAAAGGAGACAATGCATTAGGAACAGTTGACTTTGCCACTTTTGAAGTGGAAGAATTGAGAATGATTGAAGAGTAAGCCGCCATTGCGTAAACGAGACTCCTCCTGGAGCTATGCTGGAGGAGATGATAGACTTGATGAGATTAAAAGAGTATTTTTTGCGAACAACATAATGGCTGTTTAATTTAAACTAGGTATCTTCGGATAAAGTCGTATAATATAGTTACTTGAAAAACGTTGCGCGGGAAAGACTGAGCGAGTATACAGAGCAGAGAATGCGTGTATGTAATGCTTGAAAGACAGAGGCAGTAGAGGCAGCTACTTAAATACATGTTAATTTAGTATTCTACCTGACTCCAGCCATGTCTCGAAAATTCGAGGTTCAGGCAGAGGAGCCCGAAGTGACTGAAGAGACTGAAGCGAAATGAAAACCGCCTGTGAAGCATTTATTGGAAACACCTGCGACCCTTCTCTGAAGAGTCTTTCCTGAAGCTTTTGAAACTTGGAACTTCAGTCTCTTCCTGAGATTATTGATCGTCTCACGATAGCAGCTCTTCCGCTGTCTATCTATTTATTGACTAGCATTGTTCTACATTTTGTAATTACATGCTTTCCAAATACTCTATATCTACATGTACGTAGTCATTCGTCGATCTTTATGATTCAGCCACATGACAGAACCAGCAGCCTATACCAATACATGCTTTAGAGGAGGGAAACTACGTAGTTAAGGAATCATTCCGTCGTTGAGAGACACATAGTGTGTGAGATGAAATTGGCGATATGATATTAGCAGCCTCAATGTACGTACCAATACTGACAGCCCAGCTCCTCTAGAACACGAGGGACGGCTTGGGGAGAGTCAATAGTTGGCAATGGCGATTTATCAAATGCGTGCGATATGCCGTGGAGCCTTTTCGAAAAAGAGCACTCAAGCATGCGATGTTGGAGTTCTTTGCTTTCCTGTCTTGACTTTCTTGTATCAGCATTGTTGCCATGTTTTGAACCAGCAGCCGTTCCCCCGACGTCTTGTTCAAGATGTGAGATATCAGAGAGTGTGTCACCATCAAATCTGGAACCGCGTAATTGGTTTAGTGGTAAAATTCTCCGTTGCCATCCGCAACGTCGGGGAGCCCTGGGTTCGATTCCCAGATTACGCAGTAAATATCTCTTTTTTTGGGTGTATTTTTGCTATCGTGCAATACTCTATCTTTTTACTCTGTCGGTCGATGGCTGTGGTTTGTGGTGTTTGTGACGCAGGCAGCATGGTGTCCGGCTTGTCGATTGTAAGTAACCGAGTCGGAATGCCGTGCTTTTTTCGCGTCATTTTGCACTATAATGAACACTTCCCGGTTGTTGGATGCGGACACATTTGATCAAATAAAGAAAAGCAAGAAAGGAGTTTTACTTGGAAGGTTTTTGAAAGGTTTATTTGCTGTTGCTTTTATTTCCAGTTACCTATTCTCTCTGCATTTACCAGTGGCTTAGAGTTCAATGTTCGCTGGCTGCGCACTCGAAAGTTCCATAACAGTAAACTCCTATAGCATAAATACAAGTTCATGTAGTCATAGCGACGATTTTTTCTTCATTTATTATCTCTTGAGACGAAAGTTCCGTATTTTAAGCACTAATATGAAATGCCCGACCTGGCCTTTCATAGACGAAGAAGACTTCTTCCACAATCACCCTTCCACACGACAACACAGCCATAGCATTCTCTCGACGAGGGACTGGCTGACACCTAAGTCCAACAAACTGAAAAATCGCGAAAAATGGAGACGGCTAGTTGAAAGGCATCGGTGAACTCGCGGTATATCTACTCCCAAACCGAACGCAGCCGCCAGCGACGTACATAAATCTGGACGGTGAGCATGTCGCAGATGTACAAAACAGCTTTTATAAGCAGATCAGAGTCACGCTGGTAGTCCACCGCCAACTACGTACCTAGGCAAACGCTGCACAGGCGAGAAAGACGCCAAATTGTTTTTGTCTCGCAAAGAATGTTTTGTTTGCTTAACTTGAAATGGCTCTGCAGAATACACACGCATGTATATGACCGTATGATCAACTACTAATTATTTTTCAAGGCATCGTTTGCATTTACGACGAATCAAAACGCTACAGGCCGATTTCCTCTCTCTTTTCTACTTCTAGGTACCCCGGGCCAAACGCGTTTGAGAGTCTCTTGCTGGAGTCACAGTAGGAGAAAAGGTAGCGGCCATGCTGACAGCAGATACACTCGACAAAAGCAAATGATCAAGTCGTCGCAATCTACTGATTCAGAGATCGGATGATAACGTTCGCTGGGACATTTCGCTTCGTTGGAACCTGAGGTTCAAAACATGATGGAAATGGACCACGGAGGCGCATCTTGAATGAGGTGTACATTCTGCGTAACAGCCCGCTTCTTGTGAGAGTATAGTATACAAGGCTAGTTACAGAGACTTTTTTTGAAACATTACGGCAGCCATGGTTGCTATTCCAATTCTGTCGGCGGGATGGCTGATGAAGGCTTTGATTGCAATCAACGATTATATAGCTCCCCCCCTCTTTCAACCGGCCTTTATTATAGTAAAAAGTTAGGCATCCAACACCCTAGTTCTACTATTGCCTATACTCCAGCTGTAGCTTAATGAAGCTGTTACTCTACTTGGAAAAGTTTTCGATTATCACATATACTTAAAGTACATATAGCATCTACAGCATCTATAACACCACTAGCAGTAGTAGCAGTAGTAGCAGTAGTAGTTCAAAACCGCATCCTGGCCTTAGATACGTCTAACACGCCCATATCCGCATATATTAGCCAACTGGACTGGCTGGCGAATCAATATTGAGAACCCCTCTCCTGGTGCCGGCACCATTGTCTGGTTCAAGAGCTTCTTTGTCCTCGTCTCTCTCATCTTCAGTGTCCTCCTCGCTCGTGGTTTCTGCGTCTTCGGCCACGTAGCGTGTAGCTTTCGGGTGGTGGTCCTTGATGACCAACGATGCCCATTTCCTCACTACGGCTGCTACGTATGGGTTGTGCATCTTGTCGCCGTACATGGCATGGAGTAGGACGTATGATGGCCATTCGAGGAAGTCTGGGTCAAAAGATTGTTCGGAGTAGTCGCGGTATAGCGTATGATTCGTCATCGCGCCTCGCGCGCTCTTTCCTCTGGTGAAGTGTGCCTTTTTTATGTTCATCTGCATCAGTCCTACGTGTGATGTTACGGATTTGGCTCTCTCCGCTTGACCCCTCGCTTGACATCTGACAGTAGCAGTAGTAGCAGTAGTAGCATTAATAGCATCCGTAGCATCAGTAGCATCAGTAGCATCAGTAGCATCAGTAGCATCAGTAGCATCAGTAGCATCAGTAGCATCAGTAGCATCAGTAGCATCAGTAGCATCAGTAGCAGCAGTAGAAGCGATAGAAGCAGCAGTAGCAGCAGCAGTAGCAGCAGCAGTAGCAGCAGTAGCAGCAGTAGAAGCGATAGAAGCAGTAGCTGTAGTATGATTCCAATGGCACCCGGCTTCACTCAGCACACCACAGCCCATGACGCATTATAAATCATTATTGGTTTTAGACATTATATGCAGCGTAACACATTCTATAATTAACAAACATTACTGACGGCCATCTGACACTTAGTCCTTGTCCGGCAAGACAAGAATTTTCAAAGTTCGGCCTTCAGCGTAGCCTTTGCAGTGGTAAAGGTAGTGGTGGTGGCCGTGGCGCATACGCAGCCCTGCCCGGCGATACTGGTCAAAGGCGGTGACTTGCACGTCGGTTCGGTGGTGAAAGAAGCATAGGTAGTGGTGGGCTCTGGAGTCGGCTCAACCAACTCGGCCTTGACAAGGACAGGGATGATCTGGCCGGTGCTGAGGCTGAAAGACTGGTGGTTCAGCACAGTCAGAATGCTGCCAATCTCGCCAGAGTGGCTGGTAATGCTGATCCAGGTGTTGTCGTCGTGGGAAAAGACGTCGTCAATGACAAGCTTGCTACGTGCGACCTGGTGGGCAGAAGTCTCGCCCTCGTCCTCGTTGCCGCGCCACAGCAGGTCGTTCTCTGAAAAGCCCTTCTCAAATAAGAAATGGGGCGCAAATGCGTGGATCTGAGTCTTGGTAGAGCGGCGATCGCAGGTGTGGATGCTGATGCTCTCGCGGAAAAGCTCCTTGATGGTGGGTTTGAAGGAATGTGAATGAGGCAGGTCGAGAGTGGCAAAGGTAATGTTGGCGGTCTGGATGCATCGCTTGAGGGGCGAGCTGTAGAATGACTCAAAATAGGGCATCTTTTCCTGTTCAAAACGTGACTTGTAGTAGGCGTTGGCCTTGCTGGCCTGCGCGATACCGTTGACAGTCAATTGGGCATCGGACCAGGTAGCAGTGCCATTGCCATCGAGTTCACCCCAGTAGCACTTTTGAAAAAATAATGTTAGTGACCGACTGAGGGCTTATGAATGTTATCTAAGACTCACGTTCCACGCAGGAGTGCCGTAAAAGGTCTCGGCGGCGTTGTGCCATCCCTCGCCGTGGCGGCCCATGAAGAGCACCTTGTAAGTGGTCTTCTTGTCCCTTCTGCACTCCTCGTTCAAAGAGTCGACATAGTTGGCAAAGCGCTGCCACTGAGTCTTCTTGTGACGAGGGTCGAACTTGGCATCGGTGGGATATGTCCTGTTGAGGAGGCCAAAGTTCTGGTTTGCCTATGAGATGTGTGAGTTTGGCCAGCTTCGATGTCTTGAGAGCAGTGTTTGCGTACATAGTCAAAGGTGCTGGGATTGGTGTTGGGATCATCCTGGAGGAAGAAGCCCGGAACCGAAGTGTACTTGATGTCGTCGCAGCTGGAGACTTCTTTCCAGGCAATGGCGCCGGGAGCAAGCGCTAGGACAGCTGATAGCAGAGAGGACTTCATCTTGGTGGAAGACGCTGTGGTGTGTTGGAGGCGTCGGAAAGCTGGCTAAGAAGCAGGATTTCGGATCGAGCTCCGAGCAGGTGATGCGCCGCGCAGCCTTATATAACAGCGTAGAGCTCTGTGTCAATGCCTGCCGCAACGTTGGAATGTAACGACGACAGGGCCCATGAAGTCATATGGAGCGCCAAATGCTACTCTGGGGCCTGTCAGCAATTGGGCCGAGCAGCCGCTGTTAGCGTGCTGTTGTCGGTGTCGAGAGCAGAACGGCCAAGATGTCACTGTAGATGAGGCGCCCTGTAGGCTCCAATCGATCGGGAACGTGGCGGGCCAGGCCGGGGTTGGAGGCTCCAAGTTGGGTGTGAAGCATCTGGATGCCCACGTGTAGGAGCAGCTTGGCGGCGTTCTTGGCTACTTGCAGTTCCTGGATCGGACAAGGTAGAGTATTGGCCTATTGCTGAAGATAGCCTTGAATCCATCCTGCTGCTAGAATTGGACGAAAGGCCCTTGGAGGACTTTTGAAAAAGACAGGGTCCATGGCGGGATACTAGAGTGTCAAGTGGAAATGGTAGAGCACATATTGAAAGACCAACCGATAATCCAAGAGAGCAGTACAGATAGACCAATTGGTCCCCACAGTCAGGTTTTCAACTCCATCCTATTGAAGACAGCGTCTTTGGGTCCTCGAGAGAAGATGGTGAATGGACGAAGCGAGAAAAGCAATCTGGATGAATCTATTAAACATTGAAGCTGCAGATTGACTTCACGTGCTAGCGCCATTCACCTGGGCCCTTTTAGTGGGAGCCACAGGGCTCAAAGCTGCCCACGCCCACTAACCCGTGCGATAAGATAGCGGTGGCATGTCACTTCATTTCCCCGCAGTCGAGTAACTCGTTGAACCCCTGAACAAGCAGCTTCTCGAAATTCCAGCACCCGTGGTAGCTTCACCAACGCCGCCTTTAGAGCTTCACAAAGGTGCCAACGAGCTGCGAATTGACATTCCGCGGTTTGCGCGACTAACTGCAAACCTTTATTGCATCCTTGCATCCGACACTAGACCGAATCAGCTCCTTTGTCCTTGCGCTTTCGCATCATGAGCGCACCGACCTTTGAAGATCTCGAGCAGCCTCGAGGAGAACCTGCGCCGGAGCTTCTCGACGGTCGCATCTGGGTAGATGGCTGCTGGGACTTTTTCCATCATGGTAAGACTCCGATTTAGTGCCCATGTTTCTGCCATTGGTACTCTGCGACCTCTTTGCTAACGTATCTGGCGTGGTTCTTAGGACATGCTGGAGCTATGGTTCAAGCTCGACAGCTTGGCGATGAGCTATACGTTGGTGTCCACTCGGACGAATCGATCCTTGCCAACAAGGGCCCTACAGTCATGGATCTCGACGAGCGGTACGTTCACCCTATTCGCGACAAAAATCACACAAGGTGCTAATTCATTGGCATGCAGTCTCGCAGCTACAGATGCCTGTCGTTGGGTCACTAAATCGGTTGGCCATGCCCCCTACGTCACGCAGCTCCCCTACATCTCGCACTACGGCTGCCGATACGTTGTTCACGGCGACGACATTACCTCCGACAGCGATGGAAATGACTGCTACCGCTTCGTCAAGGAGGCTGGGCGGTTCAAGGTAGTTAAGCGCTCTCCGGGAATTTCCACCACAGACCTCGTTGGACGCATGTTGCTATGCACTAGGACGCATTTCATCAAGTCTCTGAAGAAGGTGCTGGCTGGAGAAGAGGGCGTAGGCACGGCAGAGGAGCGCAAGGTCCAGTCTGAGGCCATGTTGGACAGAATTAAGCTGTACGCGACGGACGAGACTGCAAAGAACCCCGGCGTCGATGTCTGGTTCTGGCATTCCGCAATACCCGAAAAAGCAGGTTCCAGCGAGGGAGTCCGCGGATCCTACGAGAGCTTCCTCGAGGGAGCTGGCAAGAAGCCTGGCCAGCGCGTGGTGTACGTCGATGGCGGCTTCGATCTCTTTTCCAGTGGCCATATTGCATTCCTGTGTAAGGTACTGGCAGAGGAAGACAAGCTTGCGCGCGAGGCAGGCTGGTTCTCCGCAGAGGCCACGGAGAAGAGAAAGCAGGCAAACGGTGGAAAGGACTACGGCCCGGCATATGTCGTGGCGGGTGTTCACGAGGACAGAGTGATTAATGAGTGGAAGGGCGTTAATTACCCCATCATGAACATCTACGAGCGTGGACTCTGCGTCCTTCAGTGCAAGGTAAGACCAGTTCTAACCATCCTTGTTCACTTTGCATCTTATACTGATTGCTTTTTCTTGCTCTAGTATATCGATGCGACCGTTTTCGGGGCTCCTTTTACGCCGACTGAGAGCTACCTTTCGGATCTGCCATGGGGCATTCCCCACGCAGTCTACCATGGACCGACAGCATTTATGCCCTTGACATACGACCCGTACACGGCACCCAAAGCGATGGGCATATACCGCCAGATCGGTGAGCACACGTTCTCTCACGTCAATGCGGGCGAGATCGTGCAGCGAATCATGAAGAGCCGCGACATGTACGAGGCGCGACAGCGGGCCAAGGGCGTCAAGGCTGAGGTGGAAGCGGCGGCGAGGGCGCGCGAGCTGTTAGAGGAGGAGCAGCGCAAGAAGGAGGCGGAGAGGGGAGTCTTGTCAGGCTGAAGCAATGTATTGTTGCAGCCATGGTTGCGTGCATTGAACGGACGGTCACAGCAGGCGATGTGATATTTCAACTTGTTTTCTGGAGTTTTGGGCAATACCCACAGAGAGTCTTCAACAGGCCAGAAGAGAGAAAATGAATCTGGAAGAGGGTATTAGAATACAAAATACATACGTGTAATACATAGAAGCGCGTACTGGCTTGGCGACGAATTGTCAATTGGCCAAATGCGAATAATTCATGGCTTTTGCGTGCTGAGCTGTGGTTGGGCGGAATGTCACCGCCACGGCTTCTGACCACATGAGGACGGGCTTATGCGCCGGCGGCCATCGATGACCTCATCGCTGTCATACACAGCCAAACAGAGTTGCGTAACAGCGATGAAATGGAAAAGAGGGGGGGGTTCATTGTTGGGCGTTGCTGTGTTCCTTACATGGAGGCCACGGCTATTGACGGCACCGACTATTCCGCCTTTTAACTCTGAGGATTTTTTTGAGTGGGGATCGTTGATAGGACGTCAATGTGTTAGTGCTACCGATACGGAATTGGGGGAGCTGATATGAGAGAAGAGGCGTTTCGGGACATGCTGAGGTTAAAGAGTGTAATTGCAATTCTACAATTAAGGTGAATTGGAAAAGAGAAATGAAATGATAAGAAAGTAAAACGAAGAGGAAGAAGAACAACACCAACAGCACGAGAGCAAGATGTGACTCCCCTTGATTCGACTCCCGGATCGGAGACGGCGCCAATTGAGTGTCACTGCGAGGTATCATCGCGCAATCGGCGAATCTGTCTGCTAAACCCAACGTCCCGAAGACGGAGGCTTCAAAAGCTGATCAAATTGATCAACTTGGCGCGCCCTTCACCCCGCATTGTCTGTCAACGAGCTGCAGTTGCCTTATCGGAATGCATACATGTCGTACTAAAGTAAGGAGGGATGTCACACCCTCACTCATTGTGCATTGATTAAATTACAATTACCTACATGCAATTGGCTTACATATCGACATCATGTCTTTTTTTGTCTGTATCTCGTCGTCATGCTTGCCATACTATCTTATCTGACTTGATATTGGAAATCACAGCTTACGCCAGATTTGGCACGAAGGGGGCCGCGGCCTAAGCGAAAACAAGCGGGTCGGAGCATTTCCGCACGCCGGAAAGTTGGGCCGGGCTGTTCGGCATCGGCTCTTGGGGCTCCGCTTTGGCGGGGGGACGATACAGAGGGCGGAATTTACAGCGATAGGTGCTGTATTACAGAGGTACAACTGCCGAGAGCAATTGAGTTGATCTTTCATTCACTCAAGTAAAAAATCCCATGACACAATTAGCAGTCATGAGCATAAGAGCAATTACGTACGAAAGGCGTCCTAATAAAAACAAACAGTTGCACGCTATTTATAACAGAAAAAGGCTGAGACACCAGCTCGGCACATGGGTGGCGCGGGCAGACACGGGATAGTACAGGCGCGATATCAGAGTTGCGGGTTGATAAACCTTCAGTGGTCACCTGCCCATGCTTTCAGAATAGCCAGTCAAGGGGGCCCCCATGGCTTTCTTGCATCTTAATTCGTCTTTTTTCAGGCAAATCTGTAATCATTTCATCTCGTATAGCTAATCTTTCTTGTGTCGAATATTTAATTCTGCTTACTTCTTGCAGGCTGGGGGTCATTCTCTTTCCACATCAAGTCACTGGTGCTTCATCACGGATCCCCACAGCCGCATCCTGTGTCAGTAACTGGAAACAATAGCTCCGTTTTTAGGAGCATCCTCTATCATCTCTAATCTGTACTACTTTCTACGAGATTGATAATAATCTGATACCGTTGCTAGTGCAATTGCCCGTCCACGCCCTTTGTCAAGTGTCTTCTGTCCTCGCCTATCTGCTAGTTTTTAGCTTCTAGCGCCGCACATGGAACGACAAGTTTTTTTCCTTAGCAAGAACCCACTTTACGCCGCACCGACTTTCTCTTCTCCTAGAGTAGCCGCCTGTCTAACTAACTAACGAGCTGGGAACCACAATCTACCGTTTCCTATCAACTTGTTGGCTAGCAGCCGGAGGTTTGGGTGGATCCTGACCAGCAGGACGGGATAAGCACCTTTTTTTCTGGTACCAGGGCGGAGCCGATTTGCCTCTTTGGAGCAGCAAGTGACAACATTTTTTGTGGTTGTACTCTTCAATTTTTTTTTTACCGTTGCTTAAATATCCAATCCGAGATTACCTGCTATTCCGATATTCTCACCTGCCAACTCCAGAAACAAAAGAGCACTTCCCTTTTTGTACCCTGCAGTCTCAACTTGCCGAATCAGCTCCCGCCTCCGATACGGAGTTTCCGTCTGAGTCTCCTCCCTCATCTTCGCGCTCCCAGTCCAGGTACAACAAGCCACAAGATTTTTTCCTTTACTCCATTTGAGTCATTCCCCATTGCCTTGACCCACCATCGGACCCTGCACCCGCCGGGTACTCCTCTAGAGTCCGGACCTGCCCCATTTCCACAGATAAAGAGACTTCTTCCCTTCCCTCTCTGAACAAAGGAAACCTCTCTCTTCTTCTCCAAACACCACTCTCACTTTTGCTTCAAGTTCAAGTTTTGTTTGCCTCTTCTCAACCGCAGCAATGGCTCCCTCCGCTATCCCAACCCAGGATGTCGACCTGACAGCCGCCAACATCCAAGTCAAGGAGGCCACCCAGCCCACCAAGCCCACCACCGACGACGTCCTGCCTGCTCCCCTCGATGCCTCCAAGCTCACCTACAACCTCACCAAGAACCCGCGGGAGGTCCCCGACGAGGCTGTCGCCAATGCCAGCGAGCATACCATCTGCACTGACCACATGCTCACTGCTACCTGGACCGCCGCTGGAGGCTGGGCTGCTCCCGAGATCAAGCCCTACGGTCCCCTGAGCCTCATGCCCACTGCTTCTGTGCTGCACTACGCCACCGAGTGCTTCGAGGGCCTCAAGGTCTACCGCGGCTTTGATGGAAAGCTGCGCACCTTCCGCCCTGACCGCAACTGTGCCCGCATGCTGCTCTCTGCCAGCCGCATCTCGCTGCCCATCTTTGACCCGGCCGAGCTCGAGAAGCTCATCCTTTCTCTGCTCTCTGTCGATGGACCCCGGTGGCTGCCCAAGGAGAAGCCCGGCAACTACCTTTACATCCGTCCCACCCTGATTGGCACCCAGTCCCAGCTCGGCGTCCAGGCTCCCCGCGAGGCCATGCTGTACATCATCATCACCTACATGCCCAAGCTCGACAGCCCCGTCGGCGGCATGCGTCTGCACACGTCTCCCGAGGACATGGTCCGCGCCTGGGTTGGCGGCTTTGGCTATGCCAAGGTCGGTGCCAACTACGGCCCTTCGCTGGCTGCCACTTCAGATGCCCGTCGCCGCGGTTACCACCAAATTCTGTGGCTGTATGGCAAGGACGGCGAGTGTACTGAGGCCGGTGCCAGCAACTTCTTCGTTGTCTGGCAGCGCAAGGATGGCAAGAAGGAGCTCATCACCGCTCCTCTGGACGACAAGCTGATCCTGGACGGCGTTACCCGCCGAAGCATCCTGGAGATGGCCCGCGAGCGTCTGGGCGACGAGCTGGAGATTACCGAGCGCAAGTACACCATTGACGAGGTTATTGAGGCCGATGCCGAAGGCAGACTGATTGAGTCTTTTGCCGCTGGAACTGCTGTAAGTCGATTTAGTCTGCTGATGCTGATGTAAAGGATATAGAGCTAACGTATTACCGCCTAGTACTTTGTCTGCCCCGTCTCCGCTATCCACCACCGCGGCAAGGACATCAACATCCCCATGGGCCCTGAAAACACTCCCAACGTCATCACCTCCAAGATCAAGACTTGGATTGGCGACATCATGTACGGCAACGTTGAACACCCGTGGGGTGTTGTGATCCCTGAGAAGCAGTAAAAGTCTGTTTTATCGCTTATAAATGTGAAAAAATACACACCTAACGACGAGCGACAAGAAGAAGCAATGATTTTGACGCAAACGATTCCTTTTGTTATTTTCTTGCATGGCCAAATGCATGGCCTTGGTTCATACGATTCTGAAATCATCATATAGGGGCGGAGTTTATTGGCGAATGGGAACGCTCACAGCGGCGGCGTGATTTAAGTGATGGCTGAGGAAAATAGATACATATGTAGCGGTAGAAGAAAAAAATAGACAAGATTCTGCACAAATTTCCTAGTCCAACATGGCCTGCATAATCTTCATCCTCTCTGCTTGGATCTCTTCTTTGTATGTCTGCAGTCTGGGTTAGCGGCGATGTTCTTCCACAAAGTCTCATGATTCGGGCCTGCTCACGTCTTCTATTTCGTCAAGAGCTTGCGTGCTATCTGACACAAGCTGCTCCACTTGTTCCTTGAAGCTGACCAGTCTAGAATGATCCGCATCACTCTGCCCAGACACCTTTCCCACACTCGCAAGCTCTTTACGGAGGTCTTCTTCTAAGCGAACATTGTCCTCCCACTCATCTTGTAAGCTGTGGAGCTGCTTCTTCGCCTCCTCCAATTGAACTTTTGCGCTTGCCAGATGAGTTGCGATAGTCGCCGAGGGAAAATCGTCGGAGCTGCATAGGGTAGCAGAAGGTGGGTATGATAAGTTGGCGTATATGTCGTCTACAACAGATATAATGGACGATGTGAGCGTCTCGAAGTCGGAAATTTTCGAATTGATGTCTTGCTGAGCTTCGAGTAGTTTGTTTCTGGTGGAGGTGTGCAATTCGACGGCCTCTTCGGCAAAGGCCTCTGCGAAAAGAAAAGCGTTAGTAGCGGACGGAGATAATGCGATTCGAGATTGTTGCAGCTTGATAGCTGATGTACTTTTGAGAGGTACTAGACTGTCTCCCTCGACAGCTCTGTCTTGCTGTAGTCTGTCTTGCGCTGTGGTACTGCTGAAGGAAGCGAAACATGCTTGATACAGGTTATTGCGGCGAATGCTTTCGTCTTGGAAGGATGCCGATGACGATGACCCAAATGGAGCCTTTTCTGCTGAGAATAGTGTGGAGGACGATGGGTCTTCGGTGGAGGAGAGACGACCTGCTGGACGATCATCCCGGGGGAAGAGGCGGCTCATGAGAGAGGGTCGGTTGGGATGCGCCATGGTCGGATATTGATGACGGGCTGAATGATAGACGGGTGGGCGATAAACGATGGACAGTATATGAATGAGGCGCGAGAGAATGGGAGAGAAGAAAGAATGTGAGGATGAAGCAAAAAAAAAAAAAAAAAGATGATCAGATTGGCTGGGAAAAGAAGAGGAAGGCACGTGTGCTCCTTCCCCGTCACTACCCATTGAGCTGGACTTCGCTTTTAGAGGCACCTCAGTTGGCATTTTTAGATGCTATCTATACAGGGCATAAGAGTCTAGGGAAAAAACGCATGCATCAAGCTTTCGATTCTTCATGAGCAAAATAATTAACTGTGCATCAGCATCGTAGGTACGTTCTCCCCTTCAGAGAAACGAAACCGTCTCATTAAATACCAAAGGCTTGTCTGCCCTCCATTTACCAGTTGCCATTTCCGTTTATCCATTTCCGATTCCATTTTCCCCAGAAATCCCAGTATTATTTTCATCCATTCAAGACCAAAATCCAACGCCATTTGTTATTTTCCAGTAAACTCCAATAGCACAAGAAGCTCTCAATTAGGCCCGTTCGTCTTCTCCTCAATTAAGCCCGTTCATTCTCTTCTCTTTTGACCTGGGACTGGCTGGGCTTGGGAGGAAATGCTTCATCCAGCTTTCGCTTCATGGTAGGCGTCAGTGCCGTCATGCTTTTGACGGATTTTTCGACGACTTCGCTGCGTTGGATGGACTCTTTGACCAATTCCGCAAACTCATTCCTGCTTTTCTTCAGGTCCTTGTTCCTCTGCTTAAGCTCTTTGTTCTTTTGCATAAGCTCCTTGTTGCTTTGCATAAGTTCTCTGTTATTTTGCGTAAGCTCTTGGTTTGCCTCCTCAAGGGCCGCCATCCTATCTTCTTGGTTGGCCACTTCTTCCGTCCACGTATGCTCCGTCTTATCTTCCCTGGCCGCACGGATCCATTGCAAAATTTCATTGTGCTGTTCAAGCACTGCCCAAAACGCTAGTTGAGTCTTTTGTGCCTTGGGAAGCACGATGACCATTTGCTCGGTCAGTACCTGTTGAAGTTGCTTACTTAGGGCTCCTTTCAGGGCTTCTCGACCGTTGATGTATGCCGTCGATAGCCATTCAATCTCTTTTCCGACGGCCGCCAAAGCTTCATCCCGCTTAATGCTGACTTCAACCGTCTTGCGTGGCGGGTATATCGGTTGGTTGTGGTTGTTGGTGGGCATTTGAGAGTCGTCGGATCTATTGTCATCCGCGGACGACGGCCTGCTCTGAGCTCCCACTGACTCGCCCGTCTGGCTGTCGTATATTTGAGATGATCGTCTGGCAACATTGGTTTGATCCATGGTTTCCTCGTCCGTGGCTTCCTCGTCCGTGGCTTCCTCGTCCGTGGCTTCCTCGTCCAGCTGTTCTTGTTCTGCCCATTCTTGGAGCAAGCGATTCTCCGTCTGTATCTTCTTCTCATGACGGTCCTTTCGTGCCTGGTTCTCTACCTTTGGCTTGGGCTGTCTAGCCGTTGGGTCGATTTTGTATTCGACATCCGTAGCAGTATACTTTGACCAGGGTTTGTAGTTCTCGATGGCAAAACCAAGGTAGTCAAATTGGAAGAGGTTATCTAGGCGGATGGAGGCTTCATCGTCGTTGTTTCTTGTCTGCAGGTTCCTCAGAACCTTGACTACTACTGTTGCGACTAGGCTTGGTGCGGGCAAGACGTATAGGTAACCACCGGCTTTAGAGAGTTCGTACATCTCTACCAATTTCGCTTTGACGTCTCTTGCGCCTCCCCATTCCGACCAGACCTTGGCGTGCAGAACTCGTGTTTCCTTGCATTTGAGAATACTCGCCTCGTAGGCTTCGTCATAGTCTCGCCAATTCTTGTTGGCCATCTCAAATGTAGCCTGAACAAGAAAGTCAATCCATTCGTCTTGCTCGTCCTCTGTCAAATGAATAACTGTCTCCATGAGCTGCGGATTGTTCTTGGAGATCTCATAGAATCTAGCTTTGACTTCCTCTGGCGGATCCTGCCATTTGTCTGGCTTCTCCACGTTGAGAACGAGGTCCGCGCCCTGTCTGTTCGGCGGCATCTGATAGCGGTTCGTCAGAGTGTCTGAGTTGAGATGATGATGCTGTCGTTCAAAGCGACAAACGCTGTCGACCAAAGTGAAGGATTCCAGATGAGATAGGGACACAAAAAGGATTTGAAGTAAGTGACCGTTTTTCTTTTGCTCCTTGCATACACGATTCTAAGAGAGGAGAGAAAAGAGAGAAGAGGAAAGAGAGGAGAGGAGAGGGGATTTATAGGAGTGAAGATAAGGCATCGCTTCTTCACGTCTTGCGCGCCTTAGATGCCTTATGCGTGTTCTTGTTTGCCAGCTGGCTATTTCTCATGTTTTGATCTGCCAGTTGACTTCATTTCTTCTTATTTCCTGTTGAGCTTCTCTGTAGACTAGATGAAGTCTCTTCTTTTACTGTAGGAGTTTCATCATCTCCATTCCCTTCAGCCGTCAACCCAAGCTTGCTCTGTGTCGCCGCCACAATCGTCTCCCACGTTGCCATCCCGCCTTGGCCAACATCTCCGCATGCAAGCCCCTTTGAGATGGTCTGGAGCTCTTCAACCCACCCATCCGGTCCGCCCATGAGGTCGTTGAGAGTCTTGAGATTGCGCCGCGTGATGGGGCTCCGGAACATGGCGGTGTTCATGGCTGTGGCGACGAGAATCTTCTTCTTTCTGCCGTCAACAGAGCCGTCGGTGTCCCAGGCGAGGACGATTGATAACAAGAGAGAATCGCTGATGCCCTGTACCATCTTGGCGAGGGTGTTTGCACTGAGAGGTGCGATGACTGTGGCATTTCACGTTAAGTAATCGCGTCTAGAGTGTAGGAGAGGAGTCTAACATACCCAATAGGTCGGCCCCTATTTGATCAAAGCAATGTTTAGCAGCGAACAGCATTTACAAAAAGTCACATCAACTCACATTTCCTCAGCTCAATATGCAGGATTGGCGCCCCCCGAGTCCATGGCTGCACCCACTCAGACTCATCAGTGTAAATGGCGTCGACATTGGGATACTTGCGGATTTCTGCCAAGCTGGGCTGCTCATCCGCCTGGCCCTGAAGAAAATGGGCAGCTGAACTGGTGAGCACGAGGCGGATCGACAGGTTGGGATGCTGCGACAGTCCTCTGATGATGTTGGGAATCTTTATAGTTGCTACGGATCCAGAGGCGGCCAGCAGGAGATGCACCTTGCCGTCGTTTCGCGCCGTGGAGACATCCTGCGCTGGACTACTGGAAGAAAGCTCGTTAATGTGTGGCATGGCGACGGCTATAATACAGTGGATGATCGCGGCTGCGAACACGGAGCTGCGCAGGATTGATGCGATGCTTTGGTTCTGGATACTGGACAAGACGACTTCCATTCTCATGCGACAGCGGGTTTACAGGGGTCTTATTCACTAAGAGCTGCAGCGTCCCGGGCCTGTGGCAAGGAGCGGCTCCGGCTCTTTAAGCGGGCAGCAGATTTGTCATGGACGCTTCTGCGGCCCTTTGTAGGCGAACCGATTTCCGGATTATCGATCTGGCCGGTGATTGGCCAGCGCCACCGATTGCATCACCCCTCCACCAGATTTAGCTGTGTAAAGTCATCAACGCCAGAAGTCGCAGCTTTTTTCTGCTCGGCCCAGGCTTTGCTCGGCTGATCTTTTCTGCATCATCTGGCACATCAGACACGTCCAGCCATGTTTTCACGATCAGTCGCTTCTGTAAGCTGAGTGCGTCTGCAAGATTGAAAGACAACAATTTGCTGACAATGACTTCCTGCAGAGCCTCCTGCGGCAAGCTGCTCGGCCAGCAGCCCGGCCGGCAGTTCGAGCTCCCCTGTCGGCATTCCGCATGCCCGTCCCTCTCACGCCCTTCCAGATGCGACTGCTGTCCGATGCCACTCGCGGCGCCATTGACAAGGCCGTTGCCTCTGCGCCCGTCGTGCTCTTCATGAAGGGAACCCCCGAAACGCCCCAGTGCGGCTTCTCCCGCGCCGTCATCCAGATCCTCGGCATCCAGGGCGTCAGCCCCGAGAAGTTTGCGGCCTTCAACGTCCTGGAGGACCCGGAACTGCGCGAGGGAATCAAGGAGTACTCGGACTGGCCCACCATCCCGCAGCTGTACCTGAACAAGGAGTTTGTTGGCGGATGCGACATCCTGGTCTCGATGCACCAGAATGGAGACTTGGCGAAGCTATTTGACGAGAACAAGGTCCTAGTCGAGGCGGAGGAGGGCGATAAGAAGGAGCAGCAGTAAGAGGGGCATGTAAAAGAAAAATGTGGTCGGTGGATGGAATCAAGTGTACGATATGCGACGGCGTTATACAAAGAGGGCTTGCGCTATACACATCATGATATACACGAGAGCCTTTGTATGCTTCAGGAATAAAAGAAAGAAGTCTTCTATTACTATCCAGATCTTCCTTTATGCTATATGGTGTATATGTGCGTCTACAAGCGGCATGTTACTTATTCTAATGCACTCTCGTATCACTGCCCTGCTTCTCGAGCTCTTGTACTTCGATACCTTTGTCTTGAAATTCATGGCTCTCCCCAGTTGTGGCCATTCTCCCGTCATGCATGCTCTACTTATGATCTCGGGGGGCACGTCTCTCAGCTGGTCTAGTGAGCGAGATATTCCATCAGCAACTTTCATCATCTGAGTATCTAATTAACGCGCAAAATCTAACCCAATATTCCAGGAGCAGGTCGATCCATTTCGCCAATTTGCTGTGCACCTCGCTGGTGTTCGTGAGTGACTCTGTCACGCCTTTGTGATCAGTATATAGGTAATTTGACGGGATGGGACTACTGCATGATCATCCACCTGCTATCTTGCAAGGCTCTGACTACGGCCAGCGTCTCCTTCTTGGGCGTGGAGTATTGTCTCTGGCTCCCTGTCAGCTTGAATGACATCTACATGATGACTCGGACAGCGCCGCAGTTACTGTCATTGTACGATACTCGGCACTCACTCCCTCCATCTGGAAATGAAAAAGGTACTGCACCAATGCCAGTCTCTGGAGCATCAGCGGCCAAGTGAATTGCGCTTTCGACTTTGTTTAATGTTACACAACTTGGGACTGCCAGGTGGTAAAAAATCGCGAGGAAAAGGCGGTGGCTGACTTTTTTTAACCCAAATTCTCTCTCTCTCTCTCGATTATTTTCCTCTTCTTTCTTTGTTTTCTGTCTCCCATCTTTTCCTTCCTCCCGAAAGCACCATCACTACAGCCTCTTGACGAACGGTCAGATCAAAATGCCGCCGACGCCAAAAGAAACCATCAAAGCCGTTACCAGCGTGGACGAACCATGTGCATGGCGGAATAAAGGAAAGAAATAGGGAAAAGGCATCCGGCGCCCTAATCCAGTCATCCAGCATTCTATCTATATCGTGGACCACAGATGCTATTACTGCTACTTCTGCTACTTCTGCTACTTCTACTACTTCTACTACTTCTGCTACTTCTGCTACTTCTACTACTTCTACTACTTCTGCTACTTCTGCTACTTCTGCTACTTCTGCTACTTCTGCTACTTCTGCTACTTCTGCTACTTCTGCTACTTCTGCTATTACTGCAATCGCTCCCACTACTACTATCAATTACAACTATTACAACTATTACAACTATTACTGCTACTGCTGCGACTGCTAGTCTCGACAACCCAGACGTTAAACCGTTCGTATAGAATATCACCAATAACCAACGAAAAAAATGGTATAAGACAATCGTGCAGACCATTTTTAAGATGGATAGACGACGTAAAGGAATCATCGGGCAGCTTGTAACAACGCCGTTAAGAAACTCAAGAAAACACACATCCTGGACACTACATCTTGGTCTAGATGGGGTGGGCCTGAGGATGCAACGCAGAAGTTACGAGAGATGTCTCGGCTAGCGATCGATCATGGGAGACTGCCTACATGCATTCTCCCCGCGCCGACTCTCATCGCAATTATCGCAATTCGACAGTTCAGACCGATTCAAACAAGCAGAGAAGATGATACCTCCATCATTCTCAAAAACCTTCGCCAAATAAACTTTGTTGCTTTCGCCATTGACAACTATGCTCGGCGAAGCAAGTTTACCAGAACCGACATCGCATACGAGATGCATCCGAACGTACCCCAACCAAAGCCGCCCCAAGCACGGCGACGAAAGCAAGAACCCAGTGATTCAGAGTCAGAAGTTTCAAGCGACGAAGAATCTTGTGAAGACGAGACATAAAGTTCCAACAATGAGCTCGAGAAAATCGCAGGAGCCGATAAGATTGCCGGCGAAGACGCGAATCCGGGCAAACCAATTCGACGCGTGGGCAGAGTATAACGCAAAAGCTGAGGCCCTTGAATGGACCCAGAAGGCCACAGCAGACAAACCTAAACATACTTGGACAGACGCCCTTCAGGAAGGACTGGAAGAGTTATTATTACTACTATTGCTGTTATTACTACTATTGCTGTTATTACTACTACTGCTATTATTATGCCATATTGCTACTACTACTGCTGCTGCTACTACTGCTCTTCTTAAAACTACTGCTATTCTTGTTATTGCTACTACTGCTACTGATGATGCCGATGCTTTAAAGAGTGTATAATGCTGAAACAGTCGGGTCTTTGATGTAGACTGTTGTTAGGCAAGCTATAGCTGGAATGCTGGTAACTCTTACTAAGAATCTCATGATACTATCCAAATCTCGCTTATGCTATATGATGTATCCGTCTACAATGGGTATGCCGCTCCATCTGCTCTCATATCACTGCCCGCCGACCAAATCGGCGTCTTCTCAACCGGATCAAGTGTGTATCTGATAATCTGCCCCCGTCCAAACAGGCCTCTCTTTGGCCCTCCGCCAACGACAACGACTTTGTGACCCAACTGTCGCAGTCCCTCGACAACCTCCGGCGCCATCGTCTCCTCGACACTCACCGTCCAGTCCAACGGCTTGCCCGGCTCGGGGAAGCCCGCGCCAACACATATCCGCGGCGCATCCAGCGCCTGCTGAGGGTTTAGTTTGCCGACGATCTGGCCCAGCAGGACTTGGACGTGTCCCTGAGGCTGCATAAAGCCGCCCATGACACCAAAGGACGAGTGCAGAGAGCCGTCTTTGAGATTGGTCGCCATGGCCGGGATGATGGTATGGTAGGGCCGCTTTCGGGGCTCCAGCTTGTTTGGGTGGTTGGCGTCGAGCGAAAAGTTTGCGCCGCGGTTCTGGAGCGTGAAGCCGCATCCCTTGGGAATGATGCACGTGCCGAAGCCGCCGTAGTTGGAGTTGATGAAGGAGGCGGCGTTGCCGTGGGAGTCGGACACGGTGAAGTAGACGGTGTCGCTGCTCTGGAGGGCCGGCGAGGGGAAGTTTGGCTCGCCGTGCTCGACGAGATCGAGGGCGCGCTTGGGGTTGAAGAGCGAGGCGCGCTGGAAGAGATACTTCTCGGAGAGGAGGCCCTCGATGGGCACGGGCGTGACGTTGGGATCGGCAATGTACCAGCTGCCGTCGGCAAAGGATAGGCGGAGAGCCTCGATGATGGCGTGGAGATAGGGCGTGGAGTTGAAGTCTTCCGGTTTGAACGTGGGGATCTCGCCCTGCTTCTCGAGCTCTTGGATGATGCCGAGGGCCATGAGGGCAATGATTCCCTGGCCGTTGGGAGGGTGTTCCCAGAGCTCGATGCCCTCGTCGGGAGCGTCCTTGGTGAGGCCCTGGCCGCGGAACTTGAGAGAGATGGGCTCGACGGGCTCGCTGCCTAGTTCAAGGTGATGCTCCAGGTCCTCTAATGTGAGATGGCCGCCGAGATCTTGGACGACCTTGACGAGCTCGTGGGCTATTCTGCCAGTGTAGAAGCCCTTTTTGCCTTCTTCGGCCAGTGTGCGGAATGTCTGGGCGAGGGTGGGATTCTTCATGATTTCGCCTGGACGGGGGGCTCTGACGCCGTCTGCTTGGCTGGGATCGACTTTGAGCATTTCTGCGTAGTTGGGGGAGGCATCCCGGATGAGATGCTCTGCGCTTGACCACTTTCTACTGTGTTAGAAAGTGAGAAGAATAGAAGCACAAAAAATGCTGTTGACAACATACGTAGTAGCCAGTAACTTCTGATACGGGAAATCCCTTCTCACCCAGCCGAATTGCCGGGTCCAGGATCTGCTTCATATCCAGCTTTCCGCTGCCAAACCGCTCAACCGCATCCACCCATCCGGCCGCAGCACCGGGCACAGTCACGGAATGGACGCTCGTCATGGGGATCTTGCCCACGTCGCCGTCCTCAATGTTGAGGTCGGCGCGGATCTTTTCGAGCGTGCAGTTGGCGCCTGAGCGGCCGGAGCCGTTCATGGAAAGGACTTGCTGCTTGGCGGCGTCCCAGTAGAGGATGAACATGTCGCCGCCGATGCCGGTTGAGCAGGGCTCGGTCATGTTGAGGCCGGCAGCTGTATAAGTGAATTGCGTCTCGGTTAGCAGAGGCTCACTTAGTAGATGAGGGTTGTGTATGTGACGCACCAACTGCTACGGCAGCGTCCTGTTCTCATGGGTTGGTTAGTGAATTTGTTATACATTTTAATTCATGCTGTTACTTACGGCAGCATTGCCTCCTGCTCGCAGTACTTCAAGACCGCATTTGGCGGCTAGAGGCTGTGAGCAGGCGACAATTCCCTCAGTGCTGTGGACGACGCTTCGCCGTGAAGGGAACTTGAACATGTCGTAGGTTGGGTCCTCGAAGAGGGAAGAGCTGCTGAGAGGCATTGTGGCGATGGATTAACTGAATGGCTCTGTCTCTTGTCCAGCACTTTGATTCACTCTGTCTCTCTTCGCTGCTGGCTATCAGCTAGAGGAGGGGAAGAAAGAAGATAAGATGTCTAAGACAGCTCTGCGAATAGATTGCGAATAGATTTGCGAGACAGACATCCATGCATCCATGATTCGTCCCGGCGCAATTTGCCGTGCTGCAGAGCATCATCCTATCATTCAATGACTAATACATGGAGCGCATTCAACAGCATCAAATTATCCGAATCCAGTAACACAATCACATCATAAACGGCGCGGGGAAAATAGAAACGGCTCCCCGCTATATTTCGCTCCGGTGGCCGGACGCTGCCCCTCAAAAGGGCAAGGCAAGTTATTTCCGATGGGGACGATTGTAAGAGCTTGCGGGCTAATATTAGCAGTAATGAGAATTCAAAAGTTCCATAATTGCCAAGAGTTATTTCGGCTGAAAGTTGTAGCGTTGTGAATGCCTCTTCATACGCTGATTGTTACTCAATGCGATTGATATGCTGCGCTATACGCGTATGCAAGCATTAAGAAACAATCTACAGACGGCTTGAAGGTTTATACTTTCTGAAGCTGACCATGAATATGGCCAGCAAGAGTTTAGTCTTGCGCCGCGTAATAACTATATTTGGATGCATACATCTAGATTCCGGCTTATGTTATAATGGCAAGAAGACAAAAGAGAGGAAATGAAGCCTTATGCAGCCCTATCTACAGTAAATGCAATAATAACAACCTGACAATACCTCAACCGCTACAGTCGCGCTCGTCGACTGGCCCGCTCCAAATCTCGCAATACATCGTCTACCTGGCTAACCGCCTCCAAAGCCATGCCATATCCTGCCTGATATCCAGTGCCGCCAGCGCCGTAATTGTGCACAAGCACCTTTTTCTTGCCGTCAATGACAATCTCTTCTCGCTCAATGCGCGCACCGCCCTCGCGGGATGGTCGCAGGCCGGCGAAGGAGGCGATGATGTCGAACTGCTGCAGCTCGGGGCACAATTTGAGACAGCGGTTGACAATTGACTCCGTTTCGTATGAATATGTCGAACCATCACTATGACCGTGTGTCAGTGGGCGGATTTCTCATGTCGGTTGAGTAAATGAACCCTTACCTCGAGCCCTTTTGCATGTATCCCCCAAGGATAACATGCCCATCCGTACCCGGCCGTGGAATCACATACGTCTCATAGTCCCTGCCATGGCGCATAATGTTTCTCTTCACACGCGGCGCCTTTACCAGGACAACCTGGCCTCGGGTCGGATAGCATTTCTCATCTTCCACGCCAGGCAGTGTCTTTGCCGCAATGCCAGTGCAATTCACCACTACCTTTGTGGTGGGACTGGCATACGCAGCTTGGATGGTGGGGAACCTGTGTCTCACAAAGTGTACGCCGTACTGCTCCTTGAGGCGGCGGAAGAGATACTCAATGTGCTTGGGAGCATTGAGCGTCAGGGTGGTGAAGGAGATGCCAAACTTGACGCCGGGCGGGAGTTCATGGGTGGGCAACTCTCTGAACTGTGGCCGGGTTAGCGATACTGTAGAGAGAAAGGGATATTAAAGGAGGACTTACATCTTCCAGATACTCGGATATGGCCTTGATCTTGTCGTGGGGCACGTGCTCATCCCAATACTCTACTGAGTGAGTCCGGCGGATATAAGCCTCATCGCCCTGCTCAGAAGCCAGCTTTGTGAGATGAGTGTAGCCGAGGCGATCCCATTTCAGCGCATTCTTGTCGTTGCCTGAGATGCCAGAAAAGTTGCATCCAGCCCTGTCACCATGTCAGCCTCGGCCCCAGCATCCCGAGAAAGATAGGAGACAGCGAGAGGTAAGACAGCAACGAAGCATGAATCCTCATCAACAAGACTTCAACTCACCAAGGCGACGTATACGTAACAGCCGTGTCTCCCGGCAGATGCTCAGCAATGACGGTGATGTAGGGGCCCAGTCCCCGCTCAGCCAGCACGAGAGCAACGTCCAGGCCGATGATGCCCGCGCTAGAGACGACACAGTGAGCAAGGCAGATAACCACGGACTGTTTACAGAGTTGATGGGACTTACCCGACAATGACAATTGCGTCGCCCGCTGCAGCTGCTGACGTGCCGACGCGCTGGCTGTTGCTGCTGTTGCTGCTGTTGTTGTGCATGCCGATGATTTGCCCTGGCGATGCGATGCTGCTCCCCGGAGAATGGAAACTAGCTGGAGACTTGGTTCAGTGGTTCAGCTGGTGTGCGGCTCGCTCCGCCCAGTATCGAATCGATGAGCCGGGCACGTTGAGGGATTGCGATAAGGAGCCTCGGTCCAAGTTTGATAGAATTGCGGGATGGTGCTGGTGCACGGTATTGGATGAGATGGCAGGGTTCTCCCTTCATGTGGCGCAAGTTATGAATGCCTGCATTATTCCTTGTTGTTATTCTTTCCTTTCAGGGTTCGCGCTTTGCCCATGTCATCAGCCCGAATTGGCGATGGCTGGGAAGATGGGGCCGGTTGATTCTGATTGCTGCGTGTTAGTGCCAGCGTTACAATGGGGCCTGCATGTAAGCCAGCCAAAACAACCCCAGATCGATCTAGACGCTGAAGACTAACAATTCCGTTCAGAGCTGAATGGTGCTGCAGCAGCTGGGACTTGGGTCTTCATTGTGCTCTATCATTATAGGCCACACCCTTGCCATGCGTGCCGTATCGTCTATGAATCATTCGCCTACAGCCTGATCCTACTTACATGGACCCGCGATGTGACGTCGAAGTAGTGGAGATATAGTAGTGCCATGAGATCAGCTCTATAGCAAATCGGTATTTAGATCTAGTCATATACGATGGAAAGACTAGTTTGCAGCTGAACCGGTAGCTATAGTTTAGTTACAGTGCTTATCAGCTTGGGCGCCTAGGAAACAATCGTTGTGTTACCTCGTTACGTATGAAGCATGCTCGTCTCCACGGCAGCTGAGATTGTCACTCGGGCGTATTTATCACTCATGCTCGGCATATGCATCTGTTTCCAGATACAGCCACTAGTTGATCCAGATTCGATACATGCCCGCGAGGCTCTGCTTACGGCGACAAATCTCAGATGCAGTCTCGAGCACGATGGCGCTTGTGGCGGGATTAAGCAGAAGTGGCATTCTCCGAAAACGTGTGATAATGTAACTTTACACTCAAAAGCCTTGTCTTGCGCTACATTGTTTGTACACATGACCTTGAAGCTGTGGAGGCTACAGATCCTTCTCCCGGGACCCTTGCTCTCCTAGTGTACGTTTCTGTATATGAAGAGCTTTGAATCAATATAAATGGTTTTGGATAAAGACTGTAGACTTCACAAACTCCAACAATTCTGAGAAATTAGGCGTAATTTGTCAAAATGGCAGAGACTTGGCTTCAATCAGCTGCTCGCAACTCAGTCTTTGAGGTCTTAAAGCGCCTTCAACACGGCTGCTTAACTATCGCAACTAAATACACCAACGAAAAGAGCCAGAGCGTAACTTTCGGCAATGGTAACTCCGAATCAGATCTTGGTGTTGTAGTCATCATCAAGAATCCGCAAGTTTTTGTTCGATTCTGTCAAGGATTTGACTTGGTAGGAATCCAAGGCCCGTGTCAACGGCAGCAGAGACTTATATACTCTAATAGGGCGTCGCAGAGTCTTACATGGCCCAAGACTTGGAATGTGACAATCTGGTTGGGCTATTCTCGGTGAGTTTGTCCTTGGTTTCTGCCTTGGTAACTACGACAATGGGACAAGTAAACTCATCAGCGCTTTCCAAAGCTTTACATAAGAAATAAAGACTTTTTGAGCGCTTCCGCTGGTAGCCTTCTATATACATTTCTACCCCGCGCAGCTCAATATCTTTTGCCGGCCAACGACACTATAAATGCCCTCAAGAATGCATCGTTTCACTATGATACTTCCAACAAACATTTTGCTGGCTTCTTATCCCCCGACATGAACTATAGCTCTGCTATCTGGTCAGGCGAGCCGGGAGAGCCACTCGAGTCAGCTCAACGCCGCAAGGTCCAGAACATTCTCGACAAAGCCAGCATTTCGTCTACTGATCATGTCTTGGACATTGGATGCGGCTGGGGAAACTTGGCTATTACCGCAGTTCAGCAGACTGGATGCCGAGTAACTGGCCTCACTCTGTCGGCAGAGCAAAAAGCCCTCGCGGAAGAACGAATTGAGGCTGCCGGTTTGCAGGACAAGATCACCGTCTTGCTTTGTGATTACCGCAAAGCTCCTGTTCCCGAGGGTGGGTATGATCGAATTATCTCTATTGAGATGTTGGAGCACGTTGGTGACAAGTTTATGAACACGTACTTTGAACATATTTCCAAATATCTCAAGTCAAATGGAGGCCGGATGGTTGTTCAAGGCATTACAAAAATTAATTCTGTGAGCGCAAAGAGAAAAAAACTATCGAAAAGAAACACTGCTGACTATTGATAGCTGAACGCCAGTGGCCAAGCGCTCGGCGACTTTCTTTACCAGTATATCTTTCCAGGAGGATATCTTCCGACCATTAACCAGCTCTTGACCTCAATTCATAACGGCTCCAACGGTACGCTGGAAGTAGAAACGGTTCAAAGCATTGGGCCTCACTACGTTCAAACACTGCAAAGCTGGAAAGACAACTTTGACGCAAACTGGGACAGCATCAAAGAGGACTTTGTGGGCAAGAATCCGGAAGCCACATATTCGACTATTGAAGCTCATCGGCGACGGTGGATAGTAAGTACACTTACTCAAGGCTGTTCAAAGATTTGTTACTGACATGGGTCGTCTCAGTACTATTTCCAATACTGTCTGGCTATCTTTAAGATGCGTATTCTAGACGACTATATCATTTCCGCTGTTAGGACTCCTTGGCCTGAAATAGAATCAAATATTCCACAATAGATTGAGGTCGCATTCGATGCAATTAGAATGTGATATATGAGATGGCCAGTGTTTGAAAGGCGAGTAAATGTTGTTGCTGGGAAATGAATGGCTACCATGCGAAGCCCCTCAAAAAGATAGTTTTTACTTTTGTTGTTGCTGTATTATAGACAATGGACTATGTAGATGGCTCTGCGCTGCCTCAAAATCTGGACATTTGACGCAAGAAGAGACTTTTTTCCAGAGATAGTGTGTAAAATGATTCTACAAAGCTTTACGCACTTAGTTAAGGTTTTTGAGATGGTCCCCTAGAGCGCGTGAGAAGATTATGATGTCGTCTCTGTAGAGGAGTATAAATTTCCACAAATGTCTTCCCAAGGTGAATTCCATCTTGTTGGAAGAAAGCGACTTGTTGCCAATCCCATGATACTGACTGTAAAGCGTTTGTGGTCTCGGTGTAGTGTGATGAAAGATCTCTTCTATCAATTTTTCCCCTGCAATTAGATGTTGAAAGAACCCTTTTGTGAGGTCTATGACGATGAAAGCCCCGCTGCCCTGCAAGGAAGACAGAACGTCATCCTGCCTGAGGAGGATACACCGAACAGCCGCTGTATGAGGTCTGAGATATCGCTTCCTGGTCTAAATGAGATGGGCATCACATCTGGGGTCATCAATTGTCCGAGCTCCGGTTAGAAAGGTTGTCTGTGCTTTTTCAGCACCGTCTTAATGTCCTGTCTCTGTTGTGAAGCCTATTCATCGGAGATGTTGGTTGTGCTAAAGCGATGGGAGTTCTAGTGGCAATAGCAGTCGTGTTGTTGGCGAGAAGCCCATACCAGCCGGAACAGGGATAAAACTACGAAAATATGCTAGTTTGTAACAATAGTGGTCAACTAGTTATATTGTCAAGTTATGGATTCCTTCTGGTTGGCCGTTGGTACTTCTTCTCACGTATCTCAAGATGCGGTTCTTAGAAGAGGCGTAACGCTTGTGCGGTGGCGCAATGTCCAAAATTTAAGCATATAATAAAGCATAAGTTTTCAATTTTGAAGTGTCGTGAAGAACTAGACTGTTCGTTCATGTTGTAGGTGAACTTGTAGGATTCACAATGTTCCCACTAACAAACACGACGAGTACAGCGGCATACCTATGTAAAGACGCTTAGCATCACAGTGATTAAATTACAGATCTATAAAATGACTTACGCTGCTGTAGATCCAAATATCTCGGCTCTCTTAGCATTGGTCATTAAGCCAACGCTCAAGGCAAACAGCGCCGTGAATGCAGCAAGCATACCAAGCTTGGAGGCATCGCTGGCAACGAAATAGAGCCCTGTGATGGGGCCGATTAAAAGGAGTGCGGCCACAATAATGGTAATGACGGCAGTTGCTGCAGATATAGATTTCTCATGATATCGTCCTACACTGCAACGATTATCCAGACACATTTCTTCCTAATGAAAAATGAGTAGATTTTCTTTAATCCTAGATCATATTGCTTGCCTTGACCGGCCAGATTTGCCTCAAAAAAATGGATAAATAATCAGTCTCTAATGAATGAAGACCAACAAGGTCGTGTGGATCATTCAGAAATTTTTTTGACACTCCGCCAAGAGCAGGTTGGGGCTTGAAAAACCATTCTCGATATGCATCAAGAGCACGTTTGGACGGCCGCCGCAATTTTGCAACCTCGCTTTGTAACAAGAGAGCCTCATCTGGACAGTCATTAGCTTTTTGCAGGCGGCTATGAGTGATAGTGGGCTTCTAACACACGATATTCTTTCAATTTAGCCCGCATCGTCACAATCAAGTCCATGCGGACTATTGCGTCCCTGTTACCGCAGTTGAACTGCCCCTCTAGAGTTTCCCATGTCATGATGGCATCCCTAAGATCCATGTCATTGCTAATGGCATCATGTCTATCGAGTTGGTCGAGTTTATTCTCGAGAACAAGCAATTCAGATTGTAAATACAGCAGATTGCGAGCAGCAAGCTCATCGAATTTGCGATAGATGAATGTTTCTTTATCGGGATCGAGCGCAATCCATCTGGCAGCCTGAGCAAATCCTTTTTTCGGCTGATAACCTTGGCCCCGCGAGAATTTTGGTTCCATGCTTCCCTACAACGCCTTGAAAATATGTCTCTGAGCAAGAGCAATGACAATATTGAGCTCCTCTTCGATGAAATGAAGAGTTAATGATGTTTGATGAGAGACCAAAAGAAAGAATGGCTGCTGAGGTGCTGAACTTGCGTTCAATGATCTTGGTGCAAGATCATCGACCAATCAGAAATTGATGTTGATCACAGGCGCCTAAAAGGTCCGTGACTGCAGGCGGCCCAAGAAAGTGAGGCGGTGGCGGTACAATATTCTGTTAAAGGGCAAATGAGCCTTACGCAAAGCCCAACGAGAGGCAGCACAGCCGCCTGAACCCCCGTGATCTGCAAGAATTGACGCGAATTCCCCAGCCGCCCAACCTTTTGATAAGAATCTCGACTTGCTCTTGTTATAAGTTCTCAGGGCTGATAAATTACATACAATAGGGAGTTGAAGATTTCCCCACGGCGGACTACAACGGCCTCAGCTTTCATCACCCGGCTCCTGTCATCGTCCTTCAGACCCTACGTTATGCACTCGCCTATCTGACTAGCGAATCGTTACTAGATCTCCGGTAACAAAAGACTGTCAGCGAAAAACGATCCAAAAATAGGGTAAACCACAGCGAATTTCAGTTGCTCTTGGCTCGAGCTGAAAAGCGGACTTAGAGGCACTTGACATCATGGCAACATGTTACAAAACGATCAACCTGGACTGGGAGTCAGTACTTCCGCAGTGGGATAATGAGATGCAGCACAAAGCTTCGCGGCGGAAGGCTGAAGTGTTGCAGAAGTTGGACGAGTCGAAGACAACTTTCAAGCAGGGAAATGCCGATGCCAAAGAGTCGCCATATTGTACCCAGTCGTGGCTATCACCGCAGCAATGCGACAGCAATCAGCCTCCGTCGCGGCTAGCTCGAACGATACTGGATGATATGATAAATCGGCTATCGGAACGAGTGGAAGATCAAGGACATAAGCTGTCAATGTTAATGAACAAAGAAAAAGAAAGGCTGCTACAATCAGTGAAGCAAGAGGAAAATGAAAGGCTGCTACGTGAACTGCAGCAGGTAGAAAAAGAGACGCGGCCTCGATCTAGGGGGCTGGAGACCAACTTGGGCAGAGCCTCCTCTTTGATAGAGCCTGAAAGCTCGATCTCTTTAATAGGGCTAGGAAGCTGGATCCCTTCAACAAAGCCCGAAAGCTGGATCTCTTTCATAGAGCCTGAAAGCTCGATCTCTTTAACAGAGCCTGATAGCTGTATCTGTTTAATAGACCCAGGACGCTTGATCTTGGAGACCAAGCAGGCACTACGGCTTTGGCCTTGGTCAAAGGAGCATGAAAAAGTATTGGCGCGGTTCAAAAAGCGATGGAGGTTGCTAGTCGCTGTGGTCTACCGCATCAAAGAATTGACAGCCTTGACAAAGTGCAAGCCCACAGAAGGCTTTTCATCAGGGGAGAAGAAGTTTTACGTGGCCGGAAGCGTGTATGGGACTGCCGTGGAGGCCCTGCCAGACACCGGAGCGGATACATGTTTTATATCGCCAGATCTAGCCTCTCGCTTTGGCCTTCGTCCTATTCCTGGGACACAAAAAAGGGTAACTCTCGCTAACAAAAAGGCCGTCAAATCTCCCGGAATGGTAAAAGTGCCATGGAAATTCACCAAGGAGCGAAATACGCACACGATAAATTGCTGGATTCTCCCCGGGTGCATGCGCCATCTGGTCCTAGGAAACCCATTTTTACAAGCAACACAGACGCTTACAAAGTTTCGCGATCGCATCAAATCTAAGCTCTTGGCAACACCTACATTCTTTTCATTAAGCGTCTTGGGAGACGAAAAACAACGTCTGCGGGGATATCTTAACGGTCAATTGGCCGCAGCGCTCCCAGATACAGGCTCTGATGCCATGCTTATCAATGGTGCATATGCTCGAAAGATTGGTCTGAGTATCGACTCTAATGTCGAGAATCAGGTCAAGGTCCGACTCGCTGATGGTTCTACGACCATGACAAGCGGAATTGTACGAGATGTGGATTGGAAAGTCGGCAGTACGACAGTGCGATGCAGCTTTTATGTGCTTGAGAATATGTGTGTGGATGTTATTCTGAGCAACAACTATCTGTTTGAGATGGATATCTTTTCCCAGGAGAAGGAACATTTCTTCCATGTTAACTCTGAAACCCATTCCAAGGAGCATTTACTATATTTTTGCGTTCTCCGGTTGATCAAGAAGAAGCGCGGTGAGTATGTGGACGAGAAGTTGAGGAACTTGACTGATTGATGTAGTAGTCTCTATCTTAACCCCAAAAGAAAAGGAAGAATTAGAAAAACAAGAAGAATGGTACAGACGAGATATAAAACGTGACGAAATAATGGCGTTACCGGAAGGTCAACGAGAGGCAGCTGCTCGAGCGGAGAAGGCGCGACAACAACGTTGGGAAGAATTGAGACCAGAACGGAAAGCCAAATGGATAGCCGAATCACAGATTGTGACGGAGAGCGTTCAAAACAGCGTCAGCTGGGGTGGTCGATGGAAGAAATGGGCTTATATCAATCTTTCGACAAAGGGTTCAAGGTAACAAGATGTTTGCCGGGTTGGAGTTGCACTATCACTGCAAACTGGGAAGTCTCTTTTAAACAAAACTTTCAACAATCAGTATATATAGTCGGTTTGCGAAAAACAGTTACTTGGGATCTTAGACACCATTCTACTTTTGTACCCATCTAACATATCCAATCTCGTGGGACTCACAATCCAGTTGACACAATCCGTTACGGTGCCGCTTAAGCTCCATGTTCATACACTATCTAGTTCCCTAGGCTGAATATTGGTAACCTAACCTATCTGGAAAAGGAGGGTCCTTTCCGAGGCCAAGCTCTATTCGATCGCAGTTCAATTTGGTACTAATAACCTCTGAAAGTCCAAGCTCTCAATCGAAGTTCATTGCACGACACTTTTTAATGACGGTTCTGCTCTAGTAACCATTACAATTAGTTTGGAGGCAGGTGGAATGGACGCCCACCTTCTCGACGATTGCTTCTGCTTCATTCATGCTTCTCTGTTTCTCGTTCTCTAGCATGGCTCGATAGGCATCTTGGTCTCGATCCTCACAGGCCTGATGAAGATCTTTGACGACTCCTTCCCAGTCTTTTAATTCCTCATGTATGGCTTTTAGCGGAATCGAAGCAAGCATCAGCCACCTTCTGAGCGCAGTTAATTCTACCTTTACGTCGGTATTCTGAATTGCGAGTTGATTGAAGACCTGAAAGACCTATATACACCGAAAATGTGGCTAGTTGATGTATTCAAGAGAGATTGGGCCCTATGGGGATAAATTCTACTAAATCTTGAACAGCGTCTGACTTCTGGTCGATGTTGTCCATGTGAGCGTAAGCGTGGCTGACTACTGATCTTCCCTATTGCCTACATGGACCAAGACGCTTGAAGAGAATCGTTTGGGCAGATACGCCAGCGCAAGCCTTAACAACTGCGAAGAAAGTAAATCTACCCTTTCAGATATTTAAAATCAGGGTTGTGGTCTGGCTCCAAGCTCTTCGCTGCAGGCTGTGAGGCCGTCGCAGCACACATGGCTAACAGCTGGATACAAGCTGGCGCAACGGAGAGGGTGGAAGTCTATTCAGAGTTTGTCCTCCAATTCTTGACTTTGATACCTACAAGTGGCGGTTGAAGATAGTCGTCATGGGCTAGGGAGCACCGGGAAATTCCTATCAACCAAGCCTAGAGGGGTAACGGTCTCCTTTCTACGGAGCTCGTCCATCCTACTCTACGTCACAGTTATGCGCGACATGTTGATCGAAATTTTACCCTTCGAATCGTTTAAATTCGTTTAGTCAAGTGCAGTAAGTGCAGTAAGTGCAGTAAATGTAAAATAGATGAAGATGAGATTCGTTCTTTCATGTCAGATTTCTTATTGTAGTGAATTAGGCGAAGCATAGAACTTGGCTTAATAACAAGGTCAATGTTGAGTTCAAGGAGGATTTGTATCGAGCCTTTGACAAAGTCGTGATGATGATGTGCCATGTCTAGATAGATTTGTATTCTAATTTTGAGATCATGACGGAATTAAGAAAACATACTCACTATTGTCTTGGGTCCCCCCAAAATCAAAGCTCCTACAATGCTCAGCTGGCAAAGATCGACCATTTTTCAGCTCCATGATGGTACTTGCAGCAGGCAAATGGAAGGATGAATTGATGGCCCTGCAGGAGAAATATTATCTGTTGCCAGCTGCACAATGGCGTGATTATTTCGTGACGTGGCATTAATATACCTGCAGGAGGAATTTTACACAACTGCATTCTTGGGCTACTATTGCAATATGTGGCACCAATGGTTTTGAAAGAGAAACGTCATCCAGTTGCATGATTGGGCTGGGCCGTTGTTTCCATTACATGGCATCAATAACATTAGTGTAAGGATGTTATGTGGTTTCAGAGTTGGGCTGTTATTCCATTACATCACACCGATGAGGCTGGTGCGAGGATGTTACGTGGTTCCATACATGTCCATGGTTGGGCTGCTATTTCAGTACATGGCATCGATGGCCTCCGGCCTGCCTCATACAGGCCAACAGCGTGCTTCTACTGAATTTAACATATCGTTGTGGCTATAGCTCTTTGGTTGAAATAGATCACATTGCAGATTGACGCAATTCGATTCCACACTAGCTGCTTTCTCTCCCTGTGATCGAGACGAATGCTACGCAGAAGTCCCTACCAAGGATCTCAATAACGTCATGATGTAGCCCTTCTTCGCATGTCGTTCCACGGCGCTGCTCCATAGCACTCGAGTTACATTCCCAATTGTGTATTTCGCAGCTCGACGACTGGAGGCAGTTACTTAGCTCCAGGTGTTTGTTCAACTGGCTAGCTTCCAATGGGATGCTAAAAATGCACTGGCCTTGTAGGTAATTGTTTGGTGTGCACTTATTCGCAGAATCACGGCGAAGAACACCAGAGTTTGGGCCGCAGCGGAAGTACGCTGGTTATTAGCTCTTGTACCGCATATTTTTAATTTCTGCTGCCTCGTAATCTTTCTTGTAACTGTATAAATGACTCTGGTGTTTCCTTGTAATTTAAAAATCTTGTTGCGCATGAAGCAGACGATTCATGCATAGTAAGGTTTTGAAACGCTGCTCTCAATGAACCCCAGCCCGGCGTGTCATGCATCTCGGCCAGTTGATCATGTATCTTCCCACACTCTTCCCGTGTAAGTTTCTCCTGGTAGCTTAAGAGGAGCTAGACTTCTTTGCTGCCTAAAAGTTTTGTGAGTTTCTTGGTCACTCTTGCCAAAGCTGCCGCCCAAATGAGTGAATGATGCTCTCTACTGCTCTCTGCTACAGGATTCCCACGACTGGCATGATGATTCGCGCAGCCATCTTCCGGTGACTTGGCTCAGAAACCAAAAGCATAGGAGGCAGAAAACAGTGTGATCAACGATGCAGAGAGCGCAGGTATTACTGGCAGATGGGGTAGTGGAAGCATGGGCGTGTATAGAAGAATACATGTAAATTAAAATGGACGTGCCGTACCTAACTCCAACCACAGCTGCGGGCAGTATCAACAGCCTACATCATACATGTACTATGCATGGCTGGTTAGTTGGGTTTTTCACATATAGTTTCTCAACTACCTACCTACCTACTTACACTGGCGTACAAAAAACCGACAATCTTGCAAACACAGTTTTGTATCCTCTATCATAGTACAGCACGGCCACGTACATGCATGCAGCCACTGCATAGGTATTGCCCAGGTCCCGTGTCGCAAACTCGTGTATCTGTGTCACCTTTGGTAGATGCTCTGTATCCAAGGTCTAGTCCCTCCATTCCTCATCATCCCAGAAAGAATCCTTGATAGCGGTGTCCATCAGACTGTCGCCCGAATGGCACGACTCCGCGTCTTCCGTCGTCGGTTCGGGCGTCTCGTTCAGCTTGGCCATCATCAAGCCCAGCCTCTTGAGCACTTTGGCACTGTTGGCCGCCTGTCCAGTCACCTGTTCATCCACCAAATCCAGCTTGTCCATCTTCTTGAGCACTTTGGCGGTGGTAGCCGCCTGTTCATCCACCTTGTGCTCTATTCTCGACATCCACTGGCTCATCTTTTGATAAAAGGCTGGGTCGATCCCACGTCTCTCTTGATCCTCGAAGATTCTTCTCAACAAAGCCAAGTCATCGGGGTTGGAAGGGTTTCGGCCAGTCTTGGCACTTTCTTCCATTCGCTGGAAGGCTGTCTCTCCCGGATCGCCAGTCCGCGTCACCGGTAGCTTTCTCTTCACCGTTTCAGTCCATTGGTATTGCTCAAGATCCTCTTGAGTCTCTTTTTTCCATCCCAAGAATAGCTCGGGATTCGAACTGTTCACCCATAAAAGAACAAGTCTCTTATCGTGAACTGAGAGCACCTTGAGTCTTGGCAGCGTAAGGTGCTTGAGAAGAGAACTTTCAGGTGTCTCGAGATTTCTGAGGAGCTCGATGATGCCTTCAAGCGCTTGCTCTGCTTCTTGCCTTGTAACCGTGCATGTAACTTGGACTTCTTCATACGTCTGATCACTCTCCGGAGCAGCGTCGGATGCCTCTTGGCTTTTTGACTTCAAGAGTAGCTGCCCGCGATGTAGGTTTCCGGAGTCGAAATGGGTGGCAACGGCTACATTGGCAAATTGCCCTTGTTCCCTGACTCTGTTGCGTTTCATTGGTGGCCATGAACTTGGCTGCTCGAAAGTATCCTGGAGCATCAGAATAGCATCCGGGTTGTTTCGTAGCATCGAATGGCTGCCTTTGCACAGTCAAGGTCAAGCGTCTTGCAAATCTCCATCAAAAGATACGCCAGAGCATCTTCTTGTATGGGAATCTTGCGAACTCGAAGGAGGACATACGCTACAACCATCGCTGGCGCAGTTGGACAATGTAGCTTGCCCGTTGTCTTGCAAAGTACGGCGACGCACGTCATCTTGAAATTGAAGTTTTTGTAACCGCCCCATCTAGACCAACTTGTGGCGTGGACGATACCAGTATTGACGGCCTTCTCAACGCATGCATCGAAACAGACACGGTACGAGTCAACGTCCATCCCAATCTCGTCGAACGCTTGTCGGATGAGCGTCTCGCATTCGGCTCGGATCTCTTCTGCTGCCGATTCGGTTTCGGCCTCGTCTTCAAGTTCTTGTTCTTGGGTCTCGTCGTCGTCGGTCTCTTGGACATCTTCAGCAGCTGGTGGATCGGCGCGGTTCCTTTTACGCGCCCTGCTTGCGGTCGCAACAACGCATTTTCTCTTGTAGCGGGCTCGAGGCATTGTCAACGGTGTCGGCGGATTCGCTGTTAAAGGTCGTCGTGATGCAATTATTGCCGCGTACTCGTATTACTGCAAGATGTCGTGATGTAGACAGGTTGGGGAGGAAGAAAGCACCGCGCGCGTTGACAAAGAGAACGCGCGTTTGTTTCCTTTTTTTTTTAATGCCCATCTGAAGAACTCTAGTACCAAGTAGATAGAGGCATAGGCCCGTAGGCGCGCAGCTGTATGGTATGAGGCGATGGATATCACCGTCTGGCAGCAGCTGGCAATCTCATGTCAAGGCAATTCCTAATCAACTCAGCCTGCAAGCCAGTTTTACCTGCCTAAGTATGAACCAAAGGCACTAGATGAAGTCTTGATTCACTACATCCAAGGGCTTTTCCTTTGCAGCTTTCCATCTGGTCTTTCACTCATCGATCAGCGTCTACCAGCGTCCATCATCACACACTGCCTCTTGTCAACATGGCGCCTCCGATGGGATGAGTAAACCTATGGCACCGGCCAATCCATGCCCAAGCCCTCGTATCCCACCAATCAGGTTTGAGTTTGAAGAACTTTTGGCCGTCTTGTCAGCAAGGCATCTTCACACCGGTTTTCACTAGATCCACAACCTCTGCGATTTCTCGTTCGTCCTTGTTGTTGTCTTCTTCCACATAGCCTACCGCCGGTATATTGTCCGGGCGATTCTTGCTCACGTGCTCGGACTCGTTCACTTTGGCATTTCTGGTGATATCGTCTGGCTCGCGTTTAAACGTCGCCGTAAGAGGAATTGTAATCTGTATGAGAATTGCCCTTTAGTAAAGTGCTGGTTTGACAACATAAAAGGAATACGATGCGCAAATCTTCAATGTGATACGTACCTAGGTAAGAAGAGGTCATGTAATACTACCTAGGTACCTATGCGCGCTTACCACTGGATAGCAGCAGCTAGCAGATTCATTCAATGGAGCATTGAATGATGATTCAACACGCAAAACACACTCGCAATTTCCCGGAAATCTGCAGCCCGCCATTTCAATCTCCTGATGTTACTGCTGCGTTTACGATTTATATGGGTACTTCCAGTCGTTATGAGTTACTCCTCCAAAACCGACAATCCAATTGACGGATCTGCATTGTAGTGCATACAAGATAAGCGGCGGGTTGGCCGTGGCAAGGTTTATCTGCTGCCATCAGATCTACCATTCTCGAACAGATACGCGGAGTTGTTGCATGAAGCTAATTCGTTTCTAGAGTTGCTCAACCTCTTTTTTATAAACTTGGAACACTTTAGTCTGTCCAGCGCCCGCTGCATCTTCCGCTAATCAGATTAGATCTAGGTTGGTGTGCCGCATGCGGTTTGTATAACATGCATCAGAACATATTTTACTAGAGGTTACTGCTTAATGAAAGAAAAGCGAGATTTACATCTCGAGGATTGAGATAGCCTCTGTATTTCAAATCCCGTGTCATCGCCAAGCAGACTTTGAGCAGCGACCAAGTCATTGCAACTCAGTTTTAAACGGTCGTGGTGCGACCGCACTATCAGATCCGGCTTCGGCTCCCACAGCTCCACCATGTTCTCCATCCGGGGCTACTTAACAATGGGGGGCTTTCTAATGTTCAGCTGGGGTAAACACATGAGGATCATTGCAGCGCATCCTCCATTCATTGTGCCGAGAAACATTCGTACAGATGGGTGAGTTACTGCCATCTCGTGGCTTTATCGTTTTGGTCAACGGCAAAATATACCAAACAAGCACGCCGTTCAACAACGCAACAGTGGATGATGGTGGCCCCATCTTTGCAGAGTGCATGATCATCCGAGATGGCATCATCCAGTATGTTGGCCCTCAAGCAGATGCCGAGGTGGATGCGGCTATAGCTGCGGGCGCATCGACAAAGGATCTGGAGCATCAGACTGTCCTCCCGGGATTTATCGACGGCCACTTACACCTTCTTCTGGTTGGACAAGCTCTCACCAAGGTCGGCCTGGAGGCGTGCACGAGTCTAGAAGACATCCGAGCCGAGATCAAGCAATATGCCAAGGCCCATCCGGATGTACCACGTATATTTTGCCGCGGCTGGATGCATTCGATGACTCCTGAAGGCGTTGATTCTACTTTATTGGATGGGCTCGATCCTCGGCCCATCTTCGTTGATACAAAAGACCTGCATTCAACGTGGTGCAACACAGCTGGGTTGAAGGAGGTTTGTCGTGTTATGAACATTGCCGATGATGCTCCAGATCCTGTGGGCGGCACTTTTCAGCGCGACGTAAATGGTAAACTCAACGGAGTCTTTAACGAGAGCGCCGTGTTCGAGTATATATGGCCATTCACTGCTAGAGTTGCCTCGATCAATGACAGAAAAGAGTCCATCAAGGCCGCAATCAAGGCTTTCAACGCAGCTGGCTATACGGGAATGGTCGACATGGCCATGGACGAGCTCATTTGGGAGCCCCTGATTGCTCTGCGAAACGAACAAGGCCTCGGCGGTATGCGAATTGCGGCGTACTGGCTCATGAAGCCCAGTGATTCCTTGGAGGATGTCATGTCGCAAATCGATCGTGCTATCGAGTTGGCTGCACAATACAATTCTCAGAATACTCCAGACTGCCGAATCGTTGGCATCAAAGTCATCTGTGATGGAATTATTGACGCGTGTACTGCTTCGCTTACAGAACCGTACTCGACGGGGACGACCCCCAACCCTATCTGGCCGGAAGAATTCCTGAATCCCATGGTCTCCAAGGCTCATGCCGCAGGGCTCCAAGTTGCGCTGCATGCCATTGGTGACCGGACGATTCACATGGCGATTGATGTTCTAGAGAAGAACACGGATCGCTCTCAGCGTCCACGAATAGAACATATTGAACTCTCCAGTGCTGAAGACGCCGCGCGTCTTGGCAAATTAGGCATCACAGCATCCATCCAGCCCGTGCACTCTGATCCAGCCATATTGCGAGCTTGGCCAAAATTGATAGGCGAGCACCGCTGCAAGCGAGCATTCGCCTATCGAGAATTTGCCGATGGAGGCGCCCCTTTGGCTCTCGGCTCAGACGCGCCCACAGCTCCGCACCTTCCCATCCCCAACATGTATGTGGCAACGACGAGACGGTCTTATCGTGAGCCTAAACTGGAGACTGTTGTCAACCCCGAGTTTGCCCTTACTGTCTGCCAGGCTATCGCGGGGGCGACGCATGGATCGGCGTACTCGACATTTGCGGATGAGTGGACTGGAAGTTTGAAGAAGGGCCTCAAAGCTGATTTTGTGGTCTGCGATGTAGAGTTGACACCGGAAAGGTTGATCAAAGGCGTTGTGAAAGAGACATGGTTTGAGGGAGCGCAAGTTTACGGGGCGTCGGAATAGATTTTCCTTTGATGAAGTTTGGACAGGAGGCTGAACAGATATCAGCAATACAATCTAAGAAGATACATTCACAATTTTTTAGTAAAATGGTTATTGAACTTTTGAGAACTACACCGGTCAAACGGCGTTAACTAGCTTATGGGTATCCACATGTAAGTGTCGAAGACTAACGTGCAGAGGCAGTACAGAAGGGTTTCAAGATGGGTCGTAAGCAGGAGGTAGAGCCACTATTTAGGCAACTTAACCACCAGCCTTCTCGGATGGCTCATACATTGTCAGTCTAGAATCTTAAACACTATTGGCCTAGGACTTTTCTCCTATACGTATCAAATGCAGGCCAATGGCATTTAGCAATTCATTACCGAGTAGGTAACAGAAGTATCAACTTCCATATTTGGCTTCTGGTACTGTAGAGACAATTCTTGATCCGTCGGCCGCGGAATAGACTTAAACCCGGCATGAAAGCAAGAAGCCTAGAAGCTAGTCTGCCTCAAAATTTGTTTGGCAGAGACCTGATGGCGAGACAATTGGAGCATATCTTCCGTGGAGCTCACAGCACGGAAGGTTCCGCCTCTCGCTGTCCCCACCACCGGTAACAGCTGAGGCATCAAATTGCTCATCCATGCACATACGCGTTATCAGAATCGAGAAAATCCGAGCTCGTTCCTGAATGGGCTACGGCAGAGTGAGTGGATACGGCATGATCGCTGGGTGGGAAAAAACAGCAGAGTCCCCATAATTTCGCGTTAACTAAACGGTTTTACCTCTTGGGTTAATTTTAGAAATGACGAAGAACAGAGTCTAGCAAATACTACACGGGCCGTTTCAACTTTCAACGTCGAAAGAGGAATATGCCGTCGGTCTTTTGTGGCCGTGAACCAATTTCTGCAGGAAATTACAATTCCGCAGAGTCGGATGTTACAGGTCATGTTTGAGCGGACTATTCCCCGCTGTCCACGCAGCAGAGGATCATTAAGAATGTTCGGCTCCTTCGCCCACCCCGGGCTGCTTCTACCAGCGATTTGGTCTGATGAGATGCTACAGTTTTGGGTGATCGGCTAATAATATAACGCTGTAAGGCCCCTTGGAGGGCGCGATTGATCGCCGGTTGAACCCCCTCGAAGTTGTAACAGATTGATGATTTCCTGCTAGTACCTGCGCCGGTCGACCGGCTGACAGGGATCAAGACCTCGGCAATGACTTTAGACAAGTAGACGGCGTCGCACAGATCTTCTACTAGTCACGTTTTGAAGACAGAGCGCGGACCGCCTTTGATGTTGCTATCCGCGCAATCGCCCCCTGTGGACTTTGCTCTTGTGGCAGTATGTCATTCGTATCCACCTACATGTCAATGCTTCTTAAGCGACGGTAATGCTGCTGATGTCCCCTGTATCCTTCTGTTTTAGTACGTAGATCTTGTTGAGAGTAAGCACTTAAAGTGCACCGGTGTCTTCTTTGGGATGTGTACTCTTACCCAGCGCGGACGGGTATGTAGGAACTCCGGCCGGCGGGTTATGTTACATAATGCCAATAATCATGCCGCAGTTGGATCAGTTTGTGGCAACAAGACGAGTTTGTGTATACGTTATATTCAATAAAGACTCTGGATATTGCTATGCTCGTGATTCTAAACTCAAAAGGCTATCTACAACTTCATCGGACTTTACAAAGCAGAGTACTTGTTAATCAGCTGAAGTAATTTCGCGTCCACATCCTTGGGAGTGGTAGCGTTGAGGTAGTGGCCACCGTCAGTGAAAGACAGCTCTGTCTCTACAGAGCCTGAGAAGGCCTTGATGTGCTCTTTTGGTACCTCAACACCGAATACCGGATCTTGGTTACCCTGTTTCTCGGTCAGAACTGACAACAAAGACCAATATACTTAGTAGAGCAACTCACCTGAAGCCAGTAGACAGGGCACTTGACATCTGCCGCTCGTCTCAACAAGCCATCTCTCTCCAAAAGATTGACAAAGGCTCCACGCAGCTTCTTGCGTCCTTCGTCCCCGGAGTAGATCTTGTTGAGTGTCGTCTTCCACATTTCGACGTCTTCAGGGGAGATTACACCGGAGAAACCAATGTTCACAACGCTCTCACGCAGACCCTCGTCAATGAGGAAGTCTGGGGTTGGTTCCTTGCTGTAAAGGGTGTCAACGACTGGGCCCAGCGTTGTTGCGGGATCCCAGCAACCCTTTTCTCGGGAGGCCGCAGACTCGTAGTCGAGCGAGGTGCCAAGAATCAACAAACCCTGAATCTATAGTCGAGATCATTTCTGTTAGCCTGCGTGCTACTGCAGTAGTCTCAGGGATGTTTCCCCTTGTAGTGATATTCAATGTGCAGCATATGATACATGTAGGTCCGTTTAGGCGAATGTAAAGTGAGACACTTTGCGGAATGGAAGCCCGGACGGAAAGCGTGGAGAACATTGGGGGATTGGCAGGGATAGACGGAGTAACTTTAAGTGATAGGCAATGTGCATATGCGGTGCTCGTCACACTCGACTTCAAAAAATACCTGTACGTACCTTCTCAGGGGCAACAAGAGCCATTCTTGTGACGATCCAGCCTCCCTGGCTGGTACCCAGAGCAAAAGCTTTCTTGATACCGAGGGCATCCAACACCTGGACGGCCATGATGGCGGTGTCCCAGTAGGTGTAGTTCTCTGCTGAGCACTCAGTGGATCCGTGGCCAAGAGGCTCAATGGCCAGTAGGTTGGCAGCATCGGTGAGAGCAGTGTTGCTAAACTGTGAGTTGAACAGAGAGGTGGTCGTGCACATAGAGTTGATGAGCACAACGGTAGGCTTGGCGGGGTCGACGGCGCCGTTGGAGAGACGGTAGCCGGCATTGATTCCGCCCAGATGCGGCACTCTGATGGTAGTTCCGGCAGTCATGATGGATATATTTGCGTAGGTGGTTTTTCTCTGTAAGGGAAGTCGAAGTAAGACAAACAAGAAGCCAACTTCTTTATTGTCCTGTTTGTGTCTTTATTGGAATAGTCAAAAGTGGTTAAACAGAAAGAAGTCGGCGAGGCGTGGGGGCTAATTATTTACTTTGCTTGAGGTCAAAAAGGGAGCCAAGGCAACAAACCCCCCAAGACCAACAAGCGCTGCTTTGAGTTGAGCCTCGGGATAGCCCCAAACTTTGGAACCAGCTCAGCGGAGTTTGAAACCGCATTGAGCAACCTCCAATCGGATGACCCGCAGCTGCCTCGGCGGTCAAGATATCCGAATAGGGGAGCAGGTTGTCTATCATGGATTCAGAGAATAGGAAGTACTACAGTAGTTGTAGCAACTGCTACTACATACTGTACTGTACAGTGCTTTGTATGGATTTAGTAGCAGGCAATAGTGTGGTAGCCATGTCTGCATATGCAGCTAGTGCTCTCATGGGTGGAAATAACATGGTACATGTACCTCACACATAGAGACAAGTGCTACTTCTGAGCAATCACGCATTGTAACTGTTATGGCAAGTGTTTTCGAGCAGTTACATATCTCCTATGATTAGATCTTGCCATGACTCTCATGATGGTTGCATGATATTTCATGTCTCGGCTTGCCTATCAGGAGAGCAAGAACGGTACTACTTCATTTCTCTCCGTGGGTTCTCTTGTTCCACAACTAGTCATTCGCGATTAACGGAGTGGACGGAGTATTCGCGGCATGCGAAGATGTTGTCTGTGCGCGTGAAGTAACTTGAGTAGGCAACGGCAATGTGCGGAATGGAGAAGGTTGTTAGTACTTACTTGTAGGTGCTGCTGGGTATTCCTTGCAACTATGTGCGGGGCGCACGGTGCCTCTTTGCGAGTTGCTTGTAGGTTTCTGCAATTATTCTTTATTCCGCTTGTAACGCAAATCTCTGCCGCCAAGACACACTCGAGGCTATTCTAGACACGGTCCGCCCCTGTTATCCACTTAATTACGTCCACTAGCTACAAAGCATCAATTGGCATTGAGCTAGTGGGAACATGCAACAGGCTTCTTATTGGCGGAGGTGAGCAGTTGAGTTATAACAAGGAACTACAAGTAGTAATTGTTGAGCCGGAGACCGGAGACAATGTTGCGAAGGCTAAGAGATTCAAAGTAGTAATGACTCGCCCCCTCGTCTGAAAAGTGGACGCAAGAGCGGCGATGCCCTATTTGCGTAGCCAATTATAAACGACCAAGCTCACGCAAGCTCACGCAAGCTCACGACGGCTGAGACAAGGGTACGGCGCGCGCCGAGTCCGTGGGATCCGTTAATATCTGTTTGAGGCTACTGAAGAAAAAGGCGATTGATATACCAGACCGTTTTACAAGCATGCTCTGTTTTTCCTGGCTTCCCCGGCATCCCTGGTCTTCAGGTGGCGGTTCGTCTGTTCTTGGTAAGGTCGAATAAGAACTTAAGTAGTTGTAGAGAAAGGCGCAGCTATACGGGACACATACAAATCCTTGTTCACGACTCTTCAGCAACTCGCTAACCCGCGTATGGTTTGCTGACTGCTGATCTACTATGATGGATTACTATTCTCGAGTTTGATTACTGATTCAGGAAGGTCTTTAAAGAGCTTCATCTGAGTATCAATCTATCCTTCTATGAGCAATAGGTTGTAGAACATATTCGCAGTGTCTAGACTCAGTTACTTACCTTCCACGCCTGGCGTTATCTTAAGGTCGAAAACTGGTTCGAGTAGTCCACAGTTATCTCACTAGTTCTTAGTATAACGGCGGCATTGCAAAGGGGAACTTTGAGCTTCAAAACGGCGCCGTCGTGTAGCTCTTATGGGGCACCTGTGGCGTGCATGAGGCACCAAGTCGGCCGGTCGTTGGAGAAGAGCCGATCATCGCCATGACCGAGTTACTTACGGCATATGATGGTCTAACGAGTCGTGCCGCCGTGTAAAAGAAGGACCCATGCCGGCTGTTTGTACCTGAAATGCCGAGCCTTGCCCTGAAGACAACCTTGCTCAGCTTCCACAATTAATATAGTCTAGAGCCCACAGTTGAGTGTCCACAGCTATATGTACATTCTACCCCTGACAAGAGCTGGCGGCGTGGAGCTCATGCTCATGAGCGGCTGATTGCCGTACACTAGCCACGGTGAAGGATAAGCGAAGAGGTAAAGGCAAAGGGCAAAAGGAAGAAAGAAAGTAGTCAGTAATATGAAAGAGCTTGGTCTCCTCATTTTGTTGAGCTCCTTGAACGAACATACCCATCCGCTTTTCAGCGTCGAAATGCATCATGGCTCCATTTGAGGAAATCAGAAGGGCGGCGGCGGCAGACACGCCGTCTGTGCTCCCGGGTCTTCCAGGCTTCAATCAGGAAAATCTTCAGCCATGGACTGTGCAGGTAACAGCGTCCATGACCGTTCTGGCTCTGCTTTGTGTCGTGCTGCGTTTAGTCAGCCGCAATCTCAGAAAGCAGCCCTTAGGATGGGATGACTACATGATAATCTTCTCAATGGTAGGTCTTCAGAGCGAGGGGACTTGCTGATTTTGGAACTACCTTGTTCTTCCTCCGAGGAATGTTAATCGGGCATCACTTCGCGGGCTTTTTGATGATGGAGAGTTATAGCTAACGATGCCTAATGCAACAGGGTTGGTATCTGGTTGTTGTCGGATTCATCTTCGCCATGTACGACAACGGAATGGGTCTCCATGCGGACAAAGTTGAGCTTCCGAGGATTGTCATGATGGCAAAGTGGTTGTTGGTTGCTGAGATCCTGTACGCCTGGAACCTTGGCTGGACCAAGATAAGCCTCTTGCTCATGTACTATCGCATCTTCCACGTGCCATACTTTAAGAAGATGGCTTGGGCTGTTGGCGGTTTCGTCATGGCGTGGGTCATTTGCATCACCTTCCTCTTCATCTTCATCTGTGTGCCGGTTCAGAAGCTCTGGTATCCTGATCTGCCCGGCCACTGCATCAATCAAGTCGGCACTTGGATCGCAAACGCGTCTTCGACCATCTTTACCGATCTCGCCATTCTGATATTGCCAATTCCCCAAATCTGGAACCTTCAACTACGGACAGCAGAAAAGATGGGCTTGACATTTGCGTTTGGACTAGGCTTTTTGTATGTGAAGCTGTGCTTTTCAAATCTCGCGTCTTCATTCCTGGTAATTGTGCCCTTAAATTGATTACATGAGCTAACCATTCTATAATAGCGTTGTCTTCGCCTCTGCATACAGAACCTCAGTTCTTTTCACGTATACGAACAACGACCCGACTTACACTCTTGCACCAACAGTCGGCTGGACCGTCATCGAAATATCTGCCGGTATCATATCCGCATGTCTTCCTACGTTACTACCGGTGATTCGACTGTTTCTCAAGACAGTCGGTATCAAGCGGAACTTTTTCTCTTCTCAACGAGGAACGAATGGCGCTTCCAACGTGAACAAGTCAAATCTGAGCAGCCTGAATCCGAACAAGAGCGTAAATGCAGATTCAACGCATAGAACAAACGGCAACGACTTCTATCGCCTAAACGATGAGACAGAGTCCGATGGTAGTTTCACAATTGACACGCAACCGGTCGTAATGCATTCTCAGTTCCGGCCAGACACAAAAGGGTATAGAAATACTATCAAAAGCCTTCGGACCGATGAACTTCCGGCTGACCTTACAAGGGACGATATACCATTGAGCGGAATCCGAGTACAGACGGAGTTTAAGCAATCCACTTCGCCTAGGTGAACTTGATTTACACAACCATGCTCGAATTTCAAAGGTTTTCTACTTTAGTGTCATAATGAGAGGTGCCTATAGCCCTCATGAGCCATGCAAATGGTGTTAGAATTGGAACGTCAATAGGACAAATATCCGGCAATAGAATTGTCACGGATACGAGATGTTGGCTTGTACGAGTTTGGTATTGTTATTTTTGTTTGACTTAATTTTTTGATACACCGCACCATAATATATGGAACCAGGACAGCCATTGCTCTCGTGTTTCATTTTCTTACTACTTGTGGCTTAGATACTCATGAAGCTATATTCTGCTTTCAAAGTTTCAGAGACGGACATATATCTATACCTGAATAGCGAGTCAGAGGGTAGCACATCCACTCATCGCGACAAAATACCCACATATCTTGGAACAGGTTTCATAGTTATTTCATTGTTAGCATGCAACAAAGATAATGAGGATCATAAATACATTGCGGAGAGACTCCGATTTTATAGACTCAATTTATTGGCTTGACGATACATTCCAAATTTTAGATTTACGAACAATAACGCCAACAGTATATATGTGTTCAATCTATCGATGCCTTTGGCTCTCTTAAATTATAAAGTATCGTGATATGTTAAGGATCTTGATAAAGAAGAAGCTAAGTTGTGACATGCCAGATAACAGCCGGTTTAGTACCATATATCAGAAGAGGATCAGAGCCGCGATTAGAAAGAAACAGGCCATCACAGGAGTATTCAACGGCTCAAAATTTTTTTATTTCCTAATTGTGCTTCAATCATATATCCAGTCAGAACAGTAATAATTGCTTCAACATTTTCAGATTTGTCGATATCTTATAAGAACCTATCGAAACGAAATTAAACATTCTTTATATATTCTTCAAGCGCACAACATATACATAGATCACAACATTTCTTCATAGCTCATAAAGTTCCGCTATAGCATATGTATTCTCGTTCTCAATTAGACGCAATTCAGATGAACTGCCTGTGGCTGGATAGAGACTTCAATACATTCTCCCACAGTGTCAAACGTCCAGTCGGGCTGACTATCGCAGTCGTTGGTGGTGGAAATTGTAATCTGTGGCGATGTGCCGGCAGGACATGGGGATGTCTGAGTCAACAGAATGCTTTGACCGGGGAAGTTCTCAAAGATGGTACAGAATCCATCGGTCAGAGAGCCTGATAGAAAAGCTCGGCCGGAGCAGCCAGACTGAATCCATTGTTCGTAGTTGACGCCGGCCAATGCCGTGGTGGCCGCAGAAGCTAGCCCGGCAAGTACCGAGGAAAGGATAATGACCTGCTATATCAATTAATCGGGATGAAATGGAATAGAAGATGTGTGAAAAGGGGGCATGCAGACTATACCTTCATGTTTAACGCGATGTTAACTAAGATGCTGAAAACTTTGAAGAAATCGGATTGTTGAGTGACGTGATCCGATTGTCCTTATATAGGTATCTTCCTTAAACCAGGAATTAATTCCACCAGTCACATTTTATGGGACCAAGTCAAGGTTATCTTCTGTCAGAATGCAGCTTGTTTAACTCTAAAAGGATGGTGGGTGAATTGAATTTGTGATCAAGATGGATACACAAAGTAGCATTGGCGAATAAAAAGAATCCGCGCCTATGCATCAGTTGCTATGGATGTAGTTAGTTATGGCGAGTTGGCTGACTGTTGATAAATACAATAATATAGCGGGAAAAATGCCTAAAACGTTTATGTGCGGCACATTATGACAAGTCGTATAATTGAAAAGTCTTTGTAGCTTGCTGGAGCAGTGCTCAAATGCCCGAGTCCTTCTTTATTGAACAGGGACGACGTGTAAAATTGGCGGGCTCTCAATAAATCACATACTATTGAGCTAAGATTACCATGACAAGTACTATAACAATTGTCATTTTAATTTCAACGTTTATGTGCTTTGTGTGCGCAGAATTCGCTTATAAGTCAGTACTTGCGTGGCATATTTATAGAGCCGAATTAGCTCATGCTTACAATAGGTCTGCTCACAAAAGTGAGCTGATTGATTTGCCATAAGACTTCTAGATGCATACAGTAATTAAGACACACATATATTTAACATGCCAGTTGAAAGCGGCTAAACTTTGGCATTTCAGATGTGTGATCCTTCAACCGACTTTTCTTAAAAGAGAGTATTTTGATGGCAAGGGCAAAAGGGCCGACTGATTCCCATAAAAACTGCTTCTATGAATGCAGCACCGCAACTCCGATCATACCTGTACTAAAAATTTACGAATCAATAACTGTACCAGGATCATGATTGGTGCTTTCCAACATCGGATCAGGGAACTTGACTTTTCATTAAAATCCACGACCAAAATAATCTGGTGGTTGATTTTAGCCCTTGTATATTGTTTTAGTCGCTAGACCGGCCTCTGAAGCCGCCAGAAATGATAATCACCTCGATAACGCGCTACAGGTTATTTACAACTTGGACTATTTGTCTCAACTCTTAGAAAAGTATATTGAAGCAACAAATTGTGGATGAGCTTTCTCGCGCAAATTGCAATCCAGAGCTTAGTATTATTGGTCTATATCAACTCACAACGCACATTCTTTTCTCGCAGCAGTCTGCTCAATCTAGGTATTTAAGCTTAGTCTGTCCTGCCACTAGCTTGTTGGCTGATCTTAGTGGAGAAGATGATGATATCATCAGCAGATATGTCTTCTCGGACCAGTTGAGTGCGACGTGAGATTCTATCTTCTCCAAAAGTTGCATGGATCATCATGGTTTCGAAACAAAGCAAAAGGTACTACACACTTCTAGACAACTTCAATATGGGTAGTCGAAAAAAGAAGTGACACTATTGTGATGTTTCTACTTGGTAAATGAGTTGACATGGATCTTGAGTAGATCCAAAAACTTGCTAGAACCCTTCATTCTAGAAAATGGCAAATAATAAAGAGCGTCGCTATCCGGACGGTGTATTTGTGCTATTCGGTGGGTATATTTTTGTTATTCGGAGGGTAAATATTTGCTATTCGGATGGTTCATTCTGGCTATTCGGAGGGCCTCGGTACTGTTGTGGGTGTACTTCTAAACTTGGGCCTCGAAACTGGGTAGCCTAGAACTTTCTTTGGCGGCGCGTTCCTGAGCTGCGGAGATCTTTGCTTGCATAAGAATGAGAGACACTAAACCCAATACTAATACTAATACCCTTTCCCATGTGAAAGTCGACAATTGATCTTCTTTGCTTCTCTACCAACCTGACTTTTACTCGATGAGGACAACAGCGCACATGTGGGGCTCTTTAGGCCTAGGTACCTTACCTTAGTTGTCTGGTGTAAGTGTACTCCATAATGCCGTATCTCGCGATGCGTCGGCCTAGCTGAATGATTTGGACTAATGGTGATTGATGGCAGTAGTTGCTGAATGCAAGAAGAGCCATTCCTACGCTGATTGCTTATTCTGTTATCTGTAAACTGCAAATCCACCAACATTGGGCTTTTGATCGCGAAAGAAGGGTTGCATATGTACTTCCTCCAGGATGATTACCCCGCTATGTGCCCATTTCTGAAATCCTTCCACGCATCTATTCCTTGGCCCCATGAGAGATGGACAACCTTACCATGATCGGTTGTAAGTTTCTAGAGCTCCCATCAGTAGACTTATAAGTCCCTAAGCTCAACCCCACAGGCTCAATCCCTATGAACATTGGGCCTATCTATCATCTCAGCGGCAAGGGCGGTCACCGATACTATTGGCTGACGGAGCTTGTGAACTGGACTAGACTGCAGAACGGAGTATATAGCAGCTAATAGCGAAGACCACATGTCGCGTATACACAAACGCAATGCTGTCTCTGCATATAAGTTCGCCCAAAATCTCCGCGGTCCGCTGAGTTTCTAATCATCAAAGAGAGACATCAACGAGTTCAATAACAGCCTGTGGTTTGCGTTCTCTCATTAAATTCCCCTTTATAAACATTAGGCAGAAAGGTCCTCTAAAATCTAACGCTAGATAGCCGAGTGTAGCCTGGCACTAGATGCCTCTAAGAGGTTAGGCGCCACCCCTATACGAACGGGGTGTCTTTACGGGGCAGTTATGTTATGAACATGAAGAATTCCAGCTCTTTCCGCCCCGTGCGGGCGACTTAAAACCACGTATTGTTTTGAAAATGAATCTGGAGGATATTAAACAATCGGGATGTGAATCTAATCTAAAGCATTGCGCACTTGGCGAAGACGATATGTTGCTATATGATCCGCTGATCCCTATAATGGCAATGGGCTTTTCGGGCCAGGCGTTCTTAAACGTTTTCGCAGCCCTGAAGACATCTATAAGCTTGTTGTTCCCGCAAGTAGTGATCGTCTTTGTCTCTACTGGCATAAAGAGTGTCGTTAACGCTCAGTCTTTCGCGATGTAGAGATCTGAGCAAGGCTCAGGGGGGGTGGCCTTGGATGAGGCCCTTGTATACTCGAACGTTGTTACTTCATTCGGCTAGGGGGGCCGATAGGGCTAGCAAAGGCGCTCGAATGGTAGAATTACGCAGAGTGTCTGGCAAGAAGCTGAAAGTACGTTTGTGCTAGGCAGCGCTATCAGTATCTTAGCACCGAGACAAAAGCTCTTACCCCAGCGGAGCGAAACAAGATTATGGGGCATCGACAAGGCGACTCAAGCGTTTATGTCCGGTATCATATAATATCATATGTGCAACTTCAACGATGCAGACTGTCAGTCTATCTGTTTCGGGAGCGTATCTCAACACGACATGATCCACCTAGCCGGCTCCTTCGTCATGCAGAAACACGAGGTCAACCAGGACTCGAAACACGACACCAACCAGGACCCGAGACTTGTGAGTTGCCGCCAAAAGCGAACCCGTGCACCTGAGAAACTTAGACGCTAAGGCTATTCCGCAAGGACAGCTGCCGAGGGAACCGTTTTGGCGAGTTTTTGCGAGTTTTTGCGAATTTTTGCAATTCTTTGCGATGCAATACGACGGTAACAAGGAGAAAGCGAAGAGAGTGAGTAGGTAACCTAAGGACGCAACGTTTCGAGCGTACTATTCGAGATTTCTATAGCTTAGTCCACGCGGAGGAGGTTGATCGGCAGCTCAAAGGCATCAAGCCACTCGACATGGTATAAAAACAGTGCAACTAACACATCGGCCATTCTGTTATCATAACTAATTACTATTTCTTGCAAATATCGCTAAAGACTTTTGAACCCCGACTGTAACTCGGAGGTTTCTAAGTCATGTCACGGGATTCAACCTCTATATCTAGATTCCTGATATATATAAGTGAATGAAATGCATTCGTGTTTACACTCGTATTTACACTCGTATTTAAGTATCCCTAACACTCGTATTTAAGCATGCACATGGTGCCCCTTTACCCCCTAGTCTAGTGCTTGATATGCTGACGTATTGGGCTACTCAATTGCAGGCTTTCTTTGGGCGATCATATACTCGGTAGAGCTCTATAAAAGATTAATGTCAGGCCCTCAACAACACAATTAACTAACAACTCTGGATCTATCGCCTTCGCCTGTTCCGATCAACGTCGACGAGCTTGACACTACTCTTTGTTACAACAGCAGCCATGATGCACTCTGGACTGTTGCAATTTTCGCTATGTTGGCTGGCGATCAGTTCATCAGCGAAGGCAATCACGCCTGTTACTGGCTGCGGCAACCCACCACCATCCGAGGATGAAATTGCTAGAGCCCAGGCAATATACGAAAAAGAGAGAATGATGACGTTAGATGCACGAGACACAGACATCACCACCGTACCGACTTGGTTTCATGTGGTTTACGTCAATGAGACTGAGGAAGGGGGCTATATCCCTGTAAGAAACTGCTGCCTCTCAACTAGACGATGCGGACAGGACGCTAATGCTTTAACAAATAGAGAACTCAACTCGATGCCCAGATTAAGGTGCTCAGCGATGCTTGGGCACCACACGGGTTCTCCTTCAACTTGGTTAACGTGACTTATACGCAAAATGCGACTTGGTCGAACGCAAACCTCGATGGCTGGCCTGATATGAAGAGAGCTTTGCGTCAAGGTGGCTACGGCACTTTGAATCTCTATACCACTCTACTTACAGAAGGATCTGGACTTTTGGGTGTATGTTACTTACCAAGTCGAAAATATCTGGGCAGCTTGCAGTCCGGGTAGAAGTAGCACAATATGCATAACGTGGGCTAATAAGTATCAACCTTACAGATCGGCACACCGCCTGGCGACTACTACGACGGTACCGATGATTTCATGCAGGACGGCGTGGTCATACAAGCCAATACTCTTCCAGGCGGCATTGGTCCACATTTCGAGACAGAGCCAGAAAGGTACACCACGGGCGGTCTTACTTGTCATGAAGTAGGCCACTGGTTTGGTCTATTCCATACGTACGTTTTCCCAAACTCCAGCCTGTCACTATCACATAACGCCGAATATACTATTCTTGCTAACCAATATCAGTTATATTGAGCATGGTGCTTATCCCTACACTTGCCAGAACGGGGACAATGATTTTGTAAGTTCAGCCATCCTGATGTCAGATAAAAGTATATGTAATAACACCAACTTCATCAGGTCGATGACACACCTGTGCATCTGCTTGTAATTACCAGTAACGGACCAGATCTGGATTGCCCAGCAGGTAGAGATACCTGTCCTGATCTTCCAGGTGTAGACCCTACAGATAATTATATGAGCAATCAGTGGCAGTCGTGCTGGAATAAATACACGGCGGGTCAAGGGCTGCGAGCTAGAAGTTTATGGACGGCTCAGCGCGCTGGGCGAGGCTAATTGCTCCTTACTTCAATGCATGTCGCATGTTTGAGGCATCCACATGCGAATAAAGCAGATCAGGAAACGCAACTACATGTAGTGTTAGTATGATTAAACTTGCCAACTAAAACTTTCATCTATACTACTATTAGATATACTAATCTGCCCCTTGTCTTAACCTGTGTAAACTTATGGTGCACAATGTATAACTAAAGTCTCCGTTAGTTCAATCTTATATTCACTTAGCTACTTAAGTAAGTATATTGCTCCTTTGCCGGTTGGGCTGTTTATTAGAGCATCTAGGTCTAGGCACTGCGCCCAGTAGTCCATCCTACTAGTTATTAATGCGGAGTAGACACAAGCAAAGTGCGTCAGCCAGCAGCCTAACTGGGAATACTCAAGTAGCTACCGTTCATTAGTCTCCGAAACAGACTAGCAACTCGAACAGTCTGTACCGAGAGCTCACCAGAGACAAGCCACCACATACTGTGCCAGATTCGGCCCATCCAATCCGAAACGAATAAGCGTGGCTGCATCGCCTCTAATGAACCAATCCGTGGCCAAAGTTCCCCTCCATCAAAAGCTTCCCCTCCACCAGGACCCCGCTTGTCCACTTGGCTGCCGGCTTAAAGCTAAGAGCCGTGGGCCTTTGAAATTGCGAGTCTTCGGTTCGTCAGCAGCGTGAGCGATGACACAACAGCCGCACATGGCGTTTCACTGCAGATCCAGATGAGGACCATGAGCAACGCAAATCGCGACATTTCGGAGGCCCGAGGGCGTGCTAATTGTCTGATCAAACGCGGGGTTGTCTCTGACCCCTCCTTAACTAATGTCGCCCTCGTTATTGGGTGGCGAGCAGTTGTCCATCTCTTTCTCTTTTCGGGTTCTTCTGCTTCTTTTTATACTCCTTCTCCCGCTCCCTCTGTTCCTTCTTTGTTAGCGTTTCCCAAATTCTGTTTCTGCTTCTGAAGCAGCCAAGTTTGAACTCTACTTTTCCCCCTTTATTATACTCTCTGCTATCACAAAAATGGGCGACGCCGGAAAGTGCCCCGTAAACCACATCAACGCCGCTGGCGGTGGAACTCGAAACAAGGACTGGTGGCCCGAGTCTTTAAAGTTGAACATTCTTCGTCAGCATACAAATGTCACCAACCCTCTGGGTGAAGATTTCGACTATGCGGCCGCTTTCAAGACCCTTGACTATGATGCCGTCAAGAAGGACTTGACGGCCCTCATGACCGATTCGCAAGACTTCTGGCCCGCCGACTTTGGTCATTATGGAGGTCTATTTGTTCGTCTGGCCTGGCATTCCACCGGTACATATCGTGTCTTCGACGGGAGAGGAGGCGGTGCACAAGTAAGCGAGCGATATTGATGCCTAATAGTTGAAACTCGGCATCCTTTATACTTTGACCTTTGCTAACATATTGGGTTTATAGGGCCAACAACGATTCGCGCCTCTCAACAGCTGGCCCGACAACGTGAGCTTGGACAAGGCTCGACGTCTGCTTTGGCCCATCAAGGCAAAGTATGGCAACAAGCTCTCATGGGCTGACCTCATTGTTCTGTCCGGCAACGTGGCCCTCGAATCCATGGGTTTCAAGCCCATAGGCTTCGCAGGTGGCCGTTCAGACACTTGGGAAGCTGACGAGGCTGCCTACTGGGGTGGCGAAACTACATGGCTGGGCAATGACGTCCGATATGCCCACGGCTTTGCGGGAGCTGCCAAAGATCACGGAGTGGTCGACTCCGACGAGAGGCAGCACACTGATGTCCACTCCCGCGAGCTCGAGGCCCCCCTAGGAGCAGTACGTAGTTCTGTTTCCCGGACGCATCTTTGAAGAATAGACTTGTACTGATACATGAACTAGGCACACATGGGACTTATCTACGTCAACCCGGAGGGCCCGGATGGCAACGCTGATGCTCTAGCCGCGGCCCGAGACATTCGCATCACTTTTGCCCGTATGGCAATGAACGATGAAGAGACGGTGGCTTTGATTGCTGGTGGCCACACTTTCGGCAAAACCCACGGCGCAGGCCCTACGAGCCATGTAGGCCCTGAGCCTGCGGGTGCTCCTCTTGAGAACCAAGGTCTTGGCTGGGTCAGCACTTTTGGTTCTGGAAAGGGCGCTGATACCATCACCAGTGGCCTGGAGGTTACTTGGACCAAGACACCGACCAAGTGGAGCAACCAGTTCCTCGAGTACCTTTTCAAGTACGAATGGGAGCTTACCAGGAGCCCTGCTGGAGCGAAGCAGTGGGTGGCCAAGAACGCTGAGCCGTTTATTCCCCACGCTTTCGATCCTAACAAGAAGCTGCTGCCCACCATGTTGACCACAGACTTGGCGCTGCGTGTCGACCCTGCTTACGAGAAGATCTCTCGCCGTTTCTTGGAGAACCCCGATCAGTTTGCTGAAGTGTTTGCCAAGGCCTGGTTCAAGCTGACGCACCGTGACATGGGACCACCTACTCGCTACGTGGGCCCCGAGATTCCCAAGGAACAGTTCTCTTGGCAGGATCCTATTCCCGCAGTCAACTACACTCTGATCAACGACAGCGACGTTGCCGCTCTCAAGAAGGAAGTTTTGGCATCTGGAGTTACACCCTCCAAGCTGATTTCCACTGCCTGGGCATCTGCTTCAACTTTCCGTGGCAGTGATAAGCGAGGTGGCGCCAACGGTGCTCGCATTCGCCTGGCGCCACAGAAGGATTGGAAGGCGAACAACCCTGCTCAGCTGGCTGAGGTTCTGCAGGCTTTGGAGAAGGTTCAGCAGAAGTTCAACAGCTCGCAGAGCGGTGGCAAGAAGGTATCTCTTGCTGACCTGATTGTCTTGGCGGGATCTGCGGCTATTGAAAAGGCCGCCAAAGACGCCGGACACGACATCACTGTTCCGTTTACTCCTGGCCGTAATGACGCCACTCAGGAGCAGACTGATGTTGAGTCGGTTGGCCACCTCGAGCCTGTCGCTGATGGTTTCCGAAACTACGGCAAGTCTACCCAGAGAGTCAAGCTAGAGCACCTCTTGGTCGACAAGGCCCACCTTCTCACTCTCTCGGTGCCTGAACTCACAGTCCTCATTGGCGGTCTTCGTGTTCTAAACACAAACTACGACGGCTCAACTCACGGTGTCTTCACCAACCAGCCTGGTGTGCTTACCAATGACTTCTTTGTCAATCTTCTGGATATAGGAACTGTCTGGAAGCCCAACCCCTCTGACAATGATCTCTTTGAGGGCAGTGACCGCAAGAGTGGTGCTAAGAAGTGGACTGCGACTCGTGTTGACTTGGTTCTCGGCTCTCACCCCGAACTGCGGGCTGTTGCGGAAGTATACGGCAGCTCCGATTCCAAGCAGAAGTTTGTAAACGACTTTGTGGCGGCTTGGACAAAGGTTGCGAACCTGGATCGTTTTGATCTTCCGAAGGAGTCTCCCTTGAGGCCAACTAGCCGCTTGTAAATATGATGTCGGCGTCGCTGCTCATGTTCGATGGCAAAGGAATATGTGTATGGCCAGAATGTATTATGAAGGAAAAGCACTTAAATGTGTTTCCAAAAGAAATTAGTAAAATGTTGACAAATCCACCAAGCTACTCTCCCTAATGCTCCAGTGATTTCCCTTGAAGGTGCACAATGAGATTTGTTGGTACATCGGGCTACAAGATAAGTACTCGTACACAATCTCCACCGCCGTAAAGGTTAATTTTGCTTTTCAATTATTATGAAGTATATACGCTGGGTTATCGGCCAATCTTTCAAAATTTTAGATAATATTGGCGCGCCTAACGCCACCAGATATTCTTTTCATCATTTAAAGCTCTTATTTGCCTCATATGAGTCAACTTTTCTACATATACATGGATCACCAGACCACCTCATTTCTCCCGCCTTTCTGGAGGCAGTTTATCTTGATCCTGTTTCTCTTGATCCTGTTTACCCTCATATTCTCTTCTTGCAATATTCGGATTTCATTACCTACGGTTCCTTGCAAATAGAACCACTTGACTATGGCATCCTCCACACCTGTTCTTTCTCGGCAGAGGATCCTTCATGTTACGGTCCGCTGATATAAAGATTGGCGATTTCGCAGATAAAAGTTAAATAAACAGAATATTGTACCACGGCTCTTATGAAAATGAAGTTAGTCCACGAGCTTATAATCAGAAACTTTGACCATAAAATCGCATCTTTAAATATGTAGTCCTACTCAAGCTGGCGTTCACGCAAATCTTCATATGATACTTTTTGAGTTCGTTTTTCGCCATCATCCTCGCTCTATCTGTCCCTCGATTGCTTTTCTCCAACTATCTAGGTTTCTCACATTGAGACCTTCAACTTTTGCTTCGTCATCCCATTTCCTTAGCTGGCACATCTCTCGGCAGAACGGCCCAGAGCTAAACTCCTTTACCTCTTCGGCAGACATAGGACCTCCTTGGTAAAATAGACTTTTCTTGCTGGATTCGGATAGGAAGTCGTTGTAAGATTCGTCTACGGCGCACAGATACCGTTTAGCTGCCACATGGGATTCCACGAGGCGGGTGACTTTGTCAGAGAAGCCCAGCGAGAGAAGGAGACGCGCTCCTAGAGTTTCGTGGCCGACGCGACCAACGCTTTGTGTGGCTGGTGCATCGCCCAGATTCTGAATAGGAAGTCTTGATGAAGCAATAAGATCTTCTGGAGGCGCAAACTGGCCAATATCATGAAGCAGTGCCGCCACTTGCGTGGCCTCATCTACAGGCGGCGATGCATGGGCAGCCAGAGCAGCGCATTGTAAGGAATGTTGAAGCTGCGAGATAGGCTCCCCGATATAAGGAGTATGATCTGAAGCTTCAAGAATGGATATTATGTAAGAAGTGATAGTCGTTGGCTTGAGAATTGTAGGGATGGCCATGGTGGGAGAAAACGGCCAGCAGCGTGATAGAAGCTTAAGCTTAGATAGAAGTCATGCAAAGCATTGGGCCGTAATAGATATACAGCGATCGCAAATATTTGAGAGAAAATATAGATAAGCACTATTTTAGCTAATATGGTATGCTAAAACATGGGCTCAAACGCTCCACCCTATGCATGAACACGTGGATAGATCGTCCACTCGGGATTATGCGGTAGGCACGTGGATAGATCGAATCTCATTCACCAGGCTCGATGCTCTTGAGATCTAACGGATAGATCTAATCCACTTAAACTGCTACATCTCCGTAGAACACGCCTTTGGATCGGATACCGGTCGTACAAGTGACGCATATCCAAGTCTAATCATACCGTATAATGTAACAAGATTTCCCAGAGAACTCGAAATTATATTTATATATTGCTTATATATCAGCGACTTTCACTGTTTACTGGTTCTCTATCTAAAAAGCCAACTGGCGGCCAGCATCAACGCTTAACATTGGTGACCCGAAAGCGTATCGCAAAGCTCCATCCTCATACAGCTCCCCCTTTTTACGCATGTGGGTTGCAGGCCATTCCTTCATTCGGCGCTCGTAGTATGCTTGGTGTAAGTCTCCCTCACTAGCGAGATTGTAAGTAGCATAGAGTGCTTTGCGATTCTCATCACTGTCATTCGGCCCACTGCGGTGCGCCAAGTATGATGTGAAGATGAGCAGCTGGCCTATCCATAATGATTAGAGATATTGATATCTTTCTGCTGAAGTGAAGAAGAAAGGGGTGTATATTTACCAGGCTCTAGCTCAACAGGCTTCCACTCATGATTATCCACCCAGTCAGCAGTGATGCAGTGATCGTCATCATTCAGAGGAATATCCATATTATGGCTGGCATCAACAACTTCCAGGCCACCGTTGTTAAAATTAGATTTATCCACGGCAAGCAAGATGGTTAGATGCTTAACATCTTTAATGTGGTTATAGGCCACGGCATCGATATGCGGCGCAAACCCACCTTTTCTGTTAGTAAACGTGCTCGCTCTATCCAGCGAAAATATGACATACCGCTTCCTGCGAGTTTGTAGTTAATCTTCTCTTTAAAAAGATTCATAGGCTCTCCTGAAAGCTCTGCTAATACTCCCAAGAGCTTTTTGCCTCGCAGCAGCCCGTTGAAGCCCTCGTGGGACTCGGCGTAGTTTTCTGTGCGGCACAGAACTGTCTCGCCTCGAGAATTTATTTCCTATCAACTATGAGCAAGAGTTTCCTTTCAATGATAGATCCTAGTTATACTGATCTAATAAAAGACTTTACCTCGTATGGCATGAACTGAGAGTCGGCAGTTGGAGTCCAGTCATGGACCTCTTGTGCCCATCTTTGCAGCTCTTTAGTTTCGGTATCGCTGAGGATATCACGAACAACGAGATACCCATTCGCCTTGATAAAGGCAACTTGTTCCGAGGACAACATGGTTATGCGATGCAACTCCAGTTAACGATATGTGACATAGCTGGGTAGAACCTACAGAGCTAGCCAGCTCTTTTTTAATGCTCAGCTCTTCTTCCCTTTTTCCTCGTCTTCTCTTCTTACACCTTAACATTGCTATTTTGCATCCGGAAGTTCCCCGTCAAGCTAGTATTTCGCTTACGGGAATGAATCCTCTCCCACCGGGAATCTTTCGTCCCATTTCGCTCGCGAAGAGGAACTAATGGCTTTGCGGATTGCCCCACCAAGTGGCTAATACCGGATGTGGACCACCGCCGGAACGCCTCCCGATGAATCAAGAGATATTCTCGGCGCACGTGGCTCGCGTTGCCGTTCGATCGGCACAGGCAGCGCCTTCTTGGGATGCTACAACACCAACAAAACAGAAAGAAATGTGTATCTTGAACAAGATAAACGGCTAGATGACCAAAGATGCAGCTGGGAATACCCCTCAGGTTCGTGCGCACGTGGGAATCGTCAAAATGCGACTGCTCGAATACAAAATTATCCCCTCAGTGGATGACATTTAGACCTTTTATCTCGTAATAATGTTGATTTCGAAGAATATTATAAGTTGTCTTATACGGGGCCACGAAGAGATAGCGCTTATGCAACTTTTAATACACGTTTCTTAGACTTCACCAGATATCGGTCCCTGCATGTGTTCACGTGCATCGTGCTTAATTTGTTCGAATCAAGGCTTTCTCTGTTCACCGTATACTATATATTAAGTTACATTGCATGAAAGCGGAAGCCACTTCCATGTAGGCCACCTTTATCTGAGATAAGACCACAGAGAGTGCTGCTGGAATCTTTCTTTATTCTTGCAGTCCTCAGATCGTCGCCAAGTTGACTCACAAAACCTTCACAAAGATGGACTCCAAGAATGCGCAAGTCAATGAAGTGGCTGTATCGCCAACTCTTCAGCCAAGCAACGATACCAGCAAAGATGCCGTCACTCAGCCAAACATTTCGCGCATCAGTCGCGTCTCATCAATCTTCATGGTCCTCGTCGGTGGCTTAGCTCTATTCTCAGACGGCTACAATGCGCAGGTCATCGGATACATGAACCCTTTATTCGCAGAGCTATATCCCGACGCATTTACCCCTACTATCAAGACTAGACTGTCGAATGCTTTCCTTATTGGGGAAGTGTTTGGAATGCTGTTTTTCGGATGGGGAATCGATAGACTGGGTCGTCGGACTGGCATCGTCTTTGCGACTCTGTTTTTGACCTTGGGAATCGTGTTAGCCACTGCAGCGCGCGGCAAAACTCCGACAGGCTTATTTTGGATGTTAATCGTCTCCCGCGGCGTCGCGGGATTCGGCGCTGGAGGTGAGTGTCACTCTTCAGATTTACAAACGTTGAACAGTGTTTAATGAGGGTTGGGGGTAATAGGAGAATATCCGACTTGTGGTACTGGCAGTGCCGAAGCCTCAGATGAAACTGTCTTTGTAAGACGCCGTCGCGGCATGCTGGTTGCTGTAGCCACAGACTTTGCCATCGACCTCGGTTTCGTAATGGCCGGCGTCATTGTGCTCATTATCTTAGCTGCCTATCATCAGCGAATTAGCGATGGGGTTTGGCGAGTTTCTTTCGGCCTTGGCTTCATCCTTCCTGTCGGTCTCTTGTTCTTTCGTCTTCGTTTGATCAATTCAACTCAGTACCGAAAGCACTCTATGAAGGATATTCCATATTGGCTAGTCATCAAACGTTATTGGAAGCCCATGCTTGGAACTTCACTGGCGTGGTTCATGTATGACTTTGTTGTAAGTGATCGTCTACTTCAATCTCTACTATTAAATGGAACACACCAACTCAATGATTTCCGCTGGACAGACTTATCCTTTTGGCATCTTTGGTTCAACCATCATTGGAACGCTGAATCCCAACAACACCCTTATCCAAAACATTGGCTACGGCACTGTTCTCAACTGCTTTTACCTGCCTGGGACATTAATAGGAGGTCTTCTAATGGACAAAATCGGACGCAAACAAACCATGGCACTGGGATTCTTCTTATGGTCTATCCTAGCATTCATCATTGGAGGCGATCTCAATCCCATAACCAGCGTATTCCCGCTCTTTGTTGTCTTATACGGCATTTTTAACACTTTGGGAGAAATGGGTCCAGGTGTACGTGTAGGCTTTCTCCAATTTTGAAAGGGCTCGTGAAGCTAATTATTCCCAGGTCGGCACTTTTCTTTGCGGCGCAGAATCATTTCCCACCCCTGTGCGAGGCCATTTCTTGGGCTTTGCTGCCGCTGTTGGTAAAGCTGGAGCTGCCATTGGCACGCAAGTTTTCACTCCTATACAAAACTCCTTCTCAGATTCCCAAAAGGGTGTTCAAGGTGTCTTTCTTATCGGAGCTGCTTTTGCCATGGTCGGCTGCCTTATCACCTGGTTCTTGATTCCTGATGAGGAGAAAGACCTTGAGAGTGAAGATGCTCGATTCCGTGCTTATCTTGAGGAAAACGGCTACAAAGGTACTTTTGGGGAGTCGGTAGACGCTGAGGTTAAAAGTACTGCTTTCCATACATAAGTTGTGTAACGATAGATGAAAGTTGTGAAAAGAATCCGAGCTACCTAATAAATGATTATAGCCTTGAAAAAAGAGAAATATTATTATCCAACAACCCAAATCTATTATCCAGCACTCCAACTACAGCGTGGGCTGCTGCCGGCATTGCTGCTATTGCCTCTATTGCTACTGCTACTGCTATCCATGGATTTTTAAATGTATTTAGCAGTTGTGTACATGTTTTTGATATGTGGACTGGCTGCCTTGTTGTGCGCTGCAACTGAGGTGTTGAAAAATAAAGTTGTGGTGCTATATAACTTCTCTTTAAAGAAAAGTTTACTTTCCAAGTTCACTCTAAACCTTTTTTTTAAATAAAAAATAATAACATATATACATGCCTATTGTATATTAACCTCTATAACCCATTTCAGTCTGTCTCTTAAAGACTATATCGGATTTGTCTTGCCATATTGATGTTGGAGGGTATCATATCAAGTGACACTGGGCGTTTCATTGATAGAAGTCGTGCTTCGGATGGCAATAACCGCCTTTAAGCGTAGATTTAAGACAAACATGCCTGCGCCAGTGGCGGACAAGTTCCATCATGCCGAATAATAAATATGTCGTAGGGAACAACAATCATGCCTTGCTTGAGACATGAACAATAACCTTTCCACCACTTGAGCCCTTTTTAAGATGTTCGTATGCTTTCAAGGTCTCTTCGAACTCGAATGTTGAGTCAATGATTGTCTTAATCACTCCCTCGCCTAGCCATTTTGCTATCTGGGCTAAATCGTCGTGATCATTCTTCGTTATGTAGGTAATAAATTTGCTTTTACCTCCACCCAAAAATGAAGGCGTAAATTTTGCCTTCATGACATTCTTAATACTGCTTAGAGATGCAGACCCTCCCACTAGAACAAAGGCTCCCTCCGGCTTGAGATAGTGATGAGATTGCTGATAGAGATCTGGAAGGGATGAACCGACGTTGTCGACAATCAGATCAAAGATGATCGCCTTCTGCTTTAACTGTGTAACAACGTCACCAGCCTTGTAATCGATGATCTCATCAGCTCCTAATCGCTCACAGAGCTCTCGTTTCGCAGTAGAGCAAGAAGTAATGACGTGGCAACCAAGAGCTTTTGCGATTTGAATGCCGTAGGTACCGGCACCGCCTGATCCGCCATTGATAAAGACTTTGGCGCCGGCTTGAACATAAGGCTTTATAGATTGGTACGCCGTCAAAGCAGTCGTCGGCGCGCCGGCTGCGAGATCAAGATCGAAGTCCGGTGGCAAGACAGCGTACCCATGGTAATCGGCAACAATAAATTGAGAGAGTGAGCCTGGTGCTTTTGTAGGATCCAGGCGAACCAGTACAGCGTCGTTGACTTTGACATCTGTTACATCATTTCCGATAGCGACGACTTTGCCGCTTAGGTCCATCCCTGCTGTCTTGGGAAACGATGTAATTGCCTTGGATGCGAAGCCCATCTCTACCATCTTATAGTCTGCGGGATTGAGTCCAGCACTGACGACTTCAACAAGAATTTGTCCTTGTTGAAGGGGCTTGGAAGGCTTCGCTGCATTATCGACAAGTTTCAACACATCGTCTAGAAGCCCAGGGGTGGCAATTTGCCACGCTTGCATATTTGTAGACATGTTGCAGTTGTTTTTCTCACAGACTCTAAAAAAGCAACAGTAGATCAAAAAGAAGAAAAGAAGAGAAAATCCTTGATTCCTTCTTTTTTTTTTTTTTTTTTTTTTTTTTTTCCACTTCGCCGCTATACAACTTATATCAAATAATCTTGACCATAAACCGAGCCTCGGCAGTTCCCACCAATGGAAACCACCAACGGCAATTTCCATGACGCGGAGTTTTTCCCTTCGTAGGGAGCGGAGCGGAAATCGACCAACTAGGAAACATCCACTTTCTTCTTGGAAACAAGCGGATCCGCTTCTCTAGAAAGATTCTTAACGTGCCACTTCAGGATATTTTGGCTTGGCTAAAGCCGTGCGAACAAGAGGAGAATTCCATTAGATAAGGACTTACTAAGCCGATTTCAGGATATCGTAAACATGTATGTCGTATTTACGATTAATTTAGGTACATCGCCTTACAATTCGTAAATTCTAAACAAAAGAGAAGAGTAATGCAAAGGGAAAAATTATACATTAGAAGTCTGAAAAGCATCGTTTGCGTTGACACCACAAGAACATGCCAGAGAGCAAGCGCACGCAAGTATTTGAAGTAAAGTAAGAACGTATTGCACGAACAAAAAAATCACCAATCTTCTACAGAGAGAAGCAGCACTTGACTTAACTTGGTCCCGATATACTAATACCCATGAATATAAAATAGAACGGGTGGATTGAGAAAGCTTGTTATCAGCTCTCTTCGAATGCTCCGATAATTGGCTATCATGAGTCTTTGAACTATTGCAATAAAATGTTTTCAATTTTTTTGACAAGGCCTGATCAGCTCATTTAGACTCAGCTGTTGATAAGTCATATGTATTGAATGGTATATTAGCGAGCGTAAATGTACACGGATGCTTTTGTAACTGCCAGAAATTTAGGGTAGCGTCCTATGTCGGTGCGATGCAAGTATGGCTATGGGATTTCACTATTCCACGACGGCGTAAAGTAGGCTAACTGGAAATGAAAAGCAAAATTATCTCCTTTTGTGTTTTTTTTCTTCTACATTCTATTTCTAGATAGTAGACAGCAATATCACTATATCACTGGCATGCTTGGATCATGTTGCTGGTTGGATGTTTTTCTAGGGAGTCCGTCAATGTTGCCCATCAAACCTCTTAGTCCCCTGACCGTTGAGACAGTCCAGTTAAGGCTGCGAAATGGCAGCTTCATTATGAAACACAAGATTTACCTACCAAAAACTCAAAAGAGAAGGGAAAAAAGAAAAAAATAATTGCTCCATTAAGTGTCATCGCCCTGCTACGCCACTACAGCACCCATCTCGGTAGCCTCTTCGGTCGTGCTACTAGCAGGCCTTTAACTCGGAGCAACACGCGTAGATCTGTTAGTCTCAAGCTATCTTCCGTGCAATGGCCAGCAATGGCAAACTCCACATGACAGGCAAAATGATAATACCGATATCATCCAAGGTAACTACTAATTACAATGCCAGTGCATGCTTTATTTACTTCACATATACCATGTAGTCAATGAAAGTGGTCAATAAGCGACAGCCAGCCTCTCAATTCCCATCTTTATAGAGCTCTAGATGGAGCCTGTGTCGCCTTGAGAAGTCCAGGCCTGAACGACTAGACTAGCTACCTACGGGGCGCAATCCGCGCATTAGTTGTTTAGTATACTAGATGGATTTGAAAAGAGCATCTATTTCACCAATGAACTTGATAAGACAAGATACTAGTAAGAAACAATGTAACGTTGTTGGCTCTGTAGCCTCTTAAACGGCCCACGTCCAGCCGTTTTGAGTAACCTCCGACAGCGCAGGAATCAGGCCAATGAAAGGGCGCCGACCAACAGCAGGATGAGCGACCCTGGTCTCGTCCTCCAGCTCATGAAATAAAACACAATCAATATTTATCGCATCAACATCCCCCAGGCTCTGTGAGAAAGAAAAACACTCAGCGGTACAGCACGCCCGGCTCTCGGGATACTCATCCCATTTACCACTTGACTCGGGTATAATCGCTTCAAGTGAAACTAGAGGGCTATTGCCACACTCCTGTTCAATATGCATTTCCGATACCTGATGGCCCTGACCGCGTCGCTAGCTTTTCGACAAGCTGTGGCCTTATCAATACAACTGACTGAACGAGAGCGACCAGATAGACCGCTGGTCGTTGGGGTTCCAGTAGAATATGGCCCCGCATCAGGTCAAGTTATCATGCAGGCAACCACGCCCCTGATCAATATTTCTGTCGGAACGCCACCACAAGTCGTAAAAGTTGCGGTAGATCTTCAAAGCTCTTCCATCTCTCTTCTTGTGCCAGACCTTCGGAAATACGAGCCGCTATATGTTGGCGGGGAAGATGACTGTTCTGATGATGATTATTGCACTCTCATGGGTGACTTTGATCCCGGCAAGTCGTCCACGTTCAAAAACACAACAGACGTAAACGGCGCCACCGGCTCGGATTCCATGTTGATTGCCGACAAGAGAGTAGATGGCGTTTCAATATCTCTTTCTAGTATCGATGGTACCTGTAAGTGTTCCAAGATTAACAATCAAGGTCAAATAGCTGATTTAACAATTCTTTAGACAGTACTCTGGGTGTTGCGCAGCAACCTAGCTTTCCGTTTAAATTGGTTGATCAGGGCTTAATCAATTCTCCGTCGTTCAGCCTCTGGAGCGATGCATCGAAAAATAAGGGAATCTTGCTTTTTGGTGGGGTTACCCAAGGACTGTACACGGGAAGGCTCCAAGCTTTTCCTTTCCCAGGAAATGGTACTGTGAGCTTGCCAGTCGCATCAGTTGTCGTGGAGAGCAGCGGCAACACTACAAGGCATGATATCAACTCGCCGGCGGTATTGTCTACGGTCGACAGCCACACTTTTCTTCCCAACGATACGGTGCAGAAGGTTTATGCTGATCTTGGCATCACGCCTACTTTTGTGCCAGACTTTAATGCTACTATTCCCTACGTCGAATGCGCTAGACAGCATTCGGAAAACCACACCATCTCTTTGTTGTTTGGCAACGCCACCATCGAGGTACCTTGGAGCGCCCTGGTTCAATCTCTTGGAAACAATATGTGTGAGCTCGCAATTTACAGCTATGAGCCATGGAGGGATGTTGGACCAGGCTCCCAGATACAAATAGGGGCTATTATTCTGCGGTATATGTATTTGGTTGTGGATTACGAGAACATGTTCGCCGCTGTCGCACCCCCTAATTATAGCCCAGGTTGGGATGAAGATTTGGGGATTGGAAATGGGACCCGGATTCCAGATGCAGACGGAAACTTTCCGGCTACCATTACTACATACGGGGCATCTACGCCAACGCCGACCAAAGAGGTTCTGTCAACATCATCATCGCGAGCTGTGGCTATGAAACCTCAAGAGAAGGGCTTAACATCCGGATTTGTAGGGGTATTGCTTGCCGTATGCTATTTAGTGATATAGATTATAATATCTTATTAAGGGGCGGGCGCTTGACTTGTGTCACCCCGATCTCATAAGCTTCCTCTTGGCACCTAGATGTTTTGCAAGCTGCAACGCTGAATAGAAGGGAAAAGGGTAAGTAGTAGTATAAGTTAGACGAGATACACAGTAGTAAATCGCGTACCTCCAAGGCCATCTTAATATGCGTTGGAATTTTATCTAACATAAAACATAAAGCAGTCGTGACAGCGATCTCTCTTTTGACCTCAATATAGAGAAACTAACAACACGAAGCAAATGCCGCGAAGAGCAGCTCCAACTTTGAGCGCAACTGAGCGTGCCGTCTCTTTATACTGCCTGAAATGTATGATGACTTTCGCAGTGCAGTAGCTGCTATTCTGCTTGTTGAACTTATGTACTTGCATGTACTATGAGAAAGCCAACACAGTAATGCTTTACCGCTTCTGCATATGACTATTTTCTTCGTAATACCAGCACCAAGGTACGACACAATACTAATACCATGCAAGGGTAGAGGTGCGCAGAAGGCGCGACAGCCGCTTGATGCTATTGGCCGAAAACAATGAGACATGCGGCAGCTTGGGAGACGCGGCATGATAACGCCCGGTTTTCAGCCATCGTCATTTATTATTATGGGCCTAGGATGATACAACCCGGCACGACTTGGAAATCACGGCACGAGCGATTCGTTTCTAGATGTAAGACGTTTAGTTGGCAGCTGACACGACACCTAGCTGTCTAGGACACATGAAACAAAAGCAGGAAAGGGGAAACAGATCATGTAATGATCACCAGGGAATCAGCTTCTACCCCTACATCATAGGTTATGAGCGGCACAGAGTTGAATCGCATAAAGCTATACCAACTGGACAAAGCCGAGCTCATATTTCCCATGAGATATACAATTGTACCTTTACAGAGACCCGCATGTTGAATAAAGAGGAGTATATTGAATGTAATACTCTGCAGATATTAAAAATGTGTGCTGCGAGAAGATATCATTTCATCTACGATAGTCGCTATTCTCATTCCAAAATGGTGGAGTTTTGGCGCATAGCAGATCTTTGCTGTCTCTAGCGATCAGAGACAGAAATTAGACATGTCATCATATTACTATATACTACGCGCGACATAGGAGACAAGTCACGTATAGCGCTCAAGATTCGCCGTACGCAAGGAGAGCCATAAGTCCGACAGTGGGAATGGTGCCTTCTCAAAGTGGTATAATTATGCCTTGTAACACTTTTTAATCTTCTCCTCCGCTGACGGTATACACAGCTCGTAATGAGATTGCCCCCTCTCCTTGCGTATCCCCATTATCGCATGACGAGTTCAATTCTTCATGTTCACAAGGCGTTTAGGTTATGGGCCGGTTACGTTTCGGCGCTCTGCTCAGAGTTGAGCCACTTTTGTCGCTTTGGGGCATCTTGATTGAGATCTTCAGTTTCTATGTCGCGATCATTCTGCCGGGATGCGTGAGGAGAGTGTGTTTGGGTAGGTTAAAGAAGACTGAATTGCACGCTTAGTTTCTATTGCTTTTTACTTTTCTATATACATAAATAGAAACGGAATTGGAAAAATTGGCACTCGTGCGCGCAGCTGCATACTGCGACGACAAGGTTAATGCCGTCTGGCAGCAATTGGCAATCGCTTTTTTATATCCATTCATTAAAGAGATTACTTTTACCCCTTTACTCTTCAGCAAGCATTGTAGTGTATTATGCTGTTTTCCGTTTGGACCCTCTCAGTGTTTACTACAAAGAGTTCCGATATGAGCCATGTTAGTGATTCTATTTACCCTAAAGCGTAATGGGCAATCGGAAACGGCATCACTTATGTGGAAGAAGCTCGAAAACTTATCACATATATATCCGTACTAGTGTAAAGCACGACTCTCATCATATGAGGCAGCATTTTCTGTGCTTCTCGCATTGCCGGTACCGACCTCTCGCTTGAATTTCTTTGACCTACAGTATATACCGTTTACGGCTCTTATGAACGCGGGTGGCATCCGTATCCTATGGTAGAGCCATCAAAATCAACAACTATTTAAAGGCATTGATGTCACTTATTGATCGGTTTTTATTCACTGTACGTCTACCGTCAGGAGAATTACTATGATGTTTTAGTAGTATCTTGAAACTTATATTACTCACCCATGCTGTATTATGCATGGTGTGATCTTGTCTGCCTTACCGCGGGAGCTATAAAGTGGGTATTTGATCTAAGGGCTTGTTGTAGCGCTGTTAACCCTACATGATACCAAGTACTTACATGCACGTCTCAAAGATCCCGCCACCATCCATCAAGAGAACATGGATACTCTTATAAAAATAAGGATCCGTGCGTTCGCTGATCCAATGGCGGTAAAGAGCCTGTTGAAACATGAATGCAATTTCCGGCAAGCGTTTGTGGAACCGTTGGCTACTACTGTGTCTTACTCCGAAGAGTAATGTTGATCGTATTAGTCGTAGCTGTAAGCCGAGTTGTTGGCCATATAGGAACTCCTAGGTCTTGTTCTGTTTGTTTTCCTTTCAACTTACAGTTCATTGTATCTTGAAGGCATACATTGATTATCCGACTCAGTCTAGTCACTCTTTACTTACTGTTCTACTTCGCGAGGATATAGAACTCGCCATGTCGACTTTAGCTGCAGATATAGCAGCTCGAAGCGGCCTCAGTGGCTCTGCTGACGGACCCAAAGAACCAAAGGATGAGGATGGCAGTATAGCGCCAGAACTAATTATGTTTTCTGCAAACAATCTCACGTCATTGAACGAGCAGATGAAGGTTTACAGTGAATACGCAATGGCGCACCCAGAACTCATTTCCGATATTGCCTACACTCGAGCGATTCGACAAGAACCTTCCAAGTATCGTGCGTTTACGATCTTAGGCGCCGGTGCCAAGATGCTTAGCACTGCGCCCCATACAGAGACCTCTTCTGCGCTACCTTCTTCCATTGTGATGGTATTCAACGGCCAAGGGGCTCAATGGGCAGGTATGGGAAGAGAACTTCTCCAATTTGAAGAATTTAAGAACGACATAAAGCGTATGGACGCGATCTTGCGAGTATTGAAGAATCCACCTACTTGGACTATCGAAGAGGAGATGCAGAGACTGGCTGATGATCCTCTTTGCCGGATCGATTCTGCGGATATCGCTTGTATGCTCACCATCACTCTGCAAATTGGGCTTGTTCATCAATTTGAACGAGTGGGAGTAAAGCCCGAGGCCGTTGTTGGACATTCTAGCGGCGAGATCGCTGCAGCCTACGCCGCCGGTCTTCTGACTCTCGATGAGGCCGTTACTGTCGCCTACTACTATGGCTATGTTGCCGCGATGTGCAAATCCGACGGGGCTATGGCAGTTACTGGTCTCAGTGCAGAGGAGACGGCTCAGTTCTTACGTCCTGGCGTTGTCGTGGCCTGTGAAAATAGTCCCTCAAGCACGACGATTTCTGGGGACCGCGGCGCTGTGGAGGAAGTGGTTGCTTCAATCCATAAGTCTAGACCACAGGTTGTTACGCGGAAGCTACATGTCAATACGGCATTCCACTCACAGCATATGGAAATAGTCTCTGGCAAGTATTTAGCACTGCTAGAGGCTGAACAAATGACCCCGACGGAGAAAACAAATCGACAAGCTGTTTTTGTGTCAAGCGTTAGCAGCGGTATTATTAGCGACGCAATTGCTCCTAGTTATTGGGCGACCAACCTGACGTCGCCTGTTCGCTTCTCCTCTGCTGTTGAGTCTGTTCTCAGTACTGCTCCTAATAGCCTGTTCCTCGAAATTGGACCTCACTCTGCTCTCTCCAGTCCGCTCTCTCAAATTTGCAGTAATCTCAGTATGCCTTGCAAGTATGTTTCTTCTCAATCTCGAGGAAACAACTGCCGTGTCAGTTTTCTATCTGCAGTTGGGAGACTATGGCAGGCATCTGTGGCATTAAATCTCAACCCTTTATTTACGGGAAAAGCAATCTCGGAATTGTCTCAGTATCCGTGGAACTACACCAACTATAGCAAAGAAAGTTTATCAGCGGCCGAAGTTGTGATTCTTTCGCCAAAGGATAAACGAAGTCGATTGATCTCGGAAGCAGCATCCATAATGCTTCCAGCAAACTCAGCTACCGAAGTACCAAAGACGGAGCTAGAGCTGGTTCTGCGGGCTCTCTGGGCCGACATCCTTCGCAACGTGCTTCAAGTTTCCATGGCGGATATTGGAAGGCAACATAACTTTTTCTCCCTTGGTGGTGATTCTTTAACAACAACTGAGCTCGTCACGGCCGCCTATAAACATGGGATACGTTTGTCTCCGGTAGACATTGTGCAAAACCCCGAGCTCTGGCAGATGGCCGCCGTGGCGTACATTGATGAGGCTGAGATAAGTGGAGAAGTCGTTCCGTTCAGCCTGATTCAGAAAGATGGCGCGGAGAGCCTCAAAATCGAAATTCAACATAAGTGCGGATTGCAAACTGACAGTATCGAGGATATCTACCCCTGTACACCTCTTCAAGAGGGATTCTTAGCCTTGGGTCTCAAACAGCCTGGTAGCTATATACATCGTCAAGTCTATAGGCTGGAACCCCAAGTCGATATTGAGCGGTTTGTGGATTCGTGGAACAAAGTCATAAAATATTGTGGCAGTCTACGATCAAGAATTCTTATGCTCAATTCGAATGCTTTACAAGCTGTCATCACAACTGATGATGCCTGGGAGCATCCTGTGTCGGGCGTTGATGTTGATACCTATTTACATACTACGCAAAGTATTCCCATGAGCTATGGAGACCGCCTAAGTCGATATACACTGCTCTATCAGGATAACGGTGAAGTTTATTTCATCTGGATTGTTCACCACGCAGTATTTGATGGCCTTAGCATGAAGATAGTTCTTAATGCTCTCCACAAAGTTTATAACGGCGCTGAACTTGCCCTGTCGCCTTACTCAAATTTTATTCGGTACATCAAGTCGCTTGACTCTAACGCTTCAGGCTTATACTGGAGAAAAGAGATGGAAGGGGCGCAACGATCTCAATTTCCCGCTGCTTCTACTTCTGTGAAATCTCAGGATCGTGTGTTCAGGAGATCTATACCATTCCAGAACCCCAAGGCATCGATCACTGCAGCAACTATAATCCGCGCTGCTTGGGCCCTGGTTCTCTCTCAGTACTGTGTTTCCGATGATGTGTGCTTCGGTATGACCTTATCAGGCAGGCAGGCCCCAGTTCCAGAATTGGACAATATTCCAGGACCAATGATAGCGTCAGTCCCCGTGCGCGTCAAAATTGACCGAGAGATGCCTGTGTCAAAGTTCCTCCAGCAACTACAATCGCATGCTGCAGAGATGGTCGCCCATGAGCAATTTGGGCTTCAAAATATCGCTAAACTGGGCCCAAATGCGAAGGAGGCATGTGATTTTGCGAATTTGCTGGTTATTCAGCCCATTCAGCACCTCTCTTCAACTGCCTGTTCTGCATTAGATGCAATTCTCCAACAAGGATCAAAAGAAATGGCAATATCTGAAGAAGCTATGAAAAACTACTTCAACTACCCGTTAGTTCTGCAAGCCTGGGTGGGGGATGGCTTCATCGACCTCCACGTCACATACTATGAAGACATCATGGTCCACGGTCAAGTAGAAGCATTAGCAAATCACTTCGAACACGTCACTCAACAGCTTCTTGGCTCGGAAGACGTTTCTTTAAGACATATTACAGGCACTAGCTCGTGGGACATCCAGCGCGCCATAGAGTATAACAACGAAGAGCCAGACATCATTTCTTCGTGCATTCACCAGGTTGTTGAAGAACATGCTCGAGAACATCCGGATACAATGGCTGTCTGCGCTTGGGACATGAAGCTCTCTTACAGCCAACTTAATATTGCTGCTAATAGGCTAGCAAGCTACCTTCATCATGACTTCGCAGTCAAACAAAATGACATTGTTCATGTTTGCTTCGAAAAGACTGTCTGGTTCTTTGTTTCCGTACTGGCAATTAATAAGGCTGGAGCTGCATGGGCCCCCTTGGACCCCTCACATCCGATTAAACGCCAGCAAGAAATTGTGTCCCAAACAAAGGCAAAGCTGGTGTTAACTTCCCCTAACAGCGTTGGACTATGCCATGGCTTGGTCGACAACGTCATTGAAGTTTCTTCCACCCTGGATGAGACGCTGAAGTCGAGACAGCAAGATAGTCAAAATCTACACCCGGTTTCCCCAATTGCCGTGGCTTACGTTCTTTTCACGTCTGGGAGCACAGGAACACCAAAGGGCTTGGCGATGCAACATAAAGCAGCTTGTACGAGCCAGACTGCTACTGTTAAGAGAGTTGGCATGACACGAGATGCTAGAATGCTCCAATTTGCATCATTCGTTTTCGATATGTCAGTTGGAGAAATGCTAGGTCCCTGGATTGCTGGTGCTTGCATTTATGTGCCATCTGAAGAGACTAGAATGAACGGGCTGGCCGATTACATTCGCTCTATGGACATTACTTGGATGTATTTAACCCCTTCATTCTCGCGCACAGTAAACCCGGATACAATCCCTGGCGTTCAGGTGTTGGTTCTCGGGGGGGAGATGGTTGGCCGTGATATTCTGAACACATGGTTTGGAAAGGTTCGTCTTATCAACGGATGGGGCCCAACTGAAACCTGCGTGTTTAGCACGCTGCATGAGTGGACATCTCTCGAAGAATCGTCGTCTACGATTGGAAGGCCTGTTGGTGGCTTTTGCTGGATTACTGAGGATTCAAACCGACTAGCGCCCATTGGAGCTATCGGTGAGATTGTTATCCAGGGCCCGACAATTCTAAAGGAATATCTTTCGGATTCTGCGAAAACCGAGGCAGCTATAACGGAGTCACTACCTGATTGGATGCCGAAGCGCCATTCCGAGGGTTGGAATAGACTTTACAAAACTGGCGATTTAGGCAAATACAATCCAGACGGAACCATAGAGTTTGTCTCGCGCAAAGATACACAAATAAAAATTCGAGGCCTTCGCGTGGAATTGGGCGAAATAGAGTACCAGCTCAAAATAAACATTGAGGGAGCCAGCCAGATTATGGTGGACAAGATCACCACAGAGGTTGGCTCCAGTTTAGTTGCCTTCTTTTCTTTCAGCAGCGAAACAAGAATGATGGCAATGGATAGTATTACTGACGAGGGGGCCAATGATATCTTTCTTCCATTGACGAGTGACTTGAAAAGTCGAATCGCCTCCACGGTTGGACAGCTTTCGGTGACACTTCCGCGGTATATGATACCGTCATTCTTTATCGAATGCCGATATATGCCCTCAGTGTCTTCCACGAAGTTGAACAGGCGTATGTTGAAGCGTTTAGCTGAATCTCTAGACCTCAAAAGCCTTTCGACTTATTCATTAGTCAAATCCATCAAGAACGCACCGGAAACCGCAATGGAGAGTAGATTGCAAGCAATTTGGGCTAAAAGGTTAAATGTACCACTCGAATCTATAGGACGAGACGATAGCTTCTTGGAACTAGGGGGAGACTCCATCGCTGTCATCCATTTTGTGGCTGAAGCCCGCCAAGCGACAATATCGCTCACCGTCAAGGATGTCTTCGATGACCCACGGCTCTGGAAAGTAGCCTCTATTGCAGATAACGCAAACTCAGAGTCGGACTTGGTTTCTCAAATCCCACCATTTAGCTTGCTTAACCTTGACCTGCTGGATACCAATGTCAAAGAGGAACTCCTCAGTCAGTGTGGCATAACTAGTTGGGATATGATAGAAGATGCATTCCCCTGTTTGGCACTACAAGAAGGGTTAATGGCCATGACTGCTAAGCAAAGAGGTGCTTACATTGCAAAAATGGTCTTCAAGATTGCTCAGAATGTTGATATTGACCATTTGAAGGCTTCTTGGGAGCGTACGGTCGCTATTTGCAGCAACTTACGCACTAGAATCTTGGCGTTGGGCGACAGATCAATCCAAGTCATTGTCAAAGAGGCTTCATTATGGGAAAATACGGATGGCTTGAGCATGGATGCCTTCCTCAAGCGTGCAAATGATATCCATATGACCTATGGAACACGACTATCACGTTTCGCACTCGTTCGAGATGCCAGCGGTGACAAATATTTTATATCCATTATGCATCATTCCATATTCGACGGCTGGTCATTGGATCTTATGGTCCGCGCCTTCAGCGCAATATTTCACGGCAATAACGCACCAAGGCTGGACTCATACTCCAGGTTTGTGAAATATGCACTTGATGCCGACTCAAAAAGCTCAGAGAGCTATTGGACAACGCAATTGTCAGGTGCTAGCCGAGCTTCGTTCCCCCTGCCGATGGATGGCATGTCTGCTCATAAGTCTGAGAAGAAGATGGGTGTCTCATCACGAGATATCGACCTTTCGCCATTAACAAACAGTTCTATCACGAGAGCAACATACCTTCGAGCTGCTTGGGCCATTCTTCTTGCACGATACTGTGATACAGACGATGTCTGTTTTGGTGTCTCCGTATCTGGCCGTAACGCTCCTGGTGCGGAAAACGTTCTTGGGCTGGTTGTCTCAACGCTTCCTATTCGAGTTCGTTTGGATCCAAACCAAACTCTGTTAGAGTTCCTGCACAATATTCACAAGCAGTCCATTGATATGGTAGCGCATGAGCAATTTGGGTTGCAAAAAATTGCTAAATTGAACTCTGAAGCAAAGGAGGCCTGTAACTTTTCCAGCCTGTTCGTCATTCAGCCAAAGGAACTGGTGAGCAGCTCCAGTGAAGAGGAAGCCATCTTTGTCTCCACTAGAGCAGAACAACGGTTAGCTTGGCAATCAATGACGGACTATTTCAGCTGTCCACTTATTGTTCAATGTCATTTGAATGATGATACAGTTGACTTGGAACTTGTATACGATACGGCTATTATATCCGAATTCCAGGTTCAGGCACTGCATAATCAACTGGACCACGTAGTCCAGCAACTTATATCATCTAGTGAAGAGAAGATGCTCCGCAACGTATCTATAGCGGGGCCGTGGGACTTACAGCAAGCCATGGATTGGAATGCCCATGACATCGTAGTCGAACAAGACTGTTTACATGATGCTGTTTCAAGACAAGCTGAGTCATGCCCTGATGACGAAGCATTGTACTCCACGGAGTTTTCGTTGACGTATGCTTCACTTGATCGTCTTTCTAATCATGTGGCCTATCAGCTATTACAGCACGGTATTCAGCCCGAATCAATAGTGCCTTTCTGTATGGAGAAATCGATATGGACTGTGGTCGCCATGGTTGGTATCATGAAAGCAGGTGGTGCATTTATGCCTTTAGACCCCTCGCATCCGAAAGTGCGAACATGGGCCTTGGTTAAGGAAGTTAACGCTAGCGTTATGATCTGTTCGCCCTCTACGGCCCAATCCTGTGGAGGAATGGTTCAGGGAATTATAGAGGTTTCGGCTTCACTACTGTCATTGCCTTTTGAGACTCCTGTCAACTATCAGGCACTCAGCAACTATGAGCGATCGAAACCACAAAACGCGGCCTACGTGATATATACGTCAGGCTCTTCAGGAAAACCCAAGGGCATAGTCATGCCGCACTCGGCCATATGTACCGCACTATTTCGTCAGCCTGAAGTTGTGCATATCACGAAAACCTCACGGGTCTTTCAATTCTCTAGCTATGCATTTGATGGCTGCATAATAGAGATATTTGCGGCGCTTATCACTGGAGCCACCGTTTGTGTACCTACCGATACTGAGAGACTCAGCAGTACATCACAGTTTATGACACAGGCACGGGTCACTCTGACATTTTTGACTCCTTCATTCATCAAAACAATTGATCCTGAGACCGTACCAACGCTGATCACACTGTGTGCTGCTGGAGAAGTCCCAACAAAAGACATCATGACTACATGGCACGGACGAGTAGAGCTTTTCAATCTGTATGGCCCAGCCGAGACATGTGTTATGTGCTCTGCCCACTGTTGGACGTCACCAAGTGAATCCCCTACGACCGCGGGTCGGCCTTATGCTCACCATTTATTCATTGTTGAACCGAATAACATGAACCGCCTGGCCCCAATTGGATGTATTGGCGAATTAGTTGTTGAAGGTCATGCAATTGCGCGTGGGTACATCAATAATGAAGAAAAAACCAACGCTGCATTTGTTAGTGGCCTTGAATGGATGCTGCCTACAGGCTCAACCAAGGCTTATAGGACCGGTGATCTTGCAAAGTTCAATTCTGACGGCTCAATACAAATTCTTGGACGACGGGATACACAAGTTAAACTGCGTGGCCAGCGCATAGAGCTCGGCGAGATTGAACATCGCATTATGAGTGAGCTTAAAGGAGTGCGATATGCTGTGGCAGATGTCGTTGAGCGTGAAGCCGGCAAAATGCTTATCGCATTCGTCACCCTCCAAAACCATCCGCGCCCTGCTACAATAAGTACTTTGGCTGTTGATGGCAGTTTGATCTTTGATGAAACGGTCACTAAGTCTTTGCAAGCCCTAGTTCAGAACTTGCGACTGGTATTACCGAGTTATATGATCCCGAGTGTGGTAATACCTCTATGGGACATGCCTCATAATGCCTCTCAAAAGATCGATAGACGGGTGCTACGTGAGCTAGTCGCCGGCATGTCCCAGGAAACATTGTCAAAATTCTCGACAAGTAAGAGGGACCAGACTTTGCCCACAACTGAGTTGGAGCTCAGGCTGCGGGACCTCTGGGCTCACATCATAAAAGTCGATCCAGAGAGTATATCTAAATTTGATAACTTTTTGGAAATTGGCGGTGACTCAATTTCTGCCATCTTCTTATCGAACCTTGCTGCAAAAGAGGGTTTGATCTTGCCAATCGTGAATATATTCAAGAATCCCCAACTTGCTTCTATGGCAGCCTCAATAACGTCTGGACAAGCAACAAGCTTTGATGTTGTGCCATTTGAGATGATTGAGGAAACTACTTTGCAATCTGTATGCGACAGCGTCCGGCAAAAATGCTCACTTTCGAATAGCCAGAAACTTGAAGACATTTTGCCTTGTACACCGCTACAAGAGGGGCTCATGGCACTCGCTGTAAAACAGCCGGGATCTTACATCGCCAAGCGTGTATACAGGCTAGTAGAGGCTATTGATATTGACCACTTCATGGCGTCTTGGGAGCACACTGTCCAGTTGTGTAGCAACTTGAGAACGAGGATTATAATGAACGATAGAACATCCCTGCAAGCCGTTGTTGCTAATGATATGAGTTGGGATGAAACAGGTGATTTGTCGTTGTTGTCCTATTTGGAGAACGAGTTCGAAATGGAATACGGATCGCGCTTGTCACGCTACGCCATTGCCAGCGATTCAAACGGGTCAAAGTATTTCGTCTGGACAGCACATCACGCCGTAATCGATGGGTGGACAATACAGATCAACCTTGACACGCTTCAGCAGGTTTATAACAGAAAGCCTGCGCCGACGTTGCAGCCTTACGCCAATTTTATCAATTACATCAGACAACTCGACCAACAAGCTGCCGCAAACTATTGGCTTTCTGAACTAGAAGGTACTCAACGACCTGCATTTCCACCTGCTAGTTCGCCTTTCCAACCCATAGCGGCAGAAGCCAGCGCAACGCGCGTTCTGAATACACGGATTGTGTTTCCATCCCTCGACAAATCGTCCATCACAAAACCCTCAGTCCTGAGAGCGGCGTGGGCAATTGTTCTCGGTCGATATAGCGATACTGACGACGTGTGCTTTGGAGTGACTACTTCAGGTCGGCAGGCACCTGTTCAAGGCTTGTCGGAGATGACTGGCCCAGCAATATGTACACTGCCTGTTAGAATTCGCCTGGATCAATCAAAACGCGTTTCAACATTCCTCCAAGAGATCCAAGCGCAAGCAACGGAAATGATTGCACACGAGCAATTTGGGCTGCAAAATGTCTCCAAGCTTAGTGCAAGCGCCAAAGACTCTTGTGATTTCAATAGCCTGCTTGTCATACAACCAAACGAGATCAAGAACCTGGAAAATGACATTCTTACACCAATTGATATTAATGGCCTGGGCGCGGAAAAGATGTTGGGCAACTATTTCAGCTATCCATTCGTCGTGGAGTGTAGTTTGCTGGAAAACCACGTTGACCTTATGCTCGTGTATAAGTCAGACATACTTACTGAGCGCCAACTTCAAGGTTTGTGTTCTCATTTTGAGCATGTCGTGTCACAGTTGCTTGACGAACATGACAATCTTCTCGGCCATATCTCTCTAATAAGCGATTGGGACGTAAACTTTGCTCGATCTGCTAATTGCGATGAGCCTGTTGCAATCAACCAATGCATCCACCACCTTATTGAACAGCGTGCACAAATGCATCCCAGCTCCATTGCCATTGATGCTTGGGATGGCCAATTCACATATTCTGAAATGGACGATGCTGCTAATAGATTGGCCAATCATCTCGTGAGAAATATGGGAGTACAAGTGGGAGATCTTGTTCTTGTATGCTTTGACAAGTCTTCGTCATTCATCATCGCAACCTTAGCCATCAACAAAAGCGGCGCAGCTTGGGTGCCGCTTGATCCATCACACCCGGCGGCGCGCCATGAATCAATTGCCAGTCAGACAGGAGCACGTATAGCACTCTGTTCGCCTACTAATAGCTCGAAATGCCTCAACCTAGTGTCAAACGTCCTTGAAATAAGACCTCAACTCAACACTGAGCTTGCATTGAATCAGTCCAACGAGACCAAGCTAGCTGTGTCTGTTTCCCCTCGAGATTTAGCATACATAATTTTTACCTCTGGATCGACTGGCACACCGAAGGGTGTGGCTATTCAGCATGATTCTCTTTGCAGCAGCCAAACTGCCTTTTGCAACCGACTCGGCATGGATGTCAACATCAGAACGCTTCAATTTGCTTCCTACGTGTTTGACGCTTCAGTTGCTGAGATTGTGGCCACTCTTTTAGCCGGCGGTTGCGTGTGTGTCCCTTCATGGGCCATGCAAATGACCTCACTTGCAACCTATATACGAGAGGCCAAAGTAACATTCTCTTTCTTAACCCCTTCGTTTGCCCGAACAATTAGTCCTGAAGATGTGCCATGTCTCGAAACTCTTATTCTTGGCGGAGAGGCAATTGGCAGAGACGTATTTGAGAAATGGTTTGGAAAATTGCGGCTCTTTAGCGCCTGGGGACCTACTGAAACCACTGTGATTGCTACGCTTCACGAATGGGAATCTGCCAACGAGTCCCATCTTACGATCGGCAGACCTATAACGGCCTACTGCTGCTGGATTGTGGACCCCAAGGATCCCCAGAAGTTAGCCCCTACAGGTACCCTTGGCGAGATCGTTGTCCAGGGACCAGCCTTGATGCGAGAGTACCTATTGGACCAAGAGAAAACGGCTTCTGCTATAGTGACCTCACTGCCGGCATGGGTACCTAATCGCAATACATGGGGCCGATTCTATAAAACGGGCGACTTGGCAGTGTATAACTCTGATGGCACCATTAGGTATTCTTCCCGAAAAGATAACCAGGTAAAGATCAGAGGCCTGCGCATAGAGTTAGGCGACATTGAGCATCACATAAGTAATAACTTGAATGATGTTTCTCAAGTTGCTGTCGATGTGTCGAAGCGCGATGCCGCGACTGTCTTGGTGGCCTTTATATGCTTCAGCGATGATACTCTTCCAGTTGGCTCGATAGATGATGAGACCGCGCAGAATATTCTGCTGGAGCCAACGCCGCGTCTAACAGCCAGCATCAACACCCTAGTCGGACGTTTGAATGTTGTACTGCCGACCTATATGGTGCCAACGCTTTTCATCCCCTGTAAAGCAATGCCGCTGGTTACGTCTTCTAAGTTGGACAGAAAGATGCTGGTCCAACTTGCTGCGTCTCTCGACCAACAACAGTTCGAAATGTATTCTTTAGCCCATGGAGTCAAGGTTTCACCAGCGACTGATATGGAGCGCCGTTTACGGGAAATTTGGGCCGAAATACTGAACATGGCCCCTCAGTCAATCGGTCGCGATGATAGCTTTTTAAAGATTGGCGGCGACTCAATTGCGGCTATCCGTCTTATCGCTGCTGCTAGAAGTCGCGGAATTGAACTCGTCATCGGTGACATTTTTAGTGATCCTCGTTTGCTCGCCATAGCTAGCAAGGCTCGGCATGTTGAAGTATCGTCGGAAGAGACAAGCTCGATCAAGCCATTTGAACTACTTAGCGAGCATGAGCGAAACCACATCTTGACTGATGAGATGAGAACCAATCTTGATTTATCTGAAAAGATGGGGATATATGATGCTTATCCGTGTAGCCGCCTACAAGAAGGCCTCTTGGCTTTGGCTGTAAAGCACCCGGGTAGCTACATCACGAGCTTTCAGTATCGTCTATCGGAGCATGTTGATATTGATAAGTTCCGAAACGCATGGCAGAAGACTGTTCAACTATGTGGTATTCTCAGAACTAGAATTGTCCGTCTAGCTGACTCTTCTATTCAAGTGCTCGTTACTGGCGATAAGTGGGATGATACGACTGACATGACTCTGGTGTCTTATTTACAATCCATCCGAAAGACCCACGTTGATTACGGATCCCAGCTCTGTCGGTATGCGTTGATACAAGAAAAGAAAAACGAGACGCACTTTGTCTTAACAATGCATCACGCAATATTTGATGGGTGGTCGATGAAAATATTCTTTAATACTCTGCGCAAAGCGTTTAATGGGCTAGAGACGCCATCTCTCGCACCTTATTCTCGCTTCATTCAATACACCATGAATATTGACCATGAATCTGCTTCCAAGTACTGGACTGAACAGCTTTGCAAGGCAGAGAAAGCTTCGTTCCCACCAACTCGTTCAGGCATGACCAATCGATCAGAAAACTCCAGGAGCGTTCGCACCTTTGTGACAGATATTGAGCTTCCTGATATTAGCGCATCTGGCATCACAAGAGCGACGATCCTTCGTGCTACGTGGGCTCTCCTCCTCGCACGATACTGCGATACCGATGATGTATGCTTTGGTACAACTATATCTGGTAGACAAGCTCCATTACCCGGGATAATGGATATGGCTGGGCCAGCTATAGCAACCGTCCCTCTCCGCATTCGACTCGACCGTCAAAAGTCGGTTCTTACGTTCCTCCAGAATGTTCAAGAACAAGGCCTCGCCATGGTGGAATTTGAACAATTTGGTATCCAGGAAATACGTAAACTGAGCTCCGATGCGTTTGACGCCTGCGACTTCTCTAGTTTGTTCGTTATTCAACCCAAAGAGGCTTTAGAGTCCGCCGGCGGCTTTGAAGGTGAAGATCCAATCCTCGTCTCCACCGATCAGGCGCTAGAAACAGGCGAATACACGCATCAGAATTATTTCAGTTATCCACTCGTCGTTCAGGGCCATTTAAACAATGAATCTGCGCAACTCGTTTTTATTTATGACTCTGGGATTCTCCACGAAAAGCGAATTGTAGCATTAGCACAACAATTCCAACACATTGCGAAAGAGCTGGCTGTGGGAATAGAGTCGAATCTTGGCGCCATCACAGTTGCGTCTTCCTGGGACCTTCGACAGTCTGAAATATTCAACTCAGAGATACCAGAAGCCGTCGATAGCTGTTTCCATACTTTAGTGGAGATGCAAGCCGCCCGTACTCCTAATGCCACGGCTCTCTGTGCCTGGGATGGCAGCTTTACTTACGCCGAGTTGGATCATGCGGCTAATCGGTTGGCGCATCACTTAATGGCCAAGCACACAGTCAAGCTTGACGAGATTATTCATGTGTGCTTCGATAAATCGATTTGGTTCTTTGTTTCTATTCTAGCGGTCAACAAAGCTGGAGCTGCATGGGCTCCTCTTGATCCGTCTCATCCTCCAGAGAGACTTCGCCAGATCATTAGGCAAACAAAAGCTGTGGCTGCATTGACGTCGGAGTCACACGCAGCGTTGTGTAGCAGCTTTTTGCCGCTAGTAATCCAAGTAACGGCACCCCTGGACGAAGAACTATCTCGGGATGGCTCAAACAAACAGAGCCCCCCTGCTTCTAACGTATTACCTTCCAATATAGCTTATGTCCTATTTACTAGTGGAAGCACTGGCATGCCGAAGGGTCTTGTTATGGAGCATCGAGCCGTTTGTAGCAGTCAAATGGCTATTATAAAAAGGTTGAACCTTCATTCTGGCGTTCGAATGCTACAGTTTGCTGCATTTGTATTCGATCTTTCTATTGGAGAGATAGTGGCGCCACTTATATCAGGTGCCTGCGTCTGCGTGCCGTCAGAGAAAGCTCGCTTGAACGACATTGCCGGGTTTATTCGTGAAACAAATGTCAACTGGGCTTATATGACTCCCTCATTTGCAAGAGTGTTAACACCTGAACAAGTGCCAGGTCTCGAGCTGCTCCTCCTTTGCGGCGAAATCACCACCCGCGACGTCTTTGATGTGTGGATTGGCAAAGTGAGATTCATCAGTGGCTGGGGCCCGGCTGAAACTTGCGTCTTCAGCTCACTGCACGAATGGAAGTCTGCTACCGAGTCACCGTTGACTGTAGGCAAGCCAGTCGGGGCATTTTGCTGGATTGTCGATCCCAACTGCCCAGACCAGGTAGCTCCAATTGGGACTGTAGGTGAGGTTATGATACAAGGCCCAACGCTACTCCGTGGATACCTTGGGGACGCTGAACGCACCAGCTCGTCTGTGATAACCTCGCTTCCCCAGTGGGCACTGCAAAAGACCCCACAGTGGAAACGATTTTATAAATCGGGCGACTTAGCCATGTATAATCACGACGGCACAATCGAATTCTGTAGCCGAAGAGATACGCAAGTCAAAATCCGTGGCTTGCGGGTGGAACTCAGCGAAGTTGAGTATCGGATCCGTGAGAGACTGGAAGGCGTTTCTCAAGTGGCTGTAGACATGCTCGCAACTGATAGAGGCTCTACATTAGTCTCTTATATTTGCTTTAGTGATGAAACTCGAACCTTGCCGGCGGCATCAGACGGCGACATAGATGAGCTATTTACGCCACCAACAGCTGAAATACAGTCCCTGCTCGCAGCCATGTTAGGGCAGCTAAAGGCGTTGTTGCCTAGATACATGATACCCTCTGTATTTCTCGTTTGCAAATACATGCCCTCTATAACTTCTACGAAACTGGATAGAAAGACGCTTCGCAAGATGGCATCTCTGCTCAGCCATGACCAACTATCGTCTTTCTCTTCACTTGATAACAAAAAGAGGGCTCCAGAAACAGAAATGGAACGTCGATTCCAATCAATTTGGGCATCACTCCTGAATATTTCTTCTGACTCTATTGGAAGAGATGACCACTTCTTGCAGATTGGCGGTGATTCTATCTCAGCTATACGTCTAGTATCTAATTCACGAACCGAGGGCATCGAAATATGCGTGAAAGATGTTTTTGATGATTCCAGACTTCTCGCAGTTGCCTCAAAAGCCACTTTGCACAACGGGAATAGTCAGACAGAAGAACCCATATTGCCGTTCACGCTTATGCCCGAGACTATCCGAGAATCGGCCCAGCAAACGGCCGCAGGGCTATGCCACGTTCCCGTTAGTGATGTTGTGGATGCGTTCCCATGTACATCTCTGCAAGAAGGCTTGATGGCTCTGTCTGTCAAGCAGCGTGGCTCTTATGTGGCCAAGTATGTTTACAGACTACCCAGCCACATTGATGTTGCACGATTTAGAGAAGCCTGGAGTAAGACAGTAGAGTTGTGCGGAGCGTTGCGCACAAGAATTGTACTCCTAAATGATTTATCAACTCAGGTAGTTGTCAAACACGCAGCCAGGTGGGAGGAAACGAGAAAAGAATCCCTCTCCTCCCTTGTGCATTCAGACCGAGGCCTTGGAATGAGCTACGGCACTCCTCTCTGTTGGTACGCATTGCTCTGTGAAGCAGAGACTAATTACTTTATTTGGTCCGCGCATCATGTTATTTATGATGGTTGGACGATGCAGATCATTTTGGACACCCTTGAGACAGTCTATCGACAAGTGGAAGTTCCCCGTTTGCAGCCGTACAATGCATTTGTTCAATACTGCCTTTCACTTGACCATGATGCTGCGGCCAATTTTTGGCGCACTGAGTTGCGTGGCTCCAAAAGAGCTGCGTTTCCACCTCTTAATGACTTTTTAACCAGAAAGAGTAGCCAGTCAACTCGAGTACATCGAAGAACAATTGCTTTAAGTAACATGAGAAAGTCATCAATCACTAAAGCGTCTGCTTTACGTGCTGCTTGGGCAATAATCCTCTCTCGGTATTGCAATGCCGAAGATTTCGCTTTTGGAGCAACCGTATCTGGCCGCCAGGCACCTGTGCCCGGCCTAGAAGCAATGGCGGGACTGGCCATTGCGACTGTCCCAATTCGTATTCGCCTTGATAAACAGATGAAAGCCTCGGATTTTCTTGTCAGTGTTCAAAACCAGGCTACGGCCATGATACCATTTGAACAAGTGGGAATACAAAATATTGCGAATGTGAGCCCTGATGCAAAAGACGCTTGCAACTTTTCAAGCTTACTCGTGATTCAACCCCAAGAGTTCTCTACCAAGGACTCCACTGATGCCATACTCCTTTCTGGAGAAGCCGAAAGTTCGCTGACCGAGGACTCAATGCAAACTTACTTCAATTATCCTCTTGTCCTCATTTGCGCAATTACTGACAATAGCGTTCAACTACGCTTCTTTTACGACGACAATATACTGGAAGAGCAAGAAATTATAGCAATGTCTTATCAGATCGAGAATGTTACTCAGCAACTAAACAAGGATATTTGCTTAGATTCAATCTCCCTTGTCGGAGACTGGGACATCAAACATGCCATTGACTCTCAGAAGATGATGCCATCTACTCAATCTTGCATTCACTGGTTGATTCAAGATTCAGCTCGCAAATACGGCAATCATAATGCCATAAGCTCATGGGATGGCGACCTTTCGTACACCGAACTTCACTCTAAGGCGTCTCGACTAGCCAACAAGCTCTCGCAACTTGGGATAGGGCCTGAGACTTTGGTGCCCATATGTTTTCCAAAGTCAACTTTTGCCGTCCTGACCATGGTTGCCATAGGAATAGCAGGCGGTGCATTTGTTCCTCTTGATCCAAAAGCGCCTCATGATCGTCTCAGTAGCATCATCGACGATGTAAAAGCAACAATTATCCTCACAAGCCCCTGCTGCGAAGAACATGTCCAAGCATTTGGCCTCTCTACTCTTGTAATTGACAAAAGGTTTATAGATGCTTTGCCTGACACTGTTAGCTCTGTGCAATCTCGTGCAAGCCCTAACAACGCGGCAGTTGTCCTTTTCACGAGTGGAAGCACAGGCAGGCCGAAAGGCATGGTTATCCAGCACGATGCAATTTGTTCATCCTCAAATGCGTATGGACGTGACCTTCGAATTGGTCCCGGCAGCCGAGTCTTTCAGTTTTCGGCCTACACATTCGACGTTGGTATCTTAGATACTCTAGTCACCTTAATACGAGGTGGCTGCGTTTGCATTCCTTCAGACCATGATCGCATAAACGACCTCGCCGGCGCTATCAGGAGGTCGCAAGCGAATTGGATTTTCCTTACACCTACCGTCGCCGATCTTTTAAATCCTGCGGACGTGCCGACGCTTCGCGTGGTCTGCCTTGGGGGAGAGGCTATTGGCCAAAAGACCGCAGAACGGTGGAATGAGTTTGCTGAAGTTCACGGTCTCTATGGGCCGGCTGAAGCCTCAATATGTGCTTGGAATCCGACGATAGGTAGGCTGGGTAAATCAACAAACCTTGGCAAGCCTCTTTCAAGCGTCTTTTGGGTTGTCGAGCCGGATAACATCAACCGACTTGTTCCTGTTGGATGCGTCGGCGAATTGCTTATCCAAGGCCCAATGCTGGCACGGGGATACATCAATGCTTCCAGAACCCAAGCAGCCAATTGGATTGAGGGCTTGAACACGAGCTGGCTTCCTCACGATTTCCCCAAAAGAGCTTATCTAACGGGTGATTTGGTGCGCCGAAACGGCGATGGATCATTTGACTATATCTGTCGCAAAGACACGCAAGTCAAGATACATGGCCAACGCGTGGAGCTGGGCGAAATTGAGTCTCGGATCCACAAGGCCCTTCCATCAAATATGACCGCAACGGTGGATTTGGTTGAAGTAAGAGATGGTGGCAAACGACAAGATTGCCTGCTAGCTTTCTTGTGGTATATGAACCGCACTGCATCAGACGGCCAATCTTCCTTGAAGTTGATTGACAGTATATCTGAAAAGCAGCAAGCGTTGATGTCTGATTTACAAGCAAGCTTGGTTACAACTCTGCCCATATATATGATTCCTTCATCATTTATTATTTTACGCTATAAGCCAGAGTACACAACGTCCGGTAAGGTTGATCGTCGTGCTATCAAAGAGTTTGGGCAAAATCTGTCAAAGGATGACCGGTTACGGTTTGCCCCAGGCAACGAAGAAAGGGTAGCTCCAGCCACCCATATGGAGCTCAAACTTCAGGAATTATGGGCCGAGGTACTCTGTGTTGATGCGGAACGCATCGGCAGAAACGATAACTTCCTACGTATAGGAGGAAACTCAATTGGTGCTATTCGACTTGCTGCTGCCGCACAGAAGCATGGCATCGATTTGAACGTGGCCACCGTATTCCGCAGTCCTCGGCTACAAGACATGGCCAACGCTGTTGCAGTAAGCCCAGAAGCTACTATCAATAGTATAAAGCCCTTTAGTATGTTGTCTAGTCGCCAGCAAGAAGGCGTTTTTGAAGCGATACGTGGCGAATATTCGATACCAGATGCTGTTGTTGATGATGCATTCCCTTGCACTAGTCTCCAAGAGGGCCTCATGGTCTTAGCTGTCAAATTTTCTGGATCATATACGGCGAGACTAATCTACAGAGTTCCTGATCATGTCGACGTGGATCTATTTAAAGCCGCTTGGAAAGAAACAGCCAAAATTTGTAGCATTCTGAGGACTCGGATTTTATATGTAAACAAATCGGCAATCCAAATTGTTTTGCGAGACGAATTCAATTGGACAACCATTCAAGACAAGAATCTGAATCAGGTTCTTCAAGAACAGAAACCTCTCGAAATAGGCTACGGATCAAGCCTTTCCTCATATACACTTATTCAACAAGAAGATGGACGCCGTTACTTCGCGTGGGAAATTCACCATGCTATCTATGACGGTGTATCAAATCAAAATATCTTAAACGTCCTGCGGAAAGTTTATTCTGGAGCACAGTCGCCTTCCGTTCCTCCTTTTGCCAGATTCATACGCTATATTAGATCTCTAGATGCACTCGACGCTGAACGATACTGGAAAATGCAGCTACAGAACTCCCACCCAGCAACATTCCCGTCTGCCAAACACGACATTAAAGCGTCGACGGGCAAAACCAAGACTATTAACAAAATGGTCAATTTGCCCAGCGCGAAAGGCTCAAACATAACAGCGGCAACGCTGATACGAGCAGCGTGGGCTCTGATTCTAGCTCGCTACTGCAATACCGATGATATATGCTTTGGAACAACTATTTCTGGACGCCAGGCAGCTGTAGCCGATATAATGGATATTGCAGGCCCAACAATCTCCACACTTCCAATCCGGATTATTATTGAGCGAAATCAACCTGTGTCTTCTTTTCTCCATGCCGTTCAAGAACAAGCATTAGAAATGATTCCTTATGAGCAGTTTGGCCTATCAAACATTGCTAAACTTAGCGAAGATATAAGAGAAGCTTGCCAGTTTTCTAGTCTTCTCACAGTTCAGCCAATGCAGCCTGGTGCGGACGAACCAGGCCATGATATCATAGTCGCTACGGATAAAGAAGTAGATGAATTGGCTGGCCCCATGCAAGACTTTTTCAGCTACCCTCTTCTTGTTCAAGCGCGTCTTTACGATAATGCCATTGAGTTGGTCATCATTTTCAAGTCTGGTGTAGTGGTCGATTCACAGGCGGAGGCCATGATTCATCAGCTCAGCCATGTTATTTGCCAGCTTGCTTCGTCAAGTGATACGCTGTTAGATGATCTTTCACTATCATCTGAGTGGGATCTCAAACAGGCAATTGAGTTTAATAAATGTGAACCCGAGATTTTCGGTTCTTGTATTCACCATCTTGTTGAAACCCAGGCCTTAACACATCCAGATGCTCTCGCCATATCGGGGTATGATGGAGATTACTCGTACAGCCAACTTGAACGAGCTGCAAACCGTTTAGCTCATCTCCTTGTTGATAAATTTAGCGTTGGTCTGGGTGATATTGTTCACATTTGTTTCGAAAAGACAACTTGGTTTGTTGTGGCAATACTCGCCGTCAACAAGACCGGAGCAGCATGGTCGCCTTTGGATCCAAGCCATCCATCCAGGAGGTATTCACAGGTTATCTCACAAACTGCGGCATCGCTAATCTTGACGTCCCCGACTACCACTTCGAAATGTGCACCCCTCGTCCAGTATATCCTCGAAGTATCCTCAGACCTGGACAAACGTCTAGCTGCAGAAGGCATAAGTGATGAACAGCTCGCAGTTCCCGTATCAACAACGGATATTGCGTACATAATGTTCACATCCGGAACTACGGGTATGGCAAAAGGTGTTGCAATTGAGCATCGGTCACTGTGCACGTCGCAGATGGCTCTTGCTCGCCGAGTTGGCTTCACGAATAACGTGCGAATGCTACAGTTTGCCGCATTCATTTTCGACATGTCGATATCTGAGATATATATGCCCCTTCTTTGTGGTGGCTGCGTATGCATGCCGTCTTGGGATGAGCAAATGAACGATATAAGCAGTTACATGTCTAATGCCCACATAACGGCGGCAATTGTCACTCCAACTGTTGCACGCAGTTTGAAACCGGAAAAGCTACCCAGCCTTGAAATACTTGTCTTAGGAGGAGAGGCTGCGGCTTCGGATATTATTCAGACCTGGTTTGGAAAGCTACGACTCTACAATGGTTGGGGCCCAACCGAAAGCTGTGCAGCTGCATCAGTTCACGAGCTGGAGAGTTTGAATGACTCGCCAATGACAATTGGAAGGCCCATTGCGGGCCGCTGGTGGCTTGTAAATCCAAATGATTCACAACAGCTTACTCCTATAGGATGTATTGGCGAGATTGCCCTCCAAGGACCAACACTTCTGAGAGAATATTTGGCTAATCCGTCCAAAACTCGAGATGTCCTCGTGACTTCGCTTCCGGATTGGGCGCCTCGCCGCGAGCTGGAATGTTGGAGCCGATTTTATAGGACTGGCGACTTGGGCTTTTACAATCCCAATGGCACTATAGAATTTTGCGGTCGAAAGGACTCTCAAGTCAAGCTTCGTGGCCTTCGCATAGAGCTTCACGAGATTGAGTATCAAATATCTACACATCTGCCCGGAGCCCGCCAGATTGCGGTAGATGTTATTAATAGACAACAGACATCACACCTTGTAGCGTATTGTTGTTTCAACAATGACACTCTGCCATCGCATCTGGCTGTCAACTATGACAACGAAGACCTCTTCCTTCCTTTATCAGATCGCCTGATACCCCAGTTCCATGACCTTATAATAGCACTCGCTGATGTTCTTCCTTCTTACATGGTCCCAAAAATCTTTATTCCCTGCGGTTATATGCCACTTGGAGCAACGGCTAAATTGGATCGGAAGCTGCTTATAGCTACCACCACGTTACTTTCACAGGAGCAGCTTGACGAATACTCGCTAGTCAACAACATAAAACGAGCTCCGGTAACAAGCACCGAGGAGATGCTGCAACAGCTGTGGGCCGACATTCTAAAGATTCCCGCTGAATCGATTGGAAGAGACGACAGCTTCTTCCAAATTGGAGGCGACTCGATGGCCGTCATACGACTTGTCTCTGCTGCTCGAGAGGTTGGTTTGGGTCTCAGTGCAAGGGAAATATTTAGTGACGCTCGACTTCATCATGTGGCTTCCAAGGCTCAAAGCCTGACCAAAGAGGACTATAATGTCAAGCTCATCGAACCGTTTAGCATGTTGACCCAGTCTCATATGGAAGCGCTCTTCACAGATGGTTCGAATCCCACGACAACAGTTTTTGATAAGGCCCAGGTGGAAGATGCTTACCCCTGTTCGAAATTCCAAGAAGGCCTCATGGCTCTAGCCGCCAAAAATCCATCTTCGTACGTTGCTAGACTTCATTACCGCATTTCCAAAAATGCACCGTTGGGGGATTTCAAGGCTGCGTGGGAGAAGATTGTTGAGATGTTCCCTAATTTGAGAAGTCGAATTGTGCATAAAGACGGTTCTTCAATTCAGCTTATTCTCAAAGACGACCTGGAATGGGATTCGACAGAACAGATATCCCTAGATGACTATATAAAGAGCTTGCAGCATGTCAAGATGGGGTACGGATCACGGTTATGCCGCTACGGATTGATTGAACATGGAGACGGTTTGCATTTCATATGGACAATCCATCATGCGGTGTTTGATGGGTGGACCATGAATTTGATCCTCAAGGCTTTAAATGACGTCTATGAAGGCAACCATGAGGTTCAGCTGCAGCCATTTTCACGATTCATTCAATACACTCTGGATCTCGATCACCAGTCTGCAAGCGATTATTGGTCTAAACAGCTTCAAGATGCAAAAAGGGCGATTTATCCAAACCGATTGAGTTCTGTGTATCAAAAGGTTGGCACGAATAATACAGGATACATCGAACTGGAGATGAATATACCCAAACCCTTTGCCAACATTACAAAAGCTACAATGCTGCGCGCTGCCTGGGCTGTTTTACTCTCATACTACTGTGATACTTCTGATGTATGCTTTGGCACAACAGTTTCGGGTCGCCAGGCCCCCGTGGTTGGAATAACGAAGATTCCGGGCCCAGCTGTTGCGACTGTTCCTGTCCGCGTTCATCTTGAGCCGAGTCAAAGCGTGCTCTGTTTCCTCACAAACACTCAAGCGCAATCGTCCGAAATGATTGCATACGAACAGTTTGGCCTGCATAATATCATAAAATTGAACGATGAGGCAAGAGATGCTTGTGACTTCTCTAGCCTGCTTGTGATTCAGCCCAGGCATATTGTATCACATGGCAACGAAACGGATCAGGGTCTTCTTATACCACAATCTCATAACGCCGTGGAGGAAGCGCTAGAGAGCTATTTCACTTATCCATTAGTAATCCAGGCTCATTTACATGAAGATGGCGACAAGCTTGTTTTCATCTACAACAAGCTTTCGATAATTGAGCAAGAACTCGTTGCGCTTTCATATCAGCTGAAGCATATTGTTACTCAGCTTGCCTCACAACCAGACGTATTGCTAAAAGATTTGACAATGACCTCGGACTGGGACCTGGAGCAAGCTCTTAAATATAACGCTGAGGTGCCAACAATTATAGACGCTTGTGTACATGAGCTCGTTGAGATTCAAGCCCGTCGCAATCCATCAGCACACGCAATTTGCTCATGGGATCAAAACCTCACATATGGCCGACTTAATGAGTCGGCAAATTGTCTTGCCCACCATCTTGTTAAGACATACAAGGTTAGACCGGGAGGCTTCGTCCACGTGTGTTTTGAAAAATCGGCATGGCACTTTGTGTCTATTCTTGCCATTAATAAGGCTGGGGCTGCATGGGTTCCTTTAGATCCGTCTCACCCAGAAAAGAGGCTGCGACAAGTGATAAGCCAGACGTCTTCTACGCTAATCTTAACATCGGCACAAAATATCGATCTATGCTCGAAGCTCGCTGAAGTCGTTCTCCAGGTTGATGCCGCACTCGATGAGTGGTTAGCCGGGGAAGAAGACGGCGACAAGGGCCCAACAGTAGCTGTTACTTCGAATCATGCAGCGTACGTGCTTTTTACGTCTGGAAGCACAGGGCGGCCGAAGGGCCTGGTCATGGAACACGGTGCTGTCTGCACAAGCCAGACTGCTATTGCCAGCAGGCTGAATCTAAGTCCCGAGGTTAGGATTCTACAATTTGCAGCCTTTGTGTTTGATCTCTCTATAGGCGAGATTATTGGACCACTAATCTCAGGCGCTTGTGTTTGCGTTCCGTCAGATCACACGAGATTAAATAACCTTGAGGACTTTATATACGAAATGAAAATCAGCTGGGCATATCTAACTCCGTCATTTGTGCGAACGCTTGATCCTAGCAATATGCCTGATCTAAGGCTATTATTATTAGCCGGTGAAGCAGTTCCTAGAGATGTGCTTAGCACTTGGTTTGGTAAAGTTCGTCTAATTAATGGATGGGGTCCTGCTGAGACCTGTTGTTTCAGCACTCTCCATGAATGGTCTTCTGTTGATGAATCACCCCTTGTCATTGGCCGACCTGTTGGGGGCTTCTGTTGGATTGTCAGCCCTGAAAACCATCAACGCCTGGTTCCAACTGGCACTTTGGGGGAAATTGTCATCCAAGGCCCTACCATTCTTCGCGAATATTTGGCAGACCTTAGCCGTACAAATATGGCAACTACATGCTCGCTTCCTACATGGGCGCCTCATCCTGATGTAAAGCATTGGAATAGGTTCTACAAATCTGGTGATCTTGGGTACTATAACACCGATGGCACAATAGTTTTTAACGGCCGCAAAGACAGCCAAATCAAGATTCGGGGATTGAGGGTTGAACTAGAGGAAGTTGAACATTACATACGCACGACTTTAGAGGGAGCACGTCAAGTCGCTGTGGATGCATACGAAACGGACGGCGCTCGTAACCTCGTTGCATATGTCTGCTTTAATACGGATATGAGAAGCCTATCAGACGAAAGCAAAGTCAACTCAAATGGCTTATTTGCGGCAATGACAGATGAACTACGCATGCTTTTGACGATTATGCTGGGCGAGCTCAAGGTCTCATTACCACATTATATGATTCCTACATTATTCATTCCTTGCAACTTTATGCCCTCAATCACGTCAACCAAGTTGGATAGGAACATGATTCGTCGCTTGATGGCTTCTATGAGTAATGAGCAAAAAGCTACATACTCTCTCCAAAACGGTCCAAAGCGTATGCCTGAAACTGACATAGAGATCCAGCTGCAGGAGCTTTGGGCAGACCTCTTAAACATCCCAGTTGAGTCTGTTGGACGAGACGACAATTTTCTGCAGATTGGTGGAGATTCTGTCTTGGCCATTCAGCTGGCATCTCGCGCCCGCAAAATGGGCATCTACTTTGAAGTCAAAGACTTGTTCGACGACCCAAGACTGCTAGCAATCTCGTCAAAAGCCACCAAGACTGCGTACGAAGCCGAGACACAAGTGGTACCATTCAGTCTGCTTTCCAACAACCTTAAAGACGCAGTCTTTAGCGATGCTGTCCGCAAGCAGTGCTGCCTTTCTGATGAACAGGTCATCGAAGATGCCTATCCCTCGACGTCCATTCAACAGGGCCTAATCGCATTATCAGCGAAGAAGCTAGGTAGCTACGTCGCGAAATACGTATTCCGGATACCTGAACGGATAGACATCTCTCGACTCAGGGCTGCCTGGGATCGCACGGCTGATCTATGCGCCAATCTGCGCTCTCGAATTGTAATCGTAGATGGTGTATCACTACAGCTAGTTATCCAAGGCGGCAGTCAATGGAGATTATCTGAAAGTCGTCGAACACTGGCCTCCATTCTCGATCCATCTGAGAAGTCCAAGATGACTTATGGGTTGCCTCTCTCATCGGCAACGATAGTACACGAAGACGACACCGCATATTTCATTTGGGAGGCACATCATTCAATTTACGACGGTTGGACATTGCAGATAATAGTTAACACGCTGCATTCGGCCTATCATAATCAGCATACAGCACCAGTCCAGCCTTATTCCTCGTTCGTCAGCTACTATCTTCAACTGGATACTGAAAAGGCAGCTGAATTTTGGACGCAAGAGCTAGCTAGGGCTAAACGAGCTGAATTCCCTTCCGCAAAACGGGACAGCTTGCCAGGTATAACTGAAGTCTATCACTCCCGCATTACGCTTCCCGAGTCGTTTCGCATCTCTGTTACCAAAGCCACAGTGGTACGCGCAGCTTGGGCCGTTGTGCTGGCGCGGTACTGCGACACCGACGATGTCGTTTTTGGTACCACTGTGTCAGGACGACAGGCCCCGGTCCCAGGCGTTGAATCGATCGCCGGCCCCCTGATTGCAACCGTTCCATCCCGCATTCGACTAGATAACCAGATTCCTATTGCCAGATTTTTGAACAATGTCCAGTCTCGAGCCTCGTCCACCGTGCCCTATGAGCAATTCGGAGTCCAAAACATCAGCAAGCTAAGTCAAGACGCTAAAGATGCCTGCGATTTCTCAAGCCTCCTTGTCATCCAACCGCCGACTCGGAACTTTACGGAAGAAGGTGAAAAGGCCATTCTATTGCAGTCTGAAACTGAACAAGAAGAGACAGAGAGGTCCATGAGAAGCTATTTCAACTACCCCTTGGTAAACATCAGTAGCGTTGGCGAAACCGAAGTCTATCAACGTCTATTCTACGACTCGGCTGTTCTTACCGAGCTTCAAATGGAAACCCTATCACGCCAAATCGAGCACGTAGTGCAACAACTTCTCAACAGAAACGGCCTGCTGGGAGAGATTTCTCTTCTCAGCTCCTGGGATATTGAGCAAGCTGTCAACGCGTCTCAATTATGTTCTGCTACAGAATCGTGCACTCACTGGCTGATTCAAGATCAGATCAACTCACATCCCGACGAGATTGCTATTTCTTCTTGGGATGGAAATCTTACTTATTCGCAAGTTGGCACATACGCAGCACGTTTAGCGGCGAAGTTACAAGAACTTGGTGTTGGGCCTGAATCACTGGTTCCTATATGCTTTTCGAAAAGTTGTTGGGCCGTGATATCTATGGTAGCTGTCCAAATGGCTGGAGGTGCCTTTGTTCCCCTCGATCCCAATGCACCAGAAGCTAGAATTCAGGGCATCCTTGGCGATACAGGCGCTGCTTTGGTGATCGCCAGCCCGTGCCATCAAACAAAGCTAGAGTCATTGGGGATACAAGTACTTACCGTAGATGAGGCAGCTGTTACGACATTACCAGACGTTGCGGATATCCAAACCGAGGTGCGCCCTCATAACGCGAGTGTCATTCTCTTCACTTCCGGCAGCACAGGGAAGCCTAAGGGGATGGTCATCCAACATAACAGTATATGCTCCTCCAGCAGTGCTTACGGAGCTAGTCTTGGTATTGGCCCTGGCACGCGAGTGTTTCAATACTCAGCATATACGTTTGACGTTGGTGTCTTGGATTGCCTTGTATCACTCATAAGAGGCGCTTGTATATGCATTCCTTCCGACCATGACCGTCTAAGTAATCTTGCCGGTGCCATTAATGCATCTAAAGCAAACTGGATTTTCCTTACTCCAACTGTTGCCAACCTTCTTCAGCCCACCGATCTTCCCACCTTGAAAACAGTCTGTCTTGGTGGCGAAGCTATTAGTAAATATTGTGCTGATAGATGGGTTAACAATGTTAGCTTACATGGTCTCTATGGCCCAGCTGAAGCGTCCATATGTGCTTGGAACTCTGTGCTGGGAAGATCAGGAAGCTCGACGAACCTCGGCCATCCTCTTGCAAGTGCTTTCTGGGTTGTCGAAGTCAACAATCCGCGGACTCTCGTCCCGATCGGGTGTGTTGGTGAGCTTCTTATCGAAAGTCCAATGCTCGCCCGCGGATACTTGAACGTGAGCGCCGAAGTTGCGGCGAATTGGATGGATGCAGTTGACTGGCTTCCCGGTCGTAACCAGCCAAAGAGGGTTTATCGGACGGGTGACTTGGTGCGCCGAAATTCTGACGGAACTTTCAGTTCTATGGGCCGCAAAGATTCGCAGGTCAAAATCCACGGCCAGAGGGTTGAGCTTGGTGAAATTGAAGCCCGGGTTCAAGAGTTCTTGCCGCCTACGATGGGTGGTATTATTGATGTTTTAAAAGACGAAAAGGCCTCGAGTACTTTACTAGCCTTCATTTGGTGCTCTCAAGGGACATCCAGCTCGCCGGCCTCCCTTGTGGATGAAGTATCTGACGAAGCACAGGCCATTATTACGCACCTGGATACGTCTTTGCGCGAGGTTTTACCTTCTTACATGATTCCTTCGTCTTATCTATTATATGATGGTGTGCCAGAACAAACTGCAACAGGCAAAATTAATCGCAAGTCCCTCATCAGCAGCGCTCTCTATCTCACTTTGCAGGATCGCCTACGCTTTACTCCCAATGAAAGCTTACACGTGCTACCAACTCTACCAATGGAATTGAAATTACGCGATCTTTGGGCTCAAATTCTTCACATTAGTCCTGCTCATATAGGCAAAGCTGATAGCTTCTTGCGCCTTGGTGGTGACTCCATATCTGCCATTCAACTATCATCATTAGCCCAAAGCCACAGCTTGAACCTTACTGTTGCCGTCATTTTCCAGAATCCTCGATTAGAACAAATGGCAAACGCCATTACGGAAGACGCCTCTGTCATCTTGGAAGACATGCAACCGTTTAGCATGCTTTCAGCCGATGATGTCACGGCAGTCGTCTCTGAAGCTTGGCATCAGTGCTCATTGCCAAAAGTTACAGTGATTGAGGATGCGTATCCCTGCACGAAACTACAAGAGGGCCTCATGGCGCTGTCTGTGAAGCAGCCTGGCTCTTATATTGCCAAGTATTTATATCGACTTCCCGCTCACGTCAATGTGCCTCGCTTTAAAGCAGCATGGAAACAAACGATGAAGCTTTGCTCCAGTCTACGCACTCGCATCATTCATACATCAGAAGGGTCAAGCATACAAGTTGTCTGGAGTCATGAGCTGGACTGGAGTTCACTGCAATATGATAACCTCCAGTCTGTTCTGAGCCACGCTCGTGAGATTCAGATGACTTACGGCTCTTCGCTCTGTGAAGTTGCCTTTGTGGAAGATGAGCAGCGAAATGCTTACTTCTTCTGGGCACTACATCACACAGTATTTGATGGTCTGTCCATGCAAATTGTCCTCAAAACTTTGCATAAGATATACTTGGCAGAGGACATTCCCAAAATAGCTCCTTATTCGCGTTTCATCCATTACGTTCTGCAAATGGACGTGGAAGAGGCTTCTTCATATTGGAATTCTCAGTTGCAAGATGCTGAGCCGTCACTGTTTCCATCTTCGCGCAGTGTATCTGATAGACCTGGGGCCACGCACTTTCTGGAAAGATCTATCGGTTTCATCAATACTGAGAAGCTCAGTGTTACTGTAGCGACCGTTGTTCGATCTGCCTGGGCGATCGTCCTGGGTCGATACTGTGACTCCCATGATGTATGTTTCGGTACAACTATCTCAGGGCGCCAAGCCTCCGTTCCAGGCATACTTGAGATTGTCGGGCCTCTAATTGCAACTGTCCCGGTTCGAGTCAAGCTAGACGGCAAGCAGCCTGTATCAGACTTCTTACAAAGTGTCCAAGAGGCTGCTATCGAAATGATTCCATATGAGCAATTTGGCCTCCAATGCATTATGAAATTAGGGGAAAACGCTTATAAGGCGTGTCAATTTTCCAGCTTATTGGTCGTTCAACCAATGAGGCACGTTTCATCTGCTGAGGATACAAGAAATTTGCTCGTTGGTGCCGGCGAGACAGAGGGTCTGTCTAACTCTTTGGCAAACTACTTCAGCTATCCTCTCGTCGTGCAAGCCCATATCTATGAAGACGACTTGAGAATTGCAATAGCCTACGATTCCGAGGTCCTAACTGAACGAAAGGTACAAGCATTGTCCAGTCACCTCAGCCATGTTATCCACCAGCTCACATCTGGAGATGATTTGAGCCTTCAGTCTATTCCTATCTCATCCGCTTTTGATCTTGAACTTGCGACTACATACAACAGTGATGTACCCAATCTTATTGACTCATGTATCCACCAGCTGATCGAGAAACAAGCCAAGATTACGCCAAATGCCTGGGCTATACATGCTTGGGATGGCGATCTTACTTATATGCAGCTCGATCAAGCAGCCAATCGTCTCGCTCATCATCTCATTCACAAGTATAACATTCAAGTTAATGAGCTCATACATGTGTGCTTTGAGAAATCGAAATGGCATTTTGTATCTATCCTAGCCATCAACAAGGCTGGCGCCGCGTGGGTGCCTCTTGATTCGTCACATCCAATTCAGCGCCTTGAAAAAATCGTTAGTCAAACAAGAGCAAGGCTTGCTCTTTGCTCACCAGCAAACAGTGAGATTTGCGTTAGTCTCGTCGACTCAATAGTTCAAGTTACACCCGAGTTTGACGAGGAGCTACTACAGCTCGAAGATAGCCAGCATGGACCAATCACCAGCGTCTCTCCAGACTGTACGATTTACGTCCTATTCACCTCTGGCAGCACAGGTACTCCCAAAGGCCTAGTTATGCGGCATAGATCTGTTTGCACAAGCCAACAAGCAATCGCCAAGAGGCTTGGTCTGACAGCAGAAGTCCGAATGCTCCAGTTCGCCGCATTTGTGTTCGATCTCTCCATTGGCGAAATCATCGCTCCTCTTATTGCAGGTGCCTGTGTGTGTGTTCCATCGGAATATAGCCGTATTAATGAGATTGAAAAGTTTATCCAAGACTCTCGTGTTACATGGGCCTTTTTGACGCCATCATTCGCCCGGACTTTGAGCCCAGATAACATCCAGGGGCTTGAGCTTTTATTACTGGCAGGAGAAGCAGTTCCCCGCGATGTATTGACTGCTTGGTTTGGGAGACTTCGTCTCGTCAACGGCTGGGGTCCTGCAGAGACTTGTGTGTTCAGTTCGCTGCATGAGTGGAGGTCTATTGATGAGTCGCCTCTTACAGTTGGATGCCCAGTTGGTGCATTCTGTTGGGTTGTGGATCCGGAAGATCATAATCGTCTTGCACCAATTGGAACAACTGGCGAGATCGTCATCCAAGGACCTACTCTACTCCAAGAGTACTTAGCTGACACAGATCGTACGAATACTGCCGTTGTACAAGCTCCTGGATGGATGCCCCTTCCAGATAAGACACACTGGAGCAAGTGCTATAAATCGGGCGATCTCGGATATTTCAATCTCGATGGAACCATCGAGTTTTCAGCCCGCAAGGACACGCAGATCAAAATCCATGGTCTTCGTATCGAAGCCACTGAAGTTGAATTTCACATCCAGCAGCTTTTGGCTGATGCCCGCCAGGTGGCTGTCGACGTATTCAAGAACCATAATAGTTCTCAACTTGTTGCCTACTTCTGCGCCAATGGCGAAACAAAGTCACTAAGCAGCCGGTCAAACATGTCAGAAAAGCTGTTTTTATCATCTGATGAGGCCTTGCAAGATCGATTGGGGGCGTTAGTCGGAGAGCTCAGTGCTCTCTTGCCCCGATACATGATTCCCACAATGTTCATTCCCTGTAAATATATGCCTTTTGGTACTTCTACTAAGCTGGATAGGAAGCTGCTGCATGAACACTTATCTTCGCTAAATCAGGATCAGCGAGCTGCCTACTCACTATCAAGCAGAATAAGACGCCAACCGGAAACTGAGATGGAAAAGCGACTGCAGACAATCTGGGCAGAAATACTAAATGTGCCAATGAACTCAATTAGCAAGGATGATACTTTCTTCCAGCTTGGAGGTGATTCGATTACGGCCATGTACCTAGTTTCAACAGCCAAAGAAGACGGAATTGCATTCACCGTCAAGGACGTCTTTGATGACCCTAGATTATCAGCCGTGGCTTCAAAAGCTACCTTGATTCAGGACGACAATATAGACGCTACAGAATCCACTCCGGATGCTTTCAGTCTATTATCCGATTCACGTTTAAGGTCGGTTTTGGGAAAGAAGATACGCCAAGAGTGCGGCCTTCAGGAAGGACAAACGATTCAAGACGCCTATCCATGTTCCCCCCTCCAAGAGGGTCTCATAGCTCTCGCTGCGAAGCAGCCTGGCTCCTATGTTGCCACATATGTCCACCGGATGTCCAAATCCACAGATATTTCGAGATTTAAAAATGCGTGGGACACTGTTGTGGAGGTCTGTGGTAATCTTCGAACTCGCATCGTGCTATTGGACGGTGTTACGACCCAGATTGTTCTTAACAATGACAGTCAATGGCAATCTGCCGAGAACGAAAATCTCGACTCGATGGGTAAATCGCCACGTAACTCGAAAATGGGCTACGGGACGCCTCTATGTTGGTACGCCATTGTGTCTGAGAAAGGCGAAAACTACTTTTTATGGTGTGCACATCACTCCATCTATGATGGATGGACAATGAAAGTTATGTTTTCAGTCCTCTATCGGGCATACTCAGGCACTTGCATTCCAGACATACGCCCTTACTCGTCCTTCATAAAATATGCGCAGGAGATTGATGGGGACGCTGCTGTCTCTTTCTGGAAGACAGAACTTTCGGGGGCAGTGCGAGCTTCATTCCCACCTCGTCCATCCGGCCCCCATGAAGCTAAAAGCCAGTGTTATCGCTCATCCGTTTCTTTTACGAGTTCTGCCAAGACATCTATCACTCAAGCGACAATCCTTCGAGCAGCATGGGCTATTGTTCTCGCAAGGTATTGCGATAGCAATGAAGCCGTCTTTGGAGTAACAGTCTCAGGTCGTCAGGCGCCAATTCCAGGAGCGGACATGATATCTGGAGCCATGATAGCCACGGCCCCGCTGAGAGTGCGCCTAGATAAACGAGCATCGATATCAGAATTCCTACACTATGTCCAAAAATTGAGTGGAAACATGATTCCATATGAGCAATATGGGCTCCAGAAAATATCCAAAATCAGTACATACACCAAAGAGGTCTGTGACTTCTCAAGTCTCCTTGTTGTACAACCGCCAGCAGTCTTCGCTACAGATGATACAGGCGATGCCCTCTTTACTCTTGATGAATCTGCAAACGACTTCACGTTGGATTCTATGGACGGCTACTTCAACTATCCTTTGGCAATCATTGCCAGCTTATCTCCGGATCAGTTTAGTTTGAACATTTTCTACCACTCTACAATATTGACTAAAGGTCAAGTCCAGGCTTTGGTTTCTCATCTGGATCAAGTCATCCAAACGCTTTTCGCTATAGAGTCATCAAAGGATCCTCTAGGCTCAGTCTCCCTCCTCAGCCCCTGGGAGTTTCAACACGCAATTGAGTCAACTCGACTGAGCCCCTCTAATGAGACGTGCGTACACTGGCTCATTCAAGAGCAAATACTTTCAAGGCCAGACGATATAGCCATCGCGTCCTCAGATGGAGAGCTTACTTACTCCCAAGTAGGGATTTTGGCCTCGCGTCTAGCGATAAAACTGCAAGACCGCGGCGTTGGTCCCGAAGTCTTTGTCCTCTTATGTTTGCCCAAATCTGTTTCAGCCGTGATTTCCATGGTTTCCGTGTTGATGGCCGGTGGAGCCTTCATTGCTCTTGATCCATCTGCTCCGGCCACTCGTTTACGAGGCATTGTCGACGACACTCAAGCTAGCATTGCCATAGTTAGCCCAACATGCGCCAACGCACTCGACGGTCTCGGAGTTGAAGTCTTACTCATTGATGAGACTGCACTTTCCGAATTACCTGATCCAACCCACGCGATAGCATCATCAACAGTCAAGCCCCAGAATGCATGTGTGGTCCTGTTTACGTCTGGTTCTACAGGCAGGCCGAAAGGCATGGTCATCCAGCACAATAACATTTGCTCGTCCAGCGACGCATACGGCGCTGACCTTGGCATTGGACCTGGCACACGAGTGTTCCAGTTTTCAGCCTACACTTTCGACGTTGGAATCTTAGACTGCCTTGTCTCGCTTATGCGTGGCGCCTGTCTCTGTATACCTTCAGATCATGTCAGAGTGAACGACTTACCAGGCGCTATACGGTCTACAAAGGCTGACTGGGTATTCTTGACGCCCACAGTTGCTGACCTGCTCTCCCCTGCGGAAGTCCCTAGCTTAAAGGTTCTTTGCCTAGGTGGTGAAGCTATTAGCCAGAAGTGCGCAGACCGCTGGGTAAATCATGTCGAGCTGCATGGCCTTTATGGACCGGCTGAAGCGTCCATTTGCGCATGGAATCCCACTGTCGGTCGCTCTGGTCGATCAACAAACCTAGGTAGACCATTGTCCAGCGCCTTTTGGGTCGTTGAACCGAGCAACTATAGGCAGCTTGTGCCTGTGGGGTGTGTTGGAGAGTTACTAATTGAGGGCCCTATGCTTGCCCGAGGATATCTGAATGTTAGCGACGACGTCGCGGCCAACTGGATGGAAGACGTTGACTGGCTTCCCGGAGATAAGAAACGATTATATTGCACAGGCGACTTGGTTCGGCGTAACGCTGATGGGACATTTGAATTCATGGGCAGGAAGGATACACAAGTCAAGTTGCATGGCCAGCGCCTCGAGCTTGGTGAGATCGAATCCCGGATTCAGGGATTCCTTCCTCATAATATGGCGACGATTGTTGATGTTGCTAAAGCAGATGACGGCAGTTCCAATGATGTTCTTCTTGCTTTTCTCTGGTATACTGAAGGCGAGGCTACTCTGTCACAGAGTTTCCGCCTTCTAGAAAGCGCATCTGAGCAACAAAAAGAACTTATTTCGCGTTTGAACTCGTCAATAGCCACATGTCTGCCCACTTACATGATTCCTTCGTCCTATCTCATTTTTGAAGGAAAACCAGAGCTGATGGCATCTGGTAAAATAGACCGTCGCTCTTTGGTCAATTATGGCCGCGGCATCTCCATTAAAGATCGCCTACGCTTTGCGCCTGACGTCTGCGACAATGAGTCGCCGACAACCCAGACAGAGCTACAGCTACGGGATCTTTGGGCCGAGGTTCTTGAAATGGATGATCCAACAGCCATTGGGAAGCACGACAGCTTTTTACAGCTTGGTGGTGATTCTATCAGTGCAATCCACCTCGTCTCCTTGGCCCGACGCCACGACATTAATCTTTCAGTGGCGCTAATCTTCAGCAATCCTCGCCTTTCTTCTATGGCAGAATCCATCCAACTTAGCTCCTCAGTGCGAAAAGACGAGTCAGTTGCGCGATTCAGTCTCATTCCGATCGATGATAGTTCCGATGCCCAGCAGGCGGTCATGGCACAATGTAAACTCTCAGACCCAGCGGAAATATATGATATATACACTTGTACAGATTTTCAACAAACCTTGATGGCGTTGACCATCGCACAGCCTGGTTCTTACATCTCAAAGCACATATATCGCCTCGATTCCAATATCGACATTGATCGCTTCAAGGTGGCTTGGGAACAAACCGTACTTCGCTTTACGAATCTCCGTACACGGCTTGTGCTCTCAGGAAGCACTACAGTTCAGGCAGTCATCAAAGAGCCAGTTGCCTGGTCTCACAACTACGCTGACCTTTGCTCATTTACCCTGTCACAAAAGAATACTAGTATGGCATATGGCTCGCGCCTCTGCGAGTATGCAATAATTTCTCAAGGTTGCGATACTTACTTTGCGTTAAACATCCATCATGCCATCTTCGATTGGCAGACTCTTTCAATGGTGATCAAGACGCTGCAGGCTATTTATACCCAGAGCACGCCGCCATCTCTAGTTCCATACAGCAACTTTATCCAGTATGTAATGGATCTTGACCGAGATGCTGCACGCAAATATTGGTCCACGCAGCTTTCCGGCGCCAGACGCACCACATTCCCCATGCGCATCGCATCGCACAAACCGCAAGCATCAAATAAGGCCAATAGTATGACGAGTAAGCTAATCCACTTCCCTCGATCCGCAAACTGCTCTACAGCGCTTATCCGAGCTGTGTGGTCAATTATATTGGCACAATACGAGCGGACCGATGATGTATGTTTTGGCACAGCTGTCTCGGGCAGACAAGCCCCAGTGGAGGGTATCGATGAGATGCCGGGTTCTGCACAAGCCTCAGTTCCCATCCGAGTCCGCTTAGACAAGCAGCAAACTATTTCAAGCTTCCTTCAAGATTTGCAAACTCAGGCTCTTGAAATGGCAGTTCATGAGCAATATGGGCTACCAAGTATCTCGCGAATCAGCGCCTCTGCCAAGGATGCCTGCAGGTTTACAAACTTCCTCGTCATTCAGTCTGATCTGTCAGCGCAAGATGCCGCCTCCCTGCCTGTGCTTCATTCCGCCGTTGTTGAAGACTTGAAAGATGGCGCACCGCTTGGTGATGGTTTCGACTACATGTATCCTCTCATTGTCCAGTGTCAGTTGCTCAAGGATAACATGCAGCTAGCTTTAATCTATTCTTCAGATTTCCTTCACGGCTCTCAGGCTGATGCTCTCCTTGAGCAATTTGATTACGTTCTTGGACAACTCCGAAATGCTAGAGGAGAAGAAAGGCTATCAACCATATCTGTGACAAGCCCGTGGGACGCACGGCAAGCGATCCACGCGGCTAAAGTTGATCTTCAGCCGATCGAACCAAGGCTTAACGGTGAATTCTCATTACAAGAGGTCCATCGTTGTTGGATTGTGGCCCCTGATAACCACCATAAACTCGCTCCCATTGGGTGCGTGGGTGAACTCGTACTGCAGGGCCACGCGCTGGGCGGTACCTCTAAAAAGGCTGCAGAGATGTTTATTGATCATTTTGATTGGCTTTCTGACGCTCAAGCCAGTGAAAAGCATAAATTTTACAAGACGGGCGATCTAGTTCGGTATAATGCCGACAGATCTATTGATTATGTTGGCAGAAAAGATGCGCAAGTCGAGATTCGAGGCCAACAGGTGCAGCCCTATGAGATCGAGGCTCAGATCAAGCTCCTTACTCCTCAAGTTAAAGAAGTATCAGTTGATGTGATGATAACCGACAGTGACAAATCTTTAATCGCCTTCGTCGCCTTTGAAGATAAAACAATCACTATCGAAGCTGCAGCTGTTCAACTGGTACCACCCAATGACAAAATGCAACAGCATCTGTCCCACCTCGGTAGAAATTTAACCGCTGCTTTGCCAATTCATATGGTTCCCAAATACATCATCCCTGTCAAGTACATGCCACTCAATGGCTGCGGCAAAATCGACAAGGCAGCCCTCCTTCATACGGCCATGAAGCTTTCTACTGGGACTCTTGGAAGGTATCTGGCCAGCCAACATCCGCCATTCCGCGATTGCTCGTCTTCCCTTGAGCAATGGGTCCTAGCACACTGGGCAATTATTCTTGATATACCTGCAGAGACTATAGGCGCAGATGATAACTTCTTTCAGCTTGGTGGCGATTCAATCCAAGCCATTAGCATTCTAAGGCTGGCAAAAGACAACTTCGGTGTACCTATCGAACAATCTTTTAGCGGCAATCACACAACAATCAGCAATATGGCAAAATTGATTGAGACAGCTCTGGAAGACGAAACTACAGTACCATGCTCTCCAACGTCAGGCATCGATTTGCTAGCCAAGATCAATTCCATTTGTAGGGCATCTTGGATATCACATCCACACGCTTTGCAGGCAAACCCTATCACTACGATCCGTAACCAATCGACCATCTTTCTCACCGGTGCCACCGGCTTCCTTGGCACTGAGATTCTGAAACAATTGGTAAGAAATCCGGCAGTACGATCTGTTGTTGCCCACGTTCGTTCAAAATCGGTACCCGACGGAATGAGGCGTATCCAAGAGACGGCCAAAATCGCAGGTTGGTGGCGTGAAGAAGACGCTGATAAGTTGGAAATTTGGCTAGGCGACCTTTCCGAGGCTCGCCTTGGTCTCAATGAAGCCCAATGGAAACGCCTTTCTGGGCTATCCGAGTCAGAGAGCAGCATCAATGCCATTGTCCACAACGGAGCTTCTGTCAATTGGCATGCCACCTACGATACACTATGCCTTCCCAATGTCAACTCGACCGTCGACCTACTGATGGTGGCTGCAACATCACCTACCCAACCAAAGTTTGTATTTGTCTCAGGCGGAGCCTTCACAAACCCCGACGATCATCGGGCTATACCTGCCGTCTTTCTCAGGGATACCACCGCATATATCCAAACAAAATTCGTCTGCGAAGAGGTTATCAAGAAGATTACCCGTAATCTTCCCTCCAACCAGAACCGAGTGTCGATTGTGAAACCTGGGCGGATAATCGGCGCGAGCGCGAGCGGCGGCGTCGCCAACACAGACGACTTCATTTGGCGCGTTGTGGCCGCAGCCTCGTCCCTTCGCGCATATCCCGAAGAACCAGAAGAGCATTGGAACTTTATCCAAGACGTCAGCTCCGTCGCTTCAGGCATTCTACATCAGATATTCGACAGTGCAATCACGCCATTCTTGATCTCTGGAAGCGGCATGCCCATACCAATTTTCTGGGACCTTGTCAATTCTGAGCTGGAAACCCCGTGCAAGCCGGTACCTTGGTCTGAATGGCTTGAGCGCGCGACAGCCGAGCTGGAGGAAGTCGGTGGCAAGCATCCGCTGTGGACGGTACAGAAATTTCTTCGTCAACTCGGCGTACCACAAAACGCCATCAACTATAAAGGCGTGGAATATACCGAGTATAAAGAAGCACAGGCGGCAGTCAAGAGTAATGTACGCTATCTTAGGAGTATTGGATTTATTTCTTCGGAAAATGGATTTGGCAATACTGAGCAGGAGAATGTGATTCGGCGTGTACACGCAGTGAGGAAATTGGCATAAAGCAGGGCTGGCCTCATTATCTTCTTTTTTAACTGTAATCTCCTATTTTAATTATTTTATAGATTCCTCAATTCCATTCATTTCATTATTTAAAGTAAGACATAGACCTCTTTGTGGAAGTAGAATTATGTAGAAGTCTTTGTCTATATATCTCATACCCTAAATCGTTTTCGTATATGAGTATAGAAGTATGATATTGGCGGCCCGGCCACTAAGTAGAATGAGAGGTAGTATGTTGCTTATGGCCGTGAATAAGGCAATAGTGGTTTTGGAAGTTAGGTATAGTTTATTATTTATGGCAGCAAACGGACTTGCGGCATAAGACTGCTAGCTGAGAGGAATATGTATGAAGAGAGTTTGCATACGATGAAAACACTGCCAGTATAATAGCAATACAATTGTTGAAACTATCCAATAGATAGACAGCCAGCCTACCCATGCAAATTAGAATAAGCTAATAGGCAGTCCAAAAGACCTTGGTATCGCGGGGATGAGCCGTTCATCTTGAGGCCCAAGTTCTCTCTTCATAATGCGTGGGCTCAAGTAATAACGAGTATAACTCTAGAGTTGAACCCATAATACGGGGGATAGACAAGGTGGGAAACTTCGAAGTCTTCCAGCTTTATGTCCGTATGGAAGCGAATGTAGAACAGCACCACTGGGAACCTACGACCTTGTCAACATTAGCATACGCCTGTAGCTTCACGCAGGACAAAGATCTTTAGGGTTGTAGAATTTGCCTGTAAGCATCGGGAGCCCACTCCAAGTCAGCGCTACTGAAGCCGATCAAAATATCTCGTGGAAAAAGTAACGAGTATCAAACTTCCACCAATATTTGCTATCTTGTCAGAATTGAACAGTAATACAAAGCTAAGACTAAGCCTTTTTTTCTTGATATCTTACTACTCTATGATACACCAAAAGCTATACTTTAATGTTTGTACAAGGTGTTGCGAATGAATAACTCTGCATATGTGATATTAAAGTTCGACGAGATCAGGTTGGCCCACTTCCTAATCGACAAATCTATTAAAAGTCTTCTCAAACATTTTCCGTTTTTTACTCTTTTTGTTGCCCTCTGTGGTAATTTCCTCTCCATTATTGTTATTGTCTCGCATTCCAACACTCCGGGGATCCCTCAATACTCGACGGTGTAATTACTGTTAACTCCGCAGATCTGACCGTCTCGCTCACGGCTGGACTCGCCGGGGAAGGATGCGGCATTCCTTGGCTGCTCAGCTCGACCCTGAATGCTCCGTCTGGATCCTCATCTTGTCGATTAGATGATGTCGATTGGATGTAAATTGATAAATTTTCCTCGCTCTTGAGACTCAAAGATGGAGCATGACCGAAAACCACAGCTCCTTTCTCGTCGTGTCATCACGTCTACAGATATCGATCTTTGACGCATAAGGTGCAGCCTCCATGAAATCCATAGCCACTTTGCAACGAGAAACTGTACAGAATGTATGTGATAGTCTCCAGCTCCGGTGTTGTTGTTGCTTCTCCTCAAACACTCGCAAACGTTTAAATGGATGGTTAAGCTACGCCCAGATAACATTGCTTATCTCGCCTGATCTCAGACCCTGCTCCTTCTTAAGCAGACGCTGTTGGTACAGCTTTTGTAGCGTGGAAATAGAAGTGGTCATATAATTTTTGTTGATGGGCACAGCTTTCCATTCCTTTCAGAGCGCCAGCGATTTCTCAGGCCTAATCAGATCACTAAAACCTCGGCCGAAGATAACAGTGGTGCCAATTGGAAGTATGAAGTCAGGCCATCCATGACCTCGTGATTCTATATGTTTGATGCGAGTGCAGATAGCACTTACTGGGCCGATGATGTCTTGAACATCAAATCCAATGATATTGTGGCGAAAGTCCGCTGTCTGCGCAATTCGAATGCCATCCTGCAGACCAGCCATGCGTTGCTCATAGTTAAGTATTTCAATAGGATGCAATGTCTTCTCAACTCGCGTGTCGAGGGTAGCATATATGGTCTCCCCAGTGCCATCAACGCTGCGTTTCCTTTTTAACAACATAGACGTCCAGATTAAGATTCTCTCAGCTCGTTAGAGTCCTTCAAGGCTGCTTGGCGTCCGGAAAACCCAGGCCACTTGTTCCTAAATTTGGTACCATCGACACCCCGGTCGTACACACTCTCTGGATGCATGAGTAGCTAGCCATTAGAGTGGCGACAGCGGGGATCTCATGATGACAAAGTTCCCTCTATTAGTTAGTACATTAGGGACTCTTGATCTACCACGGAGAATAGAATTTTATTAAGGTATCAATAAAAAGGGATTTTCTACCATATATTCCTTGGTCTTCTTAAATATTCAAAGTCTGAGAAGTAGTGTGACGTCTTGATATCCCCATGCCGAGACGCAATCCATTCAGATAAGCCAACCATTTGAGAAGGTGCTCACGGCTTAGACTTTTAACGATATGTCAATGATGCTTGCCACATGTGTACTGGCAATATCTTAGTGCAATAAATTGGGCCTTGTATAGAACATATCCGATGTATCTCGGCGATCAACCAAGTCTAGCGTGTTGCATTGCCATTTCTATACGAACTTCTTGTGTAAACTCTGGACAATATTGAAAACTTAGTTACTCAAGTTCTAAATGGATGTGTTTCAATGTTCAATTGCTTCACCAACTGGTCGCATAGATATATGCCTACTAACATGTTATGCAAGATAGAAGACCAAATGTCATAATGGAAAGAAAGATCGTGATATGCCGATGACTTAATAAACAGCTCTATGGAGAGTCATACATGTAAATGCATTGATAGTGATGTAATTCCACAGTATTGCCGACGCTATTTAACTCTCTTGTTAGTTATAATCCAAATGCTGTGGTCTAATCACCGAGGAACGCTTTCCTGTCGAATTATACTAGCTCTTCACCATCTGGTTATTACAGCATCCAACTTGTGGTTTTTATTTCATGTCATATCAGTTTGTGAGCGGCTGCCGTAGCTAGATTAATTTAATGAAAGATATCCAAAACTGTATCCAGTCCATCCAAAGACCTAGTTCCTCCATACGCGCCCACAAGCGAGCATAAGCTTTCAGGAAAATGTCCTTATTTACAGAGGCACCAAACGTCCAGTCATCCATCAGTTGCAAATGTACGAATAGCAAACTAAAATGTTGCTAAAACTGCAAGCCGCGCTGAAGCCGTTGCAGTCCTTGATGCTGTTGTCTCCGTTATAGCACGTGCCCTGTACACTACCGTCTCCGCCAGAAATATAGAAAAGCCAACTACCATCATCCTGGAGATAAAAGTCCATGTTGCCCACGCCGCACATGCCATCAAGCTTGAAGTAGTTGGACCCCGTGGTGGTGATGCCAACTGTTGGGGTCTCTCCACTAATGACATGACCGGCGCGGTCTCCGTCTAGCAAGCAGTCGCAGTTGTAGTAATTAGATGGACATGCCATTGTGGCGTCTGAAAGGGAGCCGCCCCATCCAGGGGCAATAGAGCATGGGCCAGTTAAAACATGAAAGTCGGCCACAGTAGAGCCGGCGAGGCCCAGAATGGCGAGGAATTGAGTGGCTGAGAATTTCATTTTGATAGAAAGTATCCTGAGTATCGGAAGAGTGAAGGAGAGGTTTGAACGGATGAAGAGTTGGCTATGTCGATTCTTTCTTCACTTTGCTTGTCACGACGAGGGCAGAAATCTTCTTTTATATTCATTTTCATCAGAGCCAAGACTGAACTACGCTTGGCGAACACGCTCCCCACGCCCTTCCAGCTTTTGGAAGCCTTCTCTTGAGCAAAGCTTCTGAAATTCACGTCAAAGAGGTATATTCGTTTGCATTCGGAATTGACAATAGGTCTGATTCACTTAGGCCCCGATCCTTGTTACCTCTCAATGAGGAAGGTAGTCAGACGGACCGTCGGTTCAGCCAAGAACTTTGACGCACCATGACGGAATCTCAGGCTTGGCTGGAGTAGCTGGGACATAAAACGAACAAAATCAGTTTCAACTGTTAGACCAGGAGATGAAAGCGTCAGACTCATGAGGCGTCCATCTATGTATACATGCATACGCGGCTTGCCTTGGATTCCCCGTATCCCGATAATTGGCGGAATAAAATTACTACTGCCAAATCTGTATATGATTGGCAGCGTCTCCTTTCTCACCCTTGTCTTGCTCCAGTAGTAGTATTACTATTTCGTACCGCCCACTCACTACAGTAATCACAGCAGTCTATGCCAAGCCTGTCGATCTCTCCAAACTTGTAAAAGCGTAATATGCTAATGTGACAATGTGCGTCGAGTACGTGTAAAGTAATGGACTGAGGGCAAGTAATCCACTGGATAGGCGTGGAGATGCAGTGAAATCAAATTTAATTCAGGTCCTGCTCTTCCCAGAGTCAACAGTCTATGCTTCACTTGGAGGAGTGGAGCAATTGGCGGATTAATGTAGTCTATTGAAATGAAATGAAAGTGTACGTAGATATGTCTATACTACTAGTTCAATTTCCATCATTGGATATACATAAATACAAAACAGTAACTCAAGGTAAAAAAGGAAAACGCAGAGAGCGAGATAAAATTAAAACAGCTTACAATCATACGCTAATTTGTGATACACGCAACTAAGATTAGTCTTAAAAGATCGCAGCTATACTTTCGAAGTCAGCCAAATCAGGTATCAGTACAATAACAAAATCCGGATAAGTATCCAGTAGTCATCATTATGCCCGTTTCAGTCTTACTTTTTCTTCTTTTGTCGAGTATTGTGCTTATATTAGGCGTATTTGGGGCATGCGCAAAGATTACTTACAACCAGGTAGTGGTACATCGCTCACTTCTACGATTGACCAACCTACCATACACTCGGGAGGTACGGGGCTTACAAATGTAGTACAAATGACATAGTCCAATTAACATAGATCAATCAAGCACATTCTCAGTGGTCCGTCTCGTATACCGGTCCAACCCTACATGCAGGTAGGTTACATGACACATAAGCCCAAGCTTGAGCTGAGTATCTCGTCCTATATGGCTAGCGCATGCACTATTTTCTAGAAACAGAAGCGAAGGGAAACGACATGGATTATTTCAGCGACTAATATACTGGCGAACCCCATAGCCAAGCCAATATGTCGTCACTCGATACACTTCTACATCCATAAGCTCAAAAATGAGACCCAGTTTTCGATATTATAAAGTATGTCATCCTCACCGGGACCATTACATAAAGAACGCAAGGGGTAATATTCGCAGAAATAGCTGACAGCTAGTACGGAAGGTCGCTCTTTAACACTTGCGTCAACGTTCATGACAGGAAAATGAACTTACAATATACTGCCTCGTATACCATCAAGAGTCGTGTGCCATTTTGCTTTACACCAATTGTGAAATCTGAATCAAATTGTATCTGAGAAAACGGTTCTCTACAGTAACTATTTCCGAATCATCTACTCCGTTAGCGCAGAACTTCTGTAGGATAAGCAGGGATGTATTCCGTATAAACCAATGCTCTTACAAGTAGTTTTCCTTTTATGCTTACACCTCCACACCTGGGATCGAAATATTTGGCCTAGCCTATCAGCCAAAATATGCCAAGCACCCGTTTTGTATATAGCTTGTTGCGAACTTGGGAACTGCACTTATTCTGAACATAGGTTTGTACTCTTTCCGACGATGAGTATTAATCGTTTGCAAGATTGCCTAGCGCTCGGATAATGTTACGTAACTGTGCATGCCTTTGCTTGGTTCGCCGATAATACTACCTCCGTATTTTCAGGAGGCTTATTCTTGGCTTGCAGCTTACAACATGAATCAGCCAGTAAGCCATGCGCAAACATGATTCTATAGAAAGAGTTATCAAACCCGGGGCAACTATCATTGACATCATAAGAGAGCAATAATGATAATGCTAAAGTGAGCGAGAAAGCCACGCTCGGTTACACCGAAATCGACGAAGTAAAGTTGGCAAGTTTCGCCGACTGACCACTCAACTCCTCAGCCTATTCCAATTTCCACAACACGGTCTCTACGCTGATTCCTACCTCACACATCACCAGATCAAAAGGCATACAAGAAGTTCATATCAAGATTCAAGATAGCTATGGGTATAAGTTCCTTCATCATCGCGACCTTTGCTGCAAAAACGTTCCCATGACTAACCCATCCGCTTACAGGTGCTTGGCAAAGAAATCGGCGGCCTGCTTGTAGCCGCGCTCATACTCCTTGACGTTTTCCTCGTTCTTCAGGTCAGATCTGGCGCCCATCCAGCCGTGGTGCATAGTCTCATAGGTGGTAACCTCGGCCTTGTCGCCCATGATTTCCTTGTACAAGGCAACCTTGTCGGCGGGCTCGTCCTTGGAAGCAAGCAAGATGTGAGGAGCCGTCTGGGCCTTGGCATCAGCCTCATCAAGCATACTATTTCGAGTTGACATTTGTTAGCAGAGACAAAAGGGCAAAAACGTTGCGTTCTTGCAGGAGATGATGAAGACTCACCCAGGATGAGCAGTTCCGCTGGCTTCGAATCGTCGGCCAACGCCCTCGTTGCCCGCTCCGCAAGCCAGAACAGTCAGCTTGCCACCCCAGCACAGGCCGAAAAGTCCCCAGTGGCCCTCAATGGCAGGGTACTTCTCAGACAGCTCCTTGCGGATAGCCAAAATCTTGGCTACGTTGGCCTCGGGGTTGGCCTTGGTGGCGAGAAATTCGTGCAATTTCTTCGTTTTCTCCTCGGTATCGTTGGGAATCACATTCATGCTGAGGCCGCTGCCCTCGAAGAAGTCGGGAACCAGAACCAGAGCACCGCTCTGGGCGGACAGACGATCAGCACCCTGGATGGTCTGAGGCCAGATACCGAAGATGTCGTAGACATCGACAATTCCCTTAGTAGCGTCCTCAGGTCCTGTGATGTCTATGGTGTGATGTATCAATAAAGCTGTTGATATATCTCTGGAGTCTGGTCAAGGGGAGCTCCTCTTACAGGTGTTTACGCCAGCAATAACTTCATATTTCCCAAGGGGTGTGTAGTCCGCGGTGACGGGAGCCAACTTGCAGCATGCCGCACTAGCCATGGTGTCTGATATGAGTTTAAGGTATGAAGGATATATATGACGGTATAGTGGTGTGAAAGGCACTGAGGCTTGATGAGATGTCGGAGGACTTCATCTTGATCGCCTATATATACTCATCTGAACCTCTTTTTCCTCAAGTGGGGCTTACACGGACAAGTTTCGTCTTGGAAACGAGTAGCGCTGCTTCGTGGACACAAAATAGGATCTTCAACGAGAATCCAGAGCTCGGATTGGCGGTTCAAGGGCTCCATCCTGAAAGCATTGATTCTTGCCGATGATTGTGGCGGCGTCGGTGCCGACCCGGCAAAACCGAGTCGAGTGCCAAAGCGGAGCTGGCGATTAATGTCCGAGAGGGGCTCGACAAAGCACTAGAGTCAAATGACAAGTCGAACATGGAATATTTTGAAGAATCTAGCTAGTGGTTGTAGAGTTTCTCGAAGTCTTCATCTAGTTGCTTGGAACTCAACTGTAAGATGATTCGTCGTTGATGTGCAGCAAGGTAACTTTCAGGCACAGGCCGAAGAGTACTAGCCGATCCTTAACATGAGGGCGGGGTGGTTTTGATCTTTTCTTCACCCCGCTTTTAGCGCGAAGCTGAGCCCAGCTGGATATTGAAGCAAACTCGACACAATCGGTTAACTCTCTCAACAACTGTATCAGTGCATAGTTTACGGACTGTTATCTTTGCCGTAATCCGTAGAAACAGGAGTTAAAGCTGTGGACTAAAATGAGGCTTTAAATCCGGGTTAACTCCGGTCAAGGACTCTCCCGATAGTTGGCATTTACCAGATAAAGAAGTCGAATCTAAATCGGCTTAAGTGGAAGTTATCAAAAAGGGAGACGCGTGCCCCTTGAACAATTGATGCTTGGCTTATGCTTATTGCTTGAGGATCATGTTGCGCTTTCTCTGGCGATACATTTACAATTTCCATTAAAATTGTGGAAAATAGAATTGCATTGCTTACTTACCATATTACCTACCTAGATAGAAGTTTTTCTTGCACAGTTACATCACCACATTGTCACCTCCCTTACGTCATTAGCCGTTACAATTGATAGACTCATAAGTTGTTTTGCATCATTATTCACACCTTTGAAAAAATAGCTGTTTCATTTCATCATGAAATCTACAATGCTCTGAATCAATCTATTGACTTCGAAAAAAAACCATGTCTGATCAAACCTGGAAAACCAAGCCGCCATACCAAAAGCCCGACGAAGCTTTCAACAAGGTGTTGCAGGGCGCTTGTCATTGTGGTCAAGTAAAATACTGGCTAAGCAAAGATAGCCCTCTGGCTTCCAAGTACTGTCATTGTGGTGACTGCAAAGTGATCCATGGTATGTTACTCTCTCTGTCTCGGTGTTTCTTTTCTCTTTTATCTATTCATTTGTCCGCGTTGCATACAAAAAAAGATGCTAGAGACTCACACGATTACCAGGCGCTCCCTTTCAATGGGCGGCGATATTCCAAAAATCAGACTTGGCATTCGAAAACGGTGCCGAAAACCTGCGCTTCTACAACTCTGGCTCCAAATCATTAGAGCATGAGCTACCCTGCAAAGTGAGCTGCTCCCAATGTGGGACACTCATCATGGATGAAGGACGGAACATGGTATTGCTATTTCCGACGCTTCTAAAATTCCAAAATCAGATCCAGAAGAAGAACTTTGAGGTTCAGTATGTAGCTCCGGGCATTTACTTTGAGGATTATATTCTAACTCTGCATGTAGGTGTCACATGTTCTATCCCCAGAGGGTCGTTGACTTGCCGGATGGTAAGCCAAAGTGGGCAGGGTTAGATGGGAAGAGCGAGTTAGTACCGGAATCCTAAGTCGCTTTGGTCGATAAATGCAATACTGTAGCTGGTTGTCTTCGAGAAGATAGACCGTTCCATATTCTTCCATAGCGCGTATCGTTCAAGCAAAATCGTCAACATTCGTTCACATAAGGACACGGGGTCTTCGTAATCCGGCTCTCTCGTCAATCACTCCTGTGCGCCATTCGAGGCCTAAATTTTTGAAAATTCTTCTATTCCCATTTCTCATGCATGGATATGTACACTTCGTTTCCTCGTCCCAATATCCCCTTAGTTGCTTCGCGCACCCTCTTTTGACTCCCGCAGCTCGTTCATCTTGGCAACTCGCTTCTTGAACTCGACGTACTGGCACTTTTCGTAGCTGTGTCGCTCGTCCTGGAGTCACCGGCAGGGATAAATTAGCGATTATGTTCGTTTGCTCTTAGAGCTCCCTGGTTTCTCCCTGCTTCTCTGCTGCAGCTTCCAGCTGGATAAAACGTACCGTGCACTTCCACGGAGCATACCAGGTCTCTCTTCGGCACTTGTTGAGGGGAATCAGAAGGTGGGCGCAGCTGTCTCTGTAGGCGAGCGGGAGTTTGGCATCGCGCATCTCCTCGCGGGTCGCCTCTGCGGTAAAAGTCAGCGGCCATGGATCGCCTCGGAAGGATCGTAAGGAAAATATGAGAGCGCTTGCACTTACGCCGCACATCTGTAGCCGCGTCGGAAGCCATGCTTGCGGTTCAATTGGCCTTTGACGATATCGTGGGATGAGGTTATCCAGATGCCGCAAGGTCCTGTTCGGGTGAAGGCCGGTCGCTAGCCGTGGCTGGTTTCGGCCTTGGAAATGAGGCGCCAACTTTGGGCGCTGGGGACAAGTACCAAGTACCGACCATTTTACTGCGATTGACCATGAAGCTCATAATCTTCAGCGATCAGAGATTCAACCTTTTGCTTGTGTCTGTGTCTTCGTTGACATCGGGAACCTTGTGACGAAGCTCTTGCAATTTCTCAGACACTATCTGACTGAGCTTTTCTTATAACCATTGACTCATTTCTAGAAGCCCTCTATGGCATCTCATCCAATACATTTAATCCACATAAGCAGCATTTCAAACAGGAATCGTTAATCCAAGTATGGATGCCATCACGACACAGCCAAACTGAAACATGTCACTGCCCAGTCAAGAGTAATTCCCAGCCTTACCACAGCTTCTCTCCCTCAAGTCCCAATCGCGCTCCGCGACAAACTCCCAAACTCCCAAACGCGCATCCCGCGTCCGCGCACCAAATTAGGCCGTCTTACAGCACATGATTGGCTCCCAACAGCCCGCTACTGCGCCGTGAATCTCATTGCTGCCCAAAGACTCACTTGATTCACGGCAACAGTAAATGGCCACCACTCAACTGGGATCTGAGGCATTCGAGTATGCGTCACCTGCTTATAGTTCATGCATGTTTCGTGCTTTCGCGACGCGGCCACGCCTGATGCTAGCCAGTAGATGGTTTCGCTGTCTCTGTAGCGAGCGCGTTTGCCTGAACAGTAAGTAGAGATTGGGCCGAGATGCATCGTAGGTTCAAGTATATATTCAGGTAGAGAGAATTCAATTTTGGCATCTATCTCTCCCCTCGTCTATCAATATCATTTCTGTACAACTCTCTTTTTGACAATTCTTAATCTTGCTCGCAGCTTTTTATTCACTTGCTTCTCTCATTTTAATCTGCACCTACCTCTCTGCAACCGATTCGCTCTTTTGTCTATTCATTCGCTTCATCATATTGTAATCTCACTACACCATTCTTTTATTCAACGACATACTTCATCCAACATCATTATACATACTTCATAATACCTACTTGCAAACAACTCACGGCCATGGCATCTGAATCTTACGACATCATCGCTTGGCTCGTTCCAACAACCCATCATTCGTTGGCCGATAAATCCACTCACATACCCGAGAACGCCTCTCACATCACCACAACCTCAAATTCATATCTCTCATCTCGCCTCTCCAACATCACAAACCATGGCTCGGAGAGAGCCATCCAACTCACCTTCTCGCAACCGCCTAAACTACCAGGCAGCTTCATCCTCGGCACAGACCCGAGAACCTGCGACATCATCCTCCCACGAACGGAGGGAATATCGAAACAACACTGCGCAATCAGCTTCGATGCGCAATCAAGACTCGTGCTTAGCGACTTCTCAGCCAAAGGAACACAAGTATGGTATGACTGGGAAAGCAACGGCGACAGAATAGATTATTCATGGCTTCTGAGCAGCGGGTGCTCTGGAGAGTTCCCCAATATGGTGCAGCGCACTATTGTGGACATCCAAGGAGTTCGATTCCAAATTGTCGTGAATGATCGTTCTGAAGACTGGGATACTTTCAGAGAACAGGTCGACCAGTTCTGTGAGCAGCCTAGCTGGGAAGATGCCACTTACTGGGCTGATTCCTCCTCGTTACTACATTCAGACATGTCTGCAGTCCAGCATATTTTGGTGAAGAACGCAACAAACGAACCCGTCGAAGAGCTATATCTTTGGAACTTGGAACGGCCATGGGAACCCATGGTTAAGGCATCGGCATGAAACAGACTTTAGGAATGGACATGGAACATTCATCTCTCGAGCATGGTTAGCATGTTCAACTCATACTAATGGAATAATTCTTTCTTCCTATTAATTCTCAAATCATGATCGCTCAATAATATTGTGACAAGCCCCCTCAAAGGAGGGTATCATACAAACTCCAAACGCATGCCTCCGTAACCTAGTTTGCCTCCTCTACAACCAAACAATGTCTCAGTCCGTAAATCTCACAATTTGCTCCGCAGCCGCCACTGGTTCCTCAGCTGGTTGCTCTGTCTCATCCATGAACCGTGTCATGGCAAACTCCGGTGCTCTTCTTCGCTGGGCGTTGCGGCCCTTATTTCCCTTTCTCATGGCAGCCGTTGCCGCCTCCTCTCGTACAAGTGCCTTCTCCGCCTCCTTATCCAACATGGTCCCCTCCAAACTGAGGTAGCTCGTCTCGCCGCTAACACCGACATCAAAGTTTCGAATGCGGAAGCGAATCTTGCCCTTAACTTTGTTTCCGCTTCCATCGACCCAGAAACCGGTGCTGTGAATCTGGCGCACTACTCCATGGTCGTCGGCGGTAATCACTGATGCAGTCTCTTCTATGCCAAAAGCCTCCGGATCCTCGTTCGCGACCCATTTCCAGGCAGATGGCAGACGTCGAGCCTCAATCGATGCGTTGAACTGGCCGAAGCAAACGACACCAATGTGACCTTCGGTCTGGAGATTGATGCTGCCTTCCATCCACGCACCACGACTAGGAACGAATAGCTCGACCTCGGCGGTAATCCAACCGAAACCGACGGCAAACTCGTTGACAGACTTTAGAATGGTCGAGTCGTCGTCTGAAGTTGCGGCACCAGTGCGCCCTGGATTCTCGCCAAGTGCGACATTCTTATAATTGATAAGAACGCCGCGCAGAGACGGGACGTATTTGTTCTTAAGGTGCTGTAGGTGCTGATACTCGCTGCTCGTCACTGGCTGTGACCAGCCGGTGGGGTATATAGGTTCGTAGAGAGAAACATTCTGGCTGTAGAATGGGAACTGAGGATTGGCGGGGATGTCGGGAGGTTGGTAGATTCCAGAAGATGTCTGTGGCTCAGAGGCCTGGTCGACATCCATGGCGTTAGCATCGGCATCGGCATCGGCAGCTGAGGGCTTGTCGGTTTCCTCGTCGTCCTCATCGGCATGCTTCTTGGACTTCTTTTTCTTCTTCTTCTCTCCGCTGGCATCTCCAGCATCATCTTCCTCCTCCTTGTGCTTCTTCTTGTGCTCCTTTTTCTTCTTCTTATGCGTCAACTCGTCATCGCCAATGGCTGATTGTGAAGCCTCGGGCTCGTCATCTCCGTTTTCTTCGACAGATGCGCTCTTCGACTTCTTGTGCTTGCGGGGGGTGTTGTCGGTAACTGCTTCGTCTCTGTCGCGCTTCTTTTCTGACTTGGATGCTTTGTCCTTTTTGTGTTTCTTTTCTGACTTTGGAATTGCCGGCTCGGGCGACGCAATTGAGGCAGACATTTTGTCGAAATCCAGCCTTCCAAGCAGGGTCGCTGTGAATTGAATGAAGCTTCAATTGCTTTGCTAGGGAAAGTTTTTTTTTTGGGCGCGCAGCGGCTTATCTTATCGATTATCGCACTGCTGGCGGGGCGATTGATACATACATAGCTCGGGCCTGCATTAGCAGAGAATCTTTGGAACAATCTCGCAGATCTCGTCTTCTTCAGCGTCTCTCGGGATTTTAGCTGCCGGCTGATGATTCATATCCCATGGTGTTCTAATTCTTTGTAGCATTTTTCGTGTAGTATTTAAATAACGTAATGCCTCAGAGCGACATGCAAACGCCTGGGCGTCTTTTGAAAGCCTGTATGCTATTCTACACTAGTGCTAGCAGAACACAGTGATGCTTAATTTAGGCTTCCTGTAACCCTATATTTTGCAGCTACAGCTCGGTTTCCGATATAGACAATCTGTCTTTCAAAGATTCGGCCCGGAACCAATTTCAGTTCTTTTTGCCCCCTTTCCCTCCAATTATCGCATAATTTGACTTGCGTGCCTTCAGTAGAGTCCTACAAACTTTTCATATCAGGCTGTGTCTTCCATGTTTACTGCCGGAAATTTACGTCAACCGGACGGGCTTGAGAACAGGTGCCTCAGACTTCAGCCGGCGATCACTAAATAACTTTGACATGTCAGTATTGAGCTTCATGTAGGACCTGAAAGTGCATATAGCAGCTCACATTCCAGTTCACTAACAGGCGTGGGCCCGGATCACTGAGTCTATCCGACGGATAACGAAGCAGAATCCACTTCCAAAAAGCAGCTCAATAATGGGGCGTTTTGACCAATGGACAACTAATTGAACCACTATAGCATGTCACCGGATGGACTGATATCGGATCCTAATGATTTCTCTCAAAGCTGTATTTCTCGTGTCAGCTGTTACTAATAATTGGAGGAAACAGCCCGACACCAGTTCCACCGGCATTGTGTTCGTACAATGTGGCCGTCCATGGCAGACTACTATCTGATCGGATTTCTCTAAGAGAGCCTCCGCAAAGTTATTGCTTATTTCAGACATAACGATAGACGCCAATTTATTCTGCTGAGGCCTATTATTCCGCTCAGACTTATATAAAGGCTCCCCAACAGGTCAACAGGTCAACAGGCCAACAGCATCCAGAGACAGTTTTCCCGGCATTTCAAATTTTCTGTTCCTAGTCAGCGCTTGTCATGCATATCCCTTGTAGACCGATCTTGGCATTTGTCGGCGAAGAACTACCTCTCGGCTTTCTTCCACGTTTGCTCCATCAAACTTGTCCACTAACGCCATGGCTATACTGACACGACCGGCGAAGGGCCCGAAAGCGCTCTAATGTATGGAGCAAGTGAGTAAAAACTGGTGGCCATGTGGCACCTGATCCACCATCGCCGTCAGTGGTGGTTTTTATCAATCAGCACCAAATTTATCAATCAGATAAGATCCCCGCTCGTATGCATTTGCTTAAAGGCGCCGATCTTCGCTCGCGATTCTGCTGAGAGGTCTGGATGCTTTACTCCCTCAGTCAACTGCCTCCAGCTAGTCTCGCCAACTTTTTTTCTGTGTAAATGAAACAATACACATCATGGGCGATGAAGAAAAGAATCCCACCGTCGCCGATGTGTCGGTTGGCGACGAGTCGGACTCAGCATCCGAGCGGCAGCGAAGCACCAACATCCCATGGAGCATGAAGATTCTCTCCGTCGTGCTCGTCAGTCTGGTTGGATTTGGCTCTCACTGGAGCAGCGGAGTGACGGGAGCTATGAAAAGCACCCTGAAAAAGGTTGGTTCTAATCACATTTAATTGGTGGTTTTATACTAACACGCTCGTAGCAATTACACATCAATAACGCTCAATATGCGACACTAGATGCGAGCGAAAACTTCATCAAGACAGCTCTAATTCTTGTTAGTGGCGTCGTTACAGATAGAATTGGTGGTGCAAGTAAGGGGCACAGTTTATTTCAATTGCTGTGCTTCATTTTCTAACTTTTCAACTTTCAGGAGCAATGCTTTGGGGCAACGCCGTGTACAGCATTGGGGCGATTCTCATCGCAGCAGCCACCCAAGTCCGCAGCTTCAAATTCATGATTGTCGGCAGCGTCATCCAAGCCCTTGGAGATGTCGCTACGCAGTGCGCCCAGTACAAAGTTTTCTCATCCTGGTTCGCCCCCTCCAATGGATTCGCTTCCACGCTCGGTTTCGAGCTTGGTCTCGGCAAGATTGGGAGTTTTGTCGGCCAGGCATCCGCCAATGTTATCGCAAAGAGAACAGGGAACTTCAGCTGGGTTTATTGGTGTGCGGTATTCATTAATCTCTTTACCAATGTAGTAACTGCCGTGTTCTACGTTTTCACGAATTACTGTGAACGTCGCTATGCCGGCACGAATGACCCGGCAACCGGCGAAAGATTGACCGAGAAGAACAAAAAGTTCGAATTCACCAAAATGCTAAGGCTACCTTGGCCTTTTTGGCTTGTGGCATTGTTTTCGCTCTTCCAAACTTCAGTCGCCAGTGTCTTCTCCTCCAACGCCACGGAACTCGCCCAGAAGCGGTTCAACATTTCAGCAGTTACAGCAGGCTGGTATTCAGCCATGTCACAGTATCTCGGCTTCTTCTTGGTGCCAATCTTGGGCGTCTTCATTGACATACTTGGCCAGCGCAACACCATTATGTTGGTTTGCGGTCTTGGCATGCTCCTTTCCATGTGCCTTGCCGCATTTGGCCCTTCAGTGGGAGGGACTGCAGCCAGCTTCGGCATTTATGCTTTTGCGGCGTCTCTTGGCCCAACAGTCATTATTGACAGTATCCGAACAAGTATGTGGTACCAGGAAGTCTTTGGATCTGGCTATGCCATCAAGATTGCCATCAACAACAGCATGACAATTATCATCGGTATCGTCGCGGGTGTCATCCAAGACCACGATAATGACAGCTATAACCGAGTCATCATCCTCTATGTCGTGCTTGCGGCTGGCTCTGTTGTAGTGGGCATGATAATGGCTGGAATCAGCTTTTTCAGTCCCACTATGGATAGGCTACAATGGACGCGCAAACAAAGAATCATCAGGGGCGAAAAGATCAACGCCCTGAAAGAAGAGTTTGAACAGGGCGAAAATCGAAATCGACACAGGGTCTTTAGTTTGTCTTGCTTCGTCGCTATGATAGTCCTTTTATTAGGAGCCTGGGCAACATATTTCTGGGGAGTAGCTACAGGGAACAATGACTAACTCACAAATAATGAACTTGTAACGTATAAAGAGAAAGAATGAATATTAGATGGTAGCTTTGATAGTGCTTTACTTGAATTAAATAATATTTAGACTCCTATATAGCAGTTTTCTACTTCAGAACGCTTCAAGGTCTCACGGATTCAATGTCTATTAATATTACAACATTTATCAATCTAATATGTTTCTATATACATTTGACTACTCATCTAAACCTAAGCAGCGGGTAATTCTGTCTATTATATCGCATAAAAACTATGCACCTTTCCGCAATGGCCTTCAATGGCCTAGAGATTTGAATTCGAAAAAGGCAAGTAGTTCTCGCCGAGAAGAGGTGGTTAATACTTCTCTCAGTACTTATTTCTTTTGCGCTTTGGACTGCTTTCTCCATCCAGCCGCATATCTCCATTGGATGGCTGGGCCTAGTAGAGCGACAAACTGAACAATGACGCAAATCGTAAATGCTAGTCCGACACCAATGCCATTCACCATGGGCATGACGATACTCGTACCACCAGCAGCAAAAAGACATCTGGCAAGGTTTAGACTGGCACTAGCAGCGGCACTTCGATCCGAGAAGATGTCGACTAGATATGTCATGATAATGGATTGAGTGGACACGGCAGTCCAACCCGTGATGAAGGTAGAGACGATTGGTACAGCAATGTGCACGCGATGGGGGTATTGAATCGTCCAGCCGAACAAGAGGATAGACAAACACTGGATGATGGAGAAGACCGGAACCAGACGAAGCCGGGCTTTCTCAATAGGGAAATCATCCTCATCTTTGGAGATGGAATGCGTCGCTTCACTGCCGTTTTCAAGATCTCCTTGGGCCACTTGGGCCTCGTGGGCAGCTTTAACCTTCTTGTAATCCATGTCGAGAATTTTTCCAGTGATGAGCGTTCCAATCATAGAGCCCACCCCGTTTGCAATAAATGTCAATCCAATCTGCGTCTCCTTCAAGCCGTATTTCTCTTCAAAGAGAGTCGACATGGCTGTAATGCTCATCTGCCAGACAGCGTAGTATATTGCGAGGAAAATGATAATAGGAGTCGCATGTTTGCTGATGAGGATGCGAAACGGGCCAACAATGTCGATGCGCTTTTTTGCGTCGGGCGCTGCTGCTGAAGATGCGGGATTCCATTCGATCTTTGAGAACTTTTGATACATGTTGAGAGGATATCTCCCTATCAGATACGAGGGTGTTCGACTGCCGTTTGCGACAATGGATCGTAGTGTTTCCGGGAGAAGCACAATGAGGACAAGTAGAAAGCCACCGCCATAGGCCGTCAGAAACCAGAAGATGGCCCTCCATCCTAGAGATCCAGCAATTGCACCTCCGATCACAGGGCCAATGGCAACAGGAACCAGTAGTCCAGCCTGGAATATGCCCATAAGGCTTCCACGATTCTCGCGAGTAGTGACATCTCCGATTACACCCGATCCAATAGCAATCGTACTCGCGCTACCAGTGCTCTGAAGGCATCTGAGGACGATCAACGTGGCATAGTTTTGTGTATTCGCAAGGCCAATGCATGCCCCTATGAAGACAAGAAAAGTGCAACAATATGCGACTCGACGTCCTTTCACATCGGATACGGGGCCCCACAAGCTGGGAGCGATTCCTTGAAATATGAGATAGGAAGTGACAGTGAGATTTACGAGTTCGACAGAAACATTGAGATCGTGAGCGATAGTTGGTAGGGCTGGGAAGTAAATGTTGGATGCGAATCCGGAGACTGCAGTGCAGAAGCTATTATTAGCAACACGAGATCGACTGCTGCGATAACTAGTAGAGATTGGGATTACTCACAAGTGGCAGCTGTGGAGACAATTATTACAATCAATGCCCTTTGCCGACTATCAAAGATGCTGTAAGGCTCAGTTGATTCAGTTGGTTCTGTAGCTAGTCGTGGTGTTTCTGTCGTGGGCGAGGGTCTTTCAGCATCGAGGTTGTCCTTTGATGCTGATGACATTTTGGCTTTATTTGTTGTTTCTAGTTGTATTGGATATTAAAATTGACAACTTCTATTCAACTTGGATGCTGGAGGATCTAATGATTCTATATATCTTTTACAAGGGGCGAATCGCGAGACCATCCGGAGCTGAGGATCATACCGGAGTTGATCGCGGAGTTCACGGAGTTTAAAAACCAAACTTGAGTTTGGGTACCAGCTTGTCTTAACGGGGCTTTGGATTTAGTGTTAAAGTATTGACATTAGAAATTTAGTTATTGGAGACTGCTTAAGATGTTTCTGGTTAGCATTCTTAGCACTTGGAAGATTTGCCTATGTGCTTCTGTCTCTTAAATATTAAGGCAAGTATAATTAGGTGGCCGGCAAGAGCGGACGGGGTAGTATTAGTAGCAGCAGTAGGAGCAATAGTGGTAAGAGCAGTAATAATAGCAGTAGCAGCAGTAGTAGCAGCAGTAGCAGTAGGGAGTCCAGCCATGATCCACCTCGCGTTCCTCCTAAAATAAGAGTCGAATTGTACCTTAAAACTTGAATTCCGGGATCGCTCGGAGTTCACATTCACATGTATTACCCTGAATTAAACCATAGAGCTCTGGTACGGTGGGAACATAAGGATGGGTCGACATAGAAAGATACCTGCTCGTTTCGACGAACCTACTTGGAAAAAGCTCAATCCTTGGCATCATTTCATCCACCAAAATGACTGTTTCTACGGAATCCAACGGCACCAGCAGCCCATTGACGTTCGGCAAGAATTATGCGGTGCTGAATCTCGATTTTATGAATATTCTATTCGACATTGCCAAGAGTGCACCGGAAGGACAACAGTTCGTGTCAAACTGCATTCGATGGGTTGAAGCTGTGCATAAGAAAGATGCTCGGCCTCTGAACATCTTCACAACTCTCTATTTCTCTACTCCTTCTCAGGCCGAACTCCCCGCTGGAGCCCCTTTTACTAAGTTGGTAAATAACTTTGCTCAATTTCATGAGCACAGTCCCATCGTGAAGGTTCCATCATACCTCAATGTTGACGAGAAGGACATTGTGCTTCAAAAGATACGATGGTATGGAGGTGCAGGGAATGATTTAGAAGGCATTCTCAGGAGGAACAACATCGACACAGTTGTCATTGTGAGTTTAAATCCACACTCAGAACATGAACTGTTGATGTAGCTGACAAGTCTCTGTCATCATAGTCCGGCCTTAGCCTTTCTGGTGCCGTCATGAGCACAATCTATCGACTGTTTGATTTGGATTACGCCGTCTATGTGATTTCGGACAACGTGTTGGAGCTACCGGTTCCGCATCACGAGCAGTATTCTGCTGTACTATTAGGGTCTCTCATGAAAAAAATGAACCTACCGGTCATTACTCTTGAAGAAGCTCTGCAAGCCTTAGAACATTCCTAAAATAGGCTGTAAGCCGAAATGTACGTAGCACAATGTTATCTTATGAAGCCCTCTTTATATCGCCTATACTGCATCCATATCATCTAGGTTCTGCAAGTATACTAAGTTTTCGTAGATGATTATTTTTATTAAAGGCTTTGCCCTAAAACCAAGGCCAAAACTTTGATTGACGGATAATATCATGCCACAAGTCTTCTACAAGTCTTCCACAAGTCTTCCACAAGCCACCCACGTTGAATATACAGTTTCGATACGATATCAATACTGTGCGTTTTCAGCTCCCAGCGGAACCGCCAAAGCTCCAAAGCACCACTGCAGCTCTCTCCTATTATTGATTGATGCCAGCAATGAAGTCGACAAGATACGCAACGTCTCGGCAAAAGGCCTGCCAGCAGTGCTCAGTTGCCAAGGCAAAATGCGACCGTCGAGAGAGATGCTGTTCACGATGTGCCCAACGAGGCCTGTCTTGTGTCTATGTCAACACCACAGGCGGGTCGATTCCCTTCAGCAGTTTCGCGCGCAGTTCCGGCGGTCCTCTGCTGAGTCCTGAGCGCGACGATGTGTCGACTCCAACGCAAGGGACTCCACAAGATCCGCCGACGCCTTCAATCCACCCAGCCCTGGCTGATAACAGCTCCATCATTGAGTTCTCACCAACTATACCTGCAGCTGCTCCTACAAGACTCCAATTGTCTGTTGCGCAGCCCCCAAGTCCTTTATTCTCAGCACCAGCGCTGCAGCCAGATATCCTCGAGTTTTCCAATCTCGATCTCGTCTGTCCAATTAACGCTCAAGAGATCAGCAACCGCTGGCTCAATGCATACATTCCCATCCCTGGCCAAAGCGTCAAAAACTACCCACCTACAGTGTCCGCATTCATCTACCGCATCTTGAAGTCGTATACTGGGATGGCCATACACGGCCGCGGGTTCCCGCCATTTGTACATAGCTCTCAGTTGACGGGGCTGAGCCAACCACTTACTACTTGTCTCAGCATCATACGGATATGCGATAGACCATTACCAGGCAGTGAGAACGCGACGGCAGAGATTCTACAGAGAGAGATGAATAACCTCTATGAACAGCGTGAGACTTTTGATGACCTTTCGCTTCTCGGCTCGTTTCAGGCTTTTCTCATGTACACAATGGTCTTATTCTTTAAGCTCAGTCAAGGCACCAGCCCATTTCTTCGCCAAGCCATGATGAATCTACAAGAGCTGGCATGCGTGACATCTCGCCGAGGGCTAATGTGCTTATCCGAGCAGCAGCGCACACGCCCCAAATGGGAGAGCTGGATTATAGCCGAAGCTAAACGGCGAACGCTCTATACCATGTATCTTTTCGATAGTGTTCTTTCGTCTGAAGACGGCCTGCCGACATTTCTCGGCACCGAGCTGGAGGGATTGCCCGCCGCGGCCAGCAGAGACCTCTGGGTTGCTCAGACACGACGGGACTGGGAAGCGGCTTATAATATGCATATCGCAGAGTGGGCCGAGGGAAGCCTCTGCATTGATGAGCTGTGGCCCATACCCGAGGGATTGAGTGAGCCTCTCATTGCGAAAAGGCGACACAGGGTGGATAATTGGTTGGAGAACTTGGATGAATTTGGGATTATGCTCTACACAGTAACGAGTTGTACGCATGGAGGGTAAACGTACAATCATATGATTATAACTAATAATAGGGACAGATTATCCAGCATCCCAATTCTGTTATCCAGCACACTAGCTAGCATCTATACGTGTTGACATCTATACATGCATGTAGGCTATCAAGTGCTGCGTCTACTACTACTGCTACTATTACTGCTACTGCTACTGCTACTATTACTGCTACTCCTACTACTGCTACTATTACTGCTACTGCTACTGCTACTATTACTGCTACTCCTACTGCTGCTGCTACTACTGCTACTACTGCTACTACTGCTACTACTGCTACTACTGCTACTACTGCTACTACTGCTACTACTGCTACTACTGCTACTACTGCTACTACTGCTACTACTGCTACTACTGCTACTACTGCTGCTTTTTTAGGTGTGTTTAATTGTTATGTATTTTAATGGTATTGGTGTGGATTGGTTGCCTTATTGAGCTATAGCTGGGGCGTTGGATATGAAACTGAGGTGCTGGATAACTTCTCCCTAATAATACCTAACGATTGAATTGCATCACGAACTGTAAGAAGCGATGGTATTAATAACTCTTACCAGCAGCACAAGAAGTACCCTGGACTACCTGCCTGACAGAAACAGTTCATCGTTGATACGTACATATAATCCTGTTTCTATGCCCTTTAAATCAATGTATTTTATTCTTAAACATATATTCTACCTGCTCCAATTCTGCAACGACGGCCCTAGTTGAATAACCTCTGCTTCCTCGAAAGCCGTTTCAAACCGGTGCTCGCCATAAAACACAACCAGAGATGAAGGCCTAGACGCCTTCAACGTCACGCCTTCCAGTTTCCCTTTAGACCATGCAAAACTAGCTTCCAATCCTCCTCTGATACGCATCCCGCTCACTGATCCTTCTGACCAAGCTGCAGGCAGGGCCGGAAGCAAGTCTACCTCAACCGGCCCTCCCAAGCGAGGAATAATCGACCGTATCAACATCTCAGCAATGGCTGCGGCGCCGCCAAAGTTTCCATCAATGACGAATATGTTCTTCTCGGCACCCGCTACACCGGGCTTACTGTAACTAAGTAGGTTGTCGAAACTCAGCTCACCAACTAGATGGCCAATTTGAGCAACAGCCTTTTCAGCATCTCCCAACCGCGCATAATTGAGAGCGAAAAGGGCGGCCGTGAATTCAATGTCTTCAAGATCATCGCGGCCTTGCCTTCGCTCAAGCGATACACGAACTGCCTCTGCTAGATCGGGTTGATGCCTAGCTGAGATCAAGGCTGACCGACACAAAGCCATGGTATGAGAAAGATGTCGGTGGTAGGGCTGAGCTTCTTCATAATCATGCAGCCATTCTTGGAGTTGACCATTTTTGCCAATCTGCAGCGGGGGCAGCTTTGCCTGCACCCTCTGATATTCCTTGATGTCTTCATCCCAAGGGTAGCCCGTCATAGTTTTCAACTTGCCAGCAAAGTACTCGCAGAAGGCAAAGAGGTCGCGAAGCAGGACAACGTCAAGAGTAGGCGACAGGTCAGCATAGTGCTCTTCCTTTGTGCCATCTTCGTTGACAACGAAGAAGCTGTTTTCCGGGCTTACAGATGGACCCGTGAGCAGCCAGCCAGTTTTAGGATCTTCAATCATATAGTCAACCCAGAATTTAGTTGCGCCAAACAGAAGTGGCCATAAATTGGCCATCATGAGCCCATCGTCCAGGGTGTATTCATACATCTCAATTAGATGCGCTGCCATCCAAAGACCGCCTGTAACATTCAGCCCGTACGAGACCTCCCAACCGGGATCCGTAAAGCCCCATGCATTGCTGAAGACGTGAGCTACCCAGCCTTCACGGGAGCCGTAACACGTACGTGCAGTCTGTTGGCCCTTGACAGCAAGTTTCAAGATGTATTTGTAGACAGGTTTCATGAGATCCGCTAGGCCGCTGTTCAAGATTGCAAAATAGTTCATCTGCGTGTTGATGTCGAGATGGTAATCACAGCTCCAGCCCATTTTGCAGGCTTCACCATCGTTCCATAAACCCTGTAGATGTAGCGGTAGGGGAGAATCTTCGCGTGTACCAGCGATAGTAAGGTAACGTGAATAGTGGAAATAAAGTGCAAACAGCCCAGGATCAGCATAACCTGACGACTCAAAGTTACCCCGACGTTGGTCTGTGGGAGTGTTGGAATTAGGGTTGGACTTGGGTCCTAAAGTGATGCTCATACGGCGGTAAAGCGGCTGATAGTCTTCCAGATGCTCTTTCAAAAGTTCGTCAAAAGGAATCTGAAGAGCCTCTTCAATCTGTAAAAGAGTTCTCTCTCTCCACTCGTCGCGTGATTCGTTGAAATCGGTATTGAAGGCCACTAATATCGTTATGCTCTTCTGTGCCGAAATGGTAAGCTTGCCATCCTTCTGCTCGACCTTTCCATCATCAACTCTTGCTGCGACGATACCGAAGCCTTTGACGCCACAGGTTCCATCGCTGTGCACAGTCTCGAGAGCTTGGGCATCAAATTCTAGTCTTGACTCGCTGTTTACTGTAGAAGTAAACGCTTCATTATCGCCTTGCACTTTGACGACAAATTCGAGTCCACTCAGATCATCGCCTTCGAACTGTATCACCAGAACTTGGCCTGGATGGCTTAGAAAAGATCTTCGTTTATACTGGCGGCCGTTGACTTTATATCGTGTTTCAGTTATAGCCTCATCAAAACGTAATTCTCTCCCAAATTCCTGAATATCGCCGGCGTTTCCATGGCCATTAACACCGATATCAAGCTTCCCAACTCCAAGATTGGTTCCGAAATTATTTTTCTTGCTCTGGAGGTACTTTTCCGCTCTCTTCTTTCCCTGACTATAGTCACCATTAAGATAACAGTTTTGGGTTTTCCTAAGTTCGGCCTTGGGATCTTCAGGCCGTTCAGCTAATCCCTCGCCCGCATTTCGAGGTTCTCCAGACCAAAAAGTAACTTCATTCAACAAAAATGTCTCATGCTCTGGAGAGGATAGCACCGAGGCAGCGAACCGACCATTGCCAAGAGGCAGAGAGGTAGGGAAGCTAGTTGAAGGCGTACTATAATAGAGTCTGTGTTCCGAAGACATTGTGCAGATATGTTGTCAATTCTCTCAAGTCTGAATTGTAACGCTCGACAAACGGTTCACTGTGACATATGCAGCTGCAAGAACGCTTAACCAATAAAGCCTTACTATGCTTGTGAACCCCGCGAGCATGCAACCTGTGAGTCTAGAGGCCTTGTTAGCTGTGAAATAAACCTTGAAACAACCACCAAACAGGTAGCTGAGAGTTCCAAGCTCGCAATTCCCCGACCACGGTAGCCCGTTAGCCGGAGCAAAAATAGTCAGCTGCCCGCGTGGGGTTTTAGGGCGCGGGCGTATTGTTCGGCAGGTTTGTGTGCCTCACAAGCTAGCATGAGAAGAGCACCAAATGATTGGTTGATCTGGTCTTAGCTGCCCCCGGATATTGAGCCGGATATTGACCCGAGAGTTGAGCGGCCTAGATCCAACGCCACCAGATGCTGCATTCCGGGTTTTCGTCCGAATATCAAGGAAAGCTTTCGATAATTCAAAAGTTATTGTCAAAATTTGAAGAAAACCTCTCTGTAGCTCAGCTGGAGGATTCTAAAAGACCGGTTAGCAGAGACGAATTACCCGTAGGCTGTTTTAACCAACAACACTCGTCGGAAAGGCTTGATACCCATGACCGTAAAGCAGGCATACTGTAAGCAACATAAGTCATCATGCCATGACCATGAAAGACCTACCTGAATTGTCCGACGGATCTGATCATCTCATGCCCTGGCCATCTATTCTCCTGCCAATAGCAAGGCTGCTCCCGGTAACATCTTTGCAGATTCCCCCCATGCGGCTCGTTTCGCTTCCCCGGAACCAAGACGCATCGCTAAGTTGATCTTTGCGGAGCCCCGCAACTTGACCTTATTAGTCTGGGGAATTACTATGCTGAACCTGACATGCACATATAAATACGATGCATGCAACTCTTGTGTGGTTACAGTTGACAGGGCCTTCTTGATTGTCATCTAAAGTGCCTTGTTTGCGAGGGCTTCTCTTTCATCTATTACAATTGTGAAAAGTACTCTTCATACAGCAGATCACCATGGAGAAGGAAAAGGACTTCAACACCACGCTCGAAAACGTCGTCAGCAACATCGACAATGAGCTGACCAACGCCGAGGCCACTGGCAAGCTGGCCAGCATCAGCGAGGCCATGGCCAACAGCGGAACGGCCACAGAGCATCGACTCGGCGCCTGGGAGGCCTTTAAGCTATACCGCAAGGGAGCGTTTTGGTCCATGTTCATCTCGCTCAGCATCATCATGCGCGCCTACGACATTGAGATCAGCGGTAACTTCTTTGCGCTGCCGGCGTTCCAGAAACACTTTGGCGTTGATTACGGCCCAGACCATGGAGGATTTCAAATCCCGGCACGATGGCAAGTTGCCATGAGCATGGGCAGCTTGGTCGGTCAAATTCTCGGAGCATACCTCGTCTCGTACCCCATGGAAATGTTTGGCCGCAAGAAGACATTTGCTGTTTGCCTTGTTCTGACTGCCATTTTGACTTTTATGCAATTCTTTGCAAACACCATTGGCGTCTTGACAGCCAGCCAGTACCTCAGCGGCATTGTGTGGGGAGGCTACTGCGTTATTGCAACGACCTATGCGTCTGAGGTTTTGCCTCTCAGTCTCCGTGGCTTCCTCACCGGCTACATCAACCTGTGCTACGTTATGGGTCAATTCATCCAGACAGGTATCACTCGTGGCTTCATCAACCGACCCGACCAGTGGGCATACCGAATCCCATTCGCTATCCAGTGGGCATGGCCAGTCATCCTGCTTGCCGGTCTGCCATTTGCCCCTGAGTCGCCTTGGTGGCTGGTCCGACAGAACAAGATGGAAAAGGCTGAGCAATCCCTTAAGAAGCTTGTTCAGCCAGACTCTGGCATCAACACCAAGGATACACTTGCCATGATGGTCAAGACAGACCTTCTGGAGCGAGAGTTGGAAGTTGGCACCACTTACGCCGACTGCTGGAAGGGACCTAACCGACGACGCATGGAAATTTGTATCTTGCTGTTTGTCATCCAGAATTTCAGCGGCAACCCAGTTGGCTTTGCAACCTACTTCTTCGAACAGATTGGCCTCAACAATGTACAGGCATTCGACATGGGAGTTGGCCTCAACGGAGTTGGCTTTGTCGGCACTCTTCTTTCCGCAATCCCTCTGATCTATCTCGGTCGCCGTCCCGCCTACATCTTCGGTCTCAGCTTCATGGTTGCTATACTCTTCATCGTCGCTCTTCTGAGTTTCGCCCACGATTATACAACCAAGCTCTCCTACCGCTGGGCTCAAGCCACTTTGCTTATTATCCTTCAGTTTGTCTGGCAGGCAACCCTCGGCCCGCTGACATATGTCGTTGTCTGCGAGACGCCATCCACGAAGCTGCGAGCCAAGACAATTGCCATCGCCACGATGATTGATGCTGTTACAGGACTGGTTACTTCTGTTATCGGACCGTACCTGCTCAACCCGGGTGCTGCGGGGGCCGGAGCCAAGATTGAGTTCTTGTATGGCGGCATTTCAGTCTTTTCTCTTATTTGGACCATCTTTAGAATGGTGAGTACAGCCATGCTTTGGCCCTTTTTACCTAGAAATAAATGGCTAACGATATTCCTCACAGCCCGAGACCAAAGGCAGAACGTACGAAGAGCTGGATATCATGTTTGAGAGAAACGTACCGGCAAGAAAGTTTGCCACATACAAGATTGAGGAAGAGGATCTACACGTATAATGCAATGTGAGGTTAGGTTTAACCTAGTAAAGAGATTAATGTTTAACGATCTATGATATGAACTGTGTATGTCGTTCCCGTACAGTGACTGATACATCCATGGAATAGCAAACTCATTGCTTATAAGCCAAGCTCTCATTCTCTCATTGATACATGCACTCTCATCAAAACTAAACTAAACCTTGTTCAAGGCAAGCGTAGGCGTAAAGTAGACGTGACGCGCAGAGTAGTGAAGCACTGAAGCGTACATGTGTGTAATCCAGCTTTGAGCGCTAACACAATTCCAACCGCGCAATGACTGACTTCAGTAAAGTACATGTAGGCATTAGATTAATTGTTCAAATATATTGTACCTCAAGAAATAAAATCATTTCAACGTACATGCAGATCATGCACGCCGGAGTGTTTGGCTGCTTCTAATATGTCCGACTCATATGGAACTTTTATCGACCAGCCCCAGCGACATTAACGCACTTGACTTGATGCATGCCAATCACGCGCTTTACATCAACAGCTTTCAAACAGCTTTCCATCATCTCTTACTAATTTAATATGGCTCTCAGTAGAGTTATGATTTAGACGCTGAACAATTCATGCGCAGCTTCATAAGCTTGTTTAAAGTCCAGTCATATGATCAACCATCGAATCACGCATGACTAATCCACGGCGCCTTTCGGCCGACGAGCCGGCGACTATCGCGACTGGCAACGACTTTTAGCTGATCGTCTCATCCCATCTCATCATGAATAGCTGCCGAAATGGACAACGAAGTGCCTTTACGTCGCCTCAACGGCCGTCTCCAAGCGTGCGACCAATGCCGGGCGCGAAAAGTCGCCTGTGATCACGCGCAGCCAGTTTGCAATAGATGCATCAAGAGAAATCAAGCCGGCGGATGCACCTACACAATCGGATCGGTGCTTCAGCCACGAAGGCGCGCGCGGCAGCAAAAGTCTAGGCCGACTTACAATGCGGTGGCCCAGGAGGCTTCGCCAACATTGAGCCATCGGAGCGGCAGAAGTGGAAGCGGAAGCGAAAGCGCAGCCAGAAACGCGACTCCGAATGTGAATGTGAACGTGAATGCGAATGCGACTACCAAGGCAAATGGATCGCCCAGCTCCGGCTTTTTTGGCTTCACCAGCCATGCCGTCGTCTATGAGGAGACAAAAAGGAGTTTGAGCCGGCTCCAGGGCCAAGGACCAGATACACGCCCGCCACGGCCTGGTGCTCGCCATCGAACGACCCCAAGGCTCTCATTCCGCGAGCTTCCTCCCATAGTGCGCCACATGAGCATCTATGCTCTCGAGGCTCTACCCGGCCAGTCCAATGAGCAGATTGTCTTTTACGAAAAAGATCCCGAGGAAAAGCGCTGGTCACAACTAGTACTGGCCCGCATCACGAACTCGGTTCTGGACTTGCTCAAAAGAAAACCCGACGGGTCTGGCCCTGACTTGGAGCGAGTCGCTGAAATTCTGTGCAACAACTCTGCTCAGCCCTTGCGGGATATGGATGACCCGCAGCAGTGGATGGATCAATATTGTGGTGACAACCTTAGATGGGAGTCAATAGGCCTGATATGGGGAAATTTGGAGCGCCTTACCGACACTCTCAACTCTCTGCGGCCTTCTCACGTTGCATGGATTCCGGGCAAGTGTGACAAAGAGCTGTCCAGGACACATCTCAGTTATTGCATTGATCTGGCACGACAATTCACCGATGGAAATGCCATACTACTAGACCTCATTCGACGGCAAACCGCTTTTGTGTCTCACCTGGATGGCGATGCTGGTAAGGCTCCGTTTTCGAATCATTGCGTACTTGCATATTCATGCTGTGTCAATAGCTGCTTCGTGTTGGTACGCTCACGGCACCGCCGTATCTATGCTGACGTTCATGGGCCTGCATGCCCAGACGGGAGAGATTCCACATACACCCACGTTGTGCTCTGAGCATAACCGGCGGATCGTTGCCCAAATCTACAACCACGATAAGTTCAGCGTCGCATTCTCGGGGCGGCCTGCGCTGCTTAACCGCCGATACTGCATGACGCCTCTGCCGCTGGATTTGCGGGATGAGGATCTTGCAGACGAGGCAACCCTGCAGAAAGCGGCTCAAGAGTTGGATGAGCGTGGCTGGAACAAGGAAGGTAAAATGTATCCGTTTACGCTCATTCGAGCCCGCCGTATGATGGCATCCATTTTGGAAGAAGTGATGGAACTTGCCTTGGGATGTACCGTCTGCACTACGCTTGATGAACTGCGGTGCGTTGTAGAGACTTAGTTTTGGTTACCTCGGATGAGTAGAATGGCTGACAGCATTGCGTAGGAACATACAGGTACGACAGCTCGAAACACTTGCTGGATTTCCAGCCTGTCTCAGATACGACCCGCAAGACTTATCAGATCCAAACCGAGACATTGAAAACGTTTACGCCAAGATATTAGTCCGTCTAGGCCATCTGCAGGTCATGTTCTTCTTGGAGCGGCTTCTATGCATCAACGGCAGCTTGGAGCAAGGCAATTTGTTGGTCTTGAGTTTCGAAATGCTCACGCTGACACTTACTCTGTGGACGCATAAGGACCAATTCGCAGCAATGCGTCGTAACTTTGAATGGCTTGTTAGTAGCCCAATTGACTCCCCTTTGATGCTTTATTGTCATTATAAGCTTTGCATTCGCTAACGATGTTGCAAGCTCATGGCCCATGCCGCACCAGCAGGCGGCATTCTCTGTCTAGAACTACTCAACCCGAGCTTTACTGGGAAACACCCCAAAGAAGAACGAATAACTCGCTCAAGCATCATACAGAATCTCAGTCTCTTGGTAGGTTTTCTTGACTGGGTGCGTCCATCGGCGCCGAATGGTGATTTATGCATGGACTGCAAAGTAATTATACAACGAGTGTTGGATCATACTTTGAACGGCAGCCTTAATGGCGACAGCCCTTGGGCAGCCCTAGCGTACGATTTCCCAGAACCTCTAGATTTCAACTTTGACTTGCTGGATACCTTTGACTGGCTGCACACGGACTTTCAATAACGGGTTACGGATACAAGAAGTATAAACTAGCCACCTTTGCCATTTAAAATAACAATCTTCACATGATTTTTCAGAACTGATAAAAATGCCACAATTTGAAGATGTTTGAACGCGGAAACTAATTGGTTTAGACAATGTCGTTTATCTCACGCAACCCAACTTACAGGGAGAACAGACTAGCTTCAAAGAATCACACTTCGGTCAACACGTGTAGTAGAACCATTCAGCTCTTGGTGCATATTTTGCCGGTTGCCGAAAATCCACGCCCCAGTTCCTACAAAAGACTCATAGATTCATATATTAAGACAGGGGAAATGGCCAAAATCTGATTCTTCGGTACCTGAGTTGGCCGCAGATCAAACGCCACAGCCAATCTCAAGCCTCACTGGGAGCACATGCAACGGCACATCCCTGTCTTCGGTGCCGGAAGAATACTAGAGGCATGCACTGGATCTTCCCCGCATGTGCGCTATATCGGTCAACCAATGCAGGCGAAGCAATTGTTCATATGGGATTTTTTTCTTTTGGAAAGTAGCTGTCTACATGTATTTTCGGTGCTTCTATACCATTGAAGGAATGCAGAGATTGTATGGGGCGCACATCCCAGCCCCCTCGAAATGGACATATATATACCGACGTCGGAGCCCTGGTAGTGTGATGACTTGCCCAACAAGCCTCTGGTATCAGCGCCGTTGACAAGATGAAGAAAAGCACTGTCCTGGCAACTCTGCTTCCTCTGGTGGCGGCAGATAGCGATGCTGCTAACCCCCAGATCCGGGTAGCTTTCCACGGAGACGATGGAATGATGATCAGCTGGAACACGTTTGACCACGTTCCTCGTCCGAGTGTTTTTTGGGGCAGGTCGAAGGAGCACCTCACCAACATTGCATCGTCGGCTGTGTCTGTCACGTATCCCACTTCCACGACTTACAACAACCACGTCTTGATTCAGGGACTGAAGCCAGACACCACCTACTATTATATACCGGCGCAATTGAACGAAGACACCTGTTATGAGCCGTTCAACTTCACCACTAGCCGAAGAGTCGGTGACAAGAGACCCTTCTCAGTCGCCGTTGTCGCAGACTTGGGAACCATGGGCTCTGAAGGGCTATCCACGTCCGCCGGCAAGGGTGTTTCCAGCAACAACATCCTCAAGCCAGGCGAGAAGAACACCATTGACTCGCTCATTAGCAGCATGCCAGGGTACGAGTTCCTGTGGCACGTTGGAGACATTGCCTACGCCGACTACTGGTTGAAGGAGGAGATTCAGGGGTTCCTGCCCAACACCACTGTCGAGGAAGGATACAAGGTGTACGAGTCCATCCTGAACGACTTTTACAACGAAATGATGCCTGTCACCGCATCTCGCGCCTACATGGTCGGACCCGGAAACCACGAAGCGAACTGCGACAATGGCGGCACCACCGACAAGACCCACAACATCACATACGACCTCAGTATCTGCATGCCCGGACAGACCAACTTCACCGGCTTCAAGAACCACTTCCGCATGCCTAGCGATGTTTCTCGAGGCACCGGTAACTTTTGGTACAGCTGGAACAGCGGCATGGCTCACTTCATTCAGCTCGACACCGAAACCGACCTTGGACACGGCTTCATTGGTCCAGATGAAATTGGAGGCACTGAAGGCGAGGGAGCTAGCCCCGTCAACAGCAAGATGAATGCCCAGGTCAATTGGCTGGAAGCCGACTTGAAGGCCGTCGACCGCAAGTTAACTCCGTGGATCATTGTCGGAGGCCATCGCCCTTGGTACCTTAGCTACCAAAACGTCACGGGCACCATCTGCTGGAGCTGCAAGGATGTATTCGAGCCGCTGTTCATCAGATACGACGTGGATCTCGTTCTGTCCGGCCACGCCCACATTTACGAGCGCCAGGCTCCCATTGCAGAGGGCAAGATTGACCCCAAGGAGTTAAACAACCCAAGCTCACCTTGGTACATTACCAATGGCGCGGCTGGTCATTACGACGGACTGGATACGCTGCAGAGTCCTCGACAGCAGTTTAGCCGGTTCTCGCTGGACACGAACAATGCGACTTATGGATGGAGCAAGCTGACGTTTCATAATTCTACGCATCTGACGCACGAGTTTGTGGCTAGTAATAACGATACTGTTCTTGACTCGGCGACTCTGTATAAGAATCACAAGTGCTGAGTTGCGGAAGAGACAGGCGCGTGTTGAATACCGAGTCAAAGAAGTTATGTTCAAATTTACAGATATCACTTATGAGAAGCCGAAAACTAGATACAGGTTATGTTAATAAGACGACGTTAATGAGACGAAAGATCAATATAATACAGATCAGATTCAATGAGGCCGCATTAATGTGTATAAAGCGGCGAATAAGCATTTCATTCCTACAATATGCCCTGAAAACCGGACAGTCTGATTTGATAGGCTTGTTCTGATGACATCGTTGTCAGTATGTAACTCACATTGAAAATATCTCGGTGGTGTAGCCATCCTACGCTGATCGTCCTTACCCAGCCAAATGATTCCAAAATAATTGCCGCTTCATACAAGTGGTGTGATGTCGATGCTCCTGTTTCATTGCATCTTGACATGACACCTCTTCGCGTCGAGTCCGTCACATGCTGCAGCGTCAGTACTCCACATTGCTACAATTTTTCATTGAGATGAAGTCGAATGAGAAGTCAATGCTACCGTCTATGATCACCGTTTGCCAAGTTCCCTTCCTTGCCAAAGTAGAGACAGAAAAACAACAACTGCAAAGTTAATAAGTGCGTACAAAACTATACCACAAACACTAGTTTACACGCTTAGGTGCTCCGATGTTATACGTGTATAATTCTGATTTGTGTGTTGGAAACCTCGCATTCCCTGTTTTTCTGTCCCCTGCTGCTGGCGTTGGTTTCGTCATCTGAGACAAAACTCCCAATGCTCTTTTACGCTAATGATGCGTATTCTATACCTAGCTCAGAAGCTCGCTGGGCTTGGGCAGATACGCCTCCTAAGAGTTGTTTTGCCACTTACAGTGTCTTGATGCCTACTAAGCTGTATGACTATATCTCACGCTCAGTCATATCGCGGCTATTAGTTGGCGTTGCTAGAAAGAAGCCACTTTCCTAGATAGCTATTACATATGGGCTCTGAATAACTTGCTTCTAATACTTTTTTTTAGCACGATTTATGTGGCCCCTTTTCCCCCGCTGTTCCTCTTCTTGTGTCTGTCACACGTCAAGCTCGCATTCGGCTGTTGATCTCCAAATACCTGTCAGTTTTCGTCGGTTCCCCGCAGTAGCTAGTCCAAGTTGATGCTACCATAGCAACATAGGTACGTAGGTAGGTACCATTGGCTTGGGGACATGTACTGGGCTTTATTCTGGGGCTAGGCATCTTATGGTGGAAAGGTGGAAAGAAAACACCGACGGTCCGCCGCTATAATCTATATCGGTTGGTTCGAGGAATAAAGCAACTATTAATGTCCTTACTATCAATCACTAGATGACCTTAGTCATGCAATAATAATCCTCAAAAAGATAGTATTCTAACATTGCTGCCTCGTTATTGGGCTAAATTGAACCAACTACGCAGTATTTAGACCAATGCCAGTAAGCACCATTCATATGACGCCCGCTTCAGCTGTGGCTTTTTCAACATCTCGGACCCAGCTCAAGATCCCTCATGACTCAAGTCAAGATCCAGTCAAGCCGCGCGCCTCGGATTCGGAAAAGTGTTTGACAATCGTTAGATCTGGTGGCACCAATAACAAGTCACAAGTCGCAAAGTTGCAAAAATGCAACCCCCGCTATGTGGCTACTAACAAGTCTCGAATCTGCGAGATGCAAAGCAACATGAACGCACTGTTTAGCAAATGACGTTAGCGAGATGATGGTGGGATGGCGCTGCCCAACGCCCGCGCCTCCACGACTTTTAAGCTTCAAGGGATGAGCTGGCGTTATGACGAAGATTTCTGTACAACATTGTATATTTAAATGAAAGCAAACTCCCGCTGATCTACAATTTTTTTCTTTTTCTCCTTGTGTTCTTGTGTCTCCTGTCTATATACTAGGATCATATCAGTCAATAGCATCTAGAGATACTCAGCAAGATGGATTTCCAACATTTCGCCCCACAGATTGACCAAATGCCCAAGCGTTCACGGAACGATAGCGTCAAAATCATGTATTGGAACGTTAGTTGTTTCCTCATTGTATCAATCAAGCATCAATGGCGCTCGTGCAACTGGCATCAGCGATGAGCAAAGATCAACTCCAAAGACTAACACCGCCTGTTCCGCAGATGATCCGCGATTGCTTCACCATTTCAACGTGGCTCGCCATCGGAGCCGTTATCCAGGGCCTCCTGGTTGTCTTCGTTCGACCAACGTACGCGGTCGCTCCGGCGGCACTCCTTTTGCTGTATAAGCTATCGCGGACTATGCTCCAGAGTTTTGGTCTTCTCCGTAACCCCTATATGGACGATGTCCTCATGGGCAAATTCTCGGCGCAGCATGGAGATGCGACTGGCAACGCGCCTACCGAGGGGTCACAAAACCAGATTGCCATCATTCAGCTGGCCTCGAGGTCAAATCAGTGCGTCATCCCGTCTGTGCGCTTTGGAAAATGACTGCTGACATAGCATCATTATAGCCCCATGGGCATCTTCGGACCTGGATATAAACAGATCGGAGATTTCTTCAAGCAAATGATCACAAAGCTTACCGAGGATGAGGATAGCGGATGTAAGTTTCCCACGCTATACTAGTAGCATAAATATGTCTAGACGCTGAAGCAATATCTAGTTCTTGGATCGTCGTCTTACCTGTGTAATGGCGAACGACTCACGGTAAGCAGTTTTCTAGCCAAATGTTGAGGGAATCTTTGACTGACACATAGTCTCCTAGGCCAACGGCATTGCCACATGTTGCTACTTCCGAAGCGTCGAGGATATCCATCGCTTTGCTCATTCACCTCTGCACCGCGAAGCCTGGGACTGGTGGAATAGCATTACCGCAACTCACCCTCATCTAAGTATCATGCACGAGCTTTACAGCGCGCCGGCAAAGGGCTGGGAGAACATTTACGTCAACTACAATCGTAGTGGTATTGGTGCGTATTAAAAGTTTGTAGATGACGATCTCGATCAACACTAACAATTGTGGCAGCGAAAATCCAAAAGCCCGTGACCATCGATGGAAAAGAATACCAGCCCATCGTCAACGCTTCCCGTGGACCCCTGGCTACGCAAAAGGGACGGTTAAGGCAGCCTAAGCTATCAGCTGGGAAAGGGGATCTCGAAAAGCAAGAGCCCGTATATCTTGAATATTGAGGATCCGTCTTCATTCTATTCCGCAGTAGGAACTTGATGCGCTTTCGCAACTGGGCTTCCAAATGAGTAATACCTCGAAGCCGTTGCACAGTTTTTTCGTCATTGTTAAGAGGATTTGGCATATGTAATAAATATATGTAACTATTATATGCCTATTATGTACTTGAATCATGGTATAATTGTTTACATTGGTTTCAGTCGTTTATTTCATGTAGCGGTATTAATAGCCTAGCCCAAATGACATTGACCTAGCAAGAAGCCTGGTTGCCCTCATAGATGTTGCCCGTGTTGCAAGTGCTGGGAGGGACGAACAGCGGAGTAGCTATTCCCACGTTAGCTTTAGAAGCCTTATAAAGTCTTGCAATAATGAATACATACTATCGACCTCGAGATCAGTGGCAGGCTGTCTGACAATGGAGTACTGGCCTCCAGAGGTGAGGTTGTCCTCGCAATCAATTTGAGCATCGCCGCCGCCAGAAGAATTGGAGCCGGTCCAGATATCAATGTGAGCCTGGCCGTTGTTCCAGTCCGATTCTGTTATTCCTGAATCAGCAAAGATCTTCAAGTTGCAGTTCATTCCTATCTTACCGCATTGAGTGCAGTCGTCCTCATGGCGACCGTACTTTTTCAAGAGAGGAATGTAGACAGTCTCGCAAACACTGAGTTCGCTCTCTGCAGTAGCAATGGTGATGGGGTCGTCGTAAGTTCCGCTACCTGTTATAGACAATTTTGTTAGACTTGTAAGTCTTACATGTCAAATTAACAAAGGGCTGTTGCTAACCACCAGCGACGTAGTTACGGCCGCCACAGTCGTAGGCAGTGCCGGGTCCAGGAGGAGAGTTGTCAGGCCAGCCATAGAATGTCACCTCGACGTTGTTGAAAGTGCTACATGCAGAGGCGAGGCCGACGAGGGCGACGCCCGCAGTAGCAAGAGTAGCGACAGACTTCATGATGTCTAGATGAATGGTATGTATATCAACGATGCAATTAGATGTAGGCTGCTGACGAACTGAACAGAAGAATATATCTAGACCTTGAACATCTTTTATATCTTTCTATATTCTCGACAACATATGTATACTCGTCTGAATCGCTACCCCTGGCTGCATCGGGCTTCTCCATAATCGCCGTGTTATAGATATAAACACACTATTCCAAACAAAGTAAGTCGTTTCTCGATCTCCAAAGCATCGCGAAGATCATTCCCACGACAAGGAGGTCAATAGCTTTGTCCATCTCTAATCACGTAAATAGTGGATCACCAAAGCTGCCAACACGACTCTCGGAAATGCAGCCGAACACAATAGTCCTGAAATTTCGATTTCCCCCTTACTATGCTGTAAGAAAAATACGAGGCTGAACCGAAACAGGGAAAGGTCGTTCTAGAGCTACTCTAAAGAGCAAATCCTTTCCAATCCTATTGAGAAGGACAATGCCTTGAGTCGAACCAGTGCCCGGCGTCGCCATGTACGATATGCCGATATTGCCGTGTTGCCAGGCTCACCGACGTAACATCGGGCTCTCGCGCCGGGCAGCAGTAGCAGCAGTAGCAGCAGTAGCCTTGTTTGTGCTGATCGAAACATCGTATGGGCCAAGTGAGATGCAGCTTACAAACAGTCTATTCAGCTTCTCTTATTAATTTAGTCAGGTTTGAACTCGTAAATTCCTTTCGCACCGTTCTTACTTAAAACAGAGAACCGAATGCATTTACAGCCAAGCCCTAACACTTGCGCTAAAGCTACAAGCCGGGGCAGATGCTGAAGGGCCTATTCGACGGCAACCACCATCACCATTCTGCCCAATCCTAACATACTCTTTCGGTCAGGTGTCAGAAGGTGCGTAAAAGTCCAACTCTTCCTGAGGGGGCCCTTATACACGGTATTAAAGCAGTATTGACGATTGCAAATTCCTTAACGGGTATAGACTTCAATTAGTTCTCACTTTTTGGCATAGCTTACTTTCCGCTCGATGCGATACAAACCTTATAAGCTCCTGATTGTGAATCCTGGCATTCATCTCTCTTATCAGTAAAAAGCGAGGAGCTTCTGTAAACTTGTGATTTTCATCTCTTGTATATCGTAGCAAGATATGTAAAGTGGGTTATTAGATGGTTGGGTGAAAACACCCACGAGTGAGTATGGTGGATATGATGGAGAGTAGTGCTGAAGCAATGCGGCCTTTGTTACAACACTCTACTGAAGATGAGAAATGCATACGAGTGTATCAATGGAAGAGAATAGTGTCTAGGCAATGAGTTTTCATATAGTGTAGCCTATAGCCCTTCTGCATGGAAGAGTCTTCGCCTTTTCTTTCCCATAGTCACACGGCATGACTCACATTTGACAGATCACATTTAGTTTCACAGCGCTTATTCCGAGGTCTTTGACTCTTTTTGCTTTGTTGGGCACGAATAGAGTATTCAACGGTACTAGAACACGGCAGTTTAAAGCACCATAAGAAAGATACTGTTGATGCCTATTGGACAGCCAAACAGATGCTCGCTATCGCCTGAGTACACATGCTCCCTCCGTATGTAGGTATTCGAATAAAGCCGAGGAATTTAACGAAGGGTGTTGTAAGAAATTAATAAAAAGGAAATGGATATTCACTGTAGCATTCGCATCAAGAGCCGTCATATCGTTCCGAGGTAGAACGTCAGACGTAATGGTGGCGGCCTTGATGCGGGCGCGTCATCCGCAAAGCAAACTTATCACACTGTAAATTCGTTCTATAAACGTCCAGCATTTCTAGGTGGTACGTAAGCCATATAGCATTTATTTCCATCAGCATTAAGTCCAATACAGACTTCAGCCTGTAATAGTCTATAAATCTGGCCTTACCTCATCATCAAAGACATTGTACGACAAGACGTAGATGGCTTGCTTGCACAGGCTGCTTAAATAGCGTTTAAATCCTCACCAAATCAATGTAAATCAAGACAGCTACATGCTTCAAAACAATTCGTTACTCAAATATTGAATCTTTTAAACACAAGATGAAGGTCCCCCGAGGCAATGGCACCAATGGCATGGGCACAGGCACACATCTGCCAAAGGAAACCCTCGACACCCTCAACGCTGTTGACTTTAGCGGTAAAACAATCTTGGTTACTGGAACAACTCATGGCCTTGGGGAAGCCATCAGCAAGCATCTTCTCGTCCGCAAGGTTAGCAGATTAATCATGGGCGTCCGCAATGTGCCCAGAGGCGAAGAAGTCAAGACGCAGCTCCTCAATGATCCGGCCGTGGCGGCTGCAAACCCCAATGCCAAAATTGATGTGTTCGAGCTTGAAATGGAAGATTACCAGAGTTTGCAGGCATTCGCTGCGCAAGTATACGCAACGACACCCGCATTGGACGTCGCCATCATGAATGCAGGCATTGGAGGTGCCGAGTATCGTCGCGCAAAGTCGACTCACCATGAGAAAATGTTGCAGATTGACCTACTGTCAACTGCGTACTTGGCAATAAAATTGGTGCCTTTACTCGAGAAAACAAATGGACCCAGTCGCCTTGTCCTGGTCGGCAGCTACAGGCAGTTTGAGAGCGAGATTGCCGAGAAAAAGCTCACTCACAATGTAATTGAATACCTTGACGAAAAGGACAAGTTCGACCCCGTTCGGAGATATAATGACATCAAACTTCTTCTCGGGTTAGTTACTAAAGAACTAGCCAGGCGCCTCGACAAGAGTAAAGTCGTCGTCGTTGAACCTACTCCTACATGGACTTGGAGCAACTTTGGATCCAACTATCCTGATGGTCCCGGAAAAGATTGGGCCTTTCAGACATTGAAAGAGAGGGGTCTATCATCAGAAGACGCTGCGTTGCATTATCTTGTTGCCATCGTCGGCGACGATGACGTTCATGGCCAATTTCTCGACGATAATACGATTGCTCCGTAAGTGGTCTGCTTCTGCTGTTTCTATCCTCGCCCTTTATCTTACTTTTTGAAACATGTCTGATAATTATTTGATAGCCGCCATCCCTATACTTCCAGCTCTGAAGGGGAGATTCTACAAAAAGAGCTGTGGAAGGATTTGGTGAAAGAGTTTAAAGAGTTTGATCCCTCAATTTCTGCAGTCTCTGTCGTCAATCAGTGAATAGAGCTATTTAGAAGCATGCTCGGACCGAGCAAATACTTCAATAACAAATGTCGATATTAAACAAATCAGGTAGCGGGCTTGCTACATGTAGACGATGCAGTCATAACACGTCATAGTTGAAGTCTATTCGCTGCAATAAAGAACGACACCATAGACCGTCTGGGCAAGTTAAAGTGGATACAATTACAGGTCAGATGAGCCATCGCCAGACTGGGTAATATGAGATTTGGCCGAGATCCAGGCTGAAGAGGCAACTCAATGACGCTGCCCTGTTACAATTCGAAAATGGCCAAATTCCCCCTTCTTTCTAAAACCACTTGTATATGGGCCGAAATGCATTTTGGGGATTACGAGGCACCTCGATGAATAATTTGTATATATATTCCGGCCATGCTGCAACGGCGCTTAACAAGGGAATTATGCGGTGCTTACGTGATTCCAATTCCGAGAATAGCCTTGAACCATTCCATCTCACGCTTCTCGACGTTGTCAAGTATGGAGTATGGATCTTGACGCTGGTTTTCATCTCGCTGCGGTTCTGGTTTAGAAAATACACGAGATTGCTGGGGACGGGAATTTCCACGCAAAACAAGTCTATCGGGATGGAAGCGTCTGGCCTCGCGCCAAATGCATGCGCCTCTTGCAAGGTGAGAAAGCGGCGATGCGACAAGAAACTCCCCAGTTGTCTCGAGTGTGCAAAGTAAGCAAAAGTTAAACATCCAAAGGATCAACCAATATGAAGTGGAAATGATATAAACGTTATGCTCTACCAACGTAACGCTAATGCAAGGCACAGGAAACAAAGGCGCTGCGACTACGATTACGTCAAAAGGGGTTCATTGTTGACCTCTTCTGAGCAGTCAGATTCACTTCAAGAAGGCGATATCTCATCTCAACCCATAATCTCCACATCCAATCGATATACGCTCCCTTCTTCCAACTTATCAGCTCTATTTTTCCTTGATCCACCCGTCTTTCGCAACCACAATATCGACATCCCCAAGGCGTTTGCCAAGCTGCCCAGCTCTATCACTGGACAGCTCGGCAGCAGTCAGCAACATGAAGAAATCGGCAGCCGCTTCTTTAACACAGTTCACGCATGGCTACCCATGGTATCTCGCAAAAGATTCTATGAGGATCTACGCATCCATTCCGAGAACCTCAGCGCCTCTGCCGACTTGGCTTTTTTGCTCCTGTGCATGAAGTTGATGACATGGCAGCCGCCTTCAGAAGACGACGTCTCTCCAGAGAAGCAAACAGCTCGAACCGCGACATACATTGAGACGAAGAGGTTTGGCTTCGAGCTCGAGGCTTCTGGGATGTTCTCTCTTCGAGTCCTTCAGGGGCTACTTCTCGTGGCGTTTTACGAAGTTGGACATGCAATCTATCCCGCTGCATTCATGTCTATAGCAGCGTGTGTACGATATGCACATGCGCTAGGCATACATCCAGGAGGGCTGCAAAGACTAAAACTACCGTTGACGTGGATAGAGGAGGAAGAGCGGAAGAGGATCTGGTGGGCAGCGTTTCTGCTGGATCGGTAAAGACATCCGTTCAATGCATTCACCTATGGCAATCTGACTTGGGGTAGATTTGTTAGCTTGAGCTGTCCAGGGTGCCCGACTACTATTGATGAGCCAGAGCCAGAAGATCCTCTACCAACGGATGACGAGCTTTGGGACGAGGGTGTATGTAACATGTATCTGCTGTGCGAGTAGCATCCACTGGGATCACTAACATATATCTTTCAGGTCAAGAAAGTGCCCCATTCGCCGCTGTTAAAGAATCCCGTCAACATAGACTTTGGGAGATTTGCAGTGTTAATACAGGCCTTTGCTCTCCTGTCCAAGGTGCAGCGACTCACGGCCTCTTCACGGGATATTCCGCCACACCTGTTAAAAGAAGAGGCGCAGCGGCTAGAGCGGGCGGTTAAAGCGCTTTATTACTTTGGACGAATAGAGCGCAAGCCGGAAACTGGGCTGCCGAGTTCTGAATTCCATTCCGTGTCCCAGATGTGAGTACATATCCTAGGCGACTTCTAACGGGCTCAGCGATCATGACAACTAACGGCGTTAATAAAGTTCCTTGATAGCAATATATACTTGCTCCACAATTCCGATTGAGATGCCGGAAAAGTTCATTGAATCGCTGGCTGATACTCTGAACGGCCCCGATTATGAGGATCTTGTCACAGCTGCTCAGCGCGGACAAGATGAGATTTCTCCGTTCCTGATACAGCTCATATACCAAGCTTCTGTAATACTCTTGAAAATCGAAAACCATCAAAACGGAGACTGGAGCGATACAAAAGCAGAGAAGCTCAAGAGCGCCTTAATATGGCTGGACAAGAGGTGGAAGCTGGCAGGTAAGCCGGCAAACTCCCCAATCGTAAACAAGAGAAAGGCTAAAAAATGAATAGGAGTTTTTTATCAAGCGTTAGAAGCTCAGCAAGTCGCATTGTCAAGAGGTTTACAGTTGGCTTAATTCATAATGATAATATGATCACGGCTATGTGCCCAGCGCACTTTGTCGCCCACTCGCATCATCTTTCGTGAACAGTCCTATCGTATGAGCAGTATTATTCTGACGTCACGTAACAAGTAGTGTCTCGCAACTTGCTGGAGGTAACCAGGCTTGCCAGGCATAAAAAATCGGCCCAACTGGACGAATGAAAAGAGCTCTTTATAGCCGTCTAGTGCGCGTTTAGCACGAACTGTGGCGGTGTCTTCTAAAATTCAGCACTAAACTCCGTAACTGCAGCTGACCGCGGTCAGAAAAAGGGCTCCATGTTTGTCAGCCTGTCTCTTAACCTCGCTTGCTTCTCACTATCAGTAATCTTCAATCATCGCCATAACCTCAAATCATATTCTGTATATAAGCTCACACTTCGCGTTCAAATACGTCAATCCCCTAAACCTGTTTATGCGCCAACCGTAACCTCGCCGGTCGCCATGTCGAACCGAGGCGAGAGCGTCATCCTCCCCAGCAATGCCGTCTTCCTAGTTCACAAGGTCGGCGGAACCAAAGCCGGTCGAGTCTCTCAATGGGAGACGCGCACCAAATCCATGCGCGTCGCTCCAGACCTGGCGCCTCGTATATCCGTCGCAGTCAATGGAAACAATGAGTCGAAGTCAAACTCCAACATCGCCGAGGGGGAGACCCTGGAGTTTGTCGCCTACACGCCTGGGAAACGACAACAGTTGACAAAGCGATCAAACGAAGCCAAACGAGGTCGGCGTGCCAAACGCTCTGTTACACCGCCAAAAGATCGCTCTCTGGTATCTGTTAAAAAGGAACCGAGATTATCTCGCAACCCAAGTCCCATGCCACCGGAACTTCCCGTGGCTCTGGTAGGACATGCTCTTCTTTACATCAATTACTGTATGTTGCTACGTCTACTCTCGTCATAAACCTCTTAGTTCTTGGGAAACAGCACAACTTACTGTAATTCAAGACTTTCATTCAATAGCCGCTGGCTCATATACCCTACCATGTCTTCTTTTCAACCCCGCCAAAAGAGACTGGTTTCCCAAAATGATGGAAGATGAAGCTTGGCGGTGTATCATTCTGTCTCTCTCGGCCAACGCTCTGGCCTCGCTGACAGGTTCTCCTTCCAATTATGTTGATTCAGCCTCGCTTCTTGATGAGGCGCTGCGGCAACTCAAGAGCCGGGTCGCGTCTGGCTCTCTTCCTACTGATCAGACGCTGGGGGCGATATCGTGTTTGGCCATGTGGAGCGTAAGTTATTGAATACCTTCTTTTGCATTATTTTCATTCCTTTATACAAATACTAGAATTTGTTAGCTGTGGATATAGACTGACCTTATGTAGAATGACCAAGGCAACCATGATAAAGCTTGGATTCACGCCCAAGGCCTTGCAGAACTCGTCAAAGTGCGAGGCGGATTTGCCAAAATTGATAATAGAATGAGATCCAAAGTATATCGGTAAGGACTCTGCATTTTCTATTGATGTACATGGCTGTGGCTCATATCATCATTTTAGCGGCGTTTTCGATATTGCAGTAGACGTTGATCAGCCGCCCCTACTAGATGAAGGCCTCCGAGACTCTCCAAGCAGAGAAATCATTTCAGAAGACAGTTTAGAGTCAGAGTCTGAGCTGGTTTTATCTGAGTGTCGAATTCCACCCCGACTGTCCAGTATCTATCATGATATCACACAGCTCAACGCCGTTGTTGACGATGCCATGACTCGTAACGTCAAGCTGGACACAGATAACCTCTACGAGTCCGTCTTTGGGATTTACAATCGCCTTCTCAGTTGCCAATCGGACAAGATGAGCGACTGCGACAACAGCTTGCGCATATCTCTGATATTGTACATCAAATCTCTTACATCAGGTGGGCGTTTCAACACAACATCAATGAACTTGGTCCGCAAGCTCCAAGCTTCCATCAAAGGCTGCTTGCACTCCTCCTCACCTTTGATGCGATGGAAGCTATTTATCGGTAGCATGGCTGCTTCAGATGGAACTACCGAACAGCAGTGGTTCTTACAGCATTTGGCTACAGCCATAGCGAAGAACGACATGGCCAGCGCAGACGATTGGATGGCGTTCCAGGAAGAGCTGAGCAGTATCCTGTGGGTTAAGCCAGTCCTTGAGGCTGCTGGATGTAATCTGTGGCTGCAGATAACGAGAGCCAACTCTACGTGATTATGAGTCGATTCCAATTAGCAACCCAGGCTTTGCAGTCTATGAGAAGGAAAAGCCTACTCTCCACCACTGGAGCTACATTGATTCATCATCCAGGAATTAAGAAGCAAGATCATATTTCTCGCAAATAACGCGTCCACCAAGAGTCCACAGACATTACTCTCACACCAATCATCCTACCTACGCACAACCAAAATCAACGCTATGGGAAACACGAATTAACCTCTTTTTTGTTACTTGAAAGGAACATTCTCTGTGAGAATGTGGGCACGATATTAGCAGCCCCAATTACATCCAAGTGATACTACATGCGGCATATCAGCACGGTCGACAAAACTTCCAACATCGCCACATCCGAATTGTCCAGGTAATCCATATGCAAATCAGCTGTAACCACATCAGGATACTTCTTGTTGACAAGATTAGCCATAACTGAGCTACAATTTCAGAACCAAGCCGGATAGATGGTATGATGGCCGCTGTATACATGTACATGGCGATAGCGAAGAGGGGAAAAGTTGGCAAACTCCAAATGATACGGCTTGCGCGGCCTCTTATGCGGCAACATTCAATATTTGGGCAGATACTAAAGCAAAGGAAGAAACAACCAAGTCAATTGCCGCATAGATAGTTGATGATGGAATCACAATTTATCACGACCATAATTCAAAATACATCTTCTGCAGCCTAATGATCCAAACCCTTCTTTGGATGGACTAAGTGGTCATTCGCTGCTCATCGCCCTATCTATCGTCTTTCTAATTCAATGATACTCTCAGATAGAAGACTGCCTAAAGAGATCCAAATTCCAAGTGTAATTTCAGGCTCAATTACAAAAATGAAAAATAACATGCGGCAAAAAAGGCCGCTCTTCAGGATGAACACCCTCGCAGCGGGAATTCATCTCCACGCTGCCCCCCTCAGCATTTTGCATTCCGGTTATTATTCATCAACCTTATTCGTCCGCGATATTTCGAGCGCATAGCCATCATGCCCGCGAGTATGCAAAGAATTTCGAGGCCTAGCAGAACGCCCATGGCTGCGATTAGCCAGGGCTTGGTCGCAGATTCGGCGTACGCCTTGGAGACTTTCGTCAACGTCAACGCTCCTTCAGAGCCGAGCGATTGATTTGCCAACTTGATGTACATTGTGGCTCTTTCAAATTGATCCCGTTATTATAATCCTTGTTTAATTCTTAGTTTCGTCTCAGCCATCTGAAATACGCAAGGAACGAATCCCCTCAAATCTGCTATGACGACTTACGAGGAGATCGGAGATTAAATTAATTTGAAGTAAAACTTGAGACGAGCAGTGACAGAGTCGAGACGAGCAGAGACAAGCGAAGACAAGAGATGACAAGATGAGACACAAGCGATAAATGTGCGATGATGGTCGTCTTTTGATATCAGGTGAACGGATAGAATTGTTGAAAAGAGTTGCACGACCAGGTCAGTTTCGGTCAAGAGAAGAAATGAAAGGAAATAGCTCAGTTTCTATATTTATAATGTCGCTTAAAATTGCTTCGCTTAGGGCTGTTTCGCCTTGAACTGCTTCTGAGGCTGAACTTAAAAGCCATTCTTCTACTCCACCAAGAGCATCGTGTGTATGCAGTACTCTGTCGTTGTACGAGACAAACAGATACACTTATCATACTCAGCCGTTTTCAGCGATACTTATCACTTGATAGGCACATACTTCACACGCCACCTCGTATTCTGGTGACGATGTATTGCCTTGTAGCGAGGCACTTAACGACTTTGCCTCCCTTATAAGCCTTTAGAGGCACACAAACGCTCACCAAAGGGGCCACCAGAGGAAATTTCCTGTACAAAACGTTACCAGAAAGCCCCCCTGACGCGCAATACGTACCAAGGTCATACGCTCCTGAAGACCTTTTTCTACAGGAGCCACGTAGTCCTCCAAATTGTAGTACTATTATCTCCCAGCCTCCAAATAATGTAGATCCCTAGTGTAGCTCAGTTAGAGCCTCTGACGACGTGGCAATGTGATATCTGACGTAGATAAACAATTCAAGCAGTGCAAACAGATACAGCTCAGTTGCGAGCATCAGAAGGATAAACCATGTCCGTAATTAGCAAGTGCCATGTATATATACAATCCACAAGTCTATAGTAAGAGAAAATTACACAACATAGTACCCTACATAACTCCTCTTGCTTCCCTTTTGCTATATCCTTCTTTTGCCGCATCATAACTCATCGCGCTCATGCTTAATATCGGGTCGCCCGCTATCTTTATGCAGGTCTACTCCTTTCTTCAACCGCCACTTCTCCCACAGATCCCAAAATTCGTTTTCCATCTTCTTATCCATCTGATCTGGCAGAATGACCTCGTACGTAACGTACAGGTTGCCAAACTCGTGCGTGTGGTAGACGCTTTCGCCTTCCTCGTGCCATACCGGCATACCTTCGCCGGCAATAGTCTCTACCAGGCCACCTTGGACGACTTGGCCACGCTCGCGACCGAGGCGCACAACGTGCTTGTCGAGGTGAGTGAGGTTGCGAGTCCAGCCGCCCATCCAGGCCTCACGCAGAGAGAGAACTTCTGTCCAGTATAAATCGTGGCCTTTGCGTCGGAAGAAGGTGCCGTCAACTTGGTCGGGGTTATCATCATACGACGGGGTTGCCTCGGCAAGATTGACAATGAGGTCGCCGGGAACCCAGTCTGGGCTTTGGTCGGCCTCATTCTCAAAGACCACCTTTGCATCTCGACCAATACCGCGCTCGACAGTCAGGCTAACCGTTGACAATTTACGCTCAACCCGATTGCCATGGCAGGTGGGACACTTGTTCTTGATGCTCTTGCCCGTACCGCCACAGTGATCGCAGCGAACCTGCATCTGCTGGAACATGCCGGGGGCAAGTTGTTGCTTGACAATTCGGATACCGTGCCCACCGCAAACGTTGCAAGTCTCGACTTTTCCGTCTGCGCTGCCTGAGCCCTCGCATCTCTCACAGATGTGTTGCTTCTCCCATTGGAACTCGGTTGTGGCGCCGTTGTAAAAGTCACGAAGAGAAATTTCTACCTTGACCTCGACATTGCTGCCTCGGGGCTCGCGACTCGATCTTCCAAAATGTCCATGGCCACCAAAGAATCTGCTGAATAGGTCGAAGGGATCGCCTCCACCACCGCCTCCACCACGTTGACGATGGGACTGGACGCCGTCGTGGCCATACCGATCGTAGACTTTTCGAAGCTCGGAATCGCTTAGCACTTCGTAGGCTTCGGAGACTTCAACAAACTTCTCGTGTGCTGTTTCATCGCCTCTAATAAAGAGTAATATGGTCATTAGTAAACAATGTAAGAGGCAAGGCGCAAGTACAGAGAGACGACATACGGATTCTTGTCTGGATGGAACTTCTTCGAAAGTTGGCGGTAGGCAGACTTCAGCTGCTTATCTGTCGCAGATTTGTCGACTCCCAAGATCTTTTCATGACTGTTAGCAACATTGCATTTGAGGAATCGAAAAAATGTTGGCGCACCTTGTAGAAGTCTTCGGCGCAGAAGGCAAGCGATACTAGAGCCAACAAGACGAAGATCGCCCCGCGGAGTATCATGATGCTGTGTGGTAATAATTGACCCTTCCAGTGGAAAAAAAGAAATTGATGAAACGATTAATTAAATATAGTTTGTGTCGAAAGTTTATCTTTCCGAGCTGCTTCTCTGGCAGGGCTCGTGTGATGTGCAAAGAAAGAGAGAAAGGCTGGACATGCAGCTTGTAAGTTACAGCGTGTTAACATTTCCAGTTACGTTGACGTGTAGGTAAATTAGTGGCTTTTTGGCTGCTGGCTGCTGCATCATCGCTGATAAGCTGCCGGCAAGGCTATCGGAGAGCGCCAATTGGCTAGCGGATGAACTACGGGGAAACACTATGGACACTAGAACTCGGATCTCCACTAAAAAATGGCAGCTATTGCTTCTTCTGCACTCGCTTCCAGGTAGCATCGCGTCTCACCTTCAGCAGGCCCGTGGTGAAGGCAGATTTTGGGAAGGTTCCAGGAGGCAAAAAGGAAGACGACGCATATACTTTTCTCCATTCTGTGAGAACTGATCACTTGTCAACACTTCCGAAGATGAGTTCCAAGAAATATGCCTTCCTTCCGATGGATGATGGCGACTCCTCGGATCGCCACCAGGAGAGCCGCATGAGATCGCGGCAGGAGTATCTCAAGAAAAGAGAGGCAGAGCGCTTGGCCCTGCTGAGGAGACAAGTCGCCGAGGAGACTGCTGAGCTGAGGAGCGGAGTTCGATTATCAGAAAGGGAAAAGGCAGAGTTTAACAAGAACCGAGAGCTTCTGCGCCTGGCTGAAGAGCGACTGAGAATCGATGACCACCAAGATGGATACGTGATGCCGGAGGACTACATCACCGAAAAGGGCAAACTGGATCGCAAAAAGAAGGAAGATGCCTTGTACAAGCGCCATGTCGAGCGGGACGAGTACGGCCAGGAGAAATTTGTCACGGAACACGATGAGTGGGAGAGGGAGCAGACCACCAAAGCTAAAGCGCAGATCCAGGGCCGAGAGCGGGAAAATGAGGATTACGACTACGTCTTGGATGATGCGCAGTATATCCAGTGGAGCCTTGACTCACGGATGCCGGGTGAGAGAAAGACGCTGACCAAGGAACAGCAGTTTTTGGAGGCACAGATCGAGGCGGCAGAAAAGAAGGCCTTGTCGATCCAGGAGACAAGGAAGAGTCTACCCATCTACCAGTACCGAGAGCAGTTCCTGGAAGCGCTGGAACAGTATCAGATCCTTGTCATTGTCGGAGAAACCGGTAGTGGAAAAACAACCCAGCTACCCCAATATCTCCATGAAGCTGGATACACAAAGAACGGTATGAAGGTCGGATGCACACAACCACGACGAGTGGCCGCTATGAGTGTGGCTGCGCGTGTTGCGGAAGAAGTCGGTGTCAAGATCGGCCACGAAGTCGGCTACTCTATCCGATTCGAAGACTGCTCGAGTGAAAAGACGATACTCAAGTACATGACAGATGGTATGCTGCTGCGAGAGTTCATGACAGAGCCGGACTTGGCCGGGTATTCGGCAATCATGATTGACGAGGCTCACGAACGGACGGTTCACACGGATATTTTGCTGGCCCTGGTTAAAGATCTGGCAAGAGAGAGAAAAGACTTGAAGCTCCTGATTTCTTCCGCTACCATGAATGCCGAGAAATTCGCCCAGTATTTCGACGACGCCCCCATTTTCAACATCCCTGGACGACGTTATCCCGTTGATATTTACTATACCCCTGCGCCTGAAGCTAACTACTTGGCGGCGGCCATTACGACCGTGTTCCAGATCCACACCACCCAGGGCAAAGGAGACATTCTCATATTCTTGACCGGACAAGACGAAATCGAGGCCGCTGAGATGGAGATTGCTGAGACGGCAAAGAAGCTGGGGAATCGAATCAAGGAGCTGGTCATCTGCCCAATCTACGCCAACTTGCCTTCAGAACTTCAGGCAAAGATTTTTGAGCCAACACCCGAGGGCGCACGCAAAGTCGTGCTAGCGACGAATATTGCCGAGACCAGTTTGACCATTGACGGCATCGTATATGTCATTGACCCCGGCTACGTCAAAGAAAATGTCTACAACCCGGCCACAGGCATGTCAAATCTGGTCGTCGTTCCATGCTCCCGTGCATCAGCCAATCAGCGAAGCGGTCGTGCTGGACGTGTTGGCCCGGGCAAGTGTTTCCGACTGTATACCAAGTTTGCTTACATGAACGAGATGGACGAGTCACCATTGCCCGAAATCCAGCGGACAAATCTCAACGGAGTTGTGCTACAGCTCAAGTCACTGGGTATCAACGAGCTACTGGATTTCGAGTTTATGGATCCACCTCCTACAGAAGCTCTCATCGGCGCCTTGAACCAACTGTTCGCCCTACAGGCCCTTAACCACAAGGGCGAGCTGACCAAGATTGGTCGTCAAATGGCCGAATTCCCAACTGATCCCATGCTGGCAAAGGCAGTCCTAGCAGCTGATAAGGAAGGCTGTGTGGAAGAGGTGCTCTCTATTGTCTCCATGCTGGGTGAAGCCTCTGCTCTCTTCTTCAGACCAAAGGATAAGAAGCTACACGCTGATAGCGCTCGAAACCGCTTTACTATTAAGGATGGAGGCGACCACATTTCACTACTCAACGTCTGGAATCAATGGGTCGACAGCGGCTTTTCGCCTATCTGGGCCAAGGAGAACTTTTTGCAGCAGCGATCATTAACACGAGCCCGAGATGTGCGAGATCAGCTCGCCAAGCTCTGTGAACGTGTTGAGGTCGCCCCCTCAACATGCGGCGCCAACAATTTACGGCCCATCAAACGTGCCATCACAGCTGGATTCTTCCCCAATGCTGCCAGATTGCAGAAGAGCGGCGACAGCTATCGGACAGTCAAGAATAGCACAACAGTGTGGATTCACCCGAGCAGCGTGTTAATGTCGATAGACCCGCCAGAAAAGATGGTGATTTATTTCGAATTGGTGCAGACGACAAAGGAATACATGCGCAGCGTGATGCCAATTGAAGCTGCATGGCTAGCAGAGCTGGCGCCTCATTTTCACAAGAAGAAAGATATTGAAGCGATGGAGGAAAAGAAGATGCCAAAACAAAACCGACGAGACTGATATCGCTGTCCTTGCAATTTGTTTTGGCTTGGTTTATTGCTACATACATGATCATAATCCCCTACCACAGAATGAAGGATACTCTAATTTTGTGCTTCAGCCTTTGGCGCATCCTCCCACCGATACATGATTTCCGTCCTCATCGTATACTTGAGACCTTCTATGACATCTGCTCCTTCATGGAAGAGCATAGGATGCTGGAAGATGAGGACGCTGCCTGCCTTGGGGTTGACATCCATGCGCCTCTTTCCATTGGGCGATGAAAAAGCAGTCGCTCCGCCGACAAGACCTTCGTCGCTGAGGTAGAGATGCAATGTATAATACGTCTCCATAATAGTGTCGCTGTCTTTTTCAGATCGGTAGGCGGCATCACAGTGCCCTGGAATGAATTGTCAGCGCTGGATACAAACAAACCTCAGAAACACAAACAGAGGAAACCCCCCTTATGCGCCGCGAAAAGCTTTACTTACTCCTGAAAAACATGCCAGGTCCATATTTGAGGAACCTCATCCGCTCATTTAAAGCGGCAAACTTCCATGTGCCCTGACTAGTGCGACTTGGTCTTGGACATGGAGCTGTGGCCACGAGCTCCTGCAGTCCTTCGGCTTGGGCACATCGGTCCCATAGACGGTCAACGAGAAGCTGTGTGTCCCATACGATTCGATCGCTGTTGCGATATCCTGGTGCTGCCGCTTCTAATCCCGGGGCTACACTGACAAGAGCGGGTTTCCAGGGAGAATCGCCCGGCTTTTCTAGGACGGCAGAAGCCTCGGCGTAAGCAATTAGCTCCCTGCACTCTTCTCGGGAGAGGACATTATCGAGGGTCCACGCCTTGCATTTAGTGTATTCGGGCAGCCCAGATTCTTTGAAAGGGACGGGTGTTATTGTGACAGGCTCAGGCGCCGGGCCAGTGAGAAATGTGTCGGGAATATCGACATGATTAGACTTGTAGTCTACGCGGAGGAAGCCACTTGATGACATGCTGGAATACATATTGGCTGGTTTTGTTGAAGAAGACGATGCAGATGAAGAGGTGGATTTGAATAGTCGGGAGAACATGGTGAACGAGATCCAATTAAGGGTGAATATATAATATTTGAGGCTGAAAAATAAGATGGGGCTTCACCGTAACTCTTTTTCTTGTAAGCGTTTGCCTAAATCTGCAGCTTACAGGCAGCTATAATTGTATACGAAAATGCATGACATGACGCAGTGAGAGCATGATTAGCTATTTAAACATTTTTATTCTATCAAGTCTTTCTGAACAAGTGGCAGGATGTTGGGTTAAACTTGAAAACAATGAAATAAAGGTAGAAAAGGCCAAATCATCAATGAAACTCTGGCCTTCTGACTGGCAATCTCAGCTCAACTGGGCGGTGCAAATACGGCTGGCTGCCTTGAGTCCTAGATTTGCCGTGGAACCGAAAGCCGTTGCCGAAGTGTTAGTGCCCATGCACGCTAAAGCACCACCTGGACGAAGACTAATCCAGCTGGATCCAGCTCCCGGTTGCCTGGAGCTGGTAAGGCGGAGTACCTGATCTTGACTCTGCCACGTTTAAGCGAGGAGGCATGAAGATGCGTAGCTGGCACTTCACAATATCTAGATGTATGATTTGAGAACTGAACGAGTTACACTACAGACGTAGGAGCTTGGTTAATTGCAAGATGTTTGACGACAGGCTGTCAATTTCGAATGTAGATGCACTGAGGAATGAGTATAAACATAAGCACTTTTGTGTCTATCAGGTACCCGACGGTAGAGGAAGGTATATATCTAGGAGCCCAGTGGCCGTTTTTAGTCATGGTGACCATAAAAAAAACACTGAAGTTAAGGTCGAGAAAATGTTGATAAGGGAGCCATTTTCTACTCTTCGTAGGAGTAATCAGACTTTATATGTAACTTCAGCGCGTTTCAGTGTACTTCTCCTCTAGTACACAGGATTCTCAACTGACGAATCAAGCGTTCACCACTTGAGTCCGGTCCAACTTACACACCTACGGCGCAAAAATATACAACTAAAGTTCGCATTCAGTTGGCAGAAATCGTGCCTTCACAGCAACTTTAACCTACCCTCAGGCTTCACATTCATGCAGCATGTATATTGCATTCGGCACATACCGACATACCGTACTACCCCACGTATTTTCTATTCTTCACAGCAATTTTAACCTACCCTCAGGCTTCACATTCATGCGGCGTGTATACTTTTCACTTCACAGCATTTTTAACCTGCCCTGAGGCTTCATGTATACATGCATTATTGAAGCACCACCTTGTCCGCCGCCAGCTCCACCCTTTGCCTCCCGCCCTAACCAACTTCTTCGCAGCATTTCAATTTCCCCTCAGGCTTTACGTTAATGCTGGGAATACCTTCTTGCCGCCCTCGGTTCTTTTTTTTCACCGTCCAGCCAGCACTGCCCCTATTTTCACAGCATTCTTAACCTCCCCATAGGCCTTATACCCACGTGGTATTACATTGGAGCTGGCCGGCTAGAACGATGGTAGGTAGGTAGTTAACTGGACCGACATCTCCAAAGGTACAACTCATTGCTGTAATGCTGTAATAATATATGCCTAGAATGATAACGCAACTGCACTTTCTACGTCTTATAACATAATGCCAAGCATACCATCTCAATGCTCCCGTCAAGCATGTGCACTTAACAGCCGTCCTGCCAGCATAAAAATCCAGGTTGCTTCAAATACACATACTCCACGGCCTACAATCCCCCAAGTACAAAGAGAAACTCATTTCAAGGTCAGCCACTTGATGTCCGACTGTTTTGTTCAGCAGACCACCTTATCGTTGTTTGTCTTTTACTCCACAGTATGTCTCACTGCCTCCATCTTCTTCACAGCATTTTTAACCTCCCCTCAGGCTTCGCATCCACCGGGTATTACGTCAAAGCTGGTCTAGTAAAAGTGCATGTCAGCTTTACTAACGCTCTCCAAAGATATAGCTTATTGAAGTAACAATAGCTGTCTTAAAAGGTAACACAGAAGTACATGTAAAATCTTGTCCTATAACAATGCTCTCATCAAATATGAAATGCAGGCTTCCTGAATTACATGTAATACACGGCCTCCAGCCCCAGCTCCCACCTCCACGCTCCGGTTTGTTTTCTGTCTTCTCTTCGAATACACGGGATTCTCAGCTTGCGAGCCAATCATACAACTTGTGACAACACCTTCACAACAATTTTCCTCCATGCTTCACGCTCATCCGGTACATTACCCATCTATACGCATATCGCAGCCAATGGGGAGGGTATCTTTCATCCTTCCGCCCCCAAAATGTGATCTGTTCACAGCATTTTTAACCTGCCCCCAGGCTTTACAATCAGGTGGCATTACGTTGGAGCTGGACTCATAGGATGATAGTCATCCAAGTCGACAACGACAGCATAGTCACTCTTTCACAATTTCGCAGACTCTGAATCCATTTATTGCTTTTAACATACATGCCTAAAAAAGATAACACAGAAGTATATGTTAATTCTTGTACTATAACAGTGCTCCCATCAAACACAAACCGCAGGCTGCCTTAATTACACACATTACATGCCCTACCATCCCCATCTCCCACCTCAACACTCCGATTCAGCTCCTGCGTCGACACCGCAACATCCAGCCCCGGATTCCCCCCAAAGAAATTAACCGGCTTCAACCCAACAACCATCTTCTCCGACGGCATCACCGGCCAATCCTCAATCCGCGGATTATGCGTCGACCCAAACGTGTGCCAAACAACAATATCCTCATCCCGCACAGACGTATCAACTGCAGCATCCTTTCGCCTCCTCTCAATGGCCGACGCAATCCCATCTCCTCCCGCAGACTGCATCGTGTGTCGACCAGCCGGGAAAAACTCGTCGTCGTCGTAGCGAGTAACCCAAATCGCATGCTGTCCATACTCTGAACGCCGTGCATGGTGAGATGTAGGATGGGAGAGCAGCATCTGGCTGTAGAACGGCACAATCTTGAATCCCACCGGCGTCCCAGTTACCGGATTGACAACTTTCTCATTGACAATCTTAAAAGTCCGATTTGTAGTAAAATCCAGATCCAAGCCCTGCTCCTCATCAACGAATTGCTTGCTCGTCACATACCCAACTCCCAGCGGATTATGCACACCCGGAACCCCGATCGGCAAAGCACGGCTCTCCTCCACCAGCAACGAATTCGCATGCCCATCAATCGCCGGATCAATCCTCAGACAAAACAGATGCTGGTGATACGGCGCCAGCACGCCCGGCGCAACGACCGTTCCATACGGCACCGTCTCTCCCACGGCAATCGGCGCAGTCGACAAAATGCCCGTCGCCCGCACCTCGTACTGGATCGAGGCATCCTGGCCAAAGTGGAACGCAAAGATGTACTCGTAGTTGCTCACAGTAATGATGGTCTGCAGCACCAGAATGCGAGATCGCGTCACAACCGCATTCTTTGTGCGGAAATTGGTGTGTTTCCATAGAATGCCGTCGTCTTGTTCATGGCAGCAGATCACGTTTGGCATCTTCAGCGGTTCGCCAGACCGCGTGTTATGCCACCCGTCAAAGTACTTAATCGTCCCCAGACAATCACACCCAAGCTGGAGGTTATTGGCATTGATGCCCGCTCCATCATTGCCCAGATCAAAAGCCGCTTTCCTCTGATACGGCGACCGCGGATCTCCATAAGGAACAAACATCTCTGCCAGCGACAGGCGATAGAAGAGGCTGCGCCCATCATAGCGGACGTCATGCAGCGTGAGGCCCTCTCGGTAGTTGAAGCCGACGTGCAAGCTCCATTTCTCCCAGGCTATCGAGTTTCCATCGACTTGGAATGACGGGCCCTCTGGCTGTACAACCTGGTATGGCTTTGTAGTCTGTCTGTAGCCTGATCGTAGACTTGGGTGATATTCGCTGTCCGTGGCTGGGTGAATCTTGCTGCGGTCATAAGGCCGAGCTTCGTTGTGAATGCTTTCGTTTGAGCTTGACGGAAGCCGATAGACTTTGAGGACTCGTTGTTTCTCATCTACTTCAGCGCAAATGTCCAGCGGATAGGCGTAGTAATTGGCATCCGGGTTGCTTGTAAGACGCATATAGAACCAGCACTGAGTCACATTCACGTAGTCAGTATAAAGTTACACATAGGCGTATTCATAGATCATTGCACGCACCATGGTTATTCTCTCCGTCATATCATTCATCCCATCCGTCGCATAAGCCCACGCCTCGACACAAACAACCGCCTCAGCTGGAAGCCGCAGCGTCTCTATCTCAGCCTGCACTCGCTCATCAGCCAAACAGGCCTTTTCAACCTCACCCATGTAGCTCGAATCGATAAACGAGTGTTTTCCCTTGAGATTCTCAAGTTTCACCACAGACTGCTCGTCCAAGTCTACAATCAACTCAAATAGCTGAATCGCTTCCTTAGGAGCCGGCGAGGCGATAACCTGAACGCGGGCTTGACGTGGGGGCCGAGCGGCTTCATCGGTAAACCCATTGCGTTGACGGTCGAGAAAAGCAATCATGTGCTTTTTAGGAGGTTCCTTTAGAGTGATGAAGCGGAAATTCGGGTCTTGGCCTGCGAAACATGGCCTCACAATGGATGCGGCCTGGAGGTGTAGGTTAGGCGCGAGCCATCATAAGCGTTGAGGGACATGGGGACAATACCTTTTGTATTTCCTCGGGAGAAAGGGGATCAAATGGGTGCGGATGTTGCGATGCCATGGTAAGAATATTCAGAGAGTACCGCCTTTTTTTTATGTTCTTGTTGTTATCAATCCAAGAATCTCTGCACTGAGTATGTGGTGGTTTAGCTCAATTCCAGCAGCCCTTTTATACCCAGTGAATACAACCACCAAATATTTGACTCAGCAGCATTAATAAAATCAAACCAACTCCTCTCCTCCACGTTAATCCCACTCCATCCGTTACGTACAACTTTATCTCTCAACCTTCTCGCAACAGTACCGTCTAAAGGAAAGGCCAGTTAGGTAATTAGCGAGTTGGGGTAGCGGCTGATAAGACACGCGCCGGACCTCAAGCCTCCAAAGGAATTACTTCCCACCGCGCTCTGCCTCCAAAGGCAATAATCTCCACGCAGTCTCCGCGCCCTCTCGGTGCTACAACCCTTAGAGGAAAGAAAAAAAAAAAGCTGCATGTGATGTTGTATTGTGAGTCAGTATTATTACCATGCTATCATTACAATTTGGAATAGAACAAGGAGATAAGACTGACTGCAGGTGAACAATAAATCATGGATATATAGTTGATCAGCATCAGAGACGCCTATAGCGCCTGTATTTTAGTGTGAAGGCTTATAGCGCATATAGCCGACTTGAATTCCCTGCCCAGTCAATCCATTGATGTAACCTGATAGTTGAAGCTACAATGGAGGCTTTCTTCAATTACACTGCTATTTCATCATCTCACATAAGAACGTGCAAATTTACAAATCAAATCACACAATATTAGATTATTACCAAAAGAAAAAAGCAGCAAAAGCACTCGCTTCTTTTCTATGTCTCATTAAACAAAGCATAAGCCATACATTTCTTGTAAACCCAAACATCATTCATAAAGCAAACTTAAAAAAGAATCATCAGTCGTAAAAACAGACAAAACATAAATCATAACATTAACATCAGTAAAAAAAAGAAAGAGGCAAACAGAAATATATCGTCGTCAAAAAGTCGTCATCGTCAAATCGTCATCGAATCGTTCCAAGACCCATCATCTCCTCCTCTTGTGTCTGCCCTCATCATCATCATCCCTCCTCTTATGTCTCCCATCTGCGTCCTCATCATCATCTCCTTCTCTTCGTCTCCCTTCTCCACCACCTCCCGCTCCACCTACACCACCAGCTTGCAGCGCTCCCGCCAACGGTCCCAATTGTCCCAATAAGTCACCACCAAGCCCACCGCCAAGCACATCCCCAACCACGCTCACCCAGCTGCGCCGCCCCGACAGAGCTCCCGTTACGCCGCCCACTATTTTCTGGATCTGCTCCGGATCGCTAGCCATAAGTTGCCAAGCACCATGGATATTCAAACCACCAGGCTTTTCTGCCGAGCGATGAAATTCGCCGCTTCTAGTCGTCAGCCGGCTTCTGCTATGACGCCTACCATCCAATGGTCTCCCATGCGAGTCGAAACGATCAGGCAAATCTTCGATTTCCTCGTCTGAATCCGAGTGATGACGTCTCCGATGCCTGCCCTCGCGGTCACGGTTGGGGGAACGGTCGTGAGTCGTATCGGATGATTGTCGACGGTGGCGACTTGATCGGTTGAACTGGTTTTCACGACGTTTACCGCGAGATCCATCTTCAGAATCCGAGCTGTCTGATTCGGATCTAAGTTCGTGCTCTTTTTTATGTCTCTTCATTGTTACAGTGCTCGTCGGAGAAAGCGGTCCAAACACCACAGACTTTCTTCTGCCAAGGGGAAACCCAGGCGGCGGAATCTCGATGCGAGGCGGCGGCAGTTGCTTGAGCGGTGTTACGGCCTCTAAAACAAGAGAACAGGTTAGCTTCAACAAATAACCCTTTTTTTTATTTTTATCTGAAAGACTTTGTCTAGTTTGAAAACAATCAAAAAACAGTCCTTGCAGAAAAAGCACGACTCAACGCACCCTCGGATGGTCCGCCCTTTTGTTCAGGTGGACTCTTGTTTCTGGAGAGGTCACTCACATAATCTTGCGGGAAGCTACCGCCCGCCGGTGGCCCTGGAGGGGGAGGTCCAGGGGGAGGAGCCGGGCCCAAAGGCGGCGGCCCTGGCGGGCGTGCGTATCCCGGCACTCCGGAAGAGTTACCAGGAGGCGGCGGTCCCGAAGGTGGCGGGGGACCAGCCGGTGGAGGCGGAGGTGCGTACCCGTGGTAATCTTGAGGCACATAGGGGTGGTACTCACGAGGTTCCGGCACACTGGGGTCAGTATACGGCGTGTACGAGTGCTCTCGCGGCGGAACGTTCGTTGTCGGCGGCTGCGGGGCCGGGGGAGGAATGTTTCCGGGGACGGTGGATCCTGGAGTTACAGGATAGGGGGCCCCGAAGTAGGCGCCGCCGGAAGCATTAGGTGGTGAATGCGGTCTGTTTGGGTCTTCAAAGTAAGTCCCGTTTGCAGGGACCTTGGGGAAGCCTACAGAGCTCAAAAGTAAGTTATCGTTTGAAAGAGACGCACCAAAGAAAGAAATGAAGCCAAGATAGCTTGGGCTTATAAAGGGGAGGGGGGATTCTTACGTTGTGCTTGCTCCTCGCGCTCCCTCGAGCGCCTCTCCTTCGACCGTCTCTCCTTTCTATCCTCTTTCCGCTCCTCTCGCTTCTCCTCCCGTCTCGCCTCTTCCTTCCGCTCTCTTTCCTTCCTGTCCTTGTATTCCTTGATCCCCGCCGCCGCAGCGCCTGCGGCAGCACTGTCTCTCAGCCGACTCCTGCTTCGTTTCCTCTCCTCGTTGGACTCAGAAGAGGATGATGGGTCTCTTTCACGTCTTCTCCGTCGGTTTCGCCGCCTTTCCTCGGCCTCGGATTCATACCCTTGGCCGGTTGGAGAGCGCGGATCGGGTGGTAGGGGATCGTGCCCGTACTCAATCAAGCCTAGCCCAGGATCAGCCACGGCTTCGGAATAAAGGGATCTGGCTCTCGACCTGCTCCTGCTCCTGCTTCTACTGTGTGAGTTGTGTCTATCGTACTCGTGGTCCTCGTCGCTATATCCACGAGAGGTCGATTCCTCTCTCTCCCTATCCTTCTTCTTATCATGGTGGTCTTTCCACATCTTGCCAGCTACACCAACTGCGGCCGCGCCGGCGGCAAGCTCGGCGCCACGGCGAAGCGTGGACTTGCTGCGAGATCTGCTGCCGTGTCGTGACTTGGATCGCGACTTTGACTTGTCACGGAAATGCTTCACGAGACCAGCAGTCGCGGCGGTTCCGATGGCCGCCTTGGCCAGGGTGGAGAGACTGCGCTTGCGACTGGGCCTGCGCGAGCGCGAGCGATCAGAGTAGTACTCGTCGTCAGATGTATAGTACCCTCCTCGATTTCGGCTTCGTCCTCGGCGTCGCTCATCTTTTTCGGCCTTGCTGGCCTGGTGATACTTGACGGCACCAGCTGCGGCGAGAGCAACTGCGGCGATTCCCAGACCTTTCTTGAGCGCCGAGTGGCGATCGGGGGATTCATGACCGTCACCCCAGTGGTCTTCATAGGCGCTGTGGGCTCGTCTGATGGCCTCGGTTCCGATGGCTCCCAAAGCAGCGCCAGCAAGGACCTTCTTGCCACGGCCCTCAGCAACCTCTCCGTACTCATTGGGGCGACTGGAGAGCAGAGCAGTGATGCCGGCGCCGGCAAGGGCTCCCTCTGCGAGGTGGCGCTTGTGGTGGTGATCCGAGCTCTGGCTTCGCTCGCGGCGAGTGGTGCGACGAGAGTAGTAATAGTCATCGTCGTCGCTGTGGTAGTCGTCCCCGCGTCGCGGGCGGCGGTCACCCTTGTAGGGGCCAACCTCTCTCCTCTCCCGTCGGTAATAGTACTCTTCGTCGTAAGGAGCGGGACGAGCGAGTTCTCGGTCTCCGTCCCTCTCTCTGAGCACAATGATGTTGGGTTCCTGCCGGGGAATGACAATCTGCTGCGGCGGGGCTTCCTGGACGATGATTTTCTGGTCCGGAGCCCGCTGGCGGACCACGACGGGGGAAGACGCATGATTTGGCTCGTGGTAATACTCCGTCTCCTTGCGATAGCGATCGATCTCATGGCCATGGCCGTCGTCAAAGCGCTCCTCGACTCTCTTTTCCACGCGCACATCCTCTTCATGATGGCGAGGGCGTCTGTCCCAGTCGCGATCCGTCTCCCGGCGCTCGACATCGCGCTCATAGTAGGTGGTGCGGCCGCGATCAGCGTCGACGTCTACGGCCGAGCGTGGCCTGTCGGGCACATACGCCCGCTCCCTTCGCTCATACTCGACAAAATCCCGCTCGCCAGAGTAGCGTGAGCGGCGCTCGTCGTCCATCTCATAAACCTTCTCAACACGGTCGTATCGCTCCACCTTTGGCTGGTTGACTTTGTACCGGGTCACAGTGGTGCTCTTTTGAAAGTGGTCGTCGTCAGAATCGTTCCGTTCTCGGTAGACCTTTGTAGTTCTATAGTCGGCCATCTCTCCAACCTAGCGCTGTCTGCTAGGTATATCTCTCTGTCTCTCGCTATCTCTCACACTGTCTTTTCCACTCTTTTCCTTCTCCGCTCTTGTTAATCGTCACTTGTATGATGTACCAGGCAATATGACGCGGGAGAGAAGGAGTAGCTCGAGGCGCACAGGCAGACACAGTATAAAGGATCCCGAGAGGCTGAAAAAAAGCACAAGGAGGGGTAACGAAGGAGCTGGGAAAGGGAAAGGATATGACGCAGAAGAGTCGCCAAGTTATGCCGTCCCCTGCTGTAGGTGTACTAATAGTAATAGGTACTCGCTCGCTCACACAGCAGAGGGTCCTGTCGTGTCTCGTCCCGGCGGCTACAACGGAGGAGGCAGCGCACAGTCTGCTGCAGGATAACGTCAGGACAGTACAGATAGCGCCTGGAGCGGGCCTGGCTGGGTGTGGACAGCTGATGACGATGTTTCATTGGGAGGAGGGGCCGAGCAGCAGTTGGAAGCCGGTCGAAGGTGGGCGGCTGACTCTGGGCTGCGTGAGAGCGAGGCCAGCTAACGAGGGCTAGACAAGGGCAGGGCTCATGCTGGACGAGGCTAAAGAGTGCTGTGCGCTGCGTTGAGCTCGCTCGCCGCATCGTCTCTGGCGCTCTCTTTGCCCGGCGAGGGCGGGTTCCGCGTAAATTAGCGTCTGCTGCGGCTGTCTGGATCGATGAGCTGCCGAATGTGTCATGTCTGGATGTCTTTGCCGCCGTATCGCCTCTGTCTCGCAACAACATCGCCATCGCCATCTCCCTCACCAACGCCGTCATCGCCAAATCAACGTCCCAGGCAGCCCTGGGCTCCCTTCATTCGCTGTACTTCCTCCTCTCCTACAGTGCCATTCGACACCGTAGACCTGTTAGACGTCGACCTGTGCCAAACCGGAAATCCTTCCAGCCCCCTCCCAACAAAACACCCGTGGTTGGTCACCTGCATGAATCTGCAAGAAAGCCGCCGGCGCCTTGTGACCAGGCAGAAGCGTGGCGGGGCCAGTCGCTGCTCTTCACAGGAACCACGAGGGGCAGCGAGTTTTTCCCGTCGCAGAACCGAAGCGCTCAGCACCACCCGATTCTTCTGTCTTCTCTTCGTCTCCTTTGGTGCTCACGCAGCCAAGTGTGGTGACACCACGTCTCAGCCTCACTTTTGTTGTTTCTACTTTCTTAGTCCCTTGCTTCGTAGCCGTGACCCCGCCTCGCTTCTCCCTCTCTTGTGCTGGCATTTTCCCGGCGTCATGGCGGCAGATCAGACCAGCGACAGCAGAATCACACGTTTGGCGAGACGAGGATTGGTTCTTGTCATTTCACTTCAGTCACGTCTGCTGTCACTCACAAGGTTGAGCCTGTGGCTTTCGACTTTGGGCCTCGCCTCGCGCCGTTCCGCGCTAAAAAGCCCCTCCAGGTACCTGGAGCTGCCGTGCTCCCAGTGGAAAAGAAAATTCCAGCACCTTGCAGCGAAGAGGGGAGGCCTGGCTGGGCGGGAATGTCGTCATAGCGTCATGGCGCCTGTCTTCTAAAGGGCCCACTATCTGCAGTTCCCACTGAAGACTCTATTCTGATATCTTCAATGCTGTCTTGTTGTCATTCTGTCGTTATGCATCACATTCGCATCAATGTCCACTATCTTCATCCGTTTGATCGCTGTTAGAAACTCCCCCCCACGCCGATTATGCACAGCCTAGTTACTATGGACCGCAAAAAAGCTCCGTAACGGGCACATTCCTTCGGTTACGGCGAGCCCCCCAATTCGCCCACAGCCCGAGAGGCCCTTGCGTTCTATTGCCCGCATTACAGCACTACTAGTATTAGTAGATAACTGGCACCTAACTGCCAAACGTGATCGTGTGATTGGATTGATTGCCTGGACCCAAGCTTGGGTGTCATTCAGCCTCCCGGACAGCCGACAGATGAGCCCAACAGGGACTTGTGCCAGAACCCGCTGCCCCCTTACAGATGGCCTTACAGATGGGAGCCGAGTAAGTCACGTCGATATCTGGCCCGAGATCCTCAGCTGATGGCAAGGGTCAATTTGATCTTCGCTGAGACATGCCGAGAGTGGCTGTTCGATATGTGTGCCTGGTTCGATGTGTGTTCCTGCAGAGACTCAAAAGTACAATTTCTATACGTCGAGATACCTGTGCTATGATATAATATCCGTCGAAGAAATTAAAAGAAACAATAATGCCAAGAAAAAGCAAGATTCATACTCCAGTTACGCCCATTTGACCCAATCTGAAGCTTTTTGACTCCATCTAGTATGTACACAGCGTCCAACCCAACCAACCCTTCAAGACGAGTCACAGTTACTCGTCAAATCCATGCTTGTTGCCCAAAACACCAACACCGCCGTTGCTCCGGCGCCTCTTGCCGATAACCTCGCGGATCCAGTCGCTCAGCGTGAAGCCCCAGTGGCCAGCCACCATGACGCCACTGAAGATGTTGACAATCTTGATCACGAAAGATAAGAACCCGTCACGGCTTTCCTCCACGCTCAGCAGGATGGGCTCAATGTCGTACTTGAAAAAGATGCCGGGAATCTGATGGTCCGAGATTGTCTTGCTGTGTTCAGTGACGGCGTACTGGTTGGTGTTGACGATTCTGCGGTTGGCAAGATAAACGGTAGGGACCACGGAGAGATAGTACTGGAATTTGTGAAAGTGGACAATGGCCGAGTTGACGGTGCGATCAAGAGGGTTGACGAGCGATGGGTAGTACGGGCCATACGACATTTCCGAGATGATGTGAGAAAAGTTGAATTCTACAATAAGCCGTTAAAAGACATGCCTGGTTTAAAGTCAAAAGGGGGAGGGAGGAGAGCATACTATCATGGTCCAAGTGCTGGCCCATTCCCATGTAGCCGTGGCCTCTGGCCGTGATATGAAAGTCTCCCTGCACCTTGTTCAAGTCCAGGCTTCCAAACATGCGGCAGCTGTCAGGCTTTCCCTTGGGCCTAGGGGTCTTTGCCCACTTGGCCCTTCTCTGGGTGAGAGCAATAATGTCATGAACATGCTCTTCGCCAAAGCCCTCGTCGTGTCTCGAGTGCCAACCAACGCCCGTGTCGAGTTGGCCATTCTCGTTCTTGCCGAGCTTGTGCATGCCCTTTTCATCAACCCACTGGCTCCAGGTGGTGGCCTCGCGAGCCAGCTTGTCCGCAGCAAGGATGCGATCTCCCGAGGCATCCTGGACGTTGACGTGCAAATCGTCGCAGTTCATCTTGACGACAATATCGAGATTGATCTGCATGTCGTGCCCTACGCCCCTTTCAACTGCAAACGTATGGGCCTCAGTTCCGCGCCACCAGCGGCCGAGCTCATTCCACATGAATATGCTGGAGATGAGGAGCATGGCAACAGTCCATTTTCCACCACCAGACGTCTGCGTCACATACTGCGGCTTGGATTTAGCTATGAGATGTTAGCAGGTAAAACCCAAGGTATGGAGCTAGAAGCTAAAGTTTGTAGCCGTACGGAATGCATCAAAGGCGCTGACGATGCCGGTCTTTGCGCCAAAGTCGTCCTCGTTCAAGCCATGCTTCTCGAAGCTGTCCATGCTGGATAATATGCTGCGCCTTTTTCTGCAGGAAAGCTAATACCAATGACACAATATTCTTCTTCTTCCCTTCAATATTACTTAAAGAAATAAGACTGTCACCGAGTAGAAGGTCAAAAGAGGGAGAAAAGGACAATGCCACCACACGCCCGCTGTCGTGTTGAGAGCTACAGCTTCGTCGTTGGTCGCTACCTCATTCCACGAAATGTCTTGCCAGCCACTTCGCTCCAAACACTCAATTCGATCCAGCAAAGTCGTGCGCAGCGTATAATTCACAATTCAGCCTCAGCCAAGTCTTTTCCAAGGCGTGGCGAGCTGCGGCGCATGTGAAGCATCTCAATCGCATTCAGCTCGTGGACACGTCTCCGATTCAGTTCCCTGCTCGGACGCTCGACGGTGATTGGGCGCGTGGCTGCGACCGGACTATCCCCGGCCCGGGTAAATTCTGGAACGGCCATCGGCATGCTTAGCTGCCCTGGATTTTCGGGTCAGCCAAGATGGACTCCATAGCAATGGATCAACTGTATTGAAATGCAGACAGGCGAGACTGGCTATGGCGTGCATATTAGCGACACAAGTTGCAGCGCCAGACTTCTGTACTTGATGTTGCTGGAAGAAAATTCGTCGACGTGGTAGGGCCGTTACATTTCCAAGGTATGTCTTGTGTCAGCAGCTCTGGAAAACTGTAATCTAACGAAACGAAACACAGCACCGCGAATTGACGTCTCAAAGCACGGGTAATCATCCACTGCGAAACAGACGGCCATTGTTCCAATCGGCAGGGCTGGGCTGTCAAAAGGCTGCTGGGCCCGCAAATATCGCCAGCCAAGGTTCGCGACTAGGTTCAGCCGGTCGGGCAACCAAATCCCCCATAAAAAGCATAAAAGAGGCTCAGGAGCCCTGGCGCTGAGAAAAGCGACCGGCCGAATAACCCAGCCCGAGCCAAGCAAGAGTGGAATCAGGGCAGCAAATCAGGTGGCACGGCTTCTGCCCACTAGATACCGATCTCATGGCTTGGAACAATCTGATCCGATCACTAGACTGACATGGACAGACGACATATGCGGCTGTCAGGCAAAGGCGAAGCGTGGCTTGCACATGCCGTGACGGCGAGAATCTTTATTTCTCGAGCGTGTTTTTTTGGGTTCCGTTTCACTGCTGACAAGAGTGAGAAACCACAGCAATAGCCTGCTTATACGGGCCGTATCCAAAAATAGGCGGGCCAATGACTAGACGTGCGCCACCAAAAAGGGAACCACGCGACAAAAGGCTAATAAGAAGCCACCAGCTCTTTTTTCGCTCAGCTCCCAGGTATAAAGCAGTAAGCTGCTGCTGCTTCGTATCCGACGGAGGAATCATGTCCGTCGTCATTACTACGTGGGATGCTGCTGCTCACTGCGCATGAGCGTTATAGGTATATTAGGGATATCAACATAGCCTCAATGTATATCGGCCAAATCAAGCTGCAACACTTCGGACATTGCGGCACCAGTACGATACGCGCATGCACCACTTCGTATTCCTCTGCAAAGAACGGTTAGCAGCTGCCAGAACGGGCATTTCAAGAAGCATCAAGCTGCTCCCCGCCTGTTGCCCCCATGTCCATCTCCGCACCGAACCCGGGGAAGACTATCATTTGCTGCTTGTAGAGAATTCATCTGTTGTAACTAGGCTGAGCAACAAAATTAAGGGAGAGCAGCTAGAAAAGAGCTTGGGGAGCAAAAACCTCTCGCAGCCAGCTTACGGCCTGCCATTATAAATCCGTAAAAAGGCGCTTTGCACGTAAATAAAAGCTGGCATGCAACCTGTTGCTACCTGCCTCAAGTTGTATCCCCAAACGCGCCCAAGGTGCAGCAGTACATACGCGCGAGGTACCTACATGCCAGTGCAGCTGCCGCTCTGCCCTTCACTGAGAGCCCCGTAGCGCCCAACCCATCGCCGGTCTTTGCGCCACCGCTCCAGTTAATCCCCAGTCGCAAGACTCTCACTTCTTCATACAGTAGCAATCGCCAAACCGCTGACTTTTTGCGGCCCCCCTTCAGAAGCGTGCGTGTCAAGGCACTGCGGTTTTTTCTTTTTCTCGTTTTCCTGCTTTCTTTTCCGATCATCATCCATTCGTTCACCGTCCATCCGCCTCTCTCGTTTCCCGCCATCGCCAGGTGTCGCGAATCGCAGCTGAGCTTCTCGCCGTCCATCGACTCTCGCTTCTCTCGCTCGCTCGCTTTTTTCCCCATTCCCTCGCTATCGGTCCGCATCGTCAAGTCAGCGCCCGTATTCTCGTATTCCCACATATCACGGAAACGCAGCAACACGATACCGTCGCAAGTTGTCTTGATTCACCTATTCGCCAACTTCGCGCTCGCTACCTGGCCTTTACTCGCGGATTTGCATGCTTCGATTGACACTTTGAAGATCGGGCTGTACCTCGGGTGTAGACAACATGAAGTCATTCTTTGGGCCGGGCGCCATCGCCGCCCTTTTAACGGCAGCAGATATCGCTGCTGCGCAACAGACGCCGTTTTCCATTTCCTCAACCGGTGAGCTTGATCTCTACATCCATGTCCCTCAATTTCTCCCTCTCCCTCTTGGCGAAACTCGTGGCTGACATAGGCGCCTCTTTTTCCTCCTTGATTTGGTACAGATGACATCAAGAAAACAGCATCCATCCTATCGTGGGATCTGCTTCAATACTACAAAGGAAATGAATCTGGCCAAACCCCAGGCCTTCTTCCCGGACCCCCTCCTGTTGGACCTTACTACTGGTGGGAAGCCGGTGCCATGTTTGGCACGCTGATCGATTACTGGTTCTTGACCGGCGACAGCACCTACAACGACCTTACCATAGCAGGAATCCAGTTCCAGACGGGAACCGACGACGATTTCCAGCCCCGTAACGAAACGCTCTCGCTAGGAAACGATGACCAAGGCTTTTGGGGCATGACGGCCATGTTGGCTGCCGAGGAAAACTTCCCCAACCCTCCTGAAGGGAGGCCCGGGTGGCTGGCCCTGGCCCAGGCAGTCTTCAACACTCAGGCCAGTCCCGACCGTCACGATGACACTTGTAACGGCGGTTTACGGTGGCAGATTCCTCCGACCAACAAAGGATACCCCTACAAGAACAGTAAGATACATGTTTGAGCTTGATTGAAGGTGGGGCGTAAATCATAACCGTAGCTGACTGATGCATCTGCAGGTATTGCCAATGGCTGTTTCTTCAATATCGGAGCACGTCTGGCCCGTTACACTGGCAACACGACCTATTCCGACTGGGCTGAGAAGACGTGGAACTGGTGGGCAGGCGTCGGCTTCTTGGATGCCGAAACATATGCCATCTACGATGGAGCTGATGTTGCGGTGAACTGCACCGACATCAACAAGGCCGAGTTTTCGTACAACAGCGCAGTCTGGCTTCTCGGAGCCGCATACATGTGGAATCATGTACGTTTCCCCCTGTCTTGATTCCAGCAGCTAGCGCATGTCTTGCTTTGCGCTTTCCGTTTTCCGCTTTCCGCTTTTCACTCCTCATTCCCAGGCTAACCCGTTGGACAGACCAAGAGCGACGTATGGAAAACCAGAGTCAACAAACTCGTCGATCACGGCCTCGAGACCTTCTTCCCCAAGGGCATTGCGTATGAGCCCACTTGTGAACCTTGGGGCACTTGCTCTACCGATATGTTGTCCTTCAAAGGCTATGTCCATCGATGGTACGCTACTACTACGCAGGTTGCTCCCTTTACGGCTGCAAAGATTCTTCCCGTGCTTAAGAAATCGGCGACGGCGGCCATTAAGCAATGCACGGGCGGCGCCTTGGGTCGCCAATGCGGCTTCAAGTGGGATTCGGGCAAGTATGATGGCGTCACTGGCGTGGGCCAAGAAATGAATGTCTTGGGCGCCGTTTCGTCCCTTCTCATCGGCGGCAGCAAGGGCCCAGTGACCAACAGCACCGGTGGCACGTCGCAGGGCAATCCCAACGCTGGCGCCAACCCGAACAGTTTCGAGATACCCGTGCAGCCAATCACGGCGGGCGACAAGGCTGGCGCTTCAATAGTCACCATCATTGTCGTCTGCTCCACCGTCTCTCTGCTCGGCTGGATGAGCCTTGGCGCGTAAGCTGGCCAAGTCTATTGCTTGACAGAAGAAAAGAGAAAAGAAAAAAAAAATACAATACAAATGGTCTTGAGCTTATGATGAAGTTCCATATCAGCCAAGCTTTGTAAGACACATGGTGTTTCGATTGGCTCTCTAGTGGCTGGACTGGAAGCACTTATAACGATTTCCTTACTATCACTCGGCGTTGGAATGCACTTTTACCAGGGATCCCTGTAACATTATCTCTGTTTTTGTTTAGTTCTCTTTTTTCTTTCACTCCCCTTTTGACTATGGTCCTCGAGACGGGAGCGGAAGTTGTCGTCTAGGATAATGACGAATATAGTAACTACACGCTAAGACAGTACTGTTGCTTTTAGTTTTTAACAGACGAAAAATTCTGATGAAGTCTTTGGTCTACCAGTAGAGGGCGATTTATCAGTTCGACAGCTGTGATTTGATTGAAGTATGCAAAACTTGTCTGGTGTGTAAGTCTATCACGTAACCGCGTATTTACATGATGATCGATGCACGCTGTCGCGGGCAAACTGCCGGGAGCCTACAGACAAGCGGCAAGATCCGATCACCAAAAGAAGGGAAGAAGAATCCGAAATCCGAAAGAAGAATGGAAGAATGGAAGAATGGAAGAATGCGACCAGAATAGCAGAAAGCCTGCTGCGGGCCTGTTATTCAAATTGGGGGAGCGAGGCATGTTGATCATTCGGGATCTCCATTAGGGAAAGCATATGCGTCATAGCACAGTTGGGAATCGGAGCTCGGAAGGCATGGCATTTGAGCATATGCGCGGATTAGTCACAGCTGGGATTCCCAAAATCGAGTAAAGACCGAGAGAAAAAGAAGTGATGCTACAATTGGGTGTTTTAGTCACTCAGCTAGACCATGCATGATGATCCGATCGGATCAGATCAGGTTCAGGCCATGCCGGTCAAAGGTCTCATGTCAAGTATGGACTGCGACTGAATGGTGCTGCAACGTTGACTGCAGCATACAAGCTTGTAAGTACAAAAATGCTATAATGCTAGTCCTAATGAGAATATTAAATCAAAAAGCGCAGATGGAAATGAAAGAAGACTACCTAATTACGTGTAATATGGCTGGATGAAGTAGCACAGCTCAGGGAGCTCCGGAGCTGAAAGCGATTCCCCCTGAATTGAGCTCTGCTTGTGGTTACTCAAGCGGCGTGGCAATGACGCAAGGGGCAGCTGAGGTGAGGAAGGAAAAAAAAAACTCAATTGCAGCGCGTGATGGGTTGGGCTCATTTTGATCTCGGCTTACATAAGTGGTTGTACCGTAACCTGCGAAATAACGTGCTCAAAGGCTCAATGCTGGTGAGATGCCTTGCCTTGCCTTTGCTGTGCCTGTAGCATCATTTGCCGGTCAAATGATCCCATGCTACGGTACATGTACGTACATAGTTTCATCGCGACTCTTGCCCCCTCTGCATCAAGTCTGTTTGGATTGCCCCTGAAAAGCTTCACCACGTTGCACCTCCAATAGCATCAGAAATCACGACTCCAGGCAGCACAATTGGACAATGAGAAAAAAATGCCACAACACGTGGAATCTTGCAATTAGCTCAGTCGCCACTGAAAGCAGAAAAACAAAAAGAGTCAGAAGTCCAGCTCGCAGCGTTACCCCTTCCGGCATTCTCATTACCTACAATAAACTCGCCTAGCAGGCGCTCCGAGGCCCGCGTGACGCACGCCATCGGTCACCAGAGGATTCTGCAAGCGGCCCCCCCCCTGGCCTTTGCTGGAAAAGCCGCTATAAGGCGCTGGAGAAATGCGAGTGCATCGCTGAGCTCCGGTCGTTACAGCGTCGGGTCTGGCCACTTGGTCCGCGCCACGCCATGGTAGCATGACGAACAGCTACAGCAGAGATACTTTGGACTCTCACTAGACTATGTACGGGAATTAAGTAGATGAGAAGTACACTAACAGCCTTAAATTTCGCGACTCGCTACGGGAGGGGCGCTGTCCACCTGAGGAGCTGAAAATCACTTCACTGGCTGCTAATTTCGTAAGCTTGAAGCAACCGTTGGTAGCCATTTTTCATTTTCGCCGTGGTTCCATCCAGGGCCCCATCCGAACCAGGCCACGTCCGGGCTTAGCGTTTTGCGGGGGAAAAATTGAAATTTGGTAAAAAAGAGAAACTATTACGGCATCCGGCGGCGTGCCATTGGGTGGAAGGCAGTGGATGCCGATGGATCTGATGGATCAGCAGGGAAGAAGAAGGAAAAAGAGAGCAGGAAAATCCCAAGCGGAGCCAGGGGCAACCGCAACCAGGAGCTATGGAGCAAGAAAAGAAAAAAGAAAAAAATCTTTTTTTTTTCTGTCTGGCCCTGGTTAGTTCGAAATTGGATCTTGGGGTCTGGTGACCCCAAGTTTGGCTGCAGCTGCTTGTGTGGCCAAGGTTTAAGTCAGGAGCTTCGTTTCGTATAAGACGGATCGTGAGCCGAGCTTTTTCACAGTCTGTGTTATTGCACGCATACCCACCACCTATAATACTGCTACTGCTCTTTGACTCCTTGAACCCTCGATTTGTCGAACCTATTCAACGCATTGAAGCTCAATTCAATACTTGCACCTACGCAAAACACCTAGTACGAGTCATCGTCAACTGCATATACCTACCACCTATAAATCATCTACGGCATCCATCTGCTACGAAACCTACCAAAACTCAAACAATCCAAACCACCGCCATCATGCCTTCCGGCTACATCTTCACCGAATCCGCCCCCTCACAGTCCTCCTACTACCGCTCCGGCCGTGGCGGCGCCGGCAACACATTCCGCACCACATCCTCAACCTCATCCTCATCCTCATCTGCGCCCTCAACCACCTTCACCCCCCGCCAGCTCCCCAACCAGCGCTTCTTCTCGGGCATCGGCGGCGCCGGCAACGTCCACCAGGCCGCCGAGCTGCAGCCCGCCATTCTGCGCTCGCTGGAAACTCCCGCCGACCGCAACCCGTCTGTGGGCTACGTCGGCCGTGGAGGTGCGGGCAACGTCTACCGCCGCAAGACAAGCGACGCCGGCAGCATGTCGAGCGCTGACAGCAACTCCAGCTCAGTGAGCGACAAGGCCAAGCTGTGGGCAACGCGAGTGGCCAGTTCTTTTGGACGCAAGTAGGAGCAAGACATACATCATTACTGCTACTGCATCGACTGCTGGACCGGCGAAACAGAGACATGGCGTTGAACTTGGGAATTGGGAATTGGGCACCTGGGAAGCGATACTACATACAACACACAACAATAATCTAAAAAAAGCAACAATACAAGACACCAATTTGGTGTTGATTGGGATTACGATTACGACCAGCGCACTGCATGCGGAGCAACTGCCATGCTGCCGTGTTTTACTATTACTATTACTACTATACCCGCCTGGCCTTGATTTAGGCTAAGCAAAGGAGAGGTGGACTGCATATCTGGGAATTGCGCATAGGAGATGAGCACGGATCGGCAGATGATCTCGAGAATAACAGGGGAAAAAGCTACTTAAGATGCATATATACCATACTTACATAGTTGACGAAGATCAATATTAAATTCTCCTCATTGATATACATAATATTTCTCCTATTCACTTCTTGGCGCTGATTTGAATGATTACGAGTACAAACTTGGCATCATACTCTCTCTCTGTCACTCATGGATTTGCCTTTCACGGTTCACAGAAAGGTGCGCTGTTCTTTTACTCCGCCTTCCAGTTGCTACACAACATGCGTCTTCAATCCAACATCTCCGCGGCGCTCTTGAACGGAGAGACACTTCGGTGTAGGACAGCACTGCAGCAATCATAAGACCATTAATAGAACGCAAACAAATGTAATTCCGAAAAATCACAACATCGTGTAGAGTACATTTCATCACTGATGCTATTTCTGGCAGCCAAGCGAAATTTCAATTCCAATTTCATTCTACTCTCGCAGAACAGAGCGCATGTACCCCGCTTATAGAAGCGAGCCTCCAAGACTAAGTAACCCCTCCTATTCCCCCCCAAACCCAATCAACCATAGCGTAAAAAAGGCCCTTGTCTCGTCCATTTCACCAACCAGGAGACAGGCATAGAAGACAATGAAAAAGGTTGCCAAAAAAAGAATGTGATTTCGCCCGGGCTCGAACCGGGGACCTTTTCGGTGGTGTCAACAGATGTTAACGAAATGTCATGACCAACTAGACCACGAAACCAGCTAATTTCTCCAAGCTTCACGATCGTAAGCTTGCGTTGCGGATCGGCGAGCCACAAGTCCCTTAGAAAGCTTTGACTTTTGCCATACACAAAACAGCCAAACACAGATAAGTCTCTTTTACCTCAACATCTCTTCCATCATCACCACATAGTCAGCCAGTCAACATTAGCATTCAACATTCAACATGTAACATACATTACATAAACGAGCTTCAACCCAACCCTCTCCACCAGTTGATCCGCAAAATCGGGGTATCATTAGGCTCTCTTGATCTATCAGATAAAAAGTCCTACACAACTCCCTCATCTAATGCCCGCTTGCTCCAATGTGTGTATAGTAAAAAAAAAAAAAAGTTTCCACCCCTTCCATCTCTGTATCATATAAACCAAGTCTTGATGTCTTTTTCATAAGAAGGAACAAAAGAAAAAGAAAAGAAGATTAGTCGTACACCGTCAGAACCTTCTAAAACCCCTCTTGGAAAATTTGTCATTTTTTTTGTTTTGTTTCTCTCCTTTTTTTCCTTCCCCATGCTGCTGAGTATCAAAGCAGCTTGTCGTCTTTGGAAAAAAAAAGAGTCATCAACTACGCGCACTTTCGTTTCAGAGTTAAGCAACCAGACATGCAAAAGACAACTTTCGCTCTTCCTCTATGCCAATACGCCAGCGTCCATTATCGTCATCAATCATGTGAATTTCGTGTGGATAATATCCGGATTCTCGTGCCAGTCATCAATGCTCACAAGCATCTATCCTATTGTTAGCCGGTGCAACAATGAAGCTCAAACCAGTCAAAAGGCCACTTACTTTACGGAATGTACTCAAGCCAGCGAGAATACTTCCTCCAATCCAAGTAGAATACTTGCGTTCCGGAGGTGCAAAAATCTTTATTCTCATGTCCTTGACTGCTAGCTTCTGCAGTTCCGTCAGGAGTCGGTCGCCAAAGCCCTTTGTCAGCGTGCTGCCTCCAGACAAGACAATATTGCTGTAGAGTGATTTTCGCAGATCCAAGTCAGTGCGGCTAATGGCATCAACCACAATCTGGTGCACACCAGGATACTCCTGGCCGATAATCTCAGGATCAAACAGAATCTCTGGCGCTCTAAATCGCTCGGCTCCAATCTGCCCAATTGTCAGTAAACAAACAAGATGAAACGCGCAAAAATAAAGCTCGCAGCCATTCTCTCACCTTCAGCTTGTGGCCGTCTGGCAAGACATATTCAGCGAATTTGCTCTCGTTCGGCTTCACGCCAATCCAGTCTCTCTCCTCCTTCTTCGGGTCATGCGCCACGTACGACACGCTCTCCTTGATCAGCCTGACCACTTCCTTTTCCGCACTTGTATGGAAGATGTAGCCGCTCTTGCGCAATAGTGTCTGCAGATACTCCGTCACATCTCGACCCGCAACGTCAATCCGCTGTATGCTGCTGGGCATCGCAAAGCCTTCGTACACGGGCACCGCATGCGACACGCCGTCGCCCGAGTCGAGAACAATGCCCGTTGTCCGGCCACTGGCATATAAGGATAATACGGCTTGGATAGACGTGTGCAAGGCGGGCACGTTGAAAGTTTCAAAGAGAATCTGCGCGGCCGTGTCGCGGTTGCTTCGAGGGTTCAGAGGAGGCTCCGTCAGCAATACAGGGTGCTGTTGTAGTGTCAGCGCGAAACCGCTCCTCTCATGTCATCGTCAACGCTCAAGCTGTTGCACAAACCTCCTCGCTCAGCGTCTTGAGTCCCTCGCCGTACACATATTCCCAGATCCTCTCCATGTCGTCCCAATCGGTAACGACGCCATGCTCCAGCGGGTAGTGGATCTTGAGAAGGCCCCTCAGTTCGTTGGAGGCCTTGTTTCCGATGAAGAGATCGCCCTCCAGCGCGCCGGCCAAGACTCTCAGGTGCTTCGGCCGGCCAACCCACGACGGGAAGAAGCATTTGGGCAAGTCTTCGCCCGCGAAACCGGCGCGAATCGTCCCCGAGCCGTTGTCTAGCACAATGGGGGCATTGTGCAGTATTTCTGTCATTTTCGCGTCTTGAGCCCAGGCTCGAACGATCCAGTCACGACTTGATCGTCCCGTCTATCCTCCGCAATCTCCTTCGTGTTGTCTCGCCCGCAGCTTTGCTTCGGCTGGCTGTTTCTCCTTACTATCTTTTGTTGTCTTTATCCAGCTCTCTCGTTCAGGGTCTCCACAGCATTGGGTCGGTGAGGGGCAAAGATGTCTCTCTTGTCGTCGGGTCGATTGGCAAAAATTCACAGGCGCACGAAGCCGTCAGGTTGCAGGCCTTGCAGCTCAAAGGGACCATTCAGCGCCTTGTCCCTGCTCCAAAGTTGTGGTCGTGGGTGATTGGCGCTTCCAGCCGTCTAATCAAATCATCTCTCGCATGCACTTGGATGGAGCTCCCTCCTCAGCTATTCCAGCCACAGGCGCGCTGGCAGCTTCACTGCGTCCAGTGCGCAAGCCACAGCCGCATCACGTGGGGCCACCTCCCGGCTGTGGCGCCTCAGGCAGGAAAAGGCACCGTTAAAGTGGTTTCGCGTGGCTGCGCGTCTCCTCCACCACAGACCGCGTCGCCGACGTGACATCGATCCAAGCTTTCTTCAATCTGCCTCATGGCGAGGCCCGGAAAAGCTCTGCCCGACCCCGACGACCGACCATTGCGTCTGAACTGAAGCAGCCTCGACCGCCATCGCTCCTTGCCCTGCCGCCATTGGCTCTTGCTTGCCCCGATTTGCTGTTGTTTTGTTGATATTGTGCCGCATCTGCCATCGTCGAGATGGTCAAGGCCAATGCGGGCACCGGCATTTTCAGTGCCACGTACAGTGGAGTAAGAGGTCCCCCGTTGATGCGACGATGATTGTGCGGCCAGCGTTGGATAGTGGGATGCGTGCATAAAGGCAATGGATTGAATTGGAGAAGAGAAGACAAGGAAGAAAAAAACTGGAAGGCAGAAAAAGCACTGGCTCTATATGAATCCTTTATGATGGGCATTTGGCTACAAGGGGGGGAGAAGGAGAGAAAGAGAAGAAGATGCATTGGATAATCATGGGAGCTCGTCTTATCGCTGCTATTTCTGCTATTTCTGCTGCTACCCTATCCGCACGTCTTTTCATCGTCACATGCAAAACAAAGCTTGAAAGTGAATACATCAAATAAGCTAACACATTCTCTCTTTCAGATCCCTGTTTATGAATTCCAATTCGGCGGCGACCAGAAAGAACATGTCATGCGAAGGAGGCACGACGACTGGATCAACGCAACGCACATTCTCAAAGCCGCCGGCTTCGACAAACCAGCCCGAACGAGAATCCTAGAAAGGGATGTACAAAAGGATGTCCACGAGAAGATCCAGGGAGGATACGGCAAATACCAGGGAACATGGATTCCCCTCGAGGCCGGCGAGGCTCTCGCCCAGCGACACAGCATTTACGAAAAGATTCGGCCCATATTCGAGTTCGTACCCGGAAACGAGAGCCCTCCCCCCGCGCCCAGGCACGCAAGCAAGCCCAAAGCACCAAAATCCCGTCCTCCACCTCCAAAATGGAATTCGGGTAGGTCCAAGGTCGCTAGCCATGCGCCTCCTAGCGTTACTAACGCAGCTTCAGCTGTCATGCCCGTCGTCGAGGAGTATGAACACAGCGAGAGCGTCATGGCCGGCATCGAGGATGACACGCCAGACAATCTCACTGTAGCCTCAGCCTCTTACATGGCCGAAGATGATCGCTACGACATGGGTCACATGCCCACAGCGCACAGAAAGAGAAAGAGAGAAGAGCAGTTACAAGACCTCACAGAGCAGCAGCACGCCGTGTACGGGGACGAGCTTCTCGACTACTTCCTCCTTTCCAGAAATGAGCAGCCCGCAGTGAAGCCCGATCCCCCGCCAAACTTTCAGCCAAACTGGCTCATTGATGCTGAAAACCACACAGCTCTGCACTGGGCTTCCGCTATGGGCGACGTGGACGTGATCAAACAGCTCAAGAGATTCAATGCAGACGTTGCCGTTAGAAATATTCGTGGCGAGACGCCCTTTATGAGATCGGTCAACTTTACAAACTGCTACGACAAACAGACGTTCCCTTCCGTCATTAAGGAGCTCTTTGAGACGGTCGACGTCAGGGATAACCAAGGATGCACCGTCATCCACCACGCTGCCATTATGAAAAACGGACGAGTTTACAGCCCATCTTGCTCAAGATACTACCTAGACAACATACTCAACAAGCTGCAGGAGGTGTTTGAACCGAGTGCTTTCCAGCGGCTAATCGACATGCAAGACAGCGAAGGAAACACCGCCCTGCATCTCGCTGCACAGCGCAACGCGAGGAAATGCATCCGCGCTCTGCTGGGCCGCAATGCCTCGACAGACATTGCCAACCACGAGGGCGTCCGCGCAGAAGATCTCATCATGGAGCTCAACGCCTCCAAGAAAGACCGTGGGCCACAGCGGTCATCGTCTCCCTTTGCGCCAGACTCGCAGCGGCGCGCCACGTTTCGGGACGCCTTCTCGGGTGTGGGCGGCGACAAGGCGCGGAAGCTCCCTCTGACCTTCCAATCAGCGGCGGCCACGACGGTGCAGTCGCGCATATCCCCGCTCATTATGGAAAAGTTTCAGCTGCTCGCGAAAAGCTATGACGAGGAGTGGCACGAAAAGGACGTCGCCGAGGCAGAGGCCCGGCGCATACTCACAAACACCCAGGCTGAGCTGAATGCGGTGCGGCAGCAAATCACAGAGCTCGAAACCCAGCTTGAGGCCGACGACGTGGCCACCAAGGTGATGAACGAGGCTAATCTCGTGAGGCACAACGTCCTATCACTAATCACCCACCAGAACCGGCTGCATATCCATCAGGCGGTGGAAAACGAAATGAGCAAGCTAAACGGCGACGGCGGCAGCAGCAGCAGCAACCCCAACGGCAGCGCCAGCGGCAGCGGCATGCAGGACGACTCGTATGAGGAAAGGCTTACGCTCGCGCGCCAGCTGAGCCAAATGCTTATGGAGCAGCGGCAAGCGGAGACCGAGTACGTCGACGCCCTGAGCATGGTGGGCGTTGGTGACAAGATTGAAAAGTACCGGCGCCTACTGAAGCGCTGCCTGGACTCGCAGGACGGAGAAGTCCTGGACGCCAACCTTGACAGTCTGATTGACATGATGGAGGAGGAGCGCGAGGTACACGACCTGGACGGGTCAACGCCAGTAGGGGGCGACCCGATGGATTTTGCAGTGATGTGATTTTTCACTTCTTGTTGCTGCTATCGTTTTCATTTGCTGTTTTTTTCCCTTGTGTACTTCTTACAACAGCTTGAAGAAAAGAGCGAGCATGACTATGGGCGGGGAGTGGACAAGACGATGGCCCCAGATGACAGGACGCCCCCCTTTTCACTTGGGAAAACAACAGCTCTTCAAAGGAAGACTAAGGGCGAGGAGGAAAGGATGCACCACATCTCAAGCGCAAAATTTTCCCTTTTTCCATTTATCCCTTCCCATTTCTTTCCTCGGATAGATATCCCTGAGACGGAGTATTCCCGCCCCCTTCATTTTCATAAGATGTGATGACAGTCATCGCAGTCCACCCGGCTTACTCTTGTTTTCCCTGTTTATCGTCATCTCTCTCTCTATTTTTATTTCCCAGGGGAGGAATGGGTGTACGTGTATGTGTGTTTACGTGGTCGGCGAAGGAGAAGAGAGAGAAGACAGAAGAAGGAGGGAGGGGTAGCAGGCAAAAGCCCACTTGCTGCCTGACTACCTATCTACCCACCTTGAACAGTAGCAAGAACATTTTGATGAGATACGTTTTTTAGCGGGTTGGTGGTTAAATCTTCATGTCATGGAAGAGCACTATATAGCAGTTATTGAGCGGAACGCATATATCAAAGCTAGGGATGGCTCTTTGGCGGCGAATCTGGCGCTGGGGGGTTTAGCAATTTTACCAAACGTCTTTGCGTCGACGTTTGTTTCTCAGCTCTCTTTGCATTTTCTGTGCTTCATGCATCAGTCGTGTTGGGGCAATAAATCTATTAATATCATGATGAATCAGCTTCTTTATAAAAGTCAAAAATCATGGCGATTTCCATGCCACATGGCAAAACCCGTTTCTATTTTCTGTTAACACAATTACCACGCCCTGTTGCTAGAGAACCAAATTTAGGCGGATCTCGGCCCGGCATACTCGGCGCTGGAGACTGGTTTGTGGAGCCCGATTGCCCCGGGGTAGCATTACGGCGTGTCACTTATTGCGACCATGACGGGCTGCATGGAAATGGGCAGCCATGACGGTTTCGAATGGATAACGAATAGCGATATGCTGGTGCTGATGCTGTCAATATTTATGCATCAAGCGCTAATCCACAAGGTCTTGTCTTAGACGCATGGGTTGCCAGGTCCTGGCTTGGGGAACCAGCGGCCACCTCCGACCCGAATGGACCAACCCCCTCCGGAGACGGTGTCCGGGCGACTCGGTCCACATCCAACCAAATGGGTAGTTGCTTTTTTCTCTTTGGAGTCGGGTGAGATTAGGAAGTGAGAGGAGAATGACATTCCACGGGACATGCCCCACAGCACGGAAAAGAAAAAGAAAGTTCGAAGCCAATGGTCATCGTCACTGTGAGTCAGTCAGGTCAAAATAAAGATTCCATTACGATTAAAGGAGCAAGCTCCGAGCAGACTCCCTGCCCGAAGCGAGAGACCCGGCCAGCGGCTGGTTGGGTCCTCGGAGCGGTGGGACTGCGACTGAAGGATTACCGCTTCTGGAGGAGCTAAACCCACGGCGACTGGCTCAGACGGCCTGCATAGTATGGGCGTCAGGTGAGCAGCTGAGTCAGGGCGCCTATGCCAATACACCGTAAGATGGCGGAGATGACTGGCCAGGCATTAGACGCCGTCCTGCCGCTCTGTATAAGTTCGCTTAAGCGTAGGACCAGCTATTCGCTCCCCGACGCTGCTTCGACTGAACTGCATGCATAGAGGCCACGCCTGAGGCCATCTAGCGAGTCATGCCAGGTTAGGAGCGTGTATGTAATTCGGCCGCTGCCTCTCGTGTATGATGCAGCCCACGGAACAGATGGCTCATGGGTGCTAGAAAAGCTGTTCGGTGCAATTATAAATGCTAGCTCAAAGTGGCGCTTATTCCTTAAACCGCTCGGGAGGATGATGGCTGCTTTTGTACACCCTACGAGCTCTTCGGAGGGTTACGTACGAACTTGGTACATTAGCTAGGAAAATCCAATGACTATGCCGATATGCGGCCTAATGCGGTGAAACACCAGTCACGAGGCCTTGTCCAGGGTTCGGGTTTCGGTATCTGCGAGACGAAAAAATAGGTGCATGCCTATGAAACATAAATGGTAGCTAGACACCAGCGTAAAATATGAATGCTGGCTTGAAAGTCGTCATGCAGCATGACATCCGCCATTATGAAAATTGGGTGCAGAGCTATTGCAGCTGAACCATCGATAGATATCCGATAGCTTGCAGGTGTCCCCACCAAAATCTCAGACAAACACATACAGCTGGGTCAACACTACAAGCACTGAGCCCGAAATCATCTCCACACGAGAGCGTAACTTTTCATCTGTAGCCGCTTGGATGAGCCTCACCGTCAGAGTGGCAAAGAACAACTCACGTATGCTCGAGGTAGCACCGTATGATAGCTTAGAGGCGGATGCCTGTCGACCTGAAAATGGCTTCGGATGTGAAGTAATGGCTTCTCTGCCCCACGTAGACAACGAGGCAGGCCGACGTGGCATCCATCAATGGAGACTTGATATTGTTGGCGATTCATCGGTGGTTACACAGCATGGTGGAGAGCATCATGCGGGAGAGTCTGAAGGGCATGGGGAGGGTAAAGGGGGGGATTCGGTGCGGTGTACGGAGTACGTACATATGCCGTACTTGGCATCAAATGCTCCATGCCGCCGGAGACCGGGGCCACACGCAGGGCGACGTGTGTCTGGAGAGCCAAAGACCAAGGCGTCGTGATGGCTGCGCTGTGGGATCCGCCAACCCGTCTAGGGACCACGTTCAGATGTACGTTGTGGCCTGAACGGTGAGGAAATGCCCTCTGTTGCAGGCCGTGATTTGCTGCGTTGCCCATGTTAGCGCTGGCATCGAATGTGGCACCATTGCATGGCGCCTGTACATTCGATAGATGTCATCCCAGGAAAGCCCAGATCCAAGCAAATAGGCCATTTCCATCATGGAGATGCAGAGGTTAACGTGCTGACCAGCAGCGGGGGAGGGGTGCCCCGAGTGTGTAAGGCTGACGGAAACCCCCCCGATGATGTAGGCATATGTAACTGACGGGCGTAAACACCGTAGCTGCTGGGTACCTCGACGCCGGCTGCCATTAGCATCAAGTACAGCGGCCTAAGCTGACTTGCTGACACAGCATAACGAAGGACATATAGCAGACAGCAGAACGAGAACGAGACAATCGAGTCTCCGTGTTGCTCATCAATGGACCTCTTCGAGACTACGGCACGGTCAGACTTGGTGGGGAGGAGGAAACCCCAGGCTAGAGCCAGAACGTCCAAGTCAGAGTCGGATTGAAGCTGATCCAAGACACGATGCCCAAAAGCAGGTAGTAGCTTGCTGATGCCCGATCCATGGCCAGATTGCTGATAGTACTGGTAGTAGCACCAAGTACTGATACTGGCACGACTTTTGCGGTGCATCACATGTATCATGCTGGACGCAGCGTGTCCAGAGCAGCTCGGAGTCGCTCTATCACCTTGCACAAGCAGTACGGACGCATACGCCGTGGCATGCATATGCATGGCTAGCAGTGCTAGTGTGCAGTCGCGCATTTGAGCCGCAGCGGTCAGGCCTGCCAGGGTTCGTGCCACGACGAGCTGAAAACGAACATGAAGGCGTAAAAAGTCGAAGCGGTGTCTGGCCCATGAGCCGGAGAAATTTGGCGCCCCACGAGCAAATGATGCTGGACCAACCGCAGCGCTGCATTCGTTCGGGCGTAGCTGGTGCTGTGCTGCATAGCGTCCGATAGTTCAATAGTCGGAGCCTGGTTTTTTTTTCTTGGGTTTCTCAGATCGATCGGGGGAGCAACGATGCGCTTGTGCAGGTTGATTCGCCGAGAAGGTGAGGCTGAAGGAGATTGGACTGGCCACTGTGGAGGTGCAAGAATGGGATTGTGATTTTGAAAGAGAAGTGTGAGAACTAGACGACGACAAGGAGAAAGAAGAGGAGCAGCAGCAGCAGCAGCAGCAGCAGCAGCAGGCATCAGCTCCCTTGGACCTGCCCAGGCAGCAAAAGCCACCAAAGCGGAAGGCGCACTGCAGAGGCCCTGTAACTCCAGTCGCTGTGTTGGTCCGGCAGCGCTGAAGAGACGGCGTGTGGTGGCTCGTTTGGGGCCAGGTGTGCTGTGGAGATCGGCAGAGGCTGCTCGATGGGTGTTCTAGAAGCCCGCCACTGGCCACCTCAGGTCAGCTGGGCAAGTATCAATCAAATCAATGGCTATGACGAACGAGCACGGGCTGCATCCAGCATGATTCGCTACCGGTCTTCTGGGTTTGGGAGAACGCCTCTTTGGAGATTAGTTGCAAGTATCGACGTACTATTGGAGAGCTGCTTGAACAGAACTAATACCTAGGTACCTACGTACATACCTACTACTACTCTAGTAGTAGTAGTAGCGCGTATTGCCCTTCTCGTTCGGTCGTGTTGCTAGGGAATCGATTTGCGCATGTCTTACACACGGAAGAGAATGCGACTCGGGTACCTTGTTCGAGCAGCGCAGAGCACACCCTGTGGCCATAGCGTCGTTGCCGCAACATGCATCACTGATCCTGAGCGAAAAAAGGCCGGCTGAGAGACTTCAATAATCTGACGGACGCGGGAGTGGTCGCATGTGCTGGTGTTGCCAAGTACCTAGGTGGGTAGGCATTGCCATCTATCACATTGCTCCAACGCGAGCATGTCATGTATGATACGAGTGATATATGCAGAGGCAGGGTCCAAGCTCCACGACTACCCAATACGGCCCGAGAGCAGACTCGTGTTAGTGTACGAGGACCGAACAGTCAGTTGGACGAAATATCAAGAACGAATGCTCATACCAAGATTGAGTGTATAAGTGCTTGTCTGTCTACTGCTGATACAGACGCTACTGGATAATTCATACACGCCAGGTAATAAAAGCCGATACGACTGTCCATCTATCTTTAGCGACTGTCCATCTATCTTTAGCACTACTAATTATACTAGTATTAGATGCCTTTCTGCAAGTAGACTGCCGATGTGATATCGCGGCTTGCTGTATAAGGTACCCAGACATCAAAGACACACAACACCATACACTCCACAAATATATGCAGAATGATGCTGCTATATCCACCCATTATCTCCTCATGAATCAACCGCAACTGATGCACCCCTCGGCCCTCTTCCGTGCTCGTCGCATCCCAAAGACGGTAATGTCGGGGATGCAGCATCTCATCCACCCCCGTGACTGCATGCTGGCTGTATCTCTGTCCGGGCATTGGCCACGCAATTTACCCGCCACACCACATTCCGCACGATGGCCCGCGCGATTTCCCGCAGCAGCCTGGTTTTTTCAGCTGCCTTGGGCCACGCAAGTGACGCACCTTTAACTCTATTTGCTTCCAGAATCAATGCGCGACTGGCACAGGTCCCTGCCGCATTTTGACACCCGCCGTTTAGGTCCCAGTCTGTTGGTCAGGTACTTCCAGTAGGTGTAAGTCTGGACAAGCAATGTTGCAATCGACAATTAATGAGAGGAGAAGTTGCAAGTTTCATCTTCAGCCGCCCAGGCATATTAGCTAGCGTTTGTGGCGAGGTTTCGTATCCCCATACTCATCTCGTATATTGTTTTCTTCTTTCTTTGCTATCCTTCCAAGTTAGTTGAGGCACAGTAGTAGCTCCGCCGATCGCCAAATTGGGGCCGCCTTTTCAGCTGAGCAGGTCTCGTGCCTGGGCATGTAGCACCCATGTACATCTCCATAGCCCCCCGTCTCGGGCAGCAGCGATTGGAAGACCCCTTTGAGATGCTGGATACTTGCATTCTACTTGTTCAAGATCTTGTTAGCAAAAAAACTCACAAGCTAAAAGTCTATCGCTTGTGGTGCCACCCGGTGCAATTTTATTTCTGGTAGCCCATGACGGTAGCCCAGGACGCCACCAGATGCGCTGTGGCCAGTACACATACGCTTTTAGCAGCGCCTAGCTTGGTCAAGGCCAGCCACGCTCCCTTCAGTCTGGTGCTTCGTATGTAACAGGTCCCGTAAGCCGAACTGACTGACTGCTGGCAGCTCGTCAAGAAAGTAATCGTAGTCGACCCGGATTGGTAACGTATACGAGCCATGCGGCCGAAACCACCGCTGGGCCGGGTACAGGTACGGCGAGTACAAGAGCCACAGGGCTGACGGTACGCGGCAGGTACTTGATCGGGCCCGTAAGAGTACCGCTAACTTAGAGTTGGCGCGGTGCCGCCTGCCGTATCTCGTGCATAATGTGACTGTACCTGCACCCGTACACGATGGACGCCGGCGAGGTTCTGCTGCAGTACCGCTACCGTACCGCTACAGTACAACGCGGCTGCAAGGCAAGTGCCTCCGTAGGACTTTGCAGCACATCTGGAGGGGTGGCCCTTTCTCGCAGGTACGTCCCGCCCCCTCTTTTCTCTCTTCTCCTCATCTTCTGATCTTGTGCCCCAAACTGGCCAGCTTAGCTTTGACGGCAATCCATCGTCTTTTTTTTTGTCTTTGCTGACTGACTGACTGACGGACTGACTGGAGATGATGTCGCTGCTAGTGCCGGTGCAGCAATTATCCTGGCCGGCTGCCCGAATAGGCAGAGCCACAAACGCGCGCTGTGTACCGCCGCTTCTCCCACGGTTGCTTGGCTGCCACTCGATTCGATTCGCTCAAACAACGACCGGCCAAAGCCATCTGCCTGGGTCGGCCACATGGCCAGCCTCGGGCCAATCCAATGGGCGCCGCCAGCAGCCTGTGTCGCCAAGCGCAGAAGCCAGAGCGCGCCGGCCTCGCATCGAGGGCGTCTCGATAGGGCTCACCTCAGCTGAATCCCCCTCCTCGCTCAGTCGCCGGGTGCCAGCTCCCGCCGATTGCGGGCACCGCTAACACTAACACCACTCACCACCTCTGAGCAAATCGCCTCTGGCTCCCTGGATCTCGCTACCGAGCGAGCCATGCGCGGGGGGCTGGTGGCTCGCCAGACGGTACCGAAGGCGCTGCAGAGCCCCAGCAAGCTCCATGCCTGGCAACGGGGCTGCTGCCGGCGCGGGCGAGTCAGGAACGCCGTCAGGCCCTCGGGCTGCGTTCATGGCTGCTGAAAACAGGGATCTCTGTCGTGCCGCCAGGGCCTCGAAACACTCCCTTTGCTCGGGCCTTGCTGCTTTTGCGCCTAGCTGCTGGGTAAGCCGGCCAATGGCTATCAGACACCACCGCCTGGCTGGCTGCCCTTTGCTTGCTTTCTGGACTTTGCTGTCCCGTCCTGTCTTGTGCTGCTGCGCTGCTGCGCTGCCCGACACCCACTGCTGCAGGACACAGCCCATCCATCGAGCCCCCAACGAGGGATCAACCGCTTGGTGCGTCCCAAATTCCGCATCTCGACGGCGACCCGCCATCAATCTGTGCCGGCGCCGATACCCAGTAGCTGGAAGAGGGAGGGGCCAATGTGTGGAAATGGACATGCTACTGCTGTTACTAGTAGCAGCCATGCTCATACTCCATGCCTACCACCATCACTACAAGTATGCTAATGCTAATGCCATGCCATGCGAGGCAAATCACAAGCACTGACCCTCTGATGCCACACCCCCAGCTCGACGATGCTCCAGCTGCCATCAGCATCATGGCCCTGGAGAGCGGTGCTACTGTACATGAGTCTCCTGTTTCGTACATGGCGTTCGCTGCCCAAGACTGCTCTAGCCGTGCTACAGCCATACTGCCACCCCCCTCTGGCTCGGATGTTTCTCTCATGCTAGCTTCAATGGCTGAGAGGCTACTCCCGCTGTACTGCTGCTTCTTCAGACGACCAGCATGCGCTTCCCCGGTGGGATCTAGCGCGGTGAAAAGTATCTCGCTCGCCGCTTTGCCCCTCTGTTTGCAAAAAAAGAAGGAAAACAAGAGAAAAAGCCACACGCATATCGACACACCGTCTTCTGTCCCATCTCATTTTGAATTATATTAAGGTTCATCTCACCCCGACAAATATCTCGTCTTCTTCCCCTCTTCCCTTGTGGTTATCGTGTATCACTCTTAGTCTCTTACACTCTCTCTTACACACTCACTCTCTTCCGGCCAGCCGTTCCTCTCCGCCGCCAGCAGCGGAAAACGAGACTTACTTTGCAACTGAGTCGCGCATCCCCTTCCCTTGTCATAGGCAGCAGACGGCCCATCGATGTTGTGCCTGCTTCTTAGACCCTATTACGATACGAGACAGCCCAAAGGACTGCGTTCTGCAACCATAGCCACGCCTGGTTTTAGATAATTCGTCCGCTTAAATCGCCACATTTACGCATCAACCGGTGTCACTTCGGCTTGGCCCGTATTCAGCCTCCCGGGCCTCACTTGAAGGAGCGTCGTTGACAAACTCAATATCCGAGGCTGCCGACCTCGAAAACGTCCAGAACACCAGGCCTGACCATTGCCATTTTGGGACTGCTCTTGTCTGCCAGACTGCCCCACGGCAGCGCGCATCACCAGTAGCCGCCTCATCGTATATCGGCCTCCCTGCAAACGCCCTACCAGACGCCGTAGGGCAGAAGAGTGCCGTCTGACCGCAGGAATAGTGCGACTTGGCAGGGACCCCGGCTGACGGCGCCAGGCCAAATTTCCATAAGCAGTCACCTCCATTTCACCATGCCCGCAACCACTCGTGGAGGCCTACCCGGCGCCGACTACAATTACTTGAAAGCCCAGCCGCCCGCTTGGGATTCGGTTCGAACTGGACTATCCATCTTTGCCCTGTTTGTCATTGCACGCTATTGTGTGCAGAAGACTTACCGATGGCTTAGACCAGCTGCGAGGCGTAACACCACTGCACCGTCCTCCCCCACTTACAACCTGCTGCGGCAAAGACAGTACCAGCCACACCTGGGTCCGATGGATGATGAAAAGAGGATTCAAGGGGTCAACGACCAACTACAGGAGGATGTGAATCCGGCCACGACAGCGGCGACGACTACGACGACCATGACAACGACGACTTCTCCCATTGATCGGCACCCGCATTGGAGAAGCACCGGTGGTACCATGCCTGGGCCCTTCATCTCCCGGCTGCCTCCCGCGCCACCTTTGACTCCGCCGGAGCTGAGCACAGCCGTCTTCACGTTGGACGAGCAGTCGCCCAGCAGCCAGAGCTTCATTCACCAGCCCAACCCCGACTACATGTCCTCGACATCTACCACTGCTCTTCACACGGACGGCCCCGATTCTGCCTCCATCCCCCGGCGTCGATCCTACACTAAGACGTTCCCCATTAGCGTCTCCGTGTCTCACTCTCCTCCCTCGCAATCGCCCAAGGCTGAATCCCTTGATTCAGCCTTTCCGCCCAGCTCCTACCCCCCGTCGACTGGGTTGTTACCGCCTGCGCCTCCCTCCGGTCTGGACATGGACGCGGATGATTACAGCCATGGCCATGGCCACCGGAACGTTGACTTACAAGGCGAGATCATCTCCGTCCTCGATCGCGAAGGAGCTGGCTGGACTCGCCATACACGCGTTTACGGTGGCGGAGCTTGTTTAGCTTGTGCCGCCAGCGGCGGAGGTTTCTACGGAGCCAATGTTACCCCAGAAGAGATGCGATAATGAAGCGCAAGATGGCTAAGGGGGTCCGCCTGTGGAAGGAGAGAGAAAGCCCAATCGTTCCAAAAATAGGGGGGGGGACCATATCCCGTGTGCGCATCGTCATGGCTTCGGCCGGACCAAATCGGCATTCGCTAATATTGTTGCGGGTTTTTCTTTTCTCTTGCTTTCTTCCATGTTGCTATCGAAGTTGTTCGCTTAGAAGATTCGAAAATAGCGCCGCCAAGGGGGAAAGGCAGATGGCTGCATCATCTTACGCATGAAAGCGAGTCATGAGGCGCAGCATGATCATTTTTTCTTGTCCTATTTCTTCTTGTAGTATGTCTTTTTACATGGGTGGCGCATCGCTGCATTTCTTTGTTTACAGACTTTGTTTATTTCTCAACTTTTTTTTTTTTTTGCCTTCTCTTCTTTATTTCCTGTCTTCGGTAGATGGCTGGCCATGTCATTATCTTTGATTTGCATGTTCCCCTCCCTCCGCTGTTATTTATTCCTCATGTTCAAAAGCTTTTACTAAGCTGTACTGTAATATGGAGTCAAAATTCTGTTTTATTGGAATGTTAAAAAGAAAAAAATGAGCTGTGGTTGGGAATCAGGGACTTTTTTTTGTATTCCTTTTCCACCCCTTCTCTCTCTCTCTCTCTATCCCAACTCTTGTTCTACAGCTTATTAGGGTTACGAATATTATGACGATACGATGAATGCTTTTCTTTTTCTGCCTTTATTTACTATTCATATCAATAAACAATCTTACTGGACAGCTTCTTTCAGCTTCTTTACTTCTAATGGCGATGCTTACCTGGGGACTTACTATATGAGACTAATCATCGCCGGAGGACTAGATTGCTTCGGGTCTAATGTACGAAAGCTGTACCTATTTCCCGGTCCAATGTTTTCACTATGCAAGATGAAAGATGAAAAATGAAAGCCGATAGTCTTCCCCTTCTCACTTCCCACCCTCTTCCCTCGGTTGAACGGTTGAAGGCTGCAGCAGATAATAAACTAGCAAATTCTTTTCTTTTAGTTTATTGTTCCTAATCAATAACCTTATTGGTTACCTTTTCTGTACGCCCTCTAGTGAACAAGAGCTGCGTTGTAAGAGGGCTCGTTTCAAGGAACGCACCTACAATGTGACAGATGGTAAATGTGGAAGATTAGTGTTTATGACGATGGGCTAGTATTTACCAATGTGAGTAAGCGGGCACCTTCAATCCACCACATCGCCTTGGTATGGGGCAACCTATAGTTTTGTCCAAGCGCTCCGGCGACTCGAATTATTCTCATGGTCCCCTTTTGGCAACTGCCCAGGTCTTGTGAGCCTCCCTTGCCCAGCCTCTCGCCCTGATTAGGGAAAAGCATGTCATCTCAATCACAAAAGGGAATTAAGAAACGGACATTATGAGGCTCTGAGGGCCTCGCGCAGCAGGAAAGTGACCAACAAGGGATAACACTACAAAGATTTGTCATATTTCGCTCGGAGACGAGGTGGGCGAGGCTCCCGAACGAGCTACCCCTTGCTAGCTAGGTCGCTGATACTCATCCCCGGCGACTTTTCGAACGGTTGGTTATTGACAGCTCTAGTTCTAGGACTAGTCGTCTGCTTACTTTTTTATCGCTAATTCGTGAGGGAGGTGGCTAATGATTAGTGTACGAACGATTAAAACAAACCATGCCTCCAAGTATACGACAATAGCTGGGAAGACAGAAGAGAGACTGACATGGACAAGGACATGGATCTGTGCTGAGCTGAGTCGAGTGGTGAGTAATAGTCCTCGTATATGTTGATTCAGTCATTATTCGGATGGATGATTTCCGAGCCATTGAATAAAAGAGAAAAGGAAATCTTCTTCTTCTTCTGTCATCTTGAGCTACGTTAGCTCCATACGAATTACCAAATACGCAAGATGGGAAGTCGACAAGGGTGACTGGGATGAATGACATGCCTCCTAGGCAGAAGCAACGTCTCAAAGCCCGAAGAAGCAGCAGTATCCTTGACCAAACACGCGAAATGGGTAGCAGCACAGGGCTGAAATGGGGCACTTCATGTCGGAGAAATGGTCCGGATGACTGGAGATGTTGCTAGCTTATCTTGTCCTGTGTAAGGAAAGCCATTTTTTTTCTCTCACGTTTTCACAATCCATAGAGCAGTAGTGGCGTGAGTTATGACAGGATTTTGGGCACACTAACAAAAAGAAGGCGTTGGGTTGCTTCTAGCTTCTGATAAGCACCATATTTTGCACATGAAAGCCTTGAGAGACAGACTAGGTAGAAAAGTAAGAAGACTGCTACTTCTCGTGTTGCTGCTGTCGTGGAACAGCACTTAGTACTGTCTGCCTGGGAAGGGCTTTTTTACGGTTCTGACGTGAGCGCGTGTCAAAACCTGGTCAGCACCCCGGCTTTCGTTGGAAAGACAAACCTCGGGGCGGACTTATGCATATGCATTTGGAGCCGGATTACCAGCAGGTCGATGGGCATAAAGCTAATCTGCATCCTCATACTTGTCTTTCCAAAAGTGGAAGTATGAAATGTTCCCAAGAGAACAAATAGCTTCTGGATCAAAGCTTGCTGTTGACATGCGGAGGAGAAAATATTGACCAAGGACCCGGAAAAAAAGAAAGAAAGGGAAATGGAAGCGCCAGCGAGATCCACCCCTTGCCAGGGTCAGATTCCAAGAAACTGTTAGTAGCTGTAGGACATGGTATTTTATGCGAGTTGGTGTTTTAGTGTGTCCCTAAGCCTGGCTAGGCATATGTAATCTTCTTTGTTATTTGCTGGTGACATCCATACAAGTCGAGCGGCGTGTATGTTTGTCACATACTTGTATGGATCGTTTTCAATATTAAAGGGTCTCATTAGGATTTCTTGTTACGTGGTTATTAGCAAAAGCAGTGGAAGATGAAGATGGGCCACTCACATGAAGCTGAATGCAGGTATTCCATAGCATGAACAGGGAACCGCAGATTGAGTAATCTCAAACTACACATCGTGTCCAAAGTCAGCTCTGTTCTTCAAAATTGGCTAATGCTTTGCTCCGTATAGTGGAAATGATTGATCACCAAAGATACGCAGCAGCATGAGTCAAAGAGGCTTCTCATAGCCCAGTCTTGCACCCCAGCTTCCAGGGCTGGAAGCCAAGGAAGCCACCGAACAACAGGCGAGGCCTGTGTGTTTTT